TGTGCTCCACTGCGCAGTGGAGCGTCATCGCCGTCCATGGATGATATTCCCGCCTCGGATTGGCCAGCAACGGGCACAACGACTGTTTTCGACATCATCTTTGCCTCTGGCCATCTGCTGATCTGGTATTTCGGGAACATGTTCTCGGGGCACTCCGCATCCACGAAGACCATTGAGGGATTTTGATCGCGTAACAAGTACTACTCCAGATTCCTGGGGCAAGACATTATGAACCGGTTAGGAGTTGTACAAGGAGAGAAACCTGGCATGATATCTGGAGTACTCCATGGAGTCATGAAAACCCCGCATAGAAAAGAAACATCTATGGGGGTATCCACGGGGAATACTGAATGGCATATTTGACGACGATCCAACGCATATCTCAGTATCTTTATCACCGGCGTAGACTTGATTATCGCAGAAACTACATGTATATCACAGACGGCGTTCAAATCTACCGACCGACACCGTCCGGCGTCTTATCATCGGCCATTGTAATATCCTACCGAGGAGACTTCTACTCCGTAGTATGTATCATATCGCTCGCCTTCTGCCCGTGATCCGAGTAGAGTCTCAGAGATAGTCATATTCCGAGATACCGTATGTAGTAGGCTGAAGAAGAGGCTGCGGCCTACGGCTCCACTTGGCCGGCTGTCTCCCGGGCCGGGTCCGGTCGGTGCAAGCTGAGAGACCGGGACCAGTGCCTACTTATTAATCCTTGAAGATCATTATTCAGGCTCAAACGCAGAGAGAGCCAAGGCGAGGGATGCCGTCTGTGGCGTTGGGTTTGGGATTCTGTCTCGTCACGTGCTCCAAGGGGTGCTGTTGTTATACAGAGCAGAGCAGAGCAGAGGAGAACACTTGGTAAGATCTGTCTCCTCCCAGGAATTCATAGGTGGAAGTTATGATGCATTCATTCCTTGGCCTTGTGGTTCTCATTAGTCAAAACAGCCGATTCTCCTTCATTTCCATCAAGTCATTGGCCAAGTTTAGGACTGGGGCTCCTCTTACATAACAGTTTTGCCTGGTCAACACAGTATACTAGAACAGGGTATTTGCATGTAGAGAGGTTCTTCTAAATATGCTTTATATTATATGCACACTACCTATCAGTATAGAATGAAATCAACTGTCTTGACTAGTCCAAACCGTCTGTCGGACGTAGAGAGGTACTTCGAGATGTCATGCCTCTACGCCTCTACGGCATCCTCCCGCAATATATATCTTCGCACCAGGAAAATGCGGTTGACCATCTATAACCATACCCAATGACTCTGACAACGGCCATCATCCGAGGACCTTGCTAGAACCGCTGAGCATTGCTTGTCATCTATTGGTCTTACGGAGTAGCAACAACAAAAAAAAGCAACTCCAACTCCTGCAGCTCGAAGACGTGACTCTCACAAAATGGCTGACGTCAGGACACGTTGCAGACCATTGTCACAACCTCAAGGAAGATGAAAAGAATCCTTCGTGTCGAGACCTCTTGATACTTTTCTCTCTCTATTTGTCCATAGCACAGTGGCTGTGGTCACTTGGTTGAAGCTACCTGATCTCAGGGGCCCCATATTACCATTATTATGGGAGGTGGTGATCGATTTCCCGACCGGCCCTCTGTGTCTCAGCCCCTCCTTTCCGACTCCACGCTGATTCAACCTTCTGCGAAGCGACGACATCTTCAAGCCGTAGTCGATCTGGGAAGGTGAGCATCATTGTCATCCTAAATTCTGCCATAACCAACGTCCCAACTGATAATCCTGTCCAGTAACGGAATACGATGCTCCGTCTCCGACCTCTCGTCCCCGACCGCGCGCATCCTGCCGACCGTGTACATGCGACGGGTCAACATCTCCCTCTACGACGCCCAGTTTGACGATGACACCGGCTGTCAAATTCCCATCCCCAAGCATGTTATTAAATCGGTAGTCGGTGCGATCGTTCGCTTCCAGATTACGTGTGCCCAGATCGGTGTCCCCTCGGAGAACATCCGCATCGTCGCGACCGAAGCCACGCGCACCGCGCTCAATGCAGACAAGTTTGTCGATGCCATCCGACGCGCCACCAACGTCTCGGTTGAGACGCTGCCCAAAGAACTTGAAGGAACAATCGGTGCGTGGGGGATTGCCAGCAGCTTCTCCGACATCGAAGGGCTGGCCATGGATCTGGGGGGAGGGAGCATGCAGATGACCTGGATCGTCTCGCATGCAGGCAACGTCCGCATCAGCCCCAAGGGGTCGTTCAGCTTTCCCTACGGAGCAGCCGCCTTGACACATAAACTCAATCAACTGCGGAAGGGGAAGAGTCCAGACGAGGCGCATCGGGCGGAGGAGGCCTTCCGCCGGGAGATGGAGAGCAATTTCCGCAAGGCCTTTGAGCAGCTGGAGATTCCTCATAGGCTGGTGGAAAAAGCTCGGACCGAGGGAGGTTTCCCTCTCTATCTGTCGGGCGGAGGATTTCGCGGTTGGGGATACCTCTTGCTTTACCTGCATCAGGTTCGCGGACAGTATTATCCCATCTCCATCATCAACGGCTACTCCGCTCCCAAGGAGGACTTTGAAAACACCGAAGTGCTCAAGAAGGTCGCTCGGACCGCCCGTGACATCTTCCGTGTCTCCGATCGCCGTCGCGAACAGGTCCCCTCGGTCGCATTCCTAGTCAATGTGTTGGCCAAATCGGTGCCATACGGCATCAAAGAAGCTCACTTCTGCCAGGGCGGCGTCCGCGAGGGCCTTCTCTTCCGCGACATTCCTCCCTTTATTCGACAGCAGGATCCGCTAGAAGTAGCGACCACCGCGTTTGCTCGGCCGTCCGCGCAGGTGATCGCCTTCCTGATGTTTGGCGCCGTCCCCGCAGGCACCGAAGACAGAACCTTTCCCGCATCGATCCCCGGGACCCTGATCCAGGCCTTTGCCAATTCACTGTTTGTGCACGCCGCCATGTCCAAGGAGTTGTCGTCGACTGCTGCGCTGTACAGCACCAGCGCCGGTGTCCTGGCGTCCACTCACGGCATCCCCCATAGCGATCGCGCGCGCCTGGCGTTGATGCTGCAGGAGCGATATGGAGGGGAACTGCCCCCGCGGGAGAACGATTTCAAGTTCCGGTTACGGGAACTGCTGACACCCGAGGAAGTCTGGTGGATCCGATACTTGGGGAAGCTGGGACTGGTGATCGCCCGACTCTATCCCATCGGGATGATAGACCCGGCGCGACCGCGCATCGCCACCGAGGCACGATGGGCCAGCAATCTGGGCAAACATGGAAATAAGACAGGCATTGAGCTGAAAGTCTTTGTGCAAAAGGTGGCGTATGACCCCACGCAGTTGAAGTCCGAACTGGAGCGTGATGTTCGCAAGATCCACAAGGTAGGCAAGAGGAAGAATTGGATCGGGGGAAGAGACGGTTGGGGAATGAAGGTCAAGGTAGTTGTAGCCGAGGAGGAGATGTTGTGATCTATTGTCCCATCATCTATGAAATCTTCCCCCTGCAATTAATGCCAGTCGTAGCTGGCGAGATACTTGCTGAAAACTATCACGACTACTCGCCGACTGCCGTTGCTTCACCGCAAAGTCAGCAAATTCAAGAGATGATTAAATAGCTACGATAGTGTGGACCAGTTCAAATATACCCTTTGTGCAAGTCAACTTCATTTCTTCAAGTACATGTCATACGACTGGAAATGTCAACCCTCCCTTTACTCTCTTAAAGCTCCTCGGCCCATCCCTACCGAAAGGGCTTTCCGACTGTCCCTGTACCGTGGATGCCTGAATCTGCCAGTACGCTGAAGGAGTGCTGAGCACTGCCGAAGCCAATGGATCCAGCATCCGACATGGTGTTGCCGTTGCCGCATGGGTATGACGGCCAGGGACCGGAGCATACCTCATCGGGGCTGAAGCTGCAGACATGAACCGTACCGTTAATCATCCTCATCTCCAAGTCGTTGTTGAGACACTCTCTGGCACGAATCTGACATTGTTGAAAGACATTCAACCTCTGTTCGACGACCGTGGCATGATAAAGTCATAATCAAGCTCCCGGGAGAAATCTACCGAGTGATTTTCTACTCTGGACTGTTATTCACAACTTTAACAAACGACCGGCAAACCAATGGCATCAAAAACACAGCCCCTACGCCTTTCAAGGGACTTTGGGGCCTTTCCTAGGCCCAAGCCAGAGACAACCTGGATCAGTATCCAGTGTGTTCCGCATTCAAAGGGACGAGACGAAGCCAGCCATTGCCAATCAACTTTGTATGAACATGGACGATTCATTCTTCAAGGACCCATCCAGCTTTCACCCGGAACGGTATGTAGAGCCCGGAACTTCCTGTCTCGGCCTTTGAGGTTGGCCGGAGAGCCTGTCCAGGTCATCGGCTGGCGCGGTCAAGCTTGTTCATTGTCATTTCGCGTTTACTTTGGGGGTTCAGTGTCTGCCCCAGAATGAGGAATCCTCGCCGGCTGCTGTCAAGGCCACATGTTGAAGTCCGGGTCCTCACAGACAAAGCATCATTGAAGGGATTAGACTTTAGCAGAGAAGGATGAACGGATTGTCCTGTCACAGATTGAATATAGAATGTACAGGAACTAGAGAGATTCCATCATCAGATATGCCTCCCCGTAAGTATTCCATATCTACAATCCACAAATGAATATATATTTCAAACAGGCTACAATTGATGCGCCACCAACGAGCTTGCAAGTAAATACCTCCATCAACAGGAGCATTATAACAGAGCTAGCAGATTCAATATCCTCTTCTTACGGAAAACGAAGACGTACAGGACAAGTTCCGACGCCAGAGTACTGCGACGACTTGTATTATTAGGTCAAATGCACATCGTTTTCCTGTGATTGGTCAAGTTTGCGTTATGCATCATCTTATGCTTGTATTACATAATTGGTATTCTTCCCCGCAAAAGATTCCCCAATCCCCAGATCTGCCGTACCCTCATCTGCCGCCACCTCATTGCATCACATCAGATCTCAAAAGAAGATGAACTCAGTATGAAGTCCCTACCGACTCATGTCAACCTAGCCACTAGTCCTCATCAGTGTTCCGTCTGTTTCAAATCCTACAAGCGACGGGAGCATCTCCAGCGACATCGCAATTCCCACTCCGCCGACCGGCCGCATCGATGTCCGGCCTGTCCGGGTACTTTCCAGCGAGCCGACGTCCTGCGACGGCACCTCCGAACATGCGACCGCATTATTTCTAGTGCTTATCAGGGAGCGACCCGTAAGCGTGCTTGTGATCGCTGTGCACGTCAGAAAAAAGCTTGCAACAGCGCCCGACCGTGCCAGAACTGTTCCAAGAGGGGAGTCGAGTGCGCCTATTCCACGCCGAAGATTGATACCCAGACGGTCGAGGAGAGAGCTTCTACGTCGATTTCTCTAGGTGCCGAATGTAGTAATGTTGCGGCAGCGAGTGTTGATGTGTGGATGCCTCGAACTGGAGACGGCGAGCGGGTGGACAGCATTGGATTTGACACTTTCACCTATCCAGACCTCGATCTCATCCAATACTCTGACCAGTCATGGCAAGATCTGTTTAATATAGGTTCGGAGGATCTCTCTCTGACGAGCGCCGACCGCAACTACTTCTTCCATTTCCTGGATGCTTTCACCAGTCGGACTGGCTTCGTTTCTTCCTTTGAATGTGGAACATTGGAGCAGAGATTGGGGGTCCTGTATAACATCGAGGAGAAAGAGCAGCTCACAGACGCTTTCTGGACCATTAACGTGGACCAATCGAGCAATCAAGATAGCAACAACTCGTACGGCGTCTCATCGCAATGGCTCAATGACCCGCTGGCCTTACAGACGCATCAAATTCTTCTTCTAATAAAGGAGGTCGTCCTGATAAAACCGCGCAATAGCTGTGTGACCATCTCGTGGTCTCCGGACATCGAGCAACGATGTCTGCAGTTCTTCTCTCCTACGAGTCTTCGAAAATATATTGAACTCTACTGGTCGATCTGGTCTCCAAACGTGAACTTTCTCCATCGACCAAGCTTCCACCCGGCGAGCTCCAAGCCAATCCTTCTGGCGTCTATGGCCATAATTGGTAGGTATGGACCCTCACATCTGAACATGGCGGTGCTGATTGGAATAATATAATAGGGGCCTGCGTTTCGCCAAATCGTGAAGATAACGACAATGCTCGGATGTGGTTCAATTGTGTAGAAGAGGCTACTTTTGCCGATGAGGACTTCAACCGGGATCCAGTCTCGCCATTCCACTCCGTTCGTGACAGACAGAAGATGCAGGCTCTGCAGGCCGCTTACATGGTCTGCTTGTACCAAAATTGGGAAGGAACTGATGCTAGCAAGAAGCGCATTCGCAGACATCGCTTTAGCACCGTCGTTTCGGTAAGCCAGCCAGACAGGAATTACAGGTGATGTACTGATCGTGATAAACAACAGACCGTTCGTGATCTTGATATCATGACAGCGCGACATGTCGACTACAACGCGAAGCATAGGGATGAGTTTGACTGGAACGAATTTGTCGCCAGGGAAGAGTTGATCAGGTATTGACAACCGAAGCGGACGCACAGAAACTACAAGTTAACCCTCCTTCTAGGACTTTCATCTGGGTCTTTCTGCTGGATACGGCGTTTGTCACCTTCAACAACTTGCCTCCACGAATGGTTGTCAAGGAAATGAAGATGCATGTGGCTGCCCCCGAGTCCTGTTTCCAAGCACCTACGGCCGATCAGTGTTACGACGCAATTCGGAATTGGATGCCTCCTGCGAGCCTCTGTTGGAATTTTTCCTTCCGTGCACTGTTCGAGACCCTGTGCATAGACGACCTGACAGTAAAGATGCAACAAGACGTGGCAGCGCTGGGTCCATTGAACCTTTTCACAATCATCTCTGGTCTGTGCCCTTTCCCCAGAGGACTTTCATCCCGCAAAATACTGACATTCCAAGGCATTCACTCCTTGGTCTTCCAATACCAGAGTTTCTTCAGCGCAGGGCATCTGCTCGTACGGACTCACACCGCGCTGCGAAACTTCAAGCAGATTTGGCACCTCTATGAAACCACAACAATCGGGCAGTTGCCGCATACGACGGTGGACGAGAGCAATTTGAATTCAGACAACATGTGGCAGAGAGTGGGATTCTGTCGCCACGCGGGCGATTTCTGGCTACTTGCAAGTGTCAAAGTGGACCGACTGTCTGTAGCGGAAGCAGAGCAGGAAAAGGCAATCAGAGGAGAAGTTGTGCTCGAAGACAGCGAACAGAGGGACCCGATTTTGTCGCAATATGACCAAACGAGTATGCGCCAAGTCAATGAACTCATTTCAGAGTTCCAAAGAGTGCACCTCGGCGACGTGCCCTCCGCTGTGGATTGACCGACTCAACCACTTCTATTACCTTGCGTGAACCATGATGTGCTCTTCTAACATGGTCGCTGAGGTATGCCACCATATTGCGACCAATGGCGGTTTCCGAGCCCACGAGTGGGATGTACTGATCGTCATCCCACCCCCGTCCGATTCCCCCACCTCCTCCTCCGATCTGGGGTTATCCCACTCGACAACCGACAATCAACCCTAGATATCACATCTATAAATTAAGTATATGGATTATGCTCACTGCAGGGCTACTCCTGAACATTGACTGATTTAGCCAAGTTTATGCTCGAGGCGTATATCGATACCATGCTGCCTTTAGCGCTCCTTGGGGTTGTCGGGGCCCTTGTCTTTCTGGTATTTCGTCTGCTATCCATAGGTCAACGGCCCAAGAACTACCCTCCTGGACCTCCTACCTTACCTCTCATTGGTAACATTCATCAGGTGAGATCACACCCTGTTCATAGTCTCCGAATGCCGTACTGACAGCCAGCAGATGCCCACTCGCGATGCCCATCTGCAGTTCCAAAAGTGGGCCCAAGAGTACGGGCCCGTCTACAGTCTGATTCTAGGGACCAAAACCATGATTGTCCTGTCAAGCGATCAGGCTGTCAAAGATCTGTTGGATAAGCGAAGTGCGATGTACTCGCACAGACAGGATATGTACATCGGCCAAACGCTATGCAGCGGAGGGCTTCGAATGCTTATGATGGTGGGTTTTCAATGTCCGAACAGCTAGTGCACTGGTAATGCTGACTCAAGCTAGGGATACACACCAGTCTGGCGAGGCGTATGTGCCCTTGAATCACCAATTAGAGTACCGAGCCTGACAAATTACAGTTTCGGAAAATGGTTCATGGCCTCCTCAATGTGACCGCTGCCAAGTCCTACGTTCCCTACCAGATGCTCGAGAACAAACAGATGATGTACGAGTTTCTCACTCAGCCAGAGCGCTTCCTGTACAGTATTCGTCGCTACTCCACTGCTCTGACCACCACCATGGTCTTTGGGTGGCGCACGCCGACATACGAGGATGAGAAAATGAAACAGCTTTTTGACGGCTTTTCTGAGTTTGCCGAGATAAATCAGACGGGAACAGCTGCGCTTATTGATTTCTTCCCGTGGCTGAGACAACTGCCGGACTTTCTGCTCCCGACACAGAAGAGAGCCAAGGAACTTCACGAGCGGGAAAAGGCTCTGTACGTGGGCCACTATCTGCGAGCAAAACAGGATATCCGCGACGGAAAGATGAAGCCCTGCTTTTGTGTCGGTCTGGCCGAGGCCCAGAAGTCGGGCGGATTCAGTGACGATCAGGCTGCGTACATCTCCGGTACGTTGTTGGAGGCCGGTTCCGACACCACCTCTAGCACTCTGTATGCGTTCGTTCAGGCGATGCTACTCTTCCCTGGCGTGCAACGCAAGCTTCAAGCGGAGATTGACCGTGTCGTGGGTCCCCGTATGCCGATGATGGATGATGAGCAGGAGCTGCAGTATGTTCGCGCTTGCATGAAAGAGACCCTGCGCTGGATGCCGACGACCATTCTCGGCGCGGTGCCCCACGCCGTCACACAGGATGACGAGTACATGGGTTATCTTATCCCCAAGGGGGCTGGTGTCGTGAACAACGTATGGGCCATCAACATGGACGAGAAGCGCCACCCCAACCCGCGGGTGTTCAACCCCGAGCGGTACAAGGACGATCGCCAAACCTTGGCTGAAGCAGCCGCCAACCCTGATGCCACCAAGCGCGATCAGTTCACGTTTGGTGCCGGTCGCAGAATTTGCCCTGGAATCCACATCGCCGAGCGCAGCCTGTTCTTGGGAATCTCGCGCATGATGTGGGCTTTCAATGTGGAGCCAGCATTGGATGAAAAAGGGCAGCCTATCTTGCCTGATGCAGATCGTTTGACCCAAGGGTTCGTCTGTATGCCAGAGGAGTTCCCTGCTCGTATCACACCACGGTCGCAGGCCAGGGCGGATATGGTCATCAAGGAACGGAAGGAGGCGGAGCAACAATGCTTGGATCCAGAGACTAAGCAGTGGTTGCTCTCGCCAGTGCAATAGGTGTTGGCGACCTGTGATACCTTGTCTTTATGATCTACAGATAGTTTATGAATTATTCGATGTGACATATGCATATATGCTTGTACTTAGTTCGACACCTGATACGAACTCTGATCTTTGTTCACCTCCCTCTTTCCATGAAACTCTCACAGTCCATACAAATAACTAGTACCATGCTCCTAAAGCCATCAATCACTCGATGTGCTCAGTAACGGCCTCATTCACTTTCTCTTCATCATCATCTCGAGGAGGCATCTCAGCTCCCTTGACCTTCCTTGCTTGCATAACTCCAATCTCAGCCAGACTGACTCCCTCCGACCGGAGTTTTTCTAGGTACTTGGCCGCCTCAGCTTCCTCTTCCCTTTCTTCAGCCGACATCTCAGGCCCCCAGAATAGGAAGAATAGCATATACGCCCAGACGGCCCCCAAGAAAATTCCCATAACCTTGCCGTAATCGAACCGCTTCTTATTAGCTTCAGTAGGGGGCAAAGGATACCTTGACCCGATAGTCGACTGGATAGTAGCAGACGCAGACGAAGCAAGGTTTCCCATTTGATACGTCAATCCGACGAGAAGGGAGCGAAGCGCAGGGGGATTCACTTCCATCAGATGGATAGGGATAGGTCCCCACACACCACCGACGCAGAACTGCTGCCAGAAGACCGTGGCGATCAAGCTCATGTCGCGGGGCAGAACGTACACCGGAACCAACGCACCGCCAATAACACAGGTGACCATCATGGTTAAGCGTCGGCCAAAGAAGGTACTAATGTAGCCGAAGAAGTTGGCGCCGACAAAGGCGCCAGCCTGTCCCACGACCGTGATAACCGTGACTTGAGTCGGTTTGAGACCGACCTGGTCCTTCAGAAAGGTAGGATAAAAGTCCTGACTCCCATGAGAGCAGGAGTTGAATCCTGTCATCAAGACGACGAGGTAGATAAACAGCACCCAGTTCTCTTTCAACGCCGTGCCGGAGTCCTTTAGGAACGACCGAAGGCCCATAGCGCGGATATGGTCGTCCTCTGCGTGAGCCTGCCGGATGCGCTCCTCGCGCTCGGCAACCATGACCTGGAAGTGGTTGGTCTCGGGAAGCATCCAGCGGAAGAGGATGATGAGGACTGGGGGAGCAGCGCCGAACCAGAACAGACTGCGCCAGCCGTGGGTAGTGGTGGGGACCAGGGCCCGGTAGAATGCAGCTGCTAGGAGGTAGCCAATGGCGTATCCCATCTCAAAACAGCCTGATAGTACGCCTCGAGCATCGTAGGGAAGGTCCTCGAGAGCGGTAGCCGCGGCGGGGCCAAAGAGACCTGAACAGAGGTGTCAACAGGAAAGTGATGGATATGGTCTTCGGGGCGATCCTACCTCCCATCGCTATTCCGTACAGGGCGCGGACACCCAGAAACTGTGGCAGAGTCTGACAAAATCCAGACGCAAGCTCAAGGACTATAAAAGTTGACAATGTAATTATGAACGGCCATTTTCTTCCGTATCTATCCGAAAAGAAACCGGAGATCAAGGCGCCGACTGATCGAAGCATCAGCGTGACGGTGATGCCCTAGCAGACAGTAACAAATGTCAGTGGCCTGATAAGGATAGATGAAAGGGGTTTGCTTACCCAGGTCACACTGGTGACAGAGGTATCAAAGTCTTTTGCAATCTCAGTCACCGTCATGGACACGGTGAAGAAGTCGAACGAATCCCAGGTCCATCCCAAAAAGCCAACAAGGAACATGAGCCATTGGTGGGTGGTTAATTCTTGCAGAACGGAAAAAGGATTGCGGATTTTGTTCTTGGAATATTTCAGCTACTATAAATCTGGATATAGGGGGGAAGAAACCTACCCTTGGGGGTTTGAGGCTGGTAAATCGGGTGACGATGTACCGGCCTATCTGACTCGGGGAGTAAAACCACCCCGCGGCCATATGGTTCCTCATTTTGATAGATTGAGCAGTCAATGGCTACTTTCAAGCGAGGTTTGGTAAGTGTAGTGTCAGCACGGAGAATGACGGACAGGGATGAAGCTACATTTAAATTCTCTCGTCACTCGTGCGGACAGCCTCAATGCATCATAGTAAGGTCAGTCAGTCTCCTTCCTAATCGGTATACAGACTTCTATACTCCGTGACTGCAACCAGTGAACCCTCTGCTCTCAGTACACTATAAAGAAAGTGGTCCCTGTGGAACTGCCAAGGCAAAGAAGCTCAAAGCCCAAGCGGCCAACCTAGCCACATCCCTTATTCCGAGGTATCTTTGAGGCCACTTACCCCGGACTTTCCAGCGTTTCCCCGCTTCTTCCTCCAGCTAAATGTCAGAAAATGCGGGGTAATGAGCTGTGAACCAATCCATTTGTCCATGTTCGAACGTGGCTACGGGATATATCCACCACCGCAACCTTATCCCACTTTTGCGTATCGCTCTCCACCACGTAAATTGGGGTTGCTTTAACCTTAGAGCTATCATTGGCTTGATGGCCTTAGCAAGCTCTCTTGGCTTATCAGGCAGGTTACATCTCAGAACACAAAAAAAGCAGAATATTGTACATCAGGCTTCAGAGCGGAGATAGCATTCTACCGTGGTCTATCTCCACACACTGGCTTGCGGATGATATCATGCCAAGGGAAGGACGACTAACTTTCCAGCAAAGTATTGGATGTCATTGGCAGGCAACCTGCAGGGCCAGATGGCTACACGGTATCCAGAAATGAGCCATGAGAATGTTAGAACGTTTGTCCATCAGGCACTCGGCCGATATACTGTGAAGCCAATGTCTCTCACAGCCGCTTTATCGCAGCCCCCCTAGCTGCAACCCGCACGCGGCCTCCCTGCTTTATGTCGCCATCATGAGTCTTACTTCGCTCGTGCTGTACTTAGCCCCACTGACCAGCTGGCCTTTTGGTAGCGGACAAAATCGTGGCGGTACGGAGCCAGTCAAGACAGACCTGGAGTCGGGAATAATAACTATGATTGCATGCTTAAACTCATCTGATCTGGCCGTTATCGGGGAGATATACTAGCCGAAGGGTTGTTGGTGGGATGGCACAACAGCTGGGAACTGCCCGGTGTGCTGTCGTGCATGATGCAATAAGGGTAGTGGCTCTCTGACTACAGAGAATAACAGTTCAATGGTCTCACTTTTGTATATCTTGATCGTCGGCTATCCAATTTTTAAATATCATGGACAAACCACTTATCGCCGGTCCAACCTCGTGCACGTAGGCTCTACGTGATTTGTTGGGGAATGTGGCCATGCTGTCCCAGAGATATACCAAGTTGGCAACGGGGTCAGAGCGTGTCCGGGGACTAGTTACAGTCTGAGGACGGACGCCTACACGGTCAGCCGATGGCCTCGGACATCGCCTCAATGACTTTGAGGACAAAGCGGCAGCGGTTCGCGATGCAGCAGCCGTACTTGTCTGTCTAGTTATTGTCGTTGCCATGGAGGGACTGGTCCACGGAGGTATCCATGGGCCCTGAACAGTCGGCTGGACTCGACCGATTCATGCTCTAGGCAGAGAGATACTATGTATCTCAAACCCATCAAATACGGCTTCGTAGCTCGCTTCGCCACTGCCGTATATTTGGTTCCATCCAGGGCCTTCCTACCGATTCGAGTATCGCTCGACATAATAGGCTGCCGCTCATCGATGAAAGATGGAACGAATGCCAGAACTGGCAGAAGATAAAGACCTCTTGCCATAAGTCGCATCGATGGGTACTTCAATCCGTGTATGTAGTCTGCGAGTGAAGATTCAAGAACACGGGAATATGCTGCTGCCTATACTAGTGACTCAGTCTACATTCATCGTCCTTACACATAATACTTACCCAACAACTCGTGGGACCAGTTTCGGCGAGCTTCAATCGTCTCGGGGATGCGCGCTGGGCGCAGTATTCACATCCATGTCATTGGAAATATAGACCCCTTTCAGAATTCGGAAGAAGACCGCAACCGAGTGCAGGGAAATGTCTCTCGTTGAAGCAGCTTGAAGAGGGAGATCAATGACGGAGAGAGAGCGCATATGTCGTCGAAGAAATACCAAAGGAGTGAGTATATCGTGTGCTGGTAATATGATCATCGCATCGAGGCCGTCCAGTGGTATTAATATGTCCATCTCCTGCATACTATTCATTGTGCATGAGCAATGTAACCATGATCCATGCCGCGCCCCTACTTTTAATGATCGAGAATACAGATTCTTATTTGATCTGGGGATATTCTAAGTATTTATTTCAGCTGTTACTGCTTTCGGAATCAGAGGAGGGGTATTGTGGCGATATCCAGAAACGGCAGATGATCCAAGCCATATCAATCTCACCAACAGCATCAGCTCCTTTCTCGTATGTGTGTATGTGCTGGCACCTCCGTACCATGCTGTGTAACTTGACAAGGGTCAGATAAATTGTGTATCTCCTGCTGTGAATTGAAAAATGGACTGATGTTTATCCACTGGAAAAATGATGACCCAAGTCAACTGCCCGAATCCCGCTCTACAAGATCTGCTCCGCTCATACTCCTCCACGCTTTCCTTCTATCTCAACGGGACAAGGATCGACCTGCAGGATCCTAACCCGCACTGGACATTACTGGACTTCATCCGATCGCAGCATGGCTTGAAAGGCACGAAACTTGGATGCGGTGAAGGTGGATGCGGTGCCTGTACCGTTATCTTGCAAACACGCGACGTTCAGAATCCTCGGCGAGTTCGACATTTAGCTGTAAACGCATGCTTGTATCCATTAATTGGGGGTAAGCATAACTCTCCGTCCCGACGAATTTCAGGGCTGACTTGGCAGTGGCCGGCAAACATGTCATTACCGTGGAAGGACTGGGCAATGTCGACCATCCCCATCCCCTACAAGAGCGGTTGGGCAAGTTGCATGCTTCTCAGTGTGTCTTCTGGTGCAAATATAAGCAAAAAGACAGACGCTGATAGTGTAGATGTGGATTTTGTACGCCCGGCATCGTCATGTCGCTGTATGCCCTCATCCGCAACGCTTTCGACCCCGATACTCTCGAGTTCACCTTGTGCGAGGATGACATAGAGATGAAGGGCCATCTGGACGGGAATCTTTGTCGATGTACCGGATATAAGCCCATTCTAGAAGCAGCCAAGACGTTCATCCAGCAGGATTTGCAGCTGCCGTTGCGCCCGTCAGAAAGATCCAGTCCTACCGCAAGTGGCAACTTGAGTATCTCCCCAGACTCGTACGAAGGGAACAGCCGGAAGCCTTGCGGTCGTCCAGGCGGCTGCTGTCGTGATACCCCTGAGGCATCCTGCTCATCTAGTCCGAGTATTTGTGGCCAAAGCTCGCGGACCAGCGTCTCATCGCCGGTAGGGCCATCGCCCGCTCCCCAATTCGAGTTCATTCCATACACTCCGACGACAGAGCTCATCCACCCTCCCGGTCTGTCCAAACATATCGATCTTCCTTTGTGTTATGGCAACCATCAGAAGATCTGGATTCGTCCTACCACCCTTGAGCAGTTGATTCAGATCAAGACGGCATGTCCATCGGCCACTCTGGTCAACGGTGCCAGTGAGGTGCAGGTGGACATTCGCTTGAAAAATGCGCACCATCCAGTGTCGATATTCATAGGAGATATCAAGGAGCTAGCGAGCATCAGCACCGTGTCCACAGCTGGAACCATCTCTGGGCTGGTCATTGGCGGCACAGCCTCGTTGAGCGACATTGAAGCCGAATGCCATCGCCTCATTCCTGTACTGCAGCCTCGGGCGTCTGTTATTCAAGCCATAGCCAAGGCTCTGAGATATTTCGCCGGTCGCCAGATCCGTAACGCAGCCTCTCTGGCTGGGAATATTGCTACGGCGTCTCCTATCTCGGACCTTAGTCCGTTGCTTCTCGCAGTCAATGCAACAGTCGTCTCGCGCACAGCGCAGGGTGAGCATTTCCACTCTATGGACTCTATGTTTCTTGGGTATCGCAAGACTGCACTGCCAGAAGGAGCGATTATCACCGAGATCCGCATTCCAATCCCATCGCCCGAAGTACGGGAGATCGCCAAGTCCTACAAACAGGCCAAACGCAAGGATGATGATATCGCCATTGTCACAGCTGGTTTCCGCGTGAGGCTGGATGATAACACAGTAGTTCAAGATGTTGCTCTGGCATACGGTGGCATGGCTCCTACTACCGTTCTCGCACCAAGTGCTAGCAAGACACTCATCGGTAAGACGTGGGGAGATACAAAGGTCCTGGAGGAAGCATTGGACGCCCTTCTCGTGGATTTCAACCTCCCGTACAGTGTTCCCGGAGGTATGGCTACGTATCGCCGCACTCTGGCCCTCTCGCTCTTTGTGCGATTCTGGAACGAGGTCCTCTCCGACCTAAAGCTCGGAGATAAGGTCGACACAGATCTTACAGAGGAGATCCATCGGAGAATCTCCCACGGCACACGCGACAACATAAACCCCCACGAGCAACGTGTAGTCGGCAAACAGATCCCCCATCTATCCGGATTGAAGCACGCAACGGGAGAAGCCGAGTATGTGGACGACATGCCGCCGCAGCACCGCGAGCTATTCGGCGCCATGGTGCTATCCCAACGTGCTCATGCCAAAATTATCTCGGTGGATTGGACCCCAGCGCTGCAACCTGGTATGGCGGTAGGATACATTGACCATCACAGCATCCCTGCGGAGGCAAACGCCTGGGGTTCTGTCAAGCGCGACGAACCTTTTTTCGCCGTCGACGAGGTTGTAGCTCATGGGCAGCCAATCGGCCTGGTGTATGCGGAGACTGCGCTGCAGGCACAAGCAGCCGCTAGGGCGGTTCGTGTGGTATACGAGGATCTTCCAGCGATTCTAACCATAGATGAAGCAATTGCTGCTCGGAGCTTCTTCCCACACGGCAAGGAGCTCAGGAAGGGTGCTCCGCCGGAGAAAATGCAGGAGGTATTTGCTCAGTGTGACCGGGTCTTCACAGGGACGACGCGTGTAGGTGGCCAGGAGCACTTCTATCTGGAGACCAATGCAGCGCTGGTGATCCCTCACTCGGAGGACGGGACGATGGAAGTCTGGTCCTCGACGCAGAATACGATGGAGACGCAGGAATTCGTCAGTCTAGTGACCGGAGTGCCAAGTCATCGCATCAATACCCGGGTCAAGCGCATGGGAGGGGCCTTTGGCGGCAAAGAATCCCGCAGCGTGCAGTTAGCCTGTCTACTTGCCATCGCAGCCAAGAAAGAACGACGACCTACGCGGGCGATGCTCAACCGGGACGAGGACATGATGACCACAGGCCAACGGCACCCTGTGCAATGCCGTTGGAAAGTGGGCGTCATGAACGACGGCCGGCTAGTTGCGCTGGACGCGGATTGCTACAACAATGCGGGCTTCTCGTTGGATATGAGTGGTGCTGTGATGGACCGCTGCTGTACGCATCTGGACAATTGCTATCACATCCCCAATGTGCATATCCGCGGCTGGGTCGGCCGCACCAATACCCACAGTAACACTGCTTTCCGCGGGTTCGGCGGTCCCCAGGCCATGTTCATAGCGGAGAGCTACATGTCTGCGGTGGCAGAGGGACTCCATATTCCAATCGATGAGCTGCGCCGGCGGAATCTCTATGAGCAAGGGCAACTGACGCCATTTCTGCAGCAGATCGACGAAGACTGGCATGTGCCATTGCTCCTGGACCAGGTGCGACGGGAAGCCCGGTATGACGAGCGACGCGCGGCTGTGGACAAATTCAACGTGCAGCATCGATGGCGGAAGCGAGGAATCTGTCTCATCCCGACCAAGTTTGGTCTGTCGTTTGCCACGGCCGCCCATCTCAACCAGGCCGCCGCGTTAGTCAGAATCTATGCGGATGGATCGATCCTACTCAATCATGGCGGCACAGAGATGGGCCAAGGTCTCTACACCAAGATGGTGCAGGTTGCCGCCGAAGAGCTGGGAGTTCCTGTTGAGAGCATCTACACGCAAGATACCTCGTCTTACCAGACTGCGAATCCTTCACCAACTGCCGCATCATCTGGAAGCGACCTCAATGGGATGGCAGTCAAGGACGCTTGTGATCAGCTCAACGAGCGCTTGAAACCGTATCGCGAGAAGTTTGGCCCGGACGCACCCATGTCCACGATTGCGCATGCTGCCTACTTCGATCGAGTTAACTTGACAGCAAGCGGGTTCTGGAAAATGCCCAAGATCGGGTATCAGTGGGGGAATTACGATCCGAAGACGGTGAAGCCGATGTACTACTACTTCACGCAGGTATGTTGAACGGCACTCTGAGAGACATTGCTAATCATGTAGGGCGTTGCATGCACCGAAGTCGAACTGGATCTGTTGACAGGCGACCACACCGTCTTACGTACCGACATCAAGATGGATGTGGGACGATCGATTAACCCTGCCATCGACTATGGTCAGGTCGAAGGGGCGTTCATCCAGGGACAAGGTCTGTTCACGATGGAAGAGTCTCTATGGAGTCGGGATGGACAGCTGGTCACTCGCGGGCCTGGTAACTATAAAATTCCTGCTTTTGGAGACATCCCCCAGGAGTTCAATGTGAGCTTCCTGCAGGGTGTCTCATGGCAGCATCTCCGATCCATCCAGAGCAGCAAGGGATGTGGTGAGCCGCCTTTGTTTCTGGGATCAACTGTGTTATTCGCTCTACGGGACGCACTCAAAAGTGCCCGGGAAGATCACCAGGTGTTGGAACCTTTGGTATTGGACAGTCCGGCTACGGCAGAGAGACTGCGACTAGCTGTGGGAGATCGGTTAGTTAAGAAGGCAACGGTTGAGGCGAAAGAAGGCGAGACTGCATTTTTTGTATCAGTGGCATAATAGCGGAGAGAATAACAGCTACATTGTCTACGTATCTGCCTCTATGTCAGAAACGATGCATAGTACTCCTCCACCCAGTCAGCAGCTTTGTCCCCTTCCTTCTCCGTCCATAAACTCAGAGATCCCACGTATCCGTCCGGTCGGACATTGATGATGGCAGCTTCGTTACTATTCAACTTTCCCACCCATTTGTCCGTACAGGACTTCTCATCCGCATTGTCCAGGTATAAGGTCCATCGGCTCTGTTGAAGGATGTCCGGCAGATCACTGAGCTCAAAGTCAGATTTCGATGACTTGGTGACAAGAGACAGTGTAAAGAGGTGGGAAACAGTTGTATATCTTTGTGGCTGAACGTATTCATCAGACGCTGCCTTCCCTCGCGGTGTCTCGTTATACGACTGCTGTGCGAGAGCGGACTCCCGACCCAATATCGACTTGGGGTTCTTCAACCTGGCACAAAATGCATCAAGGAAGTTCTTCATGGATAGTATATCTGGAACCAATACATAGATTCGAAATTGCCCCAACATCGGAATATCCAGCTGGATATCGACCGGATTCGCATCGATATATCGAGTCACTTTTGCGGGTGCCAGCAGCGCTCCAGGGCGAAGCGCTCCTCCAGTGACTAGATCAGACTGAATCTTTGTTAACAGGCCGCTTGAGTACTCTGCGCCAACTCCCGAGATGAAGCGAATGTTGTCATCGAAATTCTTGGCCAGCGCGACCTCGCCTTGCTCAAAGGCGTTGCAGTGTTCTGCATCGAAGCGGATAAGATCCATGGCAACTTTACGGCGCTCTTCTTCATATGTGGCTAGCAGGGACCTTTTGGCCAGTCCTCGACAGACCAGATTAAGCTTCCAAGCGAGATTGAAGCTGTCGTGCATACTAGTGTTGGCTCCTTGGGCGGCCAGCGCGGAGTGGCAGTGTCCAGCCTGAGGAGATCAGCATCCCTTCATAATCGAATCATGGTAAAAACATACATCGCCAGCAATGAAAATTTGCATATCGTCGTCGTTAAAGTGACTCGCAACTCGTTGGCCCACCACGTAGTTCCCGAACCATTCTATCTTGTCAGCTTGATCCAAGAGCTCTAACCGCCAGAGACGTACCGATTGACTTCCACTCCAGCTTGAACGGCGCCATGGCCTTCCTGGCCAGCGCCATAACATATTCCGGCGTTGCTTTGGTCTTGTCTACTCGTTCTCCTTCAGTGGAGCTCAATTCAACATACAATCGTGTCATATTGCGCTCCCGAGGGATCCACAGAATAGAGCCCACTGAATGAGAGCGAACAGCCACTTTGCTCCAGAGGTCCGGAAAGTCGGTGTCAATGACCCCTGCCATGGCCAGTGTCAGCATCAGCGCTCATTCGGAGCCATCCGGGGGGGGGGGAAACTAGCCGTCCAACACCCCCCAGGAAGCGTTGGTCATTTCTCCCTCAAGCTTCGCATCAGAAATGAAATCGCGTACTTTGGATCGAGCGCCGTCGCACCCGACTAGGTATTCAGCGCTAATCGGCTTTTCTGTTCTTGTAGACAGATCTTCGTAAGTTACAATCAACTGATTCCGTTGTGGGCTACGCGAACAAGCTATAAAGCGGCTGTTGCGAGTAACCCGCACTCCGCGTGCTTCAATATCCTCAATGAGCACTCCTTCTATCATCCCTTGATGCGCCAGAAGGATATAGGGATCTGCGGCTCCCACAAGATGATCTGGGTAGTGTATCTGTCGACCCTTTCGGTGCAACGTGGTGTTTTCGGTGGATTCCTATCCAGTCAGCATGTAAACTTGATGCGGGGTTGTATCCTACCCAGAACGAGATATCATACACGCGGACACCGTTGCGAAGTAGTGAATCTGCGAGCCGGAGCTGCTTGAAGGTCTCAATGGTCTTGGGCTGCATGCCATCCGCCTTGCCGGTCGATGTCTTGTCAAGTCGGTCATCTAGGATCACGACGGGAATTCCGTAGCGGACTAGGTTGCATCTACTGACTGTGAGATATGATTCAATACCGAGACAGTTGACTCACGCCAGCATCAGCCCGGAGGGACCAGCGCCCACGACCACTACAGTTGTCGAGGCATCGGGGGATGGATGCGCCATGAAGCTGTCGTGATCAGACAATCGGATGCTCTGGGATCTCACTTGTACCTTGTCTAATCGCGTATGTTAGGTAGGTGAGGTCTATCACTAGATTTTGGTAGCTGTTCCTCCGCATCGCACTTGTCGACTCGTGCAGTTGCAGATGGGCTGGCCGGGTGCTCGCCAACCCCCGCTTTGCTTACGCATCATGGCCAATCTTTTTCATGGGTGTTCGATTTCTCTAAAGTAGATGCAGTGAACTTTCCGCCGACTACGACATCCTGTCTCATATCTGCGCGCCGGCCAGAAAATACACGCCCTCATGATGTCTCCAGTTCCCCCACTCTGCCATCCTTCGCTTCCTCTTCGACATTCCAGACATGGGGAACTATCATCATTCAAACTGTGCAATACGCCTAACATACAGGATCGCCGGAAACTACATATGCTGTCATCTCTGTATGCACATACCCCGCGAGATAGAATAGACTCAAACCCACTGTACTCCATATCCATCATTTGGACCGTTGCCTCAGATTATACTGACCCCTGGCGTCATTTTCTTCGAAATTGCAGGACACATAGCTCATACAACACCCTTGGAGCCACTGTATGCACTGCATAACTGACTCCGAACGTCCACGTGGCTGGCTATACTGGCACCAGCACAATACCCCATGCTGTGTCCCATCGGCGATCATCTTCGCGGCCAACTGAGTCGTAAAGTACATTCCCAGTATATTAACCTACAGCAGACTCTGTTGTTCATATGTAGATTCAAGAAAGGGGAGGTGGTGGCTGATGCCCACACCACTGCATTTCCCGAAATCGTAGCAGATTTTTTTCGAACTGTCGTTGATGGATTATGCTAAATTAAAATGAGTTCTGCTTCTGCAAGGTGAGCAAACCCCTTACTTGTAGCCGGCAGCCAAGTACTGTGCTCTTGTTGGGTGCTGTGATATTCCTTTTCCGGCGCAATGACATCAAGATCGCCACGTCAGCTTTGCTTCAGCCAATCCTCGAGCTCCTCCCTTCACAGAGCAGTTCTTCCTAGGAGACACTGATCAGTCAGTCAGACTGGTCAGACAGCGATCGTGAGGGGTATGGCTTCTGCCGAGACATGTTGGCATAGATCGTAGATGATGGATATTGATCTTCACGTTTAGTCCGTCCTTGATGGCCTTTTAATAGCTTCTTTTGGGAGATGCAAGAACATTCGAGGAGACGCAGTACATCTGCAAGGATAACATCTTGGGCTGTGCAGCGGGGTCAATCTCATCAAGCCACATATTACTGCTCTACAGGTCGATGCACTGTAACGATGAAATAAATTCGCTGAACTTAAGTCTACACATTCTACATTCAAATCATACAAGTAAATATGGCACCACCTATCCATATCAAGCAGAAAGAAACCCGCGTAGATTCGTGTAGACTGCAGGTACGTTACGTTACGTTGCACTCCACACCTGGCCTCCTTCACCCTAACAATCCAAGATCATCATCGTCGGGGCTGGTCTCGCCGGCCTCGGAGCAGCCATTAGTTGCCTTCTAGCTGGCCACGACGTCCACGTCCTCGAATCCGCCCATGAAGTCAGCGAAGTAGGCGCCGGCATCCAAGTCCTCCCCAACAGCTCCCGCGTTCTGCAGCACTGGGGTCTGGAAGATGCGCTGACGCCCTACATGACCCGCCCCCGAGTCTGCAATTTCCTCGGTTGGAAGGGTAATCTCATTTCCTCGATGGACTTCCCCGAGTCTGAGAAACGGTACCCCGGTACCTGGTATCGAGATTTTCACCGTGCCGACCTGCATCGCTGCTTGCTGAATCGTGCGCTGGAGCTCGGAGCGCGGTTCACTTGCAATGCGCGGATTGTCGATGTTCGGGTGGGGGTTGACGAGACTCCCGCCACTGCAGTCGCGGCCGATGGGCGAGAGTGGACTGGTGATTTGGTCGTTGGCGCCGATGGGGTATTTGGGACCTTGGTGGAGAGGCTGCTGGGTCGTCCCGAGCCGCCCATCAAGACGGGTGATTTGGCGTATCGTCTGCTTTTGTCCACGGAAGAGATGCTCAAGGATCCCGAATTGGCAGGCTTCGTGACAGATCCGCAGGTTAACTACTGGCTTGGCCCGGATGCGCATGCGGGTGAGTATCGTCGGTCGATGATGGGGTACGGACTACGCTCACAGTTCAGTGAATTATGTCCTGCGAGGCGGCGAGAAATTCAACATGGTCTTGCTGGTTCCAGACGATATCCCTGAGGACTCGCTGGCATCGACGGTGGAAGGTAACGTGCAAGAGATGTGCGCCCTATTCGAGGGGTGGGATCCACGGTAAGCGCTATTTCCTCCTGGTAAAACCCTGGCTCATGGTCAAAGAATCCAGAAGCTGCTCAAACTATGCCAATCCGTCTACAAATGGCGACTATGCATACGTTTTGGCGACCACGAGTGGACGCATCCATCAGGATCATGGGTCATGATAGGCGATTCGGTCCATGCAACACTCCCGTATCTCGCATCAGGGTATGCAAACTTCTATTGACACGTCAGGGCCATCTAATGAATGCTCAGGGCAGGTATGGCGTTTGAAGATGGAGCTGTCCTTGGCGAATGTCTCTCTCGACTTCCAAACAGCCCGAGTGTCACCAAGACCTCCCCTGAGTACCTGCAAAGCAAGCGTCATGCACTATCTGTCTTTGAAAGGTGTCGTAAGCAGCGGACAAAAATGGTCGTAGACCGCGGAAATGTACAACAATACCTCTACCATCTGCACGATGGTCCTGAACAGCAGGAGAGAGACCGCAAGATGCAGATGGTTCCCACCCCCGAGGGTGAGGCGCTGGCATGGAGAGATCCAGGTCTAGCGCCTAAGCTGCTTGGGTACGATCATATTGCAGATGTAAGTCAGGCGAAGCAGTCAGGATGCGCGCAAAAGCATGAAACTGACTGAAACAGGTTGATCTAAACTGGAACGTGGAGGATGAAAATGAAGGAATAGCAATCTCTAGACTATGACATTTCATACACATTATAAATCATCCAATGCAATCATTCAGGTCGTGGTACATCATCAATCAATGCGAATGGCAGAACAGGAGATATTTGAATCGTGATACTCGTGAAAAGCGAATGTTGAGCCCATGGAGGCGAAAAATATCATGCATGAAAAGCAGAGTTCCCCCTATGCAAGGTAATGAAGGACAGCCGGGTACATGGCACATAACACATTAAGTCATCATAACAACGTCGCGTTAAAGAAAGTTGAGATTAAGATAGATCGAGCGATCAAGCAAAGCTATCCCTAGACGGGAAACCTGACGGCGCTCCTGATGGAAGGGGAAGACCTCGGCTGCGAAAGGTTGCGTGGCAGTGATTTCACCTTAGGGTCCTGGTTGTAACGAAGGCGATCACGCTTGAGGTTATACATCTTGATCACGCATGCCATGGCTTGTTCTTCCGTTAATTGAGGAGCACAGAGCGAGTCACCGTCCAGCGGGACTGCACGCAAAACAGATGACACCATCCACATGGCCAGGACGTCAATATCGCGGGCATTGCTCCAGCAAGGGAACAATGAGAGCGTTTGCATGGCGCGTGTGAACTCGCGGTACGTTTCCGTCCGAGTATCGGTGAGGAAAGGCCGCGAGCCAGGGATCTTTTCTTGTTGGAGGCGCTGGTCAAGCAGACGGAGGCATTCACGAGGTGTAGGGCTCTTGAAGACGACCTCTTCCTGGAACAGGCTGGAAAGGCGGGGCTGATTGCACAACAACAAGTCCATTTCAGGGCCAGATCCTGCCAGAATCACCACAGTGTTGCGAGAGTACTTGGGCATGAGGTAGACCAGGTCATTGATGATCTGGGCAGCGGATTCGATCTCACTAAGCCGGTGAGCATCTTCGACGAACAAAACACCCCCGCGTGCACGTTCCAGCAGCGAGCGTGTTTGAGTCGATGAGTTGCACGCATTCAAGGCCAGATCGGTTGCAGAGCACTCCATAAATTTGCCAGAGTCCAGCACACCCATGTCATAGTATAGGCGGCCGATCAGCCGTGCGACGGTTCTCCTGCCAATTCCGGTGGCGCCTTTGAAGACCATCGCAAGGGGAACACGCCGAGTGGGGTCAGCATTGAGCAACCACGCAGCCTTTAGATCGTGCCGGTAGCGTTCAAGCAAAGTAATGAGGTCATCCGAGACGAGGGTGTATTTCAACTCCTCGCGGAAATCCAACTTTGATCTGCAACACAAACTATCGCCTTCCAGATTTTCAGGCACGAGAACCCGATCGAGTTGTGACTGGGGAACATCACCCTGGGACCGACTGCGTTCGTACGCAGAGTGAGCTGAGCCGAGCAGGTGAGTAATTGCTCTTCCATTGTTGAAGTCCTTACGCATCCGAGCAACGTCGAGAAGTTGAACAGCGTTATCCAGCGCCTCAGAAGTAGCATGAACTTCGTCGTCGTGCAGCTTCATTTCGAGGATCTGCCGCAGCTGCGCCTTGGTGAAAGAATGGAACTGAACAATGTGATGCTCTCTGAAAAGCTTCAATGTATCCTTTTCCTGAATCAAAGGCTCAATGCTGCTGTTGGTTCCAACCAAAATCACACAGCGATCGTGACGAGGAGTGAGCGACAATTGAGTGATGAGAGTTTTCAGCCAACCCTGAGACGACTGATCAAGTTCAGACACGTCGACCAAGAGGACTTTGCCGATGGAGGAACCCAGGAGGTCTTTGACGTCAGGTCTCTGCGAGACACGCATCTCAACCACTACTGTTGTTAGTACTGCGTTTCAGTTTCGAATATAGACAACTCACCTTCTCCGCTGCTCAGCAGACCCACATCTGCCAACACCTGCCCATACAGCCTCGCCACCGTGGACTTGCCAGTCCCTGGTGGTCCAACGAAAATCCGGTTGACGCGAACGGAGAACGGTCTCTGGTTTCGAGCTTCCCTCCAAAAGTTCTCCTCGATCGTGTCTAGCAATTCGCTGACTGATGCTTTGACCGCTTCCTGTCCAACAAGCTTCTGCAGGTCTGCCCAAGCCCGACTTTTGGCCAGTACATCGGCCGGCCTGCGACCTAGTATATCTTCCGGCGAGAAGAAAAAGGTATCGACTTCTTCCAGATCGTCCTGCTCTTGGGTCATATGCGATTGGAGGTGGCGAAGAGTAATGGTGTCCAGAAGACGTTGCACCGCATGCACATTTCTCGGACCGTTTCCGGCAGCCGCACGGACAAGTCGCCGAGCGGCCATCTGCATGAACGGACCATCAAGGCCACCGGCCACCTCGAGCTTGCCATTGTAACGCTCCTGCAGCAACTGGCCCAGCAGAGTGAGGTAGTCGTTGGAACTGAAGTCGGTGCAGCGCAGAGTACAACAGATTGTTCTTTCCAGTCGGGGGTGAAGTCGAACGAGCCCCTCCATGTGCGGGGGATGACCGCTGAGGACGACGACAACGCGTCCAGTCGTACGCTCCATCGCCTCGAAGAGAGCATCAAAGATCTCCTGAGTGCGAGTGGGGGAGCACGTTGCCAGCAGATGAGCATCCTCGACGAGAAGGACTCCAATAATCTGTGCCGAGGGGGATGCTGCGTCAACCATGCCACAGATCAGATGCCGCAGCCCCTCGGGTCCCTGCGCGGCCAGCGCGGCTCCAGAGATTTCTCGAAAGGTCAGCACGTCGGTGATGCCGGTCGAAAAGAGGATGTTGGCATATATGCGGGCGACCGTAGTTTTGCCCGTTCCTTCATTGCCCTCGAGGACAATGTTGTACCATTCCTGCTTTGCATCTTTCCCTTGTCTCTGACAAATGCTGATCCATGTTTGAATCTCATTCAAGCGACGTTTGACAATGTCCTGGCCAACCAGGCTCTGCAGCCAGTCCTCCGCATCACTCTGCGCGATCTCCCGATGAGCTTGTAATTCTTCCTCAGGAGACGGTGTGTGAACCTTGACAGATGGCGGTCGGCTATTGGGCACAGTCTGCGTCGAGACCGACACCGATGCCGATGGCTGAGGTTTGCGAGGGGATAAGAGGGAGGAAAAGGAAAGAGACCACGGAAATCGCGACGACATGGAGCGAAGGACAGTTAGGTCCATCTTCGGCCAGAGAAGGCTGCGTGCGATGGAGAGAAGAAGGGAAGGAGGGTATGAGGGCAGGTCTAAATACCAGCCAGCGTCAGGAGTGAGAAAATTCTGATCACACCAGTTTGGCCTTGTTTACCAAAACCTTAGGCTGATATTGTGAAGCCCCATGGTCGCAAATTTTCACTGGGTCTTTATCTTTTGATTGAGTATCGTCTCCAGGCTGCCAATGAGCGTGCAGCAAAGGTGGGAGCTCCTCATAGCTACCCATCGCAAGCCGCCAGATAGAGGGGACGCCGAGGTCGCTCAAACGAACGTGCACAGCATCGCGTTGTAAACAACTTCCCGGACAGGCAAGAGAAAACAAAGCGACCAGCCAACTGCGGCCAACGCGTCGATTAAGTCGATCGTATCGTGCCATATCGCAATGATGATTCGCGCCAGGCAGTTCACCGCTGTTTGTACCAGTGGGGACCTTTCCTTCGCCCTGCGGGCCCAACAGCGGTCGGGTGTGGATTGCGTCGGAGGAGGTGGATCATTGTTGACAGCATCACTTTGGCTTCGTTTAGAACGTTATTGTATCAGTAGTCATTGTCCCGAAGGTGACATCAACCGGTAGATTGAGTGCCATGTCAGAAAGATGAAACAGAAAGATGAAGATTGAAACATGTTAAGGTCGGGTGTTGGCAAGTTGGCAATGTCCAGCGCATCCATGCCACTTTTTTCCGTTTGTGGCTGGCTAAATGCAAACCGACCAAACTGATAAGTTGTGATTGGCGATCGTCAGTTATGCACGTAATTATGTTGGATTACTTAATAGTGATTTTCAGGCACCAAGGCATTCAGGACCTTGTTGTGAAGAACAATGCTTTTGTGATACTGAACTGTTGACAGTGAGTCTGGAAGGAACAAAGTCTTCCTCAGGTCGAGTTGATTCAACGGCCATGCTTCTTCCATGTCAGGTTTATACGTTGTGGGTGGGTATTCCATGGATTCCCTCCGATATATATCTTAACGGGGCGGAATACAGCGTACTTAGCTCGGATCAAATAAATGGGGAAGAAGCCATATATAGCATTTAATCAATCCTGCCACTGAAAAAGAATTCTTCGACGGCCCAGGAATCTCCTCTTGCCTGCAGGAATACGGATAGATTGCTCTTCCACGATAGCCATACTATATCCTGGTGAGACCAAAGAATTCCTGCAAGGGATTATACCTGTTCATACAGTATAAACCGCTCCCTTGGGTGTGACACGGACGAGACCCCAATATTCAATCTCTATGTCCTCCATTCACGCCATATCTCCATCCCAAATACCAGACAACACCAGCCAAATTCCCAAGTGCTGCTCCCCCTACCAGATGGTCCAACACTTTCAGTCGCAGCGGATTCCTCCTCGTGATCACGGCTGTCGTTCCGGACCCCGCCACCATCCCAATCGTAGTCCAGCTATCGACCTCCACCTGCCCCTTATTCTCGAGGAGCCTCCAGGCCCGATCCTGCCATTCGATTCTTTCCTTCCCGGCCATACGGATCGGGAGCACGATGGCCATGGTCAACGCGCCGAGGATGGCACCGGATCCGGTCGAGCGCGTGATAATGCTGGCCGCCGAGAGGTTGGGGGTCCTGGAGCGCAAGGCTCTCACGATTCCAACGGCTACTCCGAGCACGGAGCCCGCTTGAAAGCCGCGGTCGAGGACATGGGTGGTGAGAATGAGGTGTGGATATGGCTGATCTTCCGCGTAAGGAGTGTGCCACTTGGCGGACACCATGGTTAGTCTGGCTTGACTGAGGAACAAGCAAGTTGGGTCATTAGATGAGTGTATCTATTTCATCCTTTGGATGCTGATATCGTCTCATATTTAGAGGAAGGTGCCAGCTAGGGATTCCTAAGCAAAGCAATAAGCTAGTAGACTAACTCGTATGAGCAGTGGGTCGTTGGGTGCCAATACCCGCTCAATAATTGGCAGATACTGGGCACTAGCAGGAGCTTTGACTCTTTCTATTCCATTAGCCAATCAGGGTAGCAAGTCTTGTATTAGTGCTGACACTTAATCTATCCAGGAGTGTAAGCCTTGTCAACTGGTTGATTGCAGTGTTTCTCGATATACTGGAGATCTCGCTGTTTACACGACATGGCAGACAATAAATCGCCTGACTACCTTATATACGCAGGCATAGCATATGCAAACTAGTTGAACACAAATCCAATCCCCTTGGACAGGTACTTCTTCACCCCCGTCTTCTCAGCCTTGGCCTCCTCATCCCGGGGATCAACATAGAACCGACGGAACTGATCCAGATCAATGCTTCTCGCATCATTCAGAAGCGGCCCCTTGTAATAAATCATGGATCCAATGTAGATGACAATAATCGCCACCACACTGACATAGTTCGCGAAGAACCCTTTCGCCGTCGGCTTCCCGCCAAGCGGCCACACACTGAGATAGAACTCGACGATGATAAGCAACACACACCAGAAGAGGCCCCAGATGGCGCCGATGGGGTACGTCCAGGATTTCCACGGCAGCTCTGACGGCGACCGGCCCTGGACTTTCCAGGCGTAGCGCATGCGGAGATGCGACAGGCAGATCATGCCCCAGCCGAAGAGGGTAAGGAGGGAAGTGAGGTTGGAGAACCAGGTGAAGACCTCGGCGCCGCTGTTGTTGACGTTCAGGTAGGCCAGCCCGCCGCCGATGACTAGGGTGAGGGCCAGACCGGCGACGGGACGGCCGACTTTGTCCGCTTTGCCGAAGAACTGCACGAGTTAGCCAGGACCAGGGATAGCGAGTGATGTAAGTACCTTTGGTGCCATTTTTAGATGCGCAAGACCCATCAGCGTGCGAGAGCCGGCATACACCTGGATGCTTCCCGTCGAGACCACCGAAATGAAAACGACCGCGTTCATGATGTGCGCCAGCGGTACAAGTCCCGCATTACGGTAGGCAATGACGAAGGGAGAGGCGTTGGTGCCGGATGCACCGAACAGGTTTGGGTCCTTGGGATCGACGGTGATGGTGACCATCAACGAGCCCAAGATATAGAAGAGCGAGAGACGCAGCCAGATCGACCCGACGGCGCGAGGCACCGACTTGCGGGGGTTATTAGTCTCGGCGGCCACCAGCGCAGTGTTTTCGGATCCCGACATGGCGAAAATGCAGGTCGGCATGACGGAGAGGAAGCCCTTGAAGCCGTGGGTGAACGGTTCGGCGTTCCAGTAGCGGAAGCCAATGGGGCCTTCACCGGGGGCACCTCCAGCAGAGACAACTATTTGGATTAGAGATGTTCAAACCAAGGCACAGAGAAAGTCATACCGATCAAAGAGATGATGACGATGATGATCCAGGAAAACTTGATTGACGAGGCAGCGACCTCGACTTCGCCGAAGAACTTGACAGCCCAGACGTTGATCAAGACGATGACTACCCAGAAGATACTGATCCACGCAGCCGTCGGCACTTTGTCGGTCCAAAAGTTGAGCACAGTGACCACACCCTATGGCAGTCAGATCTAACGCTAACACAGAGTGAAGAAGACGAACCTGCAGTTCATTGGCCAAGGTAATGAAGAATTGAAACCAATAGCTCCAACCCAGTGTGAATCCAGCCGGCTCACTGATAAAGATGGATGACCACTGCACAAAGGCCGAGGGAAGTGGATAGACAACGGCCATCTCACCGATGGAATGCGAAACAGCCCAGATCATCGTCCCACTCAGCAGGTATCCGATGAAGATGGCGGCAGGACCACCGTTGACCAGCGAGGTACCACTTCCCAGCCATAATCCCATACCAATTGACGAGCCCAGCGCAATCATGGTGAGATGGCGGGTGCTCAGGGAGCGGTGGAGGTCGGTGTCGGCTCCAAAATCGTGGTCGACATCGATAGTCGAAAGGATGCCTCCTTCCTTTTCATGGCGTCCGTTGGGGCTACTCGAAGCCTCGTACGTGGGAGCCTCCATGCTGATGTAGGAAGGTAAACGGCACAAAAGCGATAGATTAAGAAGATTCGCAGTGACTAACGGGAGGGACGGGGACAATCGGGGGAACTCGAGTTAATATAGAGACAGCCGACAGAGGCTACAGACTTTCTCGCACAACACCACCTCAATCTAAACGCATGTCCTGTCTGCCAATAAAATGGCAGAAAGGCTTAGCTTGCGATAAGCCCTTTGGTCTGACCGTGCTAGCGTGCTGGTTATCAGCGAGGCTGGATAGATAACCCTCGTCAGTCTGCCACTCAGGATGCATGCACTTAACCGGAGAACACGGGAGCCCGTCGTATCGCTTATCAAGTCAGTCCTCGATCAGACGCTCCTTCACGGAGAAGAGTCCTGAAAGAGTGTTGTGTGGCTGCTGGGAATGTAACGTTGGCTGATCCTCCAGCTGGATCTCACCATAGGATAACCCAGTGAATGCGACCAAATACGAAGCGTAGTTGTTCTGGTGTCGTGCGCTTGGTTGATACCCCGATCTGACTGCTCATATGCTTTTTCTCAAGCCTTAAAGCGTCTTGGCCAAGAGATGAAGACTCGACTTTAAAATAGAACAGGGCAAGGTGGGACAAGACTGGGGTAATCCTCCGATTTGACTACCAGGGACAATGCAGGGTGTGTTGTTCTTGCAGATCGTATCTCGGGTACATTTTATCTTGATATACTGCTTAGACCTACGATTACAGATCTGAATGTCCGATTTCAAACGTGTATTCATCTTGAGGGTGGAACATTCACAACCGAGACAGAATGGAGGAAAGTGAGACAGTCTGAACGCAATATGGGCCACTCCGCTCTAGATTCAGCGGGAGATCCGAATTGAATCGATTTGGGACAGGAGATCAAGTCGGAGACGAGACGGATGGGAAAAAGGAATGGAAACGCACGTGTGCCTGGCCGCATTGGGAGTCTGATCGACAAGCCCCCGTAGTCATTGGTCCTTCTGGAATCCTCAAGGAGTAAAGTTGAGCCTAAGGCTGGCCCCTGGAATGCGGAGTCTTATTACTGGTAGGATACATTATTCAGCTGTCCGGTTCTCCCTCCAGATAGATTATCTATCCCTCATCGTTGAGTCTTCCTGGTAGCGGCTACTCACGGTGTCGTGTCGACAGGATCATGGCATTATGATCGATCATTGGATGTCACTGGTATATAATCGGGAGTCTGGAATCTGGAATAGCATTATGGAGCCCATGCCAACAAGTGGACACTCTGATGGAGTATCAATGCTTATCCTAAATAACCTTAGGCGATGGGCCTCTTTCGCTACTATTCATAGCATTTCTCGTATAGAGCCTTGGACTAGCAAAGAACACGTCAGCAATACGAGTCTCCAGGATGCATATCAACACGGTCTTATGCATAGGGACTTTGTATTATTCTGCAGAGTTTATGCAGAATTACTTGATGTGCTTGCTATGAATAGAAGCATCCGAAATAGTGACTGCTCTGGCTTCAGCAGCAGCCGACTCGGGATAAGTGAGTCCTCTTTGGCGAACGACGCTCTCAAATAGCCCGAAGTGCCTTTCTTGGATTCCTCCTGCTTAATGATGCCTCTCCGCAAGCCTAACCAAAAAGAAAAATCCGGGGAAATGGGTAAATAATTCCACCATTGGCATACATCCATGATCCAGCATCAGCGCCTCGGTCTCCACCCCCCGCATTTCGTGCTAATCTTCCCCCGAAATCGACTTGGCATCTCCAAAACATGGGGAGAATATCTGGGGTACAAATACTTGTTGGCCTGATGCTCTCAAGGACCGTATTATCCTTGCATCTGCGAAGGAATCGATCAGCATGCTATTCTCATCCCTTGTGAGTCTAGCATTGGCGGCTGGCGTGCACGCCAAAGGGCCCTTTCTGCAAAAGGTCGACGATTCCACGCATATCATCGGAAACGATCTGTGGAATGTCACCATTGGGCAGAAGTACGGTGTGAAGCTCTACTACAAAGGCAAGGACTTGGTAGGGGATGCTGTGGGCCACTATGTCAGCTACAGTGAGTGACCTTCTGCCCCTTCATTGACCATGTACCAACTCAGCAATGACTAGATGGCGCGCAATCCGACCTGAACTGGACATCAGCGGAAATCTACCGCAAAGGAAAGACAAAAGGACAAGACTTCCTCGATATCCAATTCACAGCCAAAGAGGGCGACTTTCACTGGGTGATCTTCGAAGACCTGGTCGGCGCGTACCAGTACTTTGTCAACCACGCCCTACCCACGCTGGGTGAGTTCCGGACGTTGTGGCGCTTAGACAACACAAGCTTCCCCAACGGACGGACGAATATCAAGGACGGCGCCCTTCCTACGTTGGCGGAGATCGCGAGCGGCACCAAGGTCCAGGACGAGACGTGGCAGCTGGCAGACGGGTCCTACATAACCAAGTATGACTGGACCGCGTGGATCCGCGATCAGGACTACTACGGGGTGTATGGCGACGAGTTTGGCTCGTGGTACATCAATCCCGGCAAGGACTACTACAACGGGAACCATCTCAAGCAGGAACTCATGGTGCACCGGGAGAGCTCGACCGGCGATGCGGTGCAGCTGAACATGGTCCACGGCACTCACTTTATGGTCTCTTCCAACGATGTCTTTCCTGACGGCAAAGTCTGGGGACCGTGGCTGTGGTACTTGGTATGTTTTGTCCTCAGTTTCTCAGATGATGTACTAACGGCAACAGAACGACGGATCCAAAACCGACGCAGCCGCCCGCGCAGCCGAGGAGTTCAAAGCATGGCCCTACAAATGGTTCGAGGATGAAGCCTACCAGTCTCGTGGCTCCGTTTCCGGCCGCCTGGTTCTCTCCGACGGCCGACCAGCCGCCGGCGCATCGGTCTTCCTGGGCGACAATCACCCGAACAAGACGGCACTGGACATGGGCACAACCTACTACTACACCGGTCAGACGGATGACAAGGGTCGGTTCACCTTTGAGGACGTGCGCACCGGCGACTACGGGCTGCAAGCATGGTCTAACGGCGGCCAGCTCGCCGACGTGGCCACCTCCTTCCTGCAGAGCGACGTGACAGTGCGAGAGTCGCACACGGCCAAGCTAGGCACACTGAAATGGGAAGTCCCCTCGCGCACGAGAATCTTCCAGGTCGGCGACTTTGACCGCAAGTCGCTGGGGTTCCAGTATGGCGGCGCTCCGTACGAGCACGCAGTCGTCGCCAAATGCCCTGCGAATCTGACCTACACTGTTGGTCAGAGCAAGACCGCGGACTGGTGCTTCGGACAGGCTGCGTTGGGAACATGGTCGATCCGGTTCGAGGCGGCCAAGAGCTCGGCTGCGCTCCTGACTGTCTCTCTGGCTGGGTACTCGTCGGGAACCGCCTCGTCGATTCTCCTGAATGGCGATGCGGCCAGTCCGATCGGGAATCTGACCACCCTCCCGAACGACCCCTGTCTGTATCGGTCGGCGACGACCGCTGGCGAGTGGCGGTTGTTCCAATTTGAGATTCCCGAAGGGAAGCTGCAGCCTGGCTGGAACTCGATTGACTTTGCTGTGGGCAAGGCCAGCAGGTGGCATGGCTTTATGTGGGATAGCATCATCCTGGAGTATTTGTAGACGTCAGTCATAGAGGCACACTTGGCAAATTCTATATTCTGCCCTATTCATTCCGAGAAGTAGAATTGGTTTCCAGCTTGGCAACAGATCAGCCAAGCTCCTTTCGGAGGATAAGATAAACTAGCCAAGACAAACGAGCATCCGAGGCCAGCATGTGCGAGTTGCGACAGTCCATGATTCGACGGACGAACAGGAACAATGCGACTCAATCAAAAGGGGCAATACGTGAGGACAACTAAAGTGAGACATCCACAGACTATGGAAATCAGGGTTCTCTGTATGGAAAACATTCAGCGCTAGACCCAGTGGACCCTGAGAATTGGCCGCTTAGTGACTCGTAGTTTAATGAGAACCTCTTGGCAACTATCCAAGCTCAACGCATCATTTGGCTCAATGATCTGCTGTTGATCCTTCTGTCGCTCAGTTGTTTAGATACTGAAAAGCGGAAAGTGAGAGTCAATCTATTGTGGATTCTATATCACTATGATTATAGGTAAGATGCAATGTGCCCCTCTAAAGATGGCTGGATATGGGCTGATTTAATGGCTCAATCACTCAATTGTCATCGCTAAAAAAGCCACCAGTTCATGCCGAGCCAGCGGACTCTGCTCTAGCTCATCGCTTCGCAGTCGGCGCCGAGTCACCCGCAGTTTGTTGACAGAATGTAACCTGAGCTGGTCATAAGTACGAGCAGTGCCCCTGGTTGTTCGTCCCCAACCTGGCGTCGTCGATACGGACGCAGGTCCATGTAGTCACTGTCCTTCAGTTCACCCAAGTCACTCTTTCAGTTACCTGTCGGCCTTTGAGATGTATTCTCTCCTTCCACTCCTTTTGGCGATTGGCGTTGTGCCAGTGTGGAGTTTCAGCCTGGATACCCCCACCAAGTACTGGAACTACACCACGGCCAGCCTGTCCAGCACCACCTCGCAAGAATGTAAGGACGCCTACAGCGCCAATATCGACTGCGACGACTTTCTGCTCGCATTGGCCGTGTCCAAGGAAGGCCGGTGGTGGCTACCCGAATACGACTCGGCCATGTTTGACCGCACCTGCACGGCCACCTGCCAGTCGTCTTTGTCGGCTTATGTCACGAATGTCGAGAAGACGTGCAACAAGGCCAGCGACGCAGCATTCAAGACTAATGACTTGGATAACCTCGAGGACAAGGTGTTTGTGCCAGTTGTGACGCTGGGACATATCTTGCAATATGCCCTGATGAGATCCTGCGCGAAAGATGAGTACGTAGCTGATGCTCCAACGAAGGGACGAACACTGACATGTTTGTTGCATTAGTGACGGAACATACTGCTATATCGGCCAGAGCAGCACTTACTATGACGACGGCGGCTGCGACTGGACGTGCGCGCTGGCCTATTTCTGGGTTTGTCACGAATATCCGTATGACAACTACCAGTTTGGTATTCATATGAAGGGCATGACCGAGGATGGTCAGCGCGTCCAGTTGATTTCTAGCAGCGTGCTCTTCGACGATTGGCAGAATTCGACGTATGGTTGGGCGACGGTCGAGAAGTGCGGATGGACCAAAAACGATACACTGCCATTGTACAATATGGGCATGTCGAAGAAAGTAGTTGAGAAACAGTCGACAGCGAACTCGACGGCAATGTCGACGGCGACATCGACTGCGACGATCGCTGCTGCGTCAAGTACGGTGAAGACTGCTGCACTCCACGCTGTCAGCACTGACTCTGGAACGGGATCAATCCGGATGCATATCGACACGTGGATGGCAGTGTTGATACTTGCTATGGGGATAGTGGTCCTTTAATGGACAGTTGGTAGTCCGAAGATATGGTACTAAATCCTAGTGGAAGAGAGGAACCGATCCGTTTTGACCTACTCTTTAATCTATATGCTCTAGCACTTGGCATTCACTTCAGATTCCCTTCATATCAATGTCTCAGCCCAGCCGAGGCTATTCCAAAGATTTAACACCACGGTACCAAACTGCTTTTGCGGTTGATGATTGGCCTGTCAAGTCTGGTTCGGTTGCTGCATTCTGATTGGCTCCTTACAATCGGAAATCAACAGAGTTTTTCCATGCGGCATTAAAAGTCATTGTCCTCTGCGAGATAACTTTGACTATCCAGTCCTAGTCCTATTCCCAGTCTTTTAGTCTCAGTCCTAGAGCCGTACTGTGGTAGATAACTGTTTGCAACTTGGTTCATGATTCCTCCAGACTCAAACTAAAACACCCGGGTCAACTCTATTCCAGAACAGGCAAAATCGTCCAGTGACTCCTATCCCGTATTACATGGCTTGACAGATAGACTATGTCTCGAAGGTTATTATTCCGTACTCAAATCTTTCCTTGAATAGGTAATCCTATTCCTATCTACTCCGTATACTCGGTACACTCAAGCCAAATGCAAGCAAGCAACCATGCAACTCGGATATCTCCAGGCGGACTGTCACGGTGGATCTCCAAGCCCCCGTCTGGTGGGACTCGAGCCATTCACGCAGCAAATGGCCTTGAGGCAATTAAACGAGCTTGTTCCACCGTCGTCATTCATGCCGTGTCGGGCTGTATCTGCTCCAATCATCCGCTTCTTTCCTCGTGGCTGTCTCTGAGTCCAAGCCCCTCACAAACCTTGCTTTGTCGAATCATGCCCCGCTGTATCCTTGCTTAGGCCATTAATTATTCTCTTTTTGTTCTACTGCACCGTTTCTCACGTGGGCAGAGTCTAAATCTTGCTGTTTTGGGCTTCCTCAAAATTTTCCTTCTTATCCTTTAATAACCGTCAGCATCGCCCTCTGTCCATCGCAGCTCTCACGAGACTCCCACTCAAGGCCCAACGCAGTCTACCCAGCCCGGATCATCGTATATTGCTATCTGAGTATGCTTCTCTGACGCATACATCTTTGTGTCCCACGTCGTTCCTTCCAATCGACCTACCTATATCCGTCTTCCCCACGCGACAAGCCCCGGAACCCCTCCCGTCCTCCACCATTTCCTCCACAACCACCACCACCAGCGCCGCCATCATGGAGACTGGCACCGACAAAGGCTCGGCAGACGCCATCCTAGAGCATCTAGGCTATACTCCAGAACTCTCCCGCAACCGTTCAGTCCTGCAGGTCGCCTTTATGTGCTTTATCCTCTCCTCCGTCCCCTACGGTCTCGCTACCACCTTCTTCTACCCACTCGCCGCAGGAGGCCCGTCCAACATCATCTGGGGCTGGATTATCGTCTCCCTCGTTATCCTGTGTGTAGCCATCTCGCTGGCCGAGATCACCTCCGTCTATCCCACTGCCGGTGGCGTCTACTACCAAACCTTTGCCCTATCGCCCCCCTGGTGCCGTCGCGCCGCTGCCTGGATCTGTGGATGGGCCTATGTTCTCGGCAATATCACCATTACCCTGGCTGTAAACTTTGGGACTACCCTGTTCTTTGTCGCCTGTCTCAATGTCTTCGAATCAGCACCCGGTGTCGGGATTGTAGATGACATGCAGACCTATCAGATCTATCTCATCTTCCTCGCCATCACCCTGTTGACCCATGCGATCTCTTCCCTAGGCAACAAATGGCTTCCCATTTTGGAGGTATGTTTTTCTTCGTTGCGACCAGTATTTTGACTCCCCAATGCGACTTCTCATGCGTGGTCTCCTATCTAGACTTCGGCCATTTTCTTAACCCTGATCGGCCTGATTGCCCTGATCATCAGTGTCCTCGTGGTCGCCAAACATGGTCGACACTCTGGTAAGTGGGTATTCACCGACTTTGAGCCCCAGTCCGGCTGGCCCGCCGGCTGGTCTTTCTGTATCGGTTTGTTGCAGGCCGCATACGCCACCTCGGCAACTGGAATGATCATCTCGTGAGTTTTTTTTCCTTTCTCACTTGCTATGATCAGTCCATTAATATTTGATAGTATGTGTGAGGAAGTCCGTGAGCCTGCTATTCAGGTGCCCAAAGCCATGGTGTGGACCATCGTGCTGAACTTCGTGGCCGGATTGGGCTTCTTGCTACCCCTGACCTTTGTCCTGCCCGATATCACGATGCTGGTGAGCCTGGCCTCTGGTCAGCCCACCCCCGTGATCCTGAAAGATGCTCTCGGCAGCTCGACCGGAGCGTTCCTGCTGCTCCTCCCGCTGCTCATTCTCGGCATCATCTGCGGTGTGGGATGTGTGACAGCCGCCTCCCGCTGCACCTGGGCGTTTGCGCGTGACGGCGGTATCCCCGGTTCCAAGTGGTGGAAGATCGTCAACACGAAGTTGGACATGCCTCTCAACGCGATGATCCTGGGAATGACAGTGGAGATTGCGCTCGGTGCCATCTACTTTGGTTCCACCGCCGCGTTCAATGCGTTCTCCGGTGTTGGTGTGATTTTCCTCACGCTCAGCTACGCCTGCCCCATCGCGGTCTCGTTCTTCTTCCGTCGTCGCTCAGATATCGCCACCGCCAAATTCAACCTGGGTATCATCGGCAGTATCTGCAATGTGGTTGCTCTGGGTAAGTTTCCGTGCCGGTCGGAATCTCAATCAACTCCCTACTAACGGTCTACAGCATGGAGTCTTCTGGCTATCCCCCTCTTCTGCATGCCTACGTACAAGGTCGTCACCCTCGAGACCATGAACTACGCCTGTGTCGTCTTCGTCGGGTTCACGGCCATTGCTGCGCTCTGGTACTTGGTCTGGGGTTACCGCAACTACGCCGGTCCCCCCAAGGAGGGTGTCGATGGAGTGGAGGCGGATTTTCCCGATGTGCCCGCAAAGACTGGGTAAGTCGTGGTAGAATTGTATTGTATTGTATATACTGCATTCAGTCTTGTATCAGACACCTGCACAAATTCACAGTTACACACAGCAGTTGAATCTGTTCAATCAACTCTGACAGTGGTTATAGCAGCTCAGAGCCCATCGTCACCGGGAAAGATACCCCGCCAGCTGCGCATTTCTAACGGCTGAAGCTCCTGATATAAGTTCATGTCATGATGTATGTAGTAGTCAGTATTGTAGTTTTCTATATTCCCATTTCACAAGATATATCCCGTATTTCACTTCACGGAGTCTCCTACTCGCTCTTCCACGTCAGACTAAACACCTCATCTCCCCCGCGGGACAACGCCACCTCCACACTCCCATCCTCACTCTTCACACTCTCAGGGATCACCTCCCCCCTCCGCTCCAGCACAATCCGCTCCTTCGCCTCGGGCAACTTGTAGAACCGGCGTCCATACACACTGAGGAAATTCGCCAGTTTCTCCTGGGTAATATCCTCGTTGGCGATGACGCCACGTTCCACGCCCTCCTCCAGAGCCAGAAGCACATACTGCACGACGCAGGGTTGCGTAAAAACGCCCGCAGGCGGTTTGGCCGTTCCCTCGGCGCCGCCTTGCTTGGCGAGACGGGGGTGGGGGGCGCTGTCGCTTCCACTGGATGATATCAGCAACGCTTCGAATCAGGGAAAAGGGTGCATGGGCATACAAGAAGAACTTGGGATCACCGCTGCAGACCGCGCGGAGCAGCGCATCGCGGTCCTTGGAGGTCTTGGGGAGGGGCTTGCAGAAGGCGAGGGGGTTCTCGCAGCTGTGGTGGGTGAGGTAGAGGTGGTGGGCCGTGATGGTTGCTACTCAGTCGTTAGTCGCCTGCATATAACAACCACAAAGCAAGATAAGCATACCCGCAACAGACGAGGAGCAGGAGCGGACAGCCTCCAGGGCCGCCTCGGTGCTGCAGTGCTCGAGGATGATCCGCAGCTTGGGGAACTTCTCATTCAGCATCTTGAGGGTAGGAAGGAACTTTTCCTCCGCGTTCATGTCGGTGATGTCCGAGCCGGGCGAGCCGGGCACCTCGCCGTGCAGGTTGAGGACCATGTCGTGTTTTTCCATCTCCGCGAAGACGGGGAAGAACTCGTCGTAGTCGCGCACGCCGGCTGCGGAGTTGGTCGTGACGCCTGCACTCGTCAACAGCCAGCCAGCTTTAGCCTGGGATGATTGACTTACCCTGGGGATACACCTTGACACCGGTGATACCAGCTGCAGCGGCTTCTCTGATAGTCTCGGGGGTAACGGATTGGTAAAGACCAGTCAGCAAGGCGATCTCTGCAAGGGAGAATCGAGACATATATTCAAATACAGCGACATGAGATAGTTCACGTTCGGCTCAATGGCCTGCAACTGCGCCTTGTACTCCAGCGCCTGGGCGACGCTGGTGACGGGAGGAACCAGATTAGGCTGCTCGCGTCAGCAGCCGCCAACAATAATAGTCACGGCCTCCAGAAGCAAAGACTAACCATAACAAAAACGGTATCGACGCCTCCCTTGCGAATCTGCGGCACAACCAATTCCATCATCTTGCCTTGGCGAAGGTGGACATGCATGTCGGCCGCCGCCGGCAGCTCCAGCCGGGTCGTCTCTTTAAGGATCATCGTGAGGAACGTCGCGGTGTACTTTTCTTTCTGCAATGAGAATGATCCTCGTGTGGCAGAGATGCTCACTGTCAAGCCTGCATGATACTGATCGCAGTCGTCCTGCAAATTCTCCAATAAGCGAGGCTCCCGCACATTGTCACGTGATTTATGCCCCTCGCTGCGGGGCCTCCGCATTGGCTTATGACGGATTATACGGATTCGGCGATATTGTGAAGAACTCTACAGCTTCCGTATAAGACAGATTTTCCAGATCTTTTTTTCCCACTGAAAATGGCGGAAAGCTTCTCGGTGCTCAGTGTGAACAAAGTGCGAAATCTCGGAGGAGTATCACGTGATATCTCACTAAACTCTCATGGACAAATATTATCAGGGTAGTATGTTGATGATATAATTAAATATAATAAGTCTACTTATGAGTCTAGTCAGAGGCTATTCTCTCTATACTAATGGAGTAGGCTGTATCTAAAGTAAGGAAGGATCTTTTAGGGAAGTATATAAGACCCAAACACTAGGAAGATATAGCTTAAACTAAGTATAGTAATTAAGTCAGTAAATATACGCTATTTTACTACTTCTTACTTAATCCTTAGGCCTCCTATTCTTCTCTATTAAGAATGGCGTAAACGCACTTAAATCTTATGGGTAGAGCTTGTGATATTTATTTTAGTAAGACCTATAGCCTGCATTTACCACTAGTGCATCCATATCACATTATGACATGATGGAATAGGTTATATTAAAGATTCATGTAGGCTAGCGGCTAAATACCACTGTCTTGTTTGCGGGTTGGAAGTTTTACATGTTTACGATATCCTGAAAAAGAGCAAATGCCTGAGGGAGCTATAGCCTTAGGTTTAGATATGGTATCAATTAAAATCCAATTCCACTAGTTAAAAGGCGCCCAGACGATGTACACCTAGTCTAGGGATTACATACACATCACAGTAGTAGCGGTATTGGCTGTAGCATCGGCTGAGAGAGAGGAAGTCTTTGTAAGGACACGTAAATTTTGAGGGAAGTTCTCTCGTGGTGATGACCTTTCTAGATATTGCGAATAGTAACACAAGACTTCTCCAAACGCATCAGCGACTCTGCCGTATCGGGCAGCTTACACTTCTTAATACTCTTGTCTCATCGAGGCTACGGGATCCATCCGCATGCCAGTGAGTCTGAAGAGGACATAATGATCGACGAGTTTGTTGCAAGGCAATGGCGCGCTTCCCGTGTAGGAAGATGTTTTCGCAGGGGTGGGTTCCATGTAGCCATGTCTTCATGTATCCGGCAACTTGGGCTTCTCAAGAATATGCTAGTCCGGTTCACGGGAGCCGCTCTTATCCCAATATGCAGACCTATTCCCCGTGAAGGGTAAGTTATCTGCATATGTGATAGACTAGAAGTCTTAATATTAGCTTTCCGTCGTAGACTTGAGAAGTATACTAACCATTTCATCCATAATGTTTCCCTCCACACTGCTCTTGTCATGGCCTCTTTTGGTTTTCGTCCATTTGGACTCAATGACACAACTTGTGTAGAGGAAATCTCACATCATTCAAATGGGCTTTTCGGCTACAGCTCCCCTTGCTGATTGTATTAGTGAATTCGTCGATTGCAAGCTCATCGGTGGTATTACTGCGATACAAACACGTATGCACAGTGGTACGGGACAAGATATATTTATATTGCGGCGGAATTTACCTGTGTGTGATCGGCAGTGGTGGATGATATCTTGACAATTTGAGATATTCAAAACTGAAAATTCATCGAACACCGCTAGAAGATCGTGGAGATGATGGTGGAATTATTGATAAATAACATGATGAATTTCAATATCGAAGGTTGCTCACATCATTTCATTCTCTGACGATACCGTCCAGAGAGACAGGCCTGGTGTGTCTGACATCGCAAATTCGCCTCTGCTGTACTACGGTAACATGTCAAGACGTCTTCACTGCCACGATTACCTGGATAATTCCGGTCACAGACTGAATAAGGCCAAAGACAAGTGCTAGGGCTAACGCTGTGATTGCAATCCAAAAAGTGTATCGCTGGTTTGGGCGTCTCCTATCCAGTGCCCATTGCTTGAGTGATGTTGGCTCTGTTCTGTCGTACTCTTCGATGATTGCGAGAAGCCTGAGCCGCCAATAATCGTATGATTCCAGATCCCGAGTCACTGCAGACGAGTTACCTGCCTCAAGATCTAGGCTGTCCTCTTCACGAGCTTTCCGAATCCATTTACGGCACTCAATATTCGTTGAAGGTAACATAAGGGCGATTGTCCGCTCCGTTTCATCGAGGAAACCCGAGGGGTAAATTCCACTAAATATGACTATCGTGTCAGAGTAAAGGCCGCAAGTGGACAATTTGATCTTACCTTTCTAGGGAGCATTTGTAGTTCCGTAAGAAAGATGTCAGATGGAATATTCGTAGCTCTTTTTGTCCATGGTTCATTAACAATGATAGATGGTCCTGTATGTTATCTGTCCACACAATATGAAAGCCGCCAATGCGCTCCAGCGTATATGCATTGATCGTCATAGGAAATATTGCGTCGGATGTAGCCTTGTCACCTCGCGGGAAGCTGTCATGAATAAATTCCTCCAGAGTTTTGTTGTTGTTCCACTCGTCAGGTGTGAGCATTAACCATATCCTTGTAGCCAGTTCAATCATTTTCTCTGCTGAATTTGGCACAGGTCCAAGCAAAGTACCATGGCCTTTTGTGAACTCCTTATAAAGAAGCTCACGACGAAGGGTCGTATTGTCCTTGATAAACTGTACAAGTTGTATTATATCTTCATGTTTTTGTAAATTCAGGTTGTAAGCCTCGATCAGATTCAGTTGGCTGAAGTAGTGGTCCAAAAGGGCGTCAGCCGACGCAGAATCACTTTTTGCGGGCATAAAGTCCCACAAAGCTTTGAAGAGAGGAGCCTTGAGCATTGTCCACTCGTGGTCGGAAAGGGGTCTTTTGAGTTCCCACACGAGAGGATCCATAGTCAAGAAGCATATATATCTGCTGTAGCCGAGGTATCAACGTTGTAGGATAAGGGATGGAATCAGGAAGATTATATCGGTTTCTGTCTCAATTGACGCTGTGAGGCTGTGGTAAAGTGTCAGCCTCGCTGACCGAAATAAGCAAACGTGCGGGACCTGATCTTTGATTTGTTGATCAGTCGATTCAGCCCAGGCACGTCCACATACACAAGCTGGCTACCCCGCTCGTTGTTCGCTTTCTTAAGGCTCCGTTGTGTTTGGGATATTCTGTTCGCAACGGGCGCCCATATTGAGACTACTGAGATTAATATCTATGTCCGTGGTGAAATGGCCCCGACAAGGACGCAAATACATACATCACTCAACTTTCCCCCCCTCCACCAGCGGAACCCGTCAATGACATTCTGGGACGACCTTACAGAGGATGAAAAGAGGTCATCCGTGGACCGGACATGCCCTCGAGAATTTCGAGATGGCTCTGCCTGGGAGGCAGCGGGCCGAGTAAAGGAAAAATGGGATGAGGATGTATATCCAAATCTCAAAGCCTTCTTAAATGAGAAGCACAAGGATTTGAATCCTACGAGCCGCAAGATGGCCATCTATAGTATTGTTTGTTGGATGGTCGGAAAAGAATGGCACCTCTCTCACCCTGCGACAGTATTCGTGTGTGGAACCAAGAAGGTTGCAAAGAGGGCTTTAAAGCAGATAGAGTGCTTTCTCAAACTGGGGAACTCAGGCTTTCGTGCGTATACCCACATTGCGACAATCTCTTTGAATTGTGGTGCATCTGGTAACGGCCCATCTGGTAAGATTGGCCTTTGTGGGACTTTGGTGAATGTTGGCAATTTCTATGAAGCCTTCGAAAGGCAAACCACCGTTGGTGGAGTTGTCCATATTGATGGATATTATTACTGCATGACAGCCGCCCATCCCTTTCTTAGCGTGGACGATGATTGCGATGACTGTGACGACGATAGCGACGTTGGTAATGAAAGCTTTGGTGAAGATTCTGAAGTCGGAGACAACAACACTATTGAAAACAAAAATTTGACGGCGGATCATATCTATCGAGACTGCCTACACTCATTTTTAGGAGCTATCCCGCTTGATGACGACGCGTCGCACAGGAAGTCGTTCCTGTCCGAAAGGTTTGACTGGGCTTTGCTTAAAGTTTCCGATGAGTGTGAACCAGGACTCAACAAGATCAATGTTCCCGGTGGGATATTAATTCCCTGGAAGATTTCGGCTACGCCCCCTAAGACCCCACTATGGGCAGCAACTGGAACTCACCAAGCGGTGGAGATCCAATCCACTCCAACGCTTTCTGGCATCTGCTTGGACAATTCGGGTATTCTAGATGTTTGGAGCCTAAATATGATGTCCTGTAAGTCGTTTCCCAAGACCACTCTGAGGACGGCGATTGAGACAATTAGACCCCGGAGATTCAGGTTCATGGGTCGTTGATCCTCATGACGATTCAATCGTTGCAATTGTTATAGCCAGGTGCGAAGCTCTGAATGCCACATACGCCCTGTCAGCTCGTGATGTTTTCAATGATATTGCTCGCAATATTGGACAAACAATAGATTTGACGGTGGCGGACAACGGAAGCCTTCTAACGCTGGCTGCGAAGCAAGGAAAGGCTGACCTAGTGGAGGAAATCCTCGGGCAGGCTATTTATCTTGACTCTAGAAACGAAATGGAGTGGAGCGCAATTTATGATAATGCCCTGTTGGAAGCTTCTGCAGAAGGGCATGAGAGGACCGTCCAGTTACTGCTGGACCACGGAGCGGATGTCGATGCTCAGGGTGGATCTGCCCTGCTGGCAGCTTCAAAAGAAGGGCATTGCAGGACTGTCCAGTTACTGCTGGGGTATGGAGCTGATATCAATACTCAGAGTGGATCTGCCCTGCTGGAAGCTTCAAAAGAAGGACATTACAGGACCGTCCAGCTACTGCTGGACCACGGAGCTGATGTGAATTCTCAGAGTGAATCTGCCCTGCTGGCAGCTTCAAAAGAAGGGCATTACAGGATCGTCCAGCTACTGCTGGACCACGGAGCTGATGCAAATACTCAGGGTGGATCTGCCCTGCTAGCCGCTTTGAAAGAAGGGCATTATGAGATTGTCCAGCTACTGTTGGACCACGGGGCTGATGCAAATGCTCAGAGTGGATCTGCCCTACTGAATAGACCAGCGGACTTGGCTCCCGCGCTCAATACTGAGGCGCATCAAAGCACCATTCGTCATCACGCGATATATGCTCCTATGCCTGGGATAGGTTCAGATCATGCATATCCTATGGGGTATCAAAGTGCTAGTGATTACCACGCACTATTTACTCCTATATCTGAAATAGGTTCAGATCACGCATATGCTGAGGCGCATCAAAGTGCCAGTCATCGTCGCGCACTATATACTCCTATATCTGGAGTAGGTTCAGATTATGAATATCCTGAGGCGCATCAAAGTGCCAGTCATCATCGCGCACTATATACTCCTATATCTGGAGTAGGTTCAGATCATTCAGGAACACATAGCACATCTGAACCGAGAAGTCCTCTACTCGGAGTAAGTGAACATTCGCACTCCAGATATGACATGTGTCTAAGCAACATGTAGACTCTGCGAAGCCGAAACGCTTACAGTATCAATGAGGAATCACAAGGGATCTCCGGACCCCTTCTTGATCTGCGTATGCAAAATATACAGCCCATGGTCCAGCTTCAACTATCTAATAATCCCTAGGCTACCAAGTGCAGAGATCTCCTGACTCATTCTTTGTCGTGGGGAGGGTAAGGAAAATCGTCCTCTTTTCTGCAAACTCCTTGTGTTCTATGTACACTTTCTAACAACTTATACAGGTCTTTGGAATCCTCTGGCATGAAGACAAGGGACAGCAAAGAACAGTAATTCCAGACAATATCAGCCAAGGCCGATCCACCCAGAGCCAATCCACCCAAAGCAGGCTTGGTGAGGAGGTCTTCAGCAGTATCCAGCACATGGTGGTTGTTAAAGCAATGAGTCAATGTGCCTGGTGTTTGTAAGTTAAACTTATTAAGAAGCTGTCCTCCTAACAGAAGCTAATTATGCTGTTTAGGCCCATCACCACTTATAATGGTAAAGGAGTGGCTAAACCTGGTGTTAACCCAGCAGAACATGCCATTGTATATATGCAGGGTTCTGTGCCTACCTGCAAAGCTGATGAGCCACGAATGACTAAGGAACCCTTGGAAGTCGAACCAGCAAGACCTAATGAGAGACTTGATGAGATGTCTCGTCTGAATTTTGGCAAGGTCTACAGGGTTGAGCATAATGCCAAAGTGCGCCATGTCGGGATGATCTCCTGGACCTCAATGGTCAAATTCAGAGGCTATGTAAGTAATGCATTCAGACTCGACATTTGAAGCAGCTTCAAGACATAACCTAAGTACAATAATATCCCACGGCCAAGATGGATTGTGTTTGGTGCGCAGGTGGAGACTGCCCCTATCCCCTATGTCCAACTTTCAGTTCCTTCTGAGCGAAATTGTTGAAATGCGATCTCTATGAGACTTTCGTACTATCTGTTATATGGTCTTATCGGGAATATTTATTGCTATGGCCTTTTGACCAGCTCAAGAGGCTCGTTTGCCTTTGGCTTTCTTGGAACGCTTATGCATCCATATCACAAATGTTAAGGTCCATGTAGGCTGGCAGGGCGATGCCCACTGTCTGGTTTGCAGTTCAGAATTTTTAAATGCCTATGATATTTTGAAAATAATATGTAGTTATTAAACAAGTCTTATGTATAAATGCCAATGCATCTATTGAAATGCCGCACAGCTAGCTAAAAAGGGGTCCGGAAGACATACTCTAATCTAGGGATGACATATCACTGTTATGGTGATATATGTTGTGGCATTGTCAGACTGGCTACACGCCCCCATGGGACTATGTGCAGTTTCTGATCATTGTATATATATCAGTCATAGTTCCAAAGTAAGGCTGGAAAAGATAAATCTCACTGCTTTATAGATTTAAAGTGCTGCTACTTCCGTGGAGTGAAACCCCCCACTTAGCTCTTTGAGAGGCGGGAAAGTGGTTTCTCAGCCAGTTGAGCGGCCAGAGGGCCAGTCTGCGAAGCCTGAGTGACAGTGGGCCCCGTTGGGGACAGGACCCTCGCCTGCTCGATCAAGCCCATTTCATCTCCCAGTGGAGATACTGTATGTCTTCAAAAATTCACCTTATCGGGTAACTCGTACTTTTAACAGTGAGGTCAGCAGTTCAAATCTGCTTGTGAGCACCGGTGATAATAGTGAGATGACTAGTGGTCAGATATGATCAATGGAATGAATTGTATAGACTAAGAAGGGAAATTAAATGATGTGTTTATCACCATTTGATTTGATTCAGCTACAATAGCCAATCAACTAAGTATAAATATGCTTCTGTTATATGAAAAAGTACCTTAGATTTTCCGTGGCGGAAGTGAATGGTACATACTTGTTCCAATTGCAGCCAAGTGTCAGGGAATAAGAGGAGTATCTTAGGCCTTTTCTGAGATGTTCATATTTGCTCCATTCATCCCTTTCTCAAAAACACCCCTAATCAACAGGATCCATGCCTTTGCAACCACGCGGGTCCCTATGGGCGACAGGACCACCGCCTGCTCGACCACATAGGTGATTAAGTCCCATATGGTCTTGTTGTTGCCAGCCTAATGCAGCTCACTACTAAGGTAAGTCTACATAACATTAGTAAAGAAATAGGAATAGTTTCTAGCATACAATGCGCATACAGTACCATTGACATCCACACAGAGGAAAAGAAATTATAGCCGTCATATCATCATTAAAGACGACCTTCTCTGGACGCCTCCTCAATCATGCTGGCCTCACTGGCTGCAAGAGTTGCAAGACTTGCCTAGTTAACTGCTGGGTTGGTGGCTGTGTGTAAGCAGACCGGAGGTTGACTGCTGAAGGGGGTCCCTAGCCGGCGAGAGGTCGTTAGATAGGCTGCAAGTCACTGATATAATTAATTTGGTGTAGGTGTTATGCTCGCAGATAACAGTCTCCAATGTCGATCTTTAACTGCATGAAATGATTTTGCGCATTGATACCTACCATGTCTAGGATCCATTGGTGCGGAACCAAGGTCCGAAGTGGTCTACAAGGCTTCATCAACTCTCCTCAATTCGTCGCATCTAGAGACGTTCGAAGAGCATGGAGAAGTCTCCTTCACGCTGCAAGAAGTCCTGCCATGACTGCTCGAACGCCAAAAACGTTGTCCCAACGCATTCCGCCTCTGCATGTCACTTTACAGGCTGTGTGATCCTCTACTGATCCCATAGTGATGTGAGTGCCTGACGTCAGGATGCAACTGTCTCTCCATCGAACCATATCCTACGTCCAAGGGCAACGTTTGATCTCCCTTCTCATGTCAGCACCTACTAGCTGGGGTCGTCGATCCCAGTAGAACAAAACGCTAGACACCTGAAACAACCTCTGTTCACATTGCATCGACCAGAATGAAGATAGCAATCACAGGAGCCCGTGGAAGCGTAGGACGCGTCGCCGTCAAGGTGTGCGCGGATGCAGGACACGCCACTGTGCAAGTGAACCGAACCGAGCAGGTCCCCACCGGCGACATCCCCAATGCCGAGATGCGCACGGCGGATGTGGCCATGAACTACCAGCAGACCGTCGAGGCCTTCCGCGGCTGCGACGCAGTCATCCATCTGGCCGCAATCCCCAACCCGGTCGGCAAGGACGACTACGTCGTGCATAACAACAACGTCGACTCGGCGTTCAATGGCCTCCGCGCCGCCGCAGACGTCGGAATCAAGCGGTTCTGTTACGCCTCGTCGGTCAACGCTATCGGTCTCGCCTTTTCCAACCGACCGCTACACTTCGACTACTTCCCCATAGACGAAGAAGCACCCCGGCATCCCACGGACTCGTACGCCCTGGCGAAACGCGAAGCGGAGATCCAGGCTCAAGCCTTCGCGGAGTGGTTCCCCGGGATGAAGATCGCCTGTCTACGGATCCACGAGGTATCGCCGCTAGAACGGGTACAAAAGGTGCACGAGAATGACTGGGAGAATGCCGGGGTGAAGCAGCTCTGGGGGTGGGTGAATCCCGTGGCGACCGCACGGGCGTGCTTGCTCGCCGTGGAGAAGTGTGATAACTGGGAGGGGTGCGAGATTTTCAATATTGTTGCGCCGACAACTACGCAGGATATACCGTCCGAGAAGCTGGCGCGAAAGTACTTTCCTGACGCAGAGATTCGGGCTGATATGTCGGGTAATCAGGGGTTCTGGACGACGGATAAGGCAAAGCGATTGATGGGATGGGAGCATTATGAGACAGAGTAGATCAATCCATAGGCGCAGACATTACCGTGGATGATCCTGAGACATTGATAGTCTTCCTGACGTAGATTGAAGCAGTCCAGTAGTGTCCTAAGGGACCAGAGTCTTCTCCCACCATAATAGATTAGTAGAAGCTGTAGAGAAATCGTCGGCTATCGGAAAAGATATCAACAAAATAGACATCCTCTGGGATTTGGGCATTAAATTATGCAAAGTCTCTCTTAGTCAGTTGTGAAATAGTAGTAATGGCCGACGCTTCTTCGGCTAATAAACGGCACTAACTAGACTAGCAACAAACACGCCTTGTCTTATCCCTGGACGCCTGTCGTCGGTGGCGTCTTTAGCTGCCGGCCGTGAATTGCAGCCATCCCGACCGACTTGCGGATCATCCCGATGCTGCTGGCTGCCGAGATGTCAGTTATACTCCGTCTTCAGTCGAAAGGTCAAAGTCTGCGTGATGAAAGCAATTGGAAAGCATAAAGTATCAAAGGACAATGGTGGGCAAGAGGCATCTTGCCCCGGATAAAAGCCTTTGGTACTATGATACTATGACATAACTTCTGGGTTAGTTGATGCCGTGACGCATCCTCAATTTCCTTCAACAGGACTCGAGTTTATGTTACATGAGTTGAAGGGGCTCTGAAAGACAGCTTTTAGTCGGTTAAATTCGTCGAACCGACGGATAAAGAGGGAAAACCCCGTCGTAGAAAAAACCGAGTGGATGGCCCCAGATACAAGACTCCACCGGTGACGCACTTCGGCCTCACTTTCTCCCTCTCCACAGAGCCGATGATTTGTCCGTTCGGTTCTCTCCAAGTCTCCAGGCCATATCCCCGGACTCTCGCATTCCCGGCTTTCTCACGGATTGGCTGATCGTTACTTCTTGCGGGATGTCTTACTCGGCTGTTCTGCGATTCTGGCACCATCCCCGGACTATAGGTGGAACCCGGCCTGGGGATGCCGTCGTCAGGGCCGGACACGCGTCATATATAAAGTGCCAGTGCACTCGACCGATGTCACTTCGACGGCTTCTCCAGGTCAGTGCGCACTCACGTCTGGCACGATGTATCGGATTTCCAACATATACGGTACGCCCGTGAACCCATCAATCACGCTCAATAACTGACGGATGATAGTCCTGGCCGCCTTTGGCACCATCGGTGGTGCTCTATTCGGGTTCGACGTCAGGTAGGTCTCAAGATATGCTGTCTTATTTGCCCTGCGTTGGCATTAGCTGATCTCAATAGCTCCATGAGCGCGTGGATAGGCACACACCAGTACCTCGACTACTTTAACTCTCCCGACTCGAACCTGCAAGGAGGCGTATGTCAAGCTCTGCCCGCTCCAAGGCCAAACTGACAGACCCGAGCGATAGATCACTGCCTCCATGTCCGCTGGATCCTTCGCCGGTGCAATTGCAGCTGGTTTCATCTCAGATCGCATTGGACGTCGCCTATCCCTCCTTGTAGCCTCGCTCGTCTGGATCATCGGGGCTGTCATCCAATGTAGCGCACAGAATGTGGCACACCTAGTCGCCGGTCGTGTCATTAGTGGTCTTTCAGGTATTCACCCCGGATCTCATCAAATATGACTCGACATAAGCTAACCGGACCAAGTGGGCATCACCTCGTCGCAGGTTTGCGTCTATCTCGCTGAGCTGGCTCCCGCCCGTATCCGTGGCCGAATCGTCGGCATCCAGCAGTGGGCCATCGAATGGGGTATACTGATTATGTACCTGGTCTCCTACGGTTGCTCCGAGGGCGTGCAATCTCCTGCTGCGTTCCGCATTGCCTGGGGTATCCAAGCCGTTCCCGGTCTCATCCTGGCGGTTGCCTTGCTCTTCTTTCCGGAGTCGCCCCGCTGGCTGGCCAGCAAGGAGCGCTGGGAGGAAAGCCTTGATACGCTGGCATTGCTACATGGGCACGGCGACCGCAACCATCCCGAGGTGCAGGTCGAATGGGAGGAAGTCCAGGAAGCCGTGCGGATCGCACGGGAGGCTAAAGATGTTTCCTTCTTTGCGCTGTTCGGTCCCCGGGTTTGGAAGCGGACGATGTGCGGTGTCAGCGTCCAGGTGTGGCAGCAGCTTCTTGGTGGAAATGTAGCCATGTATTATGTGGTCTATATCTTCCAGATGGCTAATATGGTATTTTTCCTTGCTTGTGCTCGGTGATATAGAGGAGAGATTGACTGACAGACTTAGCCCGGTGACACTGTCCTCTATTCGTCGGCCATCCAGTATGTCATTTTCCTCGTCACGACTGGCATCATTCTGCCATACATTGACCGTATCGGCCGTCGACTGCTGCTCCTCTCCGGGTCGATCATCTGCATGGCCCTGCATTACGCCATTGCCGGTATCATGGCCACCTACGGCAACCCAGTCGACGAGATCGACGGCAACAAGAACCTGCGCTGGGAGATCAAGGGCGCGGCCGGAAAGGGCGTCATTGCCTGTTCGTATATCTTTGTTGGCATATATGGTCTGACCTGGGTGAGTTTCTTCCCACTTTTTGAAACTGGATCACACTAACAGAAGCGCCTAGGCCCCTGCCGCCTGGATCTACGCCTCCGAAGTCTTCCCCCTCAAATATCGAGCCAAGGGCGTCGGTCTCTCCGCAGCCGGCAACTGGATCTTCAACTTTGCACTGGCCTATTTCGTTGCGCCCGCCTTCACCAACATCAAGTGGAAGACGTACATCATCTTCGGTGTTTTCTGCACGGTCATGACCTTCCATGTGTTCTTCATGTACCCTGAGACAGCGCGGCGATCCCTGGAAGAGATTGATATGATGTTTGATTCGAATGTCAAGGCGTGGCAGTCGCACAAGGTTCAAGACAAGTTTGGCGAGGAGATTGAAAAGCATCGCCAGCAGAGTGTGGCCGAGGCTGAGAAGCCTGTGGATTCTGTGCATGCTGAGGTGGTTTAACTCTATGCTGGGAGACTTCTTGTGTCTGGCGCTTTCTACTTACGATACCAAATGAAGGCATGCTAATAGCCACTGGAGAGAAGGTAGTAGGCTAGACTGGGCCTGGTCCTCGAATAATGAGAGGTTCACTTTATTGACTAGAGAGATAATATTGAATATTATGCCCATATCACGCCCACCTCCACGTCTTTCCCACTCCACAAATGATATTCACTCGAACGCCTAGGCACACCACGCCGTCTTGCAAACAGATTACAGGACCTTTCCGCTAGATATCATCAAATTCAACAACTTTCTCAGACGGAGCATGAGGCTGATGCAAGTGACAGTGATGGCCTAACCATGCTGCATATGCATATGGTAATAGACGGCCGGGTTCAGGCAACTGATTGAGGAGCTGACATTGTTCTTGATGTGATGAGAGACGCAGCTTTTCATCAAGTAGCGCATGATTCTCTGGCCACAAACTCACAATAATAAGATTAAGGAGTCAGTCATAGTTACATGCTGGATAAGAGTACCCGACAGGCGGATGAGTACCCTGCAGAAAACTAGTATGATACATCGACTGAATGCAGGAGGTGTCACAAACAGACGAGCAGCTGCTGCGAGGGGATGCAGCCATGCATTCTGATTAGGCACTCTTGAATTGCTTTGTCTTGTATAGGTCAAAGACATGGTAAGCGAGTCAGCTTTAGTTTTATAGAGATCCAAATGAAGTGACAAGAAAAGCGCCGTGGCGGAGATTTTGTTTCAGCTCCAGAAATTGTCCGATGTTAGCGCTGACGTTCGGCCCAATCCATGGCGGCTGATGAAGCCACAGCTCTTTTGATCTAGAATTGACTTTCAGATTCAGATCCTCAAAATCATCGAATCTATGAATCTTCGAGTATATAGGGACGATGCTGGCCCCGAATGATGAAGGATTCAACACCCCAGCTTCTGGCAAGCGTCCTCTTTTTTTAAGTTCTCAGTCATTCCTTTGTACTAGCTTCAGACATTCCTTTATTTATCTTCAACAGTCATGTTCCTGGAGAACTATTCTCGTTTTTTGGTGGGCTTGATGGGATGCATGGCCATCGTCCAGCAAGGATACAGCTCATGCATTCCTTCCTATCGTCCCCAGGGGGATCGTGCCTCGGCTGGCATTCGTACTGCAACACCCACTGCTCCTGCTACGGCGGCCTCTAGCACCAGCGCGTCGAAAGGAAACATCATGATCCCATGGTACACGTACCCAGCCGGAGGAGCCTGGACATCCATGGAACAATTGTACGTTCTTTCGGTCGTGTCAGAGCCAAACTCTAACCTGTCATCAATAGGATCAGCTCCAACCCTGACGTGCAGTTTACTATCATCATCAATCCTGACAACGGTTCCGGCTCTACCGCCCTGCCGGACGAGAACTTCCTGGCCGCAGTTCCCAAACTCACAGCCTACAGCAACGCGCTGGTGATTGGATACGTTCGTACTGGCAAAGGAACCCGCGATATTTCGGAGGTCAAAAAGGAAATCGACACCTATGAGGGATGGCCATCCGCCAGCGGAAACCCCTCATTCGCAGTGCACGGCATCTTCCTGGACGAGGCACCCTCGGAGTATGATGCCGTGGCAGTCGAGTATTACCAGGAGCTGGCCTCTCTCGTCCAAGGAAGCAAGGGACTTGGTCCGAAGAACCATGTAAGCAGTGCCGACAGTCATGAGTCCGATATGCTAACCACTGTATAGATCGTGATGAATCCCGGAACTGTTCCTGATGCCGCCTACCTCGGGATCCCTGACACTACCGTCATCTTTGAGTCGCCGTACAGCGAGTTTGTACGAGCCCTTTCATCCAGTCAGTTTCAGGGAATCAAGGGCCAGGACGTCAGCCGCTTTGCGTCCATGGTCTACGATGTTCCTGCCGACGTGGATCTTTCGACCTTGCTGTCTCAACTGCGTGCCATTTCCAGCCAGACCTACCTCAGCAATTTAAACACCTACCAGGCTTTCGATTCAGTCTGGACCAAGGTGGTCTCTCTATTGTCTGCCTAAGGTTACGGTCCTGGAACTCTCTTCTTGACATGCCCTGGCGCTTTTCGTTGACCCATTGCTCTTGCGGCTGTCTGATTGTTGCCACTTTCTTCTTTGAGACTTCACCGGGATGGTTCGTATGATGTCATGAATGAAATGATTTTGCCCTATGTCCCCCAACATGAAATGAAAAGATTATGGATATACTGAGTTTTGTGACACCCGCAACAGGCGTTCAATAGAATATGATTTAATAGCACTACTGCAGGCACAGGATGTAGCAGCTAAGACAGGAGAAAACCATAGACAAAGACTAGAAGAAATCTATTCGTTCGCTGGATCAATGCATCCCTCACTCCGTGACCGTCTAAATCATAGTGACCGCACGGCCGTCAATCATTGCTTCGCACTGTTCTTGTAGATTGTTCGAATGTGATCAGCCAGCTGGTTCGCTTCGTGTCTCGCCCACGGCATAGCATGGTGATAGTCGACCTCGTACAGCGTCGCCGTTTTCGGATTATAATAGTCTTCAAACTGCTGCCTCCCGAGCATCAAGAACGGATCCTTCAGCCCATGAACATGCAACGTCGGCAGACTAACCCGGTTAAGCGATTCATCCGGCTTCGTGATATCTAACCCGGTAAGCACGGAAAAACAGCAAAAGCAAAGGAAAGGAAGCATACACTCAGCCGCACCCGACTCCATCGGAGCCCCTGCCCCATTACACAGCACCCCGAAAAGCAGCTCGATATGCGTCGGCTTCGGTATCCCCAACGCAGCCCTCCGCTGCTGATCCAGCAATAAGCCGCCTGCCACACGCGAACCCTGACTGAATCCCATCACGCCGACCCACTCCCCGCCCGGCCCCTCATCCTCCATCAGCCTCCACACGCGCTCAACCCCATCGTTGCCGGACGCGTCGTACCCGCTGCCATCGGCCCGTTCCCCGCGCTCATCCTGCGTAAACCACGACTTGAAGGGCGCGTAGTCCGCGAAGACGGGCAGGACGCCTGGTCCCGCGCTGCGCTCGAACGGGCCCTCAAAGAAGACAAGCTGGAAATCGTCCTTGAGGAGATGGGCGAGCTGCTCGCATTGGACCTTGTAGATGGCGGCTGTTGAGCCCCCGCCGTGGAAGCAGGCGATGCGGGGGAGGTTGTTGACTGTCATTTTATCCCTTATCCTCTGTTTTTAGATAGTGGCGTAGTTCCAGTAGCAGCGGTAGTTAAGTTTCTGAAATTACTAGTGATTGAAGTCTGTTGGAATTGAGTGAAGGAGGGGGTAAGCACTAAGCAAGTCCGCCGGCGCTCTAGATGTATTTCGGACTACGCACCGAGGCTTGACTTGTCCTGTGGCTTGGCCTCGGCGCAGAATTGCATGTCCAGATCGATCGCCATTGGGCGCAGACTAATCGTTTGATTTGCGTGACAAGTTCCTTGGCGATATTCTTAACAGGCTGGTGATGCATTCTGCCTAGTATCTAAGCGAGAAATATTGTCACATAACCGGAAATCCTCAGTTTGGGTCGATTTTCGGGAGGCCAATGGTTTATTTATGTCAACGCCCAATTACGCGTAGATGGAAAACTCACCCGGTATGTTCTCAGCACCAGGTGCGTTGTCCTCGACCGAGCCTGTGGATAAGCCATTGAAACCTGTTGTTCGTCTGCCGAGAGCGAGACACGTAGACGATATAACGTGGACAGCCCAATGTTGGGCACCCAATGATATAGTTCCAATGTCAAACTGGGCAAAGGATCCTGCTGTTTGTTCAAAAATAGCTGCACAAGACCGGTTCATGCATAGTTCCGAAATAGTGACTGACGACAGACCGCTCTTTTGACAATCCAGCAAGGATCACCAGTCGCCGTGGAACGTGTTTCTCTCCATCTTCGCTTGTTTATGTAGTTATCGCGAGGAGATAATGCTGGAGAATAGGCCATGTCCTTGTTTCTATTCAACATCTAGATCATAATGCCCTTCCTACCGTTGCTGGTGCTGTTGGCTGGCATTACCTTGCTGATTTCCCGTCGTCGATACAAGGCAATCGGAGACAGAGAAAGTCCTAGAGTGATTGTTGGAGGACATACATATTCTGAAAGTGTCGGAGACGAACAGTCTTCGACGCGCGAGGGAAAGATTGAATCTATTCGCAGTGCCTGTATAATCGGCGCTGGACATGTCGGTTAGTTGCCTCCTGGACCACGCAAGGCCGTGCCTGACGAAATATAGGAGCATTGACGGCCATTGTTCTCGCATCGCAGAATCCCAGTGTTCAATTCCGTGTCGTTGATGACGATCCGCGTCTGATCACCGCGTGGAATTCGGATCGCTTGCCAGTCTGTGAACCTGGTCTGGATGAGCTTGTCTTTGAGAAGGATCACGCCGTGGCATCGGGCAAAACAAAGAAGCAAGTTGATCACCAGCTCGACATACACCAAATAGACCTATGTCAACCGCGAATACGAAGACTGCGAAATATCACATTCTCAACCAACCTCCACGCCGGAATCGCAGCATCGGATACCATCTTCCTCTGTGTGGATTCTCCTCTGGACCACGTAAGCTTCTCCCATCCTCGACCTGCGCAACAATTCAAGCTAATTTCCAGTCATCCGATGACGAGACTCCGGGCCTCGACCTGACCAACCTGAAAACTGCCATCCGGGCCATCGCCCAAGTGTCGTCCGGACACAAGATCATCGTCCACCGGGGGACAGGACCAAGCGGAATCGTCCCCCGAATCAAGAAAATAGTACGTGACCGATTCATTCGACTTGTATCTATAAAGAGCTTACAATTGTACAGCTCAAAAAAACCGCCTCCCCATCCGCCTCTTTCGAAGTTCTTTCCAACCCCGAGTTTCTAGTCCCAGGAACGGCCATCCGCGACCTTCTCTACCCAGTCCGAATTATAATTGGCCACATCTTCTCCGAGGACATGTCGCCGGAAGCACTAACCGCCCTGAAAGGATTGTATTCTTGGGTCCCCGAGGACCGCATCGTCACCATGGACGCCTGGTCCTCGGAACTGGGGAAGGTCGCCGCGAGCGCGATGCTAGCGCAGCAGACAAGCAGCATCCAGTCTCTGCGCGCAATCTGCGAGTCCACGAATGCAAATATCACGCATATCGAGCAGACTGTAGGGGCACTTTCTACGACTGGATATGGGAACGGTGGATGGAGCTTGCTCAGGGACGTCGGGTGTTTGGTTTATTTGGCGCAGGAGCTGGGGTTACCCGAGGTGGCAGAGTACTGGAGGGCAGTGCTGAGGATGGATGCGTATCAGACACGGCGCCTTGCTCAACGCATCAACGACAGTCTACCTGGAGGAACGGAGCGGAGGGATGTCGCCATCCTTGGATTCGCGAGCAAGTGGAATACCATCGAGATCGGGAATACGAGTGCGACGCGGCTGGTGCGGGAACTTACGTCTTCTGGCGTCAAGGTGGACATCTATGATCCGCGTGTGCCAAAAGAGCAGATTGAGAGAGCGCTAGGTCTTGTGAGTGGTCATCTGGATGCTGTCACGATCGTGGAGGACCTGCATGCGGCCTGTTCCGGCTGCGGTGCGGTTGTCCTGCACACCGATTGGGACGAGTTCAAAGAGGATCGGCTAGACTGGGGGGAGGTTGCGGGCGAGATGGAATCTCCGAAAGTGCTATGTGACTCTCATGGGATGCTTGACTGGCAGAGGATGGAGAAGCTGGGGTTTAAAGTGCTTCGACCAGGAGTCAATTGTGATAGCAGACTTTAAGCTGATGTACGACTATGGACGCGCATGTATATCACTCGACTAGCTCCCACTATATTAGACATAATTTCCTTACGCACTGAGCTTAGCAACGAGGCGATCACCCAGACTCTTGATACTCTCCTCAAAGGTCTGAGTGTCGCGAGCAGTCCAGGCAGCACTGGCACCAGGAACAGCATCCTGACCGGTGAAGCCAATGTAGAGGACATCCTCCTCCCCGTGGCCATTGTCACCAGTAATACCATCGTTGGGAAAGCACAGCTTAGCCAGCGAGATGGAAGCCTCCCCGGTCGAGGTTCCACCGTTGGTATCACCCCAGACACCGTAGAACTAACCAGTCAGTTTCATCCGTATCCTTTCAACAAATTAATAGCAACATACCAGCTGGTTATTGCACACCACGGCCATCACACTCAAGGGCTCCATCCCATATTGCTGGGGATCAAAGGTCGGCGAGCTACCCGAGTTACCAAACACTACGTACGGGTGGATGTTCGCATCCAAATCCGAGATGCCGTATTGCTTCACCGTATCCATGAACGCCGTCATGCTCTGGCCAGAGGGGTCATTGGCGCAGTCACCAGCGCTGTTGTTTGCTCCATCGCAGTCGATGTCCATGTTGTCGTACTGGCCGCCGTTTGCGGAGCTGTGGAGGAAGATTGCACCCTGGATGTCGCCGCAGTAGGCGAAGGAGCCGGATCCGCTGATGCCGTCGGAAAAGCCGTCCTGCAGCTTGTTCTGGCATGTTCCGGACTTCACAACATTAGTATATTGCAATGGCGAGGGACCGAAGACGGTACCTTGTGTTTGTTGTAGATTTGCTGTAGGTTGGCTGGGACACTATATGCCGAGGCCAGACCAGCTCCAGCCAAAATGGTGGCAGTTGCAAGATAGCGCATTGTGAAGACTGCTGGGTTGTTGATTTTACGAGAAGATGATGGGATTGATTGCTATTGAAATCGAGATGGACCCTGCCGGTAGAGGCGAAGCTTTATATTGCTTATGGGTCCGGTATCCATTGTTTCAGGGCATGAGCTAAATCACCCTGAAACTGTGGCACCGGCAAAGTCACCGGCAAAGCACCCCGATGAAACATCTGCAATACTACCATCCGCGGCATGTCAACCTATGATCACACACTGCAGACTAAAGGGAATTTCTTAATTGGGGAAATGGGGTCAAAAGCCGGACCTAGTGTCTGTGATCGACCCGTTGTGGCTGATCACCCCTATTGAAGGGTTGCATCGACTAGTGCAGGAAGCTGAGATGCGAAGACAGTTTAGGATAGGATCTTCACAATCAGAGGGAAATACTCCATACTGTGCCATGTTGAGGATGACATTGGTTTCTGGCTCACGAGGAAGCTGGTCCTTCATGGGTACATACATAGAATGACATACAGGGCTCTCATCTAGATACCTTTTCGTGCCTAATCCCTGAGGTGTTCAATTATTTTCTATTTGCGAACAGGAATTGCGCTGACTATTATTGTGAATAATATGCTAGAAAGCAATGAACCTGATGTCCTAATTAGAGATATAAGCCTCTATCCTACATTTCGCAAGTCAATCTTCAGGAGTTCTATCTTCCAGATCTCGCAGATATCCCACTTCAATTGTTCACCTTCCCTTCCTCTTCCTTTTTCAACTTATCCTCTTTAGGCTTGCCAACATTCCTCCAGCCCATCCCCCATGCAAAGAAGAATTGTACCACACTCAGCGCAGCAATCAGATAGAAAATGTGTCCGATACTCTTCGAGTAAGCAACCAGAACTCCAGGGAGACTTGCCTCAGATACAATGCCCCGGAAACCAGTCGCACCAGCAGCAATCACCCTCTCGGTGTCGACGGTAGGGGCGTACTGCGGGATAGTGCGTCTGAGACCATGAGAGAAGATGACTTCTGCAACTGCAAGGAAAATAGCAGCGCCAATGGTCTGGCTGAAGGTCAGGATGGCCATGGCTGTTGACATCTCGTCGGGCAGGACGGCGTTTTGAACGGCTATCATGGGCTATTTCTCCGTCAGATACACGTCCGACAGAGTGACGAACTGATGATTGGACTTACAGTCTGCATTCCTGCTCCTCGACCAAATCCTATTAGAGCTTGATAACCGGCCCATTCGCGTGTAGGAGTGGTGGGTGATAAGGTTGACAGAAGACCACATCCGACGGCGTTGAGGATGCCGCTGAGAACAGCAAAGGGGAGATAGTAGCCTATTCTTCCAGCTATGTCAAGAGATCATTAGCACAATTAACGACAGAAGAAACAGGTGACATACTCAGAGCCCCCGTGACCAAAGCCATGAAAATCTGGCACAGCACACCCGGCAACAAATCAACACCACTAACCAGCGCCGTCTTGTCTCTAACTGCCTGGAAGTATATCGGTAAATAGTACGACGCAGTGATTGTCATCCCGAACAAAGTCATGATAACCACACAGCTGCAGGAGACAATTCGGTTGCGAACCACGTGGAATGGGATCATGGCATCCTTTCCCATGCGGTACTCCCATGCCAGAAAGACAAGGAACAATGCACCCGCACCGCAGAACAGGCCGATGACGGTGGCGCTGTCCCATGCATATTGATTACCTCCGTATTGAAGAGCCAGCAGGAGTTGGATTGCAGCGGGAGCAAAAAGGACGAAGCCGAGGATATCGAACGTCTTGAAGAACGTTGGCAGAACTTCAACCGCTCGACCCTTTTCTCGTTGCTCGGGAACGCGGGTAAAGACCAGGAGGGCAGCAACTAGGGCGCCGATGGGCAAATTAATGTAGAAGCCTGTTAATATGAAGCGTCAATGCTAGTTATATCAGGGACGGGACACGGTCATCCTACACCAGCGCCATGTCGTATATGTGGTCAGCGCACCACCGATCAGAGGGCCGAGAACCAGCCCAATCTGTGACACTGCGAAGATCATTAGTCTCTGACTCCAGTGATATGACGAGGTCTGTACATACATCCCATCATAATCCCAACCATAACTTCTAGACATGTCAGTTGCACGATCAACCTCTCCTAGGAGAACTCATACATGGTCTTCTATGCATCGGCACAGCACCAGCAACAATAGTCAGAGCACCGTTGGTCATGCCCGACGATCCCATTCCGGCAATAGCCCGGCCAACAATGAGCATTTTCGACGAAGTAGCGACGCCGCATATCAAGGAGCCTAGTTCAAAGACTGCGAAGAAGCCCAGAAATACCCACTCCACTGAATCAGCCGACTATTTGAAAGAGCAGATGGATGAACTACCTTGGAGGTGAAGTAGGTGTAGAACTTTCCTGTAAGAGGCTGAAGGGCGGAGCTGTCAAGCAGGTTAAACCAGATACCTGGAGTTCCATTCCTCAATATAAAATATCTGACCTACCTCGCCAGCGTGTAAGCACTACCATACCAGGCGATGTCCTCGAGGGAGTGGAATTGGTTCGTGATCTGCGGTATGGCCTATTCAGTTTAGATTAGAGGCAAAATTCCACGGATTCAAGCAGGATGACAGACAGTAGACAAGATTGACATGTCCAGCAACATCAGGAATATGACCAGAGTAATCCCCGAAGTTACCATAAGTAGGGGAATGCCTTTGATCCACTTGTCCTGGTGTTCTTCTCCGGCGATGGAGATAGGATTGGTCAGATTATGTGCAGTATCTCCTGAGAGATTATCGGGCTCTTGCTTAGTGTCGGATAGCTCAGGGGTCATCGATGGGGTATTATGAGCATTCTGTGTGAAAGACGCCTCATCTTTTCTGTCGGCAGACCGGGGAGCTTCCTCCCCTTCCAGTTTTGTGCGCATTCTTCGAAGGAATCCTGGTGATAGTTGCTAGCGGCTTGAGAATAAACAATAGAGCAACTACGTCTAAGGAGAAAGGTCCATTGTTATATCTCAGCATCGGACGGAGTTGGGCCAATCCCGACTCCAATTCCGTGCAAGGGTTCGTAAATCCGTTCGTAAATCCGTTGGGACTGTATCTGCAACAATAAACATAGGTCAAGAGACTAAATCGGTAAAAATGACTCTTTCAGCTTGAGCTAGATTTGACTCGTAATACATTGAAAGGTTAAGCTAAACCATCACAATCCGCTCTGAGTCGCCTGCATCCACGATTCCATCAGCCATACATCCGGCCAATTGAGGTATGCTTCGAGAAAGTCCTCATCAACACTAGGAAGAGCCGACGACTGTCCGTCTGAGTTTTCACCTATAGCTACAGCGTTCGGGAGCCTAGACGCCCAACTGGTCTTCAATATAGGAAGGATTCTGGCCGCCTTGCTCCATGAATCCCCATCCGTGCCTTCGTTCTGAATGCCTGCCGCTTCGGCCACCGAATCCAGTCGGTCAGTTACCTCCTGCGAGATAGACTGGAGATCAGCTGTTCGGGTAACCGCTTCTTTATCCCAGCCCGGGTATTCTAATGTAGAAAGATAGAACAAGGTACTCAGGCAGTGTGAGACCTGGAAGATGATCGTTACGGGCAGGAAGACATATTCTTCAGGACTGACTGTGAGAAGGAGATCAAGCCAATTCTTGGTTGCTAATAAGCAGGCATAAAGATGGCTGATACGACTGACATCTACGTCTTCGACCCGTGTGGCCGATCTCGACAGCGCGGACTCATATACAGCCACTTCGGCTTGGTATAGATGGAAAAGCACAACCTCTGCCTCAACATGTCAGTATCGGATTTCCGTGTGATATTCACCATTCCCTACTTACTGTTGTCCGCTAGTTCGCGTGGTATACGACTTCTGACACTTTGCAGTTGTTGTTGCATCGTTTCTATGAAAAAGGATGTCGGCAACCGGGGGCTGTCTGAACCCTCAGCGGCGAGTCCGCTTTCGTCCCAAGACCGTCTTATCAATTTGTCCACCACGAGTTGAATTTGAACGAGCTGTACAAGGACTGCGTCACTGGGAGTCTCTTTTCTCTCAGTCAAGACTTCCAGACACTTTTTCATGTGTGCTGTCCAACGCATTGGATCAGGCTTGCACAAGAATTGCGATATACTGCCACGCAGGACGAATTTAGTACTTGATAGAATATCCCGGTATACAGGCTACATACAACGAACTGACGAGAAAGCAACTGAGCACAGCGCGTCGCTCATTCATAGTCCGTGTTCTGGAAACCGGAAACTTGAGGTTGTGGGTAGGACCGTTCCAATCGCAATCGGCAGGATGCGATTCATCAGGCGGGGACTTGTGAAGGCCCAAGTCGAAGACGACAGATATTGCCAGTTGGATGTATGTACAAAGAGAATACTTCTGCGGTTGGCAGTGGAAGGTAATCCTTGAGTAGTCAGTAGCGGGAAATCACGTCGATCGGGATTCAAGTACCAGCCTAGATAGACCAATAAGCCCTGTAGGATATCCAGATTCTTTCGGCAGTCCACGAGTAGCGCCTGGGCTGCCTTTTCTCTGATACTGACGCTGAGAGCAGACTGACGCGCAGTATGCTTGCACTGCACTGCACAAATGCAATACCATAAGAACGGAGACTCCGTCTTCAGTTCTGCAGCACTAACGCTATCTGGAATATAAACAAATGGTAGATACTCCAGAGGGCCGTTGCGAAAGGAATTCAGAACTTCCTCAGCCCCAGAATCGGTTGTATGTGGGGAACAGACCTCTGCTGGCCCTGCTGATGGAGTAAAAGACCTACCAGGAGAGTCGCCATGCGGCGTGCTGCCTTCTGGCGTGAGGAGAGGAGGGATAGCATCTTGACGTCTTGAGGAAACCTGATCCTGACCAGGTATTGCAGGGCTAGGGCATTCCGGCGTCGATTGCGACTGATTAGCTTTGAGGAGGGAGAGTATGCCATCCAGCTTTTGCTCCAACTGCACAGCCTTTGATACTATGGGTGTGTTTCGTCTAGTTCTTCGGACTCTGGCTGACGGCCGGCATTCTTTATTTAGTCGATAACATCTAGCGCAGCTGTTTACTTCATGTCCACCAACCCAGTTTTAGCAACTTACCTTGCGCAGATACCCCCTGTCTTTGGAATGATACATTTGCATTTGGCTCGAGCACAGTTGGCACAGGCCCGGCCATATGGTGCTGGAACATAGGTAGTCGCGTTATCCATGGGAAGATACGAAGTTCGGTACGGTTTTTGATGATCCCGTTATCTTGAAGTCCGGTCAGACCTAATGCAAGCTCCGAACTTGATGGCTTAAGTGATAAGATGGATCATAAGTGGGAGTGAATATGAGGTTTGGAAGGGAAGATATGGCCATCGGTCGGAATTGGGCCGGATTTCGTCAATCCCGATGTAAGCACTAAGGTGATATACAACCCGTTGATTGGCTCACAAAACGAGGTCTGTTAGTGAATAGATGATTAAGTATTCACAGGGTAAGTAAAGAGATGCACCTTGCCTGAAAGTATGACGAGAGCAGTGCAGAACTGACCTATTAAGTACGGTTATACATTTCGATCGAGGCATTGTAGATTAGCCCTATATGGAGTAACTCTAGCTGACTACAGCAACACCACAAATATCTGCATAGGTTCACTCTGCCTACATAGACTTAGCCTTCCAGGACCCCGATCGTCACGTCTTAGCCGGATCATTCTCGGTCCACCTTTGGACGCAGCGGCTCGGAATGCCTCGCGCTCCATCATCATCAGCCCCCAGTCGCGCATTTCAGGCAAGCGAATCGCATCCATGACGTGGTAAAATTTCGACAGATCCCGCTGATGACAACGCTCGTACTCAAACTCCTGCAAAATCCATCTCCAACTTATCAATGTCATGCACCAACCGAGCTTCTAAGGTCTGATTCTCCTCGTACTCCAGGAAGAGTGCAGTGAATGTGTTGATGTCCGTCACGCCCGGCAACAGCTGCGCGATATATCCCATTGTTGCTTCTTCCCTCCGACATTTTCTGTCTTGGTGATATCCTTGTGCAACGGCGTAATATCACCAACCAAATACTCGGCCATGTCGTGGACGAGGGCCGTTTGTATGGATCGGGAAGTATTGACCCGTGAGGCTAAGGAGGAGGGTCAGAGCATCACCATGATTGACATGCGATACATATGATTGGTAATTGATTCCCCGTTTTAATCCCGACTTGCTGCCAGCCTTCGCATTTCGTGGTCTTCAACCGCTCCATAGGTGGAGAAAGGGTAGGGGAGATGCTGAACCGGGTAGTGGTGGCTATTGGATGGTTGTCAACACTATGGTAGTTCTTAACTAGGTGAGGTTTCCACGACTTCGGGCGAATATACCATTCTCTGGTGTCCAGTCAGTCTCGGATCGGATGAAGGAGCCCATTTGTATTCTGGAGATCGAGCACTTGGCCAGAGGATGGCAATGGTGACAGGGGACAGGCACGAAACAGAATGAAGCAATTCTTTTTAATTGATATACTCATGCCACAAAGGAAAAAGATTTTAAGACTAAATGCTTTTCCGGCCACTGGGGCCAGATACTTCAAACTATTGGATTTCGGGTGGAATCTCCTGTTCCTTGCGTCGTCATGATCTGCAATAGAAACACTAGAAGATCAAGCTGAACGTGACTCTGCCAGGTCAAGGGCAAGGCTCATTTCATGTCAGGAGGTCGTCTGGTATGTACCTCAGCTGGCGCCACATTCCACACTCAGTACAAGTGGAGATATGTCTCTGATATGTCATCTTTTGTAGCCTAAAGCACTGGTCTATCATATTAGAGGTATGATCAACATTCATATTAATCTAGCCTCCTCCACATAGGCAACCAGTTGTACGTGTACTATTGAACCATTGATGCAGAACGGAGTTGTGCTCCCCTTACGTCAGGTATCATTGAGGTACAATCGATCATCCTATTTCGATCTTCCATAAGACTGACAATCACATATGCTCAAGCTCATCGACTATGAATGACTTGATCGCTTTCTTGTGGATTAACAGCTCGGGTGGTCCGATACTCATGGATTTGGTAGTTTTAGTACACAACTATACAACCCGTTGAACTTGTCTGAGCAGGTGTGCCCCTTGAATAAAGACTAAATCCCCCAGGGTCTGCGTCTCCTTCAATTTTGCAACCATGGGTGTCCTGTCGTGCTCGTGGCCTAGTCGAAAATTGCAGCAACGCCTTCTGCAATTCCGGTCGTCTGCCAGATTGGTTGTCTTTGTTGTGGTATTCGCAATATTTACAGTATGATGTTGGTCTCGGGACAAGTGGTAGGAGATACTCGCCAACTAACATCTTTTGAAGGATAACTTTCTCTATGGACTGGTACCACACGAACCGTATCATGCCTCTTCTCCATCGGTACCCTGACTCTCACAGATTATCCCTGTCATTCCGACAGCGTTACCCGAGCGAGGGATTATAGAAGGCAAAAATGGTCTGTTATTTACAGCTCTCTGGCTTTGTATCCAGAGCTAACATGCTCCTCCATGATAGATCAGCGGTGGGTATCGATTCTTGGGGCAGTATTCAGTGCGGCGACACTGGTCGTCTCGCGTGAGTATCATGGACCCATCCGTCTCGACCACTGACCGATCGCTTTCCTCGGCAGCTCTCACCTGGTTATTGATCGATCGGGTCGATTCCCTGCGATGGCCGTTCATGGTCGGTTTGATCGTCCTCACTGGCGCGACGGCTTTGCTCTGTGTCGGGACTCACATCGCGCTCTGGATCACCGGTCGCCTGCTGCAGGGTGCAGCCAGCGGGGTAGTGTGGACGGTAGGCACTACGCTCTTGCGAGAGAGCGTGGGGGAAGAAGGTCTCGGGCAAGCGTTTGGCTACATTGGACTGGGGATGATTCTTGGGGGGATCGCCGGTCCGCTGCTGGGCGGTGCACTGTATGAGCATGCCGGCTATTACGCGGTGTTCGGGCTGGCATTTGCGTTTCTCGGGCTCGACATGCTGTTCCGGATCATTCTGGTCGAGGCGAAGCCCGCACTGAACGGGTCCGAGTCCCGCGGCGAAGCACCGGAAGGGCAAGTGCCCGCGCATCCGACCCCGGGGGAAGATGCCAAGCCGCGGAGTCCCCAGGTCGATAATACGCGTGCATCCCAGACGCTGCCCCCAGACTCCGAAGCAGTCTCGGCTCTCTTGGCTTGTCCCCGCGTCTGGGTGGTTCTGTGGGGCTACATGGTGACTGCTATGATCATGACCGCGTTCGACAGCGTCCTGGCGCTGTTTGTCCGGGAGCGGTTTGGCTGGAACCAATCGGCTCAGGGGCTAGTGTTTCTGTCCCTATTTATCCCACAGCTGCTCAATCCGGTGGTTGGTATGATGCGCGACAGGTACACCCGGGCCGGCCGCTACATGGTGAGCGGGGCTTTTGCCATCGGCTGCCTGTCCTTGACCCTTCTGCGCCTCGTAGTGGGCGACTCTGTGGGATCCAAAGTACTTCTCTGTACGTTGCTCGCTGTCGTCGGTCTCTCTGTTACGTTCTCGATGACGCCGTTATTTGTGGAGATATCGGACATGGTGCGCGACATGGAGAAAAAGGATTCGGGGAGGCTGAACCAGGCAGCCGCGACGGCGTTGAGCTATGGGCTCATGAACTCATCTTGGTCTGCGGGATCTCTTGTTGGGCCATTTCTGGCCGGGTTTATCAAAGATGCTGCCGGCTGGAATACGATGGCTTGGGTGCTGGGACTGGTGGTTGGCGTGTCGGCTGTTTTGGTCCTATTGGTCATGGGAGAAAGCTGGCTGTTGCCCACCTGTCGGTCCGCAGCATTGTGCCAGAATGAAGTGATAGATGGGGTCCATGTTTAGGATTATTAGGATCATTGGGAGTAGGTTATACCGCGTGAAATAATACTGCCTGCTTATGGTATTGTCTGCGCTATATTGTCTGCCACGAAGGAGCCCCATTATCTTCTCCGCGTGAGCCTCAGCTTCATGGCAGCCCGGGTTAGCTAAAGTCAGATGACATTCAAAGTATTCGCGGACACTCTGAGAGAGCCTTCTCAGGTCTTGCGGAAATAGACTAAGATATCCCTCTTCCACTTCGCTATTCACTTTGAACCAGAGATGGGCGCGCAACAATGGCAACCATACCGTGAGCGACTGAGTGACCGTCGTCTCGGAAAAGAAGTTGCAGCCGTTCCACGAGTGCCTCCTTAATCCTCTCGCGTTGCGAATGCTGTCTATGCCAGATGCCGCTTAGGAATTCCGCGGCGGCTGCGCAACGCTCTGAGAGGCCCTCTTCCTTGAACTCATAGCTTGCATCGAGACGGTGCACAGTGATATCCCCAAACCCATATTTTGTAAGGTACCCCATGGCCGAATGCAGAATATGTCCCTGGTGGCCAACAGGGACAGATCGAGCGACAGAAGCCAGAAGTCGCACCACTTCGTTATACGGCCCTCCCTGGACAATCACTATCTTCGAATTGGATCGATCTACTACACGGCTCATTTCCTGAATAGTTCTCTCCATATTCAACACATAATCCATCTGCCATAAGGCGAGCACGGTATGAAAGGTTCTCGGGGCAAACGGTAAGTCCTCAAGCGAAAGGTCGACGAATTGACTTTTGCGCCGTTGGAAACGTCCATCTGCCATTCGTCACCATCAAGCTCCAATAGAGCAGGGAAACTATTCAGAAGCCTTACCGAGTAGGTCCATTCCAATACACAAAACCTCTGGACTGTCGCCTATATCTTCAAACAACTTCTCCAGGTCTTTGCTCACCAGACGATCCGCAAAGAGATTTTCACGCTCCTGAAATTCCAATGGTTTGAGACATCTGGGTAAGGGATATGGCCCGAGAAGCGGTTCCCGTTCGACCTTTTTCGCCATCACGATATAGTGTGCTTCAGGAGCATGTTCCTGACTGGCCGGGGAGAAGAGGTAGGAAAGTGGTTCTGTTTCAATGATAAAGCCGGATTCTCGCAGAAGTTGACACCAGCGCTCCTCGGATAGGAATAAATCATTGACATAACTCCCCATCCACGGCTTATCTAGCATCCAAGCACAATCCCATGTGGGATCATAAGTCACCTTTTTTGGAACCAACGAGGTGCTGGGAGTCACTCCAAGAATGACATATCCCCCAACCTTGATCCACTGAGAGAACCGCATAACCATCGAGCACATATCACACGCAGACATTTGGAACAGAGATCGAATTGCAATGACTGCATCAAACAACGCTGGTGGCTGGTACGTCTTCATATCACCCACTTCAAATGTCCCCGAGACTTGGGACTTTGCAATTTTCACCATCTCTTCTGATATATCAATCCCGTGGACTTCATGGCCGGCAGAGGCAAGTATGTGAGACACAGGCCTGCCTGTTCCACAGCCCACGTCTAATGTTCTGCTTCGAGGGGGGATAGTTTTGGCCACAAGCTCAACAAACCTCTGCAGCTCCTTGTCCATCCCAAAGGCGGCCTCGTAACGGGCCCCCAGGCTGTTAAAGAGAATTTCTGCTTCCGCCGTCATGATTGAGGTCTTGTAATGTCGAATATAACTAAAATATCCAAGGAGATGGAGTAAAAAGAGCTCTATACCACATGCGTTCCAGGATTGTTATAAAGCATTTGCCCTTGATGGAAGAAGAATGATAGTCAATAAGTAATCAATCTCTGCTTAGATGGCAACGTTACACCGCTCTGCGTCTTAGCATTCAGCTGCGCCACTTGCTAATGGACATACCTTGCGGGATAAAGTATCTGCAGCTTGACAAGTGATCAGTCGTAGAAAATCATGTTAGATGACGTGTACCTACAGACACGATCTGCAGGGTAGAATAGCGGTCTGGTCGTCTAAGGCGACTGATACCTGCCTTGGGAATAAGATGGATCATCGTCTCAAGAGAGCATTCTACAATGCACCAATATTGTCTCTATCTCACGGCCTTGGACTAAGTATCTGCGCTGTGACCACTCCCAAACCTGTCAACATGCATCCGATCAACAATGGACTTTAGCAATTGTTTCCGGTTGCGATGAAGCAATTCGCCAAGCCCTGACTGACGGTCTGCTGGTTTCTGTTTGTCTATTAAGGAGTGCTTGCTACAGTTCTACTACTAGTCTATTAAAGTTTGTGTATACCTCATCGGAATCGCAGATATATATCTCTGAAAACGTTGATGGTTCTATCACACCATTCACATACTCCTAACATTATATGCAAAAGTATGATGATTCTATAAAAAACGACTAAAGAACTTGGACAACTATGGATAGACCACCTAATATTTAGTATGGACCTTGGTCTTACACACCCTAATCAGGCCGGTGACAGTTGACAGTCATGTGACACGCACGAATCTGCACACTCAGCTGAGGATGAAAAACAAATACAATTTGATGGTAGAAATCAAGTATGAACTCATCCGGATTCTACCCCCTAATCATACATCATCAGATCAGATCGTTCCGTCGAAGGTCAAATGACTCCTTTACTGGCGAAATATCAACCGGTCAAGTTATTGAGGCCCGCATTGCCAGCGTTGCGGTTGACTGCAACGACGCGCGGAGGCCAAGACTGACACTGTCCAGGCACGGAAGCCAGCAAACATCATCTCTAGCTAGTCAGGAACTGGATTCTGATACGCCAATTCAAAGAGGATGTTCTACTCCGTACTCCAGACACGAACAGATAACCACGTGACTGACGCGCTGGACATGTTGATTGTGAATACAACTGGGACTGAGCAGGATTAGTCTCGTATAAAAATCGATGCTCAGAAATCAGAATTCCTGATCTCAGCATTGTCCCGAGTGCGTTCTTGCAATCCGAGCATTTCCAGAGGCTATAGTGGATAGCTCAAAATCGCCTCTCCCGAGATCCCGCCGCCAAAATGGCGCGCTTGGATCAACTTCCGCCAGAAATTCTGATGACGATATTGGATGAGCTGCGTATTTCGGAGCTTGCGGCCGTGATCCGGGTCAACCGACAGTTTTTCAATCTCGGCATTCGACGCCTCTGGCAAGCACAGAGAGACATCTATCTCGCCAAAGTCCCAAAGGATCGGCGTAGGGTGTACACTCCCCTGATCCAGGAACTCGACCTGGACGGAGACCCCAAAGCCCTTTACGAGGAGTTCAAAGATCTTGAGTTCGATAATGTAAAAGAGCTCTCGGTCACGCTGAAGGAGGATTTGGACACTATCGACGACTGCAAGTATCTAACACACTTCATCAATCCTGGGCTTCGACTGCTGGACTTGGGGGGAAGCATTAGTGCGGACTTCCTTCGCGACGTGCGAAATCAATGTCCTAAGCTACGGACGGTCAGTCTCTGGCGCTGTGGACCTTGCGTCACGCCGGCCGATTTGCTTACATTTTTGAGGAGTCTCCCCTATTTGAAGAGCCTGCACATCACTGAACTGGAGGACCACATGATAACAGATTCCGAAGTCATTGAATTCCTGGCCGCATCTTCAACACTTGAGCGGTTGGATCTGGAACAGATTACCCCCGAGTTCTTATGGGATGCGTTGTCAATAGAAGCCCCCTTCCCACAGCTGAATAGATTGGACATTGATATCCATCACGACGCAGTGCCGTCGATCGCTAAGCTGTTCGGCTCGGTCATACAGCTCCGCGTGACGCTGAGAGCCATAGAGGACTGGTTTACCCGGGAAACAGTCAGAATACGACCCCTCTCGGAACTGACGGAACTGCGAACCCTAGAGATCTCTTTCCATGGCGAGATGATCCTAGTACCAGAAGACCTCGTCACTCTGAGGAGTCTCAGCAATCTGGCAAGTCTGAGTCTACATGGATTAAGCGAGGTTCACCTTGGAGCTGCTGAGTTCAGTGATGATCACTTCCACCGTCTAGTGAGTGGCCTACAGGATCTCGTCACCCTGTCCCTTCACCCCTATCCCAGTAAAGTCACATCAGCCTCCCTCGCAGCTTTGGCGAAATGCTGTCCACATCTCGAGACCTGTTTTATCGGTGGGGAGTTCAATGTACTAGGGCTGCAGGATTACGAAGCGCCTTTGTTTCCAAGGCTTGGGTCATTTCGAGTGAGATGCTTCCTGGATCCCGACGAGTATGATGGTGACCCTGTCGAAGTGATTGAGCGGCGGGCAGGGGAGCATGTCCAGCAGCTCGAGAGGCACTTTCCCAAGGCAGACATCCAGGTTCTGCAAGGTTGGTTTTCTGACCCGGGGTCATTCACTTCTACGGTGATACGGCTATTAAGACCGAATAATGAGCGGGATTTTGGGCCTTCCTGACCCAATCATTCACTTTATCTCTTTTATTGGCAACTTTACGACAAGCATAGATTCCGGAGTGCATTAACTTTGGACATAACCTCTTTCAAGAATATGGAAATGGCTCCATTCCAACTAGTACCCAGTAATTGAATGAACAGCAACTGAACTCATGTAATGTACAAGCTTTTGCCATACACTCCAAAAACAAACAATCGACTAAATCCGCCCGAATCCAAAGAAAGGCATGACCGACATGACAAAAAGGAAATCTTGGTGTCCAATTGAAATTGGCTGGTATCCATCTATCGAAACGACGTCGCTATACAATAAGGTACGAAAAAGGGAAATATATACAGTGAACGGAGGCCGGCCAAAACGAGGGCAACCGGCGAAATATTATGTCGAGGATCAATTATAAACAGCGACTGTGTTCTTTTTTCGTCGAACAGTCAGTTTTACTAACAGCGGCGGTAATTGGAAGCGTCCCCATCCTGCTCCTGTTAGCTTTGCGTCATTAAATAAACAGCGAAAGACTTACTGTGGATTTTAGGACGGGTAGCAAAGGGTTTAATTTCGTATTTGAGGAGCATCTCGGCGATAAGCAGCTTAAAGATATGTGCGAAGAGCCACCGGCCGGGACATTGTCGGCGGCCGTGGCCGAAGACGAGGTAGGTGTCGCTGGTGTTGGTCATGAGGTTCTGGCGTCGTTCCTCGGGGGTGGAGTTTTCCTTGTAAAAGCGGTAGGGGTTGTATTCGTTGGGGTTAGGGTAGAGGTCGCTGTCGCGGTGGACGGCGTACTGGGGTATACCGATTTTGGTGCCGTAGGGAAGGTAGACACCATTAGGGAGGACGGCGCCTTCTGCTGCGACGACCTGGGAATATCACATTAGCGTTTGTCATGTCATGTAAACAGGAATGAAGAATACCTTTCGTGTAGGTGAGACGGCATTGACGCCGTTGAAGCGAAGGGAGTCTTTGATGGCACTCTCTAGCAGACTGGCCCGTTCCAGGTCGGCGGCAGACCATGACCCGTCCGAGGTGGCGGCGATCTGCTCGATTTCCGCTTGGAGCATATCCATGAACCCTTCCTCGGTGGGATAGCTCAGGATGTCGAGAAGGGCGCTGGTGGCGGAGATACCGCTCGTATGGACACCGGGGAAGTTGATCATGAAGATTCGGTAGGCCAGCCACATGGTCTCGAGTTCGACAGGCCACTTGCTGCGCAGGCCAGCTTGGATGAGCAAGTCGAGGAGGCTCCCCTTGAGGATGTCAGACATATCAAATGAAGGTCAGTTCTAAGGGACGTACGTTTGTCCTGAGTCTTTCCTGAAGAGAGTGCGAGTTATAGGCGTCTTTCTGCTCCTTGATCTTGGCCTCGATGATAGGCTTCATACGCTTGTGGAACACTCGTTCTTGCCATCGGTTCGCGAGTCCTACGATCGGACCGATAATGCTGTTGCTGTTAGAAGAAGTGCTATCAATTCGAGACGCGGGACGTACGGATGAAGGAATGAAGGAAAGGCCTTGATGACATTGGCCCCAAAGACAATGGCATTGGAGCAGTTGGTCATAGCGTTGAGTAGACTGATATCATGGCTCCTGCCGGGCCCGATTGCCAGCACATTGACCATCCGAGCCGCGGCCTTCTCCATAAAAGAGTACAGGGGAACCTCAACCCAGTTGTCCGTGTCCTCGCCCCAGATATCCGAGAGGCAGGATCGCGCCTCCTCAGCCAGGGACTCGGCGACGGCTTTGGATTTGAGGGTGTCGGTCAGGTCCTTGCTGACCAACTTGACAAAGAACTCGTATCGCTCGGCAAAGGCAAGTGGCCAACTGGTGTACTTGAGCTGGAAGAAGTCGCTAATGTGAGCCTTGAAGCTATATTCGGATTCCTTGGCGAAGAGAACGGCATTGGTGTGCTCTTTGGGAAGAATGACTTCATCGCCCTCATTGACACTAGGCATCACAAAGGGTTCCTGATTCTTGGAGTACTGCAAAATAAGTTAGCAATCAAGACCAACGTGGGCATATATCCTGCGCCATAGTACGCATGAAATAAACCAACCTGTTCGTATCCCTCTTGGATAAAACCGATGGGGTTGACGCCGAGGAAGCGCTCAGCAGCGCGGCCAAAGAAGCCCTTCTTGCTCAGGACCCATGGGATGTTCTTGGGCACCGGTGATGTCTCAAAGAGCTTGACAATGAGACACAAGAGCATGCACAGCACACCTGTGGCGGACAAGGTGGAGGCGTTGATGTCGAGCAGCATGGTTGCTGTCACATACCGGAAAAGGAAATAAACGAGAGTTAGGGTGGAAGATCTGTGAACGAATGTCGATCCCTGTCAAGGATGATCGTCCCCGGTTGGACGTGGGCCTTAGAGGGCTCAAATACCCCGAGTAAACTTCAACATCATCGTGGAGAGATCGGATATCTGGAAAATTATTGTGGATTTTGGTACAAACGACAAAAGAACGACGGTCGAAGCAAAAGGAAGGAGTGGATGGATGCTATGATGGCGGGGATCCGAGCAGGGATAATTCATTGCCAGGAGGAGTAGATATGGTTCCTAGGTTAGTGCCGTTAATTGATTAGATATTATTCGGCACCGCCTGGATATGACCTTGGCCCGGCTGTTGCGGACGACACGATCACAAGAGCCCGAAGAGAACTTCAACGGGTAGGCCAATCAGGGCCGGAATCGAAGTCGTCCAGCTGGGTCCGTGAGTGATTAAATGGGCTCGAGACAGGTCTACGTAACAATATTAGATCGAGTTCAGTCCGGGAACAAGCCATGCCATCTCCCGGGAACGCCACGTTACATGGCAGGCGACAACCTTAAGAGGTTTAGGTACAGCTTGAGAGCTGTGCCCGTGGAACCGAACGGCCCATTACTGCGCAGTCGTGTGGGATGTTTTAATTGATGCGCGATTGTCGATGCGTTATCGGAGAATTGTTTCGTGTGCGGGTTGTTGTATCAGCAAAATCATTCAATCGAGACGCCCCCGGCACACTGTGGGATCGGCTGCACGAACGGGATTAATATCCAGAAGGCTGCAGAAGAATGGGCGTGCAGAATGGAGAATCGGCATAGGGGAAAGGGATCCCTGTGGTGATTACAGGGGGGTGGAAACTTAAGCATGCTACATTATATGAAAGGGGTTTAGGGTGACAAATTTCATTTCCACACGTCCGGTTTAGAGCAAGTTTACGGCACAATTACAGTTCTGACCTTGGTCGATAGTGTCGATAGTGCCCACTAGTCTGTCCTAGTCTCTTCCATTCGGCCCAATTTTTAGCGAGGATTCTGGCAAGCTCCACTCGGGCTGGTCCCGCAAAGCCAATTATATCCTTCATCACAGCAAGCGTGGCCAATCGGACTCGGCAGCAACCGCACTCCTGGAATTCCAAGGTTTTGGGCAGACGGCCTGAAAATAGAGTCAAGGGATACGATAGGCTGAGAGGGAGCCAGAAGAATGCCACAATGGCTTCCCGACTCCTGAGAACGGAGGACTCATCACTCATCAAAAAATAGGCTGAAATTTTATGCGCACTGAATAACTGTCTGTCTTACATCTAAACAAATCCTAAGGTCATCTGTCAGTCAGCAGTCTATCAGACACTAAAACTAGGCCACGCGAGAGTGGGTTGAGGAAATCTCCGACAATCTATGACACTAGGACTGTTGAAAGACTGATCAGCACTAAAGATGCAATTTTACACTGTCACGTTGGTTGGTTGATCCTTATCTTTGCCAGGACCCTGATGTACAGCATCTGATGAGCAGTCGTACTACCATACTGGTTAGACTGACATTCTGACAGTCCTGGTTTTGAGGTGAGGAGAAAAGTAACCCAAATCGATGACTAATCCTAACGCACGATTGACTCAAGCTGGCTCCAGCGAACTCGTATCAGTGAAGCCACTCTCCCTTGGATTGGAGTGAGAGATTACCTATCCAGCTGCGGCGGACAAAGTCCGTATCTGAGTGCTATGTCAGTGCGCAAGCATGACAATCTGATCCATATGCGGATGCCATGACTCGCGAGCTTTTCTTGGCCCTCCAGCAACAACTCGTTTAGGTTCATAGAATGTGTGAAAGAGCATATGGACCTGGACTCGAGCCTTCTCTTGCTCACATTCCTGGGTTTGAAGTTGAAACAGGGGTTTCTGACTGGTCAATTGGCGCATGCACAGAGCAAAATCCCTCATGGCAGCGTATACATCCGTTTCCTACAATAACGCTACTGTCCTTGGCTATCCATCTGGCCCTGACGTTGTCATACAGTCTAGCACCTCTAAAACAATAGTCTCCGTCGCTACTTCCCAACGCTGACATCGGCGTCAAATTCCTGACGGAGCGTCAAAAGCCGAACTACTCCATGTTCTTGCTAGACATGGTGATTACTAGTGACGGCTTATTTGGCCAATCAGCGCCCCTCATTCGAGCCAAGAGCTTTATAATCCGCATCGGGCTTAGTGTACCTGCCTGATTGATCTTATAGCCAATCATATCCAACTCCCGCAGACCCCTTGTCCCAAAAGGATCGCACCCAGAATATGGGGACACCAGAGATAGCCCGCATCAAACCCCCGTATACCATGCTGGGAAGTTGGTCATCGCAATCTCTCCCACATTGCCAAGTCGACCCTACGATAGTAATTGATTTAAGTAGTAACTGTGCCTGCGGTGGGCCCCTTGGCATTATGCGCATACTGCTGTTCCCCTCCTATCTTGGTCAACCCACACCCCTTCAATAGTGGGTTTGCCTGATTCCCGTTCCTATGAGAGATCACACCTACCAAATCAGATGCCTGGTCGTCGCGGCCCTTGTCCACTCAATCTGATTCCTGGCCCAGTCGCGAAATGGAAGCTATTCACTTTCAGGAGATGATTGACATCCTTGCAATCTGATCAATTGTTATTGCATTTTCATACCACTGCAGCCCCAGGCCCACGCGATGCTTTTGTTGGTCTCTTCTCCCGCAGTAGTTGCCTTTCCACTCCGCAGGCCTTTTCCCTCTTGATACTTCGCCTCTGCTTCTTACTTAGTTGTAAGGCATGATCATCTTTAAGGTGGCTGCGGTGCCCGTTGAAAAGGCAGGCCGGGCTCTTTCAGGCCAGTAGCCATTGGCACCATCTTGCTATGCCTGTTCAGAGGCTACTCCGAAGGTCACCGCTCCAATGCACCAAATGTAGTGAGCGACAGATGGAGGTATGTTCAGGTCTCCATGCCCCATCCCCTTGGTCCTATTATGGCTGCTTACCACTGGCTGCGCTCTAGTGTTCAAAGACTCGCCCTCAGTGCGACGGATGCAGGCGTCATCGCCTATCCGGTCGTTACGGTAACTCGGTTTCCTCGAAACAACTCCGGCCACGCTCCGGTGTTCGAGCCTCCAAAGCCACCCCGTCCAAGGCGAAAGCTTCTTCTTCCTCTGACGACTCGTCCTCGTCCTCGTGCTCGTACTCTTCGCCTTCCCCTCCTGCCCAACAATATCCTCCTTCTGCCCTCAGCCCCTCCACATCCCAATCCCCTGAGTCCAATATCTCCGAGGTCGAGCAGGATGACAAGATCCGGGTCTTGGAGGCTCAAGCTGGCAAAGTGTCTGAGGACCTGAACGCCAAAGATCAACGCCTATTAGACAACTGGTGTAACTCGACGGAACAATCCCTCGTGCACAGCAAAAGCAAGGACCACCCATGGCAAACCGTCATCCGGCGCGAGACATCCCAACACCCTGCTTTGAGGCATAGCACGCTGGCTCTGTCCGCCATAGAACTCGCGTCAACCAGTGAGGCTGGTACTCCGCAACGCCAGCGTCACTTGCAGGCGGCCGAAAGTCACTACACACAAGCGACGGAGAAGCTACCGAGCATCCTAGAAACCCCTACAGCATCCGGGCCAAACGCAGCATTCTCCACTGCGAGTATTCTTTTCATGTGCGACCTTGCGTCCTCTGCGCTGGCCGGAGAGGGCTCCAAGTCCGTTCTCCCGTCACCCGACAATCAAACATCCACTTCTCAAGAGAGTCATGACACGTCACCTTCCTCCTCTCCGTCCCTGCAGAAGCTCCTCGACCTCTTCGACACCATCAGAGCCTTACTCCCCAGCCCCGACACCCTAAACAAGGTCGAAAACGGCCCCCTCAGAGACCTTTTCACCCAGGGAGACCCATACCACCAACTACCCAACACCTACACCCTCACCATCCTCTCCATGAAGAACCTGAACGCGCTCAGCGCAGAAAAGAATCCCGCGCACGAGACGGCCGTCTACAACGACACCATCGCAAACCTGGACAACTCGCTCGAAATGCTCACCAAAGGCGGCGATCCGACGACCATCGCCCTGCGCTGGATGTTCCGCATCCCCAGTCGCTATCTGGATCTCGTCCGGGAGGAAAAACCACTGGCGCTCATCATCTTCGCCCATTACTGTGCGGTGTTGCACCACCTGCGCGACCGGTGGTGGATGGGTGACTTGGGGGCGCGGTTGTTGAAGGAGATCTGTCGACTACTGGGGCCGGAGCGGATGGGCTCGATTTTATGGGCAACGGATATTGTAGGCATCCAGACATAATATTAGGCATTTGCGGTGTCTCGCTTATTAGCGATATGATTTATTTGCGTGTCGAGAGGAAGATTCGTCAGTTGGTCGTCGATGATACCCAGTAACAATAATCAGAATGCATCTTTCTTATCTTCTTCCTTGGTAAACGATGTTAAGCAACTAATCGTATTCTGTCGCATATGCAGCCTGTTTCCTTTAGGGGACATATCATATCGCTTTCGTCTGGCCGAAAAGACAGAAGGATAGGCTTGCAGAGGTTGGATTTTGCACTGCTAAGTAGTTTGCAGACTCTGTTTCCCTGGCGCGCTGTCTCGCCTTGAAGTAAAATGAGGTCAAGCATATTCTTTCAGAAAGGAGTCATTGAGCAGTCATGGTGTTGGTCTTACAGCAGATATCAATCTACGTATATGTTTCCTTGCACTGATATGATAGAGACTATGGCTGACTTGGAGTGCTAAATATATATCACTCTCTGTTTCACTCATGATGAATGAACTATATTCATGTTCCTTTTAAAAAGACTTGTAGAAAACGCTTACATTGATTACGATACTTCCAAATCTCATTTTCTGAATGGCAATAGAATTGATCAGACTAACCTGGTGTGGAGCATACAGCTCCTTGTTTTGCACAACGGAAGCCTTGGGCGTGTACCTAGTTTCCTTTATTAATACTTATGACCTAATTGACTCTGTAACCTCGTCAACTGTTGCATTATACCTGAGAAGTCACAGAACTGTGAGATGTCCATTTGCAGTATGTTTGCTTGGCGGCTCTTAGGGGTCATCGTTCCTCTAGCTAACATGCCTTTTATCCTCAACAGGTTGCACAACTCTCCCCGCCCAAACGAAAGAGTAGGCGACATCCAATGTCAGACCTGATGTTCGGATTCGAAAAGACATTCCATCTCATGGCAAGGGGTGGGAAACATGGCGACATACCAGACAGGCTATTACTGCCAGAGTAGTAGCCGGTATAACCGCCACCCCCATATGGAGGGAGTCCAACCGCCTCTATATTGACCAGAATGGAGCAGTATGGGAGAGACTCAGACACTCCTATCAGAGAGAAAGTATTCATAAAAAGGATACAAGGCCGGAACAAGGCCGAAAGCCCGATTCAAGAAGCTTTCCTATAATGGCAATGGTCGACCTGAAGTCGATTCTTGGTGCTTTATGGCTCAGCGTGGAGGTCGATTCGAATCGTACGTGCTTAGGGAGTTCATCGGACATTGGTATGGATGGGACCACCCTTATAAACTCTACATCGTTCCTGATTTGTTGTCGCGCCATCCTCAAGACCAGTATTCGTCTCCTGGATGATGTGCTCAATTGTCGGAGACGAAAAGACTGTCCTCAGTGAGATACTCATGTATGTTCTGAATGGTAGGGAATATAGAGCCCCCTAGAGCAAGATCTTACATCTGATATTCCAGGAACTAAATACTTGGACTATGCACGAAGTAAAGCTGAAGCTGCTTTTCACTTAATGACAAGCCAGATGTGAGAAGTTATGGAGATGCAAATGAACCATCCTTCAACCTGTCTCTCATCATCACCACCTGGATTCCCTTCCTTCATAGGACACGCTCTCCATATCAGTCAATAAGCCTTCTTGCATCAATATTTCCTAGGAGTTGAAGCACTTATTTGGCCGTCAAGCTCCCCGTTTATCCTATGCTTCTGATCTCCCCATCTTCACCTGGCCTTTGCTACTCAGCATCTCCCAGTACATTACTCTAGTCTCATATCTAGATCACTCCTTCCTCACTGACCTCAAACCACGTTGAAGGGGTGATAACATCAGCGAGCCCAGACTACATACGTCTGTCTTCTCTGGCATAGCTGGACCTTCAACATAAGGCTACTGCAGTTGTTCCCAATCTCTCAATTCTAACTTCCCATCACACATCCCATTGCTATCTTCCAGCCAGCAATCGATATGAACCTTCTTGTTCTACCTACTGAGGTGCTCGTCATGATCACAAAAGCCCTCAACAAGACATCCGATATGAACGCCTTGGTCCGAACAAGTCGCATGGCCTACATCCGCCTCAACCACGTCCTCTACGAGTTTGATGTTCAGAGAAAAGTTAGAAAAGCCTTGGTATGGGCTGCGCAGAATAACAACCAACGTACAGCCAAAAAGTCCCTCCAGGTGGGCATCAAATCACTGAATAAATGGTTTCAGAGACCACTGGCCATTATGTTACGCTCGGGTCACACCGACATGGTGCGATTGTTATTGGACGAAGGTGTTGATCCGGACACCATACTCTACGAAGGCTCTCGAATTGCAACGACTGCTTTATACATAGCAGCTAGTCATGGTCATGAAGCTATTGTCAACCTCCTGATTGAAAAAGGCGCGAACGTCAATCTCAAGAACTCTCCTGGGCAACCGTTGGTGGTCGCTGTGAGCCATAATAAGAAATCTGTGGTCAGGATTTTACTTGAGAAAGGCGCAGATCCTAACTCCCGGCGAGATGATAATATGCCGGCGCTTTGCATTGCAGTGACGAAGGGATTTACGGAGATTGTCGAGATGCTACTGGACAAGGGTGCGCTTACAGATCTGGGCGGTTCCTGGATCTGTACTCCAGTTCAAGAAGCAGTAAGGAAAAACCGCTTCAAAATTACCCAGCTCTTACTAGAAAAAGGAGCAGAAGCAAATGTGGGATACGGGGACTATCGTGATCTCCCGCCTCTGTTGATGGCCATGGCCTACGGCTATGAGCGATTGCTGGGTCTGCTTTTGAAACATGGCGCGAACCCCAACGCTCAGAATGCCTGGCCTCTGCATGTTGCCATATTTGACAACAAGATAGCTATGGTCCGGTCGCTTCTCGCTCATGGTGCCGACGTCAACCGCAAAGATTCAAAGGGCCGGACCCCTTTGCTCTATGCTATTTACCAGCACTATGACCATATCGTCAAACTTCTGTTGCTTTACGATGTCGACCCAGACGCCGAAACTCACAGCGGCATGACACCATTGAAGTTAGCCAAGCATTACAACAGGGTGGACTGGGTGCAAAAACTAACTGAGAAGCGTGCGGAACGCAAGTCACGCGCCCATAACCAACATTTGATTACCACTTGATATCGAGACTGCTTGCCCTGAAGAAGGACAATCATCCGTGCCTTAATCAGAGATTTATCTATCGGACTTGCGGCCTTCTCTCTTTGGACTTTCTCAGGACATCTTTCCATGATATGTTTGTTATTTATCTACGAAGAAGGGAAATTCGTGGTTTCTCTCTACGGCTGAGAACTCCCCGGTGCAGTGAGAAAAGAATCCAGTCATTTCCTTGCTAATTTGCTACCAATTTGTTTGTAACCAAAGCACACTGGCTATTAGCTGAATCGAATGCATCTTTAAGTCAATAGCAGCCTTCCAAGAAAATGACGCAGTTGGTTCTGCATTGTAAGTTTGTAGTCCGCTGGACTGGAACATAGTCTTGGGTGTAAACAGTGCGGGGTTTATAACGGCATTTTGGCTTATTTGACGAATTGCTATCCTGACCGAATAACATCCTTCGTCTGGTAATCCTACATGGGAGTGCTGCATGATACCATGATCGGCTGAAAAGCACGCCATACCGAAGGTTTGCCCGCAATCGAACAACAAGCGAAGATAAATACCCTCATGATCTCTTTCCCCAACGTAGCCATGCAAGCCAAAGCCCAACAGCAGCCAGAAAGAAATAATCTGATTGAACTTTTTGGAAATGGCACAAGCAAACGTCCCGGCAACAGACCCCGCAGTCTACGACGCTTACAGAGAGAAATGGTCTACTCTCCCCGACGCCGCAGACGCATGGCTCGCACGAGCACGTGAAGTAGCTGAAGTTCTTGCCCAGGATGCAGCCCAGAGAGATCAAGACAACAAATCTCCTCGTGCAGAGGTCGCATTACTGAAGCATTCCGGTCTGTTGAAGCTTCTCGGTCCGAAGAAGTATGGCGGCGGAGAACAGCCGTGGCATGTGGGCTACAAGGCCATCCGAGAAGTGGCCAAGGGTGACGGGTGCGTATCAACAGTCAACATGTGAACAGCGGCTAACTGTATTTCAGGTCTATTGGCATGCTCCTCGGGTATCATCTCCTCTGGTCGACGACCGCCAATGTGGTTGGAACGGCTGAGCAAGCCGACCGTCTACAGGAACTGATCATCACGAAGAACCTCTTCGTCGGAGGAGCAGTTAATCCTCGGGACAATGACCTGAAGATAACGGCTGAGGGTGACTCGATTGTCTTCAACGGATTCAAGCATTTCAATACAGGTGGTGTGGTGTCCGATCTTACAGTCCTTGAAGGCGTGCTGGACGGGACCCAGGATCATATATTTGCCATTGTCGAAACAAATCAACCTGGCATTCAGTTCGCGCATAACTGGCACAATATTGGTCTGCGGTTGACGGAATCCGGAAGCGTCAAGATTGAGAATGTGCGTGCATCTTGGACTGATGCACTAGGATGGGACGCAACGAGCAGAAGACCACTTGCAGAGGTTCTCACCATTCCTTTTGCCTCTTTGTTTCTGCCTACGTAAGTGCTACACGGCTTCTTCCGCACGGTCTGTACTGATTATGTCAGGATTCAACTGGTCTTCAGCAACTTCTACCTGGGCATCGCCATCGGCGCCCTCGAATTCGCGGCGAAGTATACTACCACGTCCACACGCGCCTGGCCCTACGGTGGGGACAACAAAGAGGCAGCCACTGACGAGTTCTACATCCTCGAGCGGTACGGGAACTTCTTTGCACACCTCCGTGCTGCAGAAGCACTGGCCGACAGAGCCGGCGATCGAATCTCAGCGCTGTATGAGCGTCATTCAGGCGATCGGTCCAAGGTGACTGCCGAGGAGAGAGGGGAGGTGGCGGAATGGGTCGCAAGTGTAAAGGTGGTCACTACTGATGTTGGACTCAGAGTCACGTCCGGCATATTCGAGGTGACTGGTGCTAGAGCGACATCCCTGAAGGTCGGACTGGACAGATTCTGGAGGGATATCAGGACGCACACCTTGCATGACCCCGTTGCGTACAAGAACCGGGAGCTGGGTAGATATGTGCTCTTGAATGAGCACCCCGAGCCTACATGGTATACCTAAGCCCTACTACTCGACCTTTGGATCAAGCAATGGAGGTTGCTGGATATAGATCTATGCTAGCCTGAAAGTCTCAACCCTGGACGAGCCAGATGACGATCTGACCCTCTGGACCTGTTCTCCCTGCATGATCGAATCATGATGAAGATATGTATCGCCGATGAGTAACCACTCTCTTCCCCACCGCCGTAGAATAAAAGGCAGACTCCCCCCAAATAGTACGACTACCTGGTCTCCTGGCTGCATCATTTGCGGACCAAGTCCGACAAGTCCTGATCTCGTTCTGTACATTCGCCTATTGCGCGAATAGACCCAAAGAGGATGCGTATATGCATTCTCATCGCCAGGGAGGTCCGCTAATTGTCCCTCAGGCACTAGGTCTGGGTAGGACGATCCCTGAGCGGGTGGATGTGCTTGCAGCCACGCCAAAATGTTACTCTTTACCTGCCTTCTCAAGGCGTCCCAAGCGCCAACTCTGGAGTTCTGCCAGGAGACTTGCTGATTGTGGAACATGCCAATCACCCCTAGTATGCCGGCAGCTATTGTTTGCAAGAAAGCAACATCTAGAGCCTCGCTTGTCCCCGTGTACTGGAAGCCGGGACGCGGAAACAACGGAAAGTTGAAAAGCTGAGACCATACCTGTTCTATTGGCGGCTTTTCTGTGTACTTGTAGTGAATAAGGTCGCTCACAGCGTCAACCAGATCAACACGATAACCGTCCAGCTGGAGAACATCTGGCTCGACTGATGGACCGTTGAGGGGTGAATCGTGAAGCTCCGCGAAATACCGATAGTGGCCATTCATTGGAATACCCGCGAGACACAAACCAGGGGGTAAGAGAGACACTGAGCGTTCTTCGTGCAGCTTAGGAACCCACGATGGCCAATTGTCCTGTAACGGATGTGTGCTATGCTGTACGAGCCATAATATGTCGAGCTTTCGTGGCTGCTGGCGCACGCTGAACCTTGTAAAGTCTCTATAGACTTCTCGCACAGGCTTGGAATAGTTTGGTCTCAGGGCAGCAGGCCTGAGGAAGTTGATATCCGGCCCGAGTGAGTTCACCTTGTCCGAGAGCCATATGACCCCGCGCCGGAGGAGCGACAAGGCCCTCGAATTATGCGCACCTTCGACTTGGGTCAGTGCCAAAACAGGCTGCAATCCTTCGTCCGAGATCCCAAGCAGAGCAAAGATCCGATCGCGGGGATCGGTGCATTTGAAGTTGCGGATCCCTCCAAGTAAAGTGAACATCTTGCCGACAGATCCCTCCACGAATTGCCGTTTTCGCGACACCAAGATCTTCCGTCTGGCAAGGACAAAGGTACTCCAGAAAGACACCGTACCATCCGGATAATCCAGGCCCTGAGCATCCAGGATAACCCCGCGGAAATTACAGACGTAGGTCTGCAGCGAGAGCAGATCAAAGAAATCCATCTCGTGCTGACCGCATTTCGCGATGCAGCGTTGCGAGGCGACGACCTCCTGTATACACCACACGCGCTCAAAGTACTGCCCTGCAAAAAGACGAGCGAGTGCATCAGTCGCCCGTGGCTCTGACGCCATCGATTCAAACATGATAACGTCCGCTTCAGTCTTCATCGAGTAGAGTGTCCGCCCATCGGTTGCACTCGTCGCGGTTTCACTGATATCCTTCTGCAACTCGGAAAATCTCCTCGCAAAATCGAACGCTTCTGCTGTCTCTGGCACACCAGGGCCAAGCCATGCAATGACCGCGACTGCATGCTTATATACTAGACGCATGTAACCCACCTGACGCTCTCGCTCGCTCAAATCCTCCTGATTGATGCACACCGCATCGACCCAGAGCCTGCGGTGAGCATGAGGGAGACGAAGGTGGCGAAGCGCAATGTCGAGGTTTAGGGTTATGCTGAGTTGGCCATTACCGCAGTAGAGGGGCACTGGCGCCCGCTCGCTGCCCCATACATACGACAGGGCTTCCGGAGGCCATGGAAAATGCTCAATATCGACAATGTCGAGAGTACAATATAGTGGATCGTGCTCTGTGCCAGCGTAGAGAGTCAAAATCCGTGTGAATGCGGGACTCTGGCCCAGTTCGTCGATGGGAGGCAGGGGTATATATTGGTACCGCGCCATGTTGCGGTCAAAATAAGAATGTCCTCAAGGGACCAAAGGAAGGAATCAAAGGTTTGTTAAAGAGAATGTGGGGTTGAGGCTGTGGAGGCTAAGATTGATCGGCTGATTCAATACGAGAACGCCCGGCTATCACGGTGGTTTAGCCTATTGGTCGAAAGGTATAGGAAGCAGGGTATCTTGCAATAGTGAAAGACAACATGAGAAAGATTGAAATGCTCTGATGCAAGTTAGGTTCTTGGAGAGCTCATATAGGCCTTGATAATAAGGCGCTGTCGAGGAGACATGGTCACATGAACTGAAGCTGGGCTAGGTTTGATCAATGGTTAGCAGCGAGATACCTTGTTCCAGGCTCATATACATAGGTTCAGAATTATCTTTATATAGTAAGCCCTAACTGCGCACTCCCGGAATGGAACCAGCATCGACCTGTCCTGGAGTAAATGGCAATACTTGCTTCCCAGGATGCAATTCGAGCGGAAATCTTAATAATTGTGGCAATGGGTGTCAGTTGATGAATTAACGACTATATTAGACGGGTTCAAGGATAGAAACACCGTCAGGATAGCATTAATATATGTCATCGTGGCCTCTATATCCCTGCTCAACAATAAAGCCAGCTCATCTCTTTTCAAGGGACTGCTTACTACTAAAGCACACTACAACGAATATGTGGTTACATTGTCCAATATGGGTCAATGCACACCAGTGACCAACTATATATTTCTCCCCGGCAAGCGCCTTGGCTAGCCTTTGTTAGCCACCTTAGCCTTGTCTTCTCCACGAATTAGAGACCCTTGCCGCCTAAACGAGTCATGCCAAGGTCTGTTGGATGTGCCAAACAAGGCTGGTTTCCCAAGTTCCCCTGAAGGCTGAATCTGCTCCGCAACGAGACGGACAAGGCTCATACTCCATGATCCTCGCTCGCTTTTCCCTTACTTTCCTTCTTACAAACAGGAGAGAGGGCAGTTCTCATCAAGATGGAAGTTAATAGCGCCGTTGCCCTTCGGCGACTGTCGCTGAGCACAGTATCTAGCCCCAGCTATCAAGCGCCTGAGTATTCCGAGGATGATCTCTCCCCGGACTCTGCCACGTCTCACAATGAGGAGCCGCCGGCATATTCGCGCGCACCTCCAGCAACCCAGGTCCCTGGACGAGGTTACAGTACAACGCTTCATCGCTCGCCAGGTGTTTTGCTGCCCACCCTTCTGTATGCAGCGCTGGCAATCTATGCGTGGGTTGCGATCGTCTACCTTTCCTTCCGTCCCATGAGCGCCAAGTCGTGGGATGCACTTCTAAAAGGGCATTATTCCTATCCCGGATCCTTGGACTATGTCCCGAACGAAGGCATTTATCGCTCTGCCGTGGTGATCAGGACCCTTATCATTATCATCACTCTCCCTTGGCTTTCCGCAGTATGCGCAAGTGCAGCGGTCATCTATGTACAGAATCAAAAGACGGCCGACAGCCTGCGAATGCGCCAAGTCACAAATCTGGCAGACCGTCGATGGTTGGATATCAGCCTGTACAAAGCCCTTGTCTCCGGAGGATGGAAGAAGCATGGCAGTACATTCATGGCTCTTGCCATCGTGCTTCATCTGATTGCCGGCTTGACATATCCCATCCAGTCAATCTTCCTCGAAACAAAGCCGGTCCGTGTCCCAGAGTCCATGGACAGGGTGGCTACCATAGCCGATCTCCCCAGCCTTAGATACCGTGACACGGCTACCTCGCTCATAGGCAATGACATCTTGACGGCTCGCCGAGCACTCAGCGACGCAAACTCCGTCAACGTCCAGCCGTTCTTGTGGCAAAACACGTCAGGGATCCAATTACATACCCTGAATAACATCCTGTCCATGAACGACTCGTTCTATGCTCAGCTTCCGACTGGATTCAACACGGGTGTACTGCGACAGTTTGCGCCTCGCGTGAACTCCACCGCCACGTACGAGACTATCCCTGCCAGCGAATTTCCGTCGAATTGCGACAGTATTCCGGGGACTTTTTATTCCAGATACTATTCCGAATACACAGTATACGAATACCATAGAAGCTGGGGAGTCACGGCCTGCATGCCTGCCAATTTGACTAAATCACAGTGGCAGAAGACGCGAGATCGTCAGGAGTTCTCCGAAACCCTTTATTTGAATTTTACCAGCACAGGGGGATCCTTCGGCGACACGCCCGCTGACGGCAAGCTGTACCGAATCACAGTCAACACCACAGCTGGATACTTCGAGCTGCCAAACTACATGAATGAAGGAGTGCCCGGTCCACTCTTGGAGCATGACCCCGTTAGCCTCTGCGGCGCAGACTGTCGCTACCAGACCTTTGATACTGATATGAGCGCCAACTGGATCCGTCGCGATAACATTACCACCACAGACACCCTCGCCGCAGCATCCTGGGACCCAATCGCAACAGCCAACAAAGGGCCGCTTCTCACGACGGCCCTTGCAATGTTTGGTCCAGGGTCTTTCCTGGACACATTCGCTGCGAAGCTCTCGGCCATCAACGACAACTTCAACAGAACCAACTTCCAAGGGAATGTCTGTCTTGACGTCCCCCCACTCCTCAACCTGATGCTGTATGAGTCATACGGCCCCAAGCATTACTGCCTGGATGCTTATGTGGGGACTCTCTACATGGGCAGCTACGCGGACACCCTCATCCATGAGTGGCTCGGCTACTTCCTGGAGGCCGAGGACCGATTCCCCATGGTCTTCACAGCGGCAGCCTTCCTATCCAACAAGCAAATTCTGGAGTCAGCGACTGGCCAGTGGTGGATACACCAGGACCTCGGGTCCGAGATGACCATCCCAACCATCTCCTCCGCAGGGATAATCGTCGGCTCGATTATGATGGCCCTATACATCATCCCAATGCTGGGACTCGCATTCTACGCGTCTTGGTACCCACGGTGGACGCAGCGGTTAGACTCTTTCACGATGCTGCGTTTCGGGGCTGCGATTGGCGATAAACTGCTCCCTCTGCGGGTGGCTAGGTCAGTGGATCAGATTCCGGTATTGGACGAGATTCCGGGTGTTGTGAGGGATGTGTCTATTCCGGATGGAGATGAGGTTCTGCCAATGGGTACTTTGGGACTTGGGGATGGACTGCCTTTGCAGGGACAGCGTCGGTATGAGGCTTTTAAGGAGAGCGATGAGGTTTTGACACAGGCGGAGCACAGGACGCTGCGGTCGAGAATGAATGATGATCCGGTACAGGGGTGATCAATGCGAAGAGGTGCTGTATTTGGCAATAACCGTGTTATATTGTGTACATAGATAAATTTGTGGGACACGTCTAACAGCTGTCCTACTCCAGCTTTCCATTTCTTGTCAGTCCATGAATGGGCGAGAATAACGTATCGACCAATGTCATTGGGAAGATTTGTGATCTAGCTACAGCTGAGCACGTTCAAGAACTTGTACGATCGCACTGTCGGACGTGGTCACTCTTTGTCACGTACTTGAGCCAGCGAAACTCAGAATCCACCCTATACCTCCGATTCCTGCGAGTATCTCTGCCAGTGTTTGGAAGCTCTGGCTGAAGGCCTCCGCGATGAGAATTATCTTTATTTGCAGGCATCGATCTGAGCGTGACAGCATATGTTTCGGCGCTTGTAGCAATGTCAGCTGGTAAATGCTTGTCCTCGAGGTACTGGGCCAACATGTGTTGGAAGATCGTCCCACCTATGGCGACACCCATACAGAGACCGATGCTGCGTGTGAAGCAGCAACAGGTAGTGGCGTTTATGAGATCCTGGGTCATGGAATTTGCCTGCGCCGCCCAGATATGCGAGACAAGGAGGATACCGAGTTAAAGTTGAGCTTGTCTGAAGGGAGAGATACTCTCAAATAATGGTGCCACCGAGTGTGCTGTGATGGTTGAATGTGCTCAAAGGACGAATCAGAAAGCGAGACCGCGAGATTACTTAGGAACTATATGCTTCAAGATACAAGTTTATCTAGGTTGTATGATACCGACTGCTTGTGGCAGGAGCATCTCGGTTAAATATACATTGTGCTTAACTACTCTAACATTTTGTCCCTAAATTCCCTGACTCCGTTCCTGTAGCTTTACCGATCTAATGTACAAATCAAAACACAACCTCTGCGCCAATTATCACCGTATGCTATGGTCAGTGACCAGATGATTCCCTTTGAGATTCCTTCATCACCAAGCTGGGCATCACGGATTATCCGAATCAAAACATGGAGAAAATGGGTATTCAATAACGGAAAGAAATGCCAGAATGCAACGGGTCGAACGACAGAAAAAGGTAAGATGAGACGCCGAGCAACTTTCCCAAGGGGGCCAAGCTCCCGCAGACACAAGAGCCAGGTCGAGTCGGGCAACTTCAGGCAGCATCAATTCTATTAGGACGGCGTGCAAGATGCTGATGATCACTCGCCAAAATGAACTAGACCTCTGCTGTCTGCGCAGAAACCACCGAATCTCTTCTCTTATCCTCGGCGGCCTCCTTCATGAACGGGCTCCGGGCTCTAATATCCTTGCCCCAGATGAAGACCGCCACAGGAGCAAAAGCCAAGACCAGCGACACAAAGCCCAGTAGCGAACTGGCCCACTGGAAACCGAGATTGGCGTACATGCTCTGAGCCGCCATGGGAAGAAAGGCGATGAAAACGTTCTCACCCAGCCCGATAGCGCCCACGGCACTTCCGGCATACTTGCTGTAGGCATCGACCAGGTAATTGGCAATGCTCACCAGGACACATGTGGAGCCAGCGCCCACCATGGCCAAGCCGATGGCAGGGGCGATCCACGGGATGAAAGTATAGGAGGTCCAGGCATAGACGAACATTCCTCCTGTGACGCCGACCAAACCTCCAGCCAGCGCCTGATACAGACGGGCTTCCGGGATCTCTGTTCCCGGGATTTCGGTGTTTCGGAGCGCTGAGTTATAGTACCACCGGTTGGTGAGCAGACAGAAGATCCAGCCGAGGATTTCCCCAATGACAATGGCGACCTGGACATAACCCGATTGAACGGCATCGAAGCCATGTAATTCCACAAAAACCTGCTCGGCCGATTGAGTGAACAGATAGATCGTTCCCATGCTGAAGGCAGACCACATGGTCGCGACAAAGACAACCGATTCCGTGCAGAACATATACAAAGGGCGCTGCACGCTCTTGAGAACGACCTTGAGGACTGAGGTGGTGTCCAGCTCGTCCTGCGTGTAGGTTTTCTTCCCTTCTTTACGCAGCTTCTGTGCACGGGCCCGCAGAATAGCCGAGCCACGGGTTTCTGGCAGAGCGAAGATGAACAGGGGGAAGAAGACGCCGGTCCAGATGAGCTGCGAGTAACCGATCCACCGCCACGAGAGGAACTGGAAGATGGAGGCACCCACAACGGGTCCCATACTGCTGGAAACCACGTAGGTAGTGATGTACATGCTCATAGGCACCGTTCGTGCCCGGTTCCCAACAAACACGTTGGAGATAATTCCAGCCACAGTGTTAGCTAGGATCGCAACGCATCCTCCAGAGAAGAAGCGCGTGACAATCAGGGTCGCAAAGTTCTGCGCCACACCGGTGGGAATCAAGAAGCAAATGTAAATCAGATAGACGACCAGGAAGACATAGCGGATGCCAAAATCTTCCATGACCGGTAGCAAGAACAAGGAGAAGAGGGCGCCGCCAATACCCCAGGACGTGACCGGCCAGTAGGAATGCGGGAAGGTCGACTCATCAATGTTGAATGCCTCATCGATGGCATAGTGCGCCGTGGTGATGATGGTACCATTCATCAAGGCGATGAATGTTGCAAACAGCCCTATCCTCACGACTCCACATTTCTTCCAATTGGGCCAATTGATGGGGTTCTTGGGATCAAGGGGGCCATCCCATGTCAAGACGATGGTTTCAGGATCATAACATGGGCCTGCAATCGCATATCAGTGTTACTGTTGACAGATGCCCGAGGGCAAACGGGATCTTATTACTTACCCTTGGGATGTGAGAAAGGGGCCGGCGCCTTGGTGGCCTTGCAATTGTCCACGATAATCGGCATTCTGATCGGAATGGAAGATTATGACCGGATAAGGGAATAAGAAGATACTGCGCCTATATACATGGAAAGGTAACAATTCCCAAGAGAGGCGTTTTTTGCAGTATTATTATTTATCGACAGTCTCAAAAAGCCGATTCCATTATGTATCGTCGTCGACGAAGTAATGGAGAAGACCTGCGTTGATCTAGGTGCTTCTGAGTTTATTACTGCTTCTCATTTTATTACCTGAGAAAGGTTAGAAATCTTTTACCTCTCTCTTTTTCTTCCTAGCGTCTATTTACTAACAACGTCTGACTACCCGATCTGGATCTGTACAGACGTTTTCTTCAACCACGGACCTGGTAAACCTACGGATCGCCTCCTACGTGCCTTAAGATCTCTTAAGATCTGCCAAGCAAGTCTTGGCGGCGTAAACTGCCCAAAAGGGAGTCTCATATGCCGTCTTCCGAATATCAAGTTATTCAGGAAGATTCGAAGCTCATCAGCTATTTCAATCTTTTCCATTTGTCATGCTTACAGTCTCGAAAGCGGATGCCGTTACCCGCATTTGCACGCATGATGGCGGCCGGTCGAGCCGGGCGATTACTCTGCCCTACGACACTCACCCATGCAAGTATGCCATTAGATCTTATATTATCCAAAAAAAGCAGCTGGTTTTCTTATCATTTACACCTTTACCTCCACGCACAGGGGCGTGTCGCCGCACACGGATTATCAAATGCATAGTCATTGGTGCTAAAAAGTGTCGGATTATTGTAGGTTCAGATATAGAATAAGCCGATAAGTATAGGCAGTTGAACAATTGTGAATAAGCAGGCCTCTCATAACCACCACAACATTGACCCTTCTATTTCATTGGCGGTGATATCACTATCTCACATACGTTGTTACATTGTAATCCAACTCTTCATGCCTTCTCAAGTCGTTGATAGATCATGGCTCCCGCAGTAAGCCAAGGAGCGACCCACAAGCAACCCAATCCAGCGTACGAGCGCACCTTAAAGTATCTCCAGCCCGTCAATGTGCCCGCCAGAACCGTAGCGCCGATGATCGCCTTTTCTTCCAAAGTCCGGACTCCCAATCTCGACCATTGAATGTTGAGGAGGGCTGATATAGATGTCAGCAGGTTGGGGGAACACTGAGTAGCGGATGGGAACTTACCAGAAGCAGCCAGCAGAGCGTTCACCATATCCCAGGCAGTGGTCGCTGTGGCCTTTCCTAGTGCATGCTTTTCGTCCGAGGGGATTGTAGCAATAGCCGGGTCGACTTGGTTGATCCCGAATATGATGTGTCCGGGGATGGAAATGGCGTTGATTGCCGCGGAGGCATAGTACATTGTTGTTGGGACGAAAGACATCTTGAATGAGTTGAATAGTACGAGATGGCTTAGCAAACACTGTATAAATCAGAGGATAGTGTTTTATGGCGTCTAAATTGGAGGAAAGGTTTGTTTATACCCAGAAGGACTGGGTGGCTCGATATATTTATGGATTCCGGGGAAGATTTGGCCTCATTTATCAGCTTAGTTTAGGAACCCAACCAGATTATAAATCATTCTAGGCAATTATGCGTTGCTCCTGGCTGTGGGTTGAGCACAATCTATCAAAGTTATTAGCAATTGAACTAGTGTTCCTGATCCCTCTGAGAAACGAGATTCAGAATCCTATACAAACCTTGATGCTTACTGGTCAGTCTTGGCGAATTTTGATGCTTCTCTGGTTAGTGCCAGACTTTACCATGCCGATAAGCGCGGAGTGCTGCTTGATTGGCTTTTCATGTATTTTGATTTTAACCTTAATACTTAGCTAGCTACCTACCACCACTAAGCCACTACCATCCCCGACTCGCGGAGACCAATGGGTTGGGCTGCGCTTGAACGTTTGAAGTCATAAGTTACATGCAATCTGGATTGAGTCTAGCTAGTATGACGTACTCGACTGTAAGTCCAATAGCCCCAGTAAGACCACGAAGAGCACGATTGAGCGCTCCAAAAGTGAAGATGCAGGTTATGTAGATATGCTTCGGTTGACTCCAGTGGTTTTGTACTGATGTAGGATCCTACAAATGCTTTATACGAGGCCTAATCCTGTCAGTTAACTACTTATAAGGTCTGCTAGTCTCATACTATGACTAATACGGAAAGCTGTGACAGCGGACTTATGCTTTCAAGGATGCGAATCTGTCTAGCGTAGATAGCATGATTTCCGGGAATCTGGGAAGCTCGAGCCTTAATGAATTCTCAAAACTGCTTCAGTCTTGCAGAGCTGTATTCCAGCTGGCGGAAAGTCTTACGCCTTCAGGATGTCAGTTTGAGGTTTCTGCTCCACTGCAGCCAATTAGCGCTGATCAGCGATGATCATGCTTTATCAATGTGTCCAACCAACAACAATAAGATCTAGCACGATGAAGGTGAGAGACTAATTTTACAGGTCGACTGATTGAAAAGCAATGTGACTATCTGCACTTAATAAAGTGGTCAGATACATCATACATATATAAAAGACCGGGCTTATCTTTCTATAAACAGAATAGCGCACAGACATTGAAATTTGCCCCTAGGATTATCCAATACTCCGATTCGACAATCAACGGCAATAGTGGAGCCTCAAGAACTTCCCCTGACTGCAACTCTTGAGTCTCTGGCAACTGTTTTGATCCAACATCGAACCATCTTCCTGCAGTCGCTTCTGTATGTGGCGCACCATTCTTCTCCGCGCCATCGTGATCGATTCTTAAAATATCAGCCGCCATGGATGTCGCTCTCGAGCTTCTCGATCCCCTCATTCTGGACAAAGCCTATGCCTGGTTGCTGCCCTCCGATCCCACTCTCCCCGATCCGACGTCGCAATGGGATCGTGACAACATCTATCGTCAAGTCATCTCGATTCTGATCATCACGCAACTCGGCGCGACCTCCCTCTACCTCTTTTTCAGCGCGCTCTCCTACTACTTCATCTTCGACCGACGGCTCGAGTACCATCCGCGATTCTTGCCGAACCAAATCCGCCAAGAGATCAAATCATCGTTGTCCGCCGTTCCCTTTATAAACATTCTGACTCTGCCCTGGTTCCTGGCTGAGGTCCGTGGCAAAAGCTTGTTGTACCGCTCGGTCAGCGACTATGGCTGGTCCTGGCTGGTGATCTCGTCTATCCTCTACATGGCATTCAATGATATCGCCATCTACTGGATTCATCGCCTAGAGCATCACCCCAGCGTATACAAGTACATTCACAAGCCACATCACAAATGGATCGGTTGGTTTTCACAGACTTCAATATGCCAGTAGGTGCATGCTGACGATATGTAGTTCCCACGCCATGGGCTGCGCTGGCATTCCACCCGCTAGATGGATACGTGCAGTCTCTGCCATACCAGTGAGTATCCCGGTCCCTCGTCCCAGTGATTCTTCAAGGCCATCCTTCTAACAATCAACAGCGTCTTCGTCTTCATCTGTCCCATGCAGCGACATTTATACATGGCCCTCTTCGGTGCGGTCCAGATCTGGACCATCTTCATTCACGACGGCGACATGATTTCGGGCCATTGGACGGAGAAATTCATCAACAGCCCCGCGCATCATACGTTGCACCATATGTATTTCACCGTCAACTATGGGCAATACTTCACCTGGGCCGACACCTATTTCGGGTCGCACCGGGCCCCGGAGCCCGCGCTGGATCCGCTCCATGATGCGCTCAAGGTGATGCGGGCGAAAGGACTCGTGGATGAGCAGGGCAACCCTATCAAGAAACCAAAGGGGGAGTAAAGGGTCTTGATGTCCCGAGAATAGAGGAGTTGGGTAAATATGCATATGACGATCTGACGAAGAGTCGTTTCCTGTACAACCACAAATTAGAGCAATACTTAATGTTAATAGATCTTGATGCAAGTTTCATTACTGGCCCCAGTGCTTTTCAGAAGGTGGCAAATTGCCCAGGACGGTCAACGTTTGATTATGCCTCAAGTTACCGCTATGATTCGCTCCGAGTTTGCTTCTACCTCAAGAATGTCATGCTGCGGATGTAATCACTCCAAGTGGAAACGAGATCTGTAGGTGCGCGCATCGATAGAGTAGTTTCAGTTCTCTCAGTGATTGTGGGAGTAGCCTAAGAGCGATTTGGCTGAAGTTCTATACAGAACCAACTACAGCCCTGCATGTAGTGCCTATAATTATGGACTCTATCCACTGATCATTCACTCCTTGAAGCCCCAGTCTCCGTTGTTAAACTCAGAACTCCAACTGCGTTCCATTAATGGAAAGTCATGTCCATAAGCTTCCCAGCGTGTCTGGTCCGCACACAAACGCTTGATGTCCTCCCGACTCTTAAATTCAAACACGAAGACAATCTGCCGATTTTCCTATCATTTCATGCAGGACATTTAGGAAATACATGAGAGAGCGGAAACCGAAGTTCCCAGAGGGGAACAAAGGAGGAAGTAAAGGCTAGGATGGATTAAGGGCCGGAAAACGGAATATAGATGGCAGGCCCACTATACCTGAAGGTGATATCAGTTGGGAAACTAGCAGCTGTGCCATTTAACGAACATTGAGATACTAGCCAATATCATCCTAGTGTGATGATGGATTAAGCCAGGGCCATTTGTTCATTACAGCCAACACTAGAAAGTCCCGCAAACAGAAACCCAAGATTGGGCTTTGTGAAATGTGTTTTTGGGCTTTTCTGCCGACGTTCAGCAAAATCTCGATCCAAACTTGCGGCTGAAGAAGTGGTGGTCAATAATGATCCTCTAACTATAATGTGCGTCGGGACTTGCAGAGCGGTATATATGCCCACCCCACTTCCATATCAACCTGTGTTCTCAAGGCTTAGTAAAGATACCGAGTGCTTATATAGCATGGAAATCGAATACAATTTCCCATGGATTGGGGTAAATGAGTGCGGAAGGAAAGTTTGCCCCGAAGGAGATTAATTAAGCTTATGCTGACAGCCAAGCTTGGTGACGCGGCTTAGGGGAGAAAGAATCATTCGACTGCACTAGGGAAGGAATCATGGTATGACCGAGCTTAGCTGCAGAAGAGTCATTCGCTCGGAGTCCCTCTTTCTGTTGTGTCCAGACTTCGGATTCCGAACTCCGGAGATTTCAGCCGAGCTATAACAACTAGCGGGTCATAACTGCATAGCATGGGATAAGCATCTAGGAAATTGGGTGACAGTCTGTGCAGCCACTTAGGATCAACTTTGAATGTCGGAGTTGGATGGACTGGATGCCTTAGTGCTTATCAATTGCTGACCGTCATTTACTTTTGGCGGGTGCTTGATTGCAGCACAGAACTGATGATATAAAGGTGAGGAGCCACTTCCAGTCATTCCATTTTCCTCTCACAAAAAGCAATCAATCATCATGCGTGCCACAACCTTTGCTTTGCTGACTGCCCTCAGTGCAGTACTTGTCCACGCCCAGGGATATAGTAAAGAGTGTTCTGATATCTATCTCAACGAAGGTTGGCTAGTTGCAACCTGTCCAAAGGATGACGGCAATGGCAACATCACTAGCAGCGTCTATCTGCCGAACAAGATTGTCAACGATAATGCTGTGCTCGAGGTGAGTGCTCGACTGTCATCACCTCCTTTTCTCTTACGGAGACTAACGCAAAGTACAGTGGGCCATCGAGTACGTCTGTCTTGCTTGGTGACCAGCATCTACTGATAGATTCCGCAGCGGACTTTACTGGAATTCCTGCAAGGACTGCGCGCTCACCAACAGCGGTTCAACTTTGCAATGCTCCTGCAGAGGCGCACCATCTCCGTACCGCAACACAACGTTGAATCTAGGTAAGGTCCTCCGAACGTACGTTGGTGTGACCACTGACAGCTTTGTAGAGGAACATATCGCCAATTATGACGGGCATCTCCTTTCCAACCTCACTGGGCCCGTCACCACTGTTCCATCAGATTCCTCATATCCCATTCCCTCGGAATTTGAGGTGGAGCTTGACATGTCAACACTGAACAACTCGTGCGCCTCATCTGGAGCAACGATCATACTCAATAGCCCAACAAGCTGCTGGTATCTTAACCTCGGAGTAGAGTACTCCTGGGCATGCGGCAACTCTGTGAACAACCAAGGCTGGGAGATTGTAGGGTACTCGGATACAGATTGCACAAGTGACCCGGTTGCGGCCTTTACACAGGAAAACCAGGGCACTTGCTTGACGTTTTCGACAGGTGTCAAAGGCTTCTCAGTGACGCCACTGTGGAACGCGGACTAAACAAAGGACGTACAGTAGACATAGTCTCTGTATGATTGTCTTCAGAAGTCGGGGGTCTGTGATTCTAGCTTTTATTGATCCATACTTAAATGATGAACACTATTCCTGAAGTGAGCAACAGTACTACTATTCAAGATAATGTAAACTTAGCAAGTGTTTTGCGACACTGTGTCAAGTATCCGCTTGGCTGAGCAGTTCAGATCTTCACTATCATCAGAAGCTGAAACACATGAAGGAGTTCCTCTGAGACGTCGAAGAACCCCAGGAAACCTGGATGTCTTACTCAGTACCGGACACGAAGGAGACAGCTGGTATAGACGATTACAATTCCGCTGGAAAGCTCCACTATGGTCTCAGACAAGCCGAGAAACGAGAAGCAATAGCCACCTCTCATTGTTCTATTGTCTCATCCGCCGAGTCTCTGATCCAGCACGATGTCTTGGAAACAATGGCATTGTCATTGTTTGCAACTTGAGACAACAAGCTACGGCAGCAACATCTCCCTGGAAAACACGTATAAAAGTCAGTCGTCTACCACTGACGGCAAAACTCTCCTCTTCATCAAGCATCTCTGTTTTCAGAGCTATTTCGCCCTCTTCAACTGACCCCTCCAGCCTTGATCAGCTTCCATTGAATTTTTGCAAACCACTGTCCTGTTTACCGGGAATACTTCTTGCGTAATGATGGTAAGTCTAATCCCCCATACCCGAAGTACCCCATATACTGACTAACCGATCTAGTCAATCAACGCCCCAGACTTGGTCACCGTCGCTGGCCACCACACCCAGCGCCCCGCCAACATGAGAGAAGTGGCAGAAATCTGGAAGAACATCCTGGTGAGGTTTTTCCCCAACAGAGAGTATGCTCCGTTCCCTTTCCAAGACACCCAGTACTACATCAATCTCGACCTGAACACTCACGGCTACTCGGGCCTAGGCTCCGTCGTGCGCACCCAGGGCTTTAACGCGGGCGTGCACTTCCTCCAGGTCAATTTCACGGCAGCTCCAGCGGACGGGTCCGCTTTCTCCTGGGAGGGAAACGAACACTTTCTGAAGCGGGAGCTGCGTTGTTCGCTGCAGAGTGTTCCTGAGGACCGGAAGCGCGTCATTTACGGCCTGATTGCGATTGGAACTTATGTGCGCTTCTACAAGTACATGCCTGACGGTCGGTTTGCTCCTGTTACCTTTGTAGATGGCAAGCAGACACTGCATGTCCGCGGTGACCAGGCAGTCATCCGCGAATTCCTCGCCGGCGTCAAGGAAGGGTGGATGTGATGGGCGGATCAGGGATGTGGTTATGGTTGAGAACTTGTGAAGGGTAACTTATATTGTGATTTTGGTGCTTTCATGCTTTTGGGCTTTTAGAAGGCTATCTCTTGCAATGCTGATTACAGGCAAAACAGAACTAAGGATAAGGATGGGAAATAGTGTGCACGGAAAAATCGTAGTTGTTTCCTAAAAGAGGCGCTTCAACTCTCTTCGTCCTTAAAAGCCTCACACGGTAATAGAAGCAACCCTGTCTCTATTCTCTCATGCTTTATAGAACAGCCTGAGCCACAAAGTTTTCCAGACCTTGTGGATTGGCTCCCACAACTTCACCAATCTTGATCCCGTTTCTAAAGAGAACAAAGGTTGGCATGGCACGGATGCCGACCTCTTGAGAAATCAGCGCATTCTCATCGACATCAACTTTGTAGAATCCGACATCGCCATATGCGGGTTCATCCGACAGCTTCTCGAAGATGGGTGAAATAACTCGGCAAGGTCCACACCATGTTGCCCAGAAGTCGATTATAACAGGTTTGTTACCGTTAATGAGTTCTTTGAACTGCTCGAACCTGCCGTGTTTTGGAATATTAGCACTAGACAATAGCCTGGGATAAAGGAATATTTTCAACTTCACTTACGAGGTGATGGCGGTAACAGGCATCTTGCTCTGCGGGTTCTTTTCTGCAGGATGACAAATGGAGAGTTGGGATAGTTTGTAAAGGATGAGGGTAATGCAAGATAAGGAGGTTAGGAACAAGAGGAGAAATAACTTTGACCTGACCTTCCTCTTATATGGTTTCATGCAGCATTGCCCCTCCTCCTCCTCCTCCTCCTCCTCCTGCCCCACCGTTCAGCTGTACATGTACTTGTACTATAGTCTATATGGCTAGATTAGTGAATTACTCTGCAGGGCCCCACTTCAGCCGTGTGAGATCCCCCTTAGCTGGAGGGATACTAGCCAGATACCTCTCAGGGATAACCACTGAGCACGCCACGCTACCTGAGAAGAGGATCCACGTCATCTTGCAGATCATCCAAGCCAGGCGCTAGGTAGGCCTCCCCACATATTTGGATGCCTTGATGTCTTACTAAGGAGTGGATTCCGACGATCCTGCTTGGCCTTTCACCATAATAGAATGGTGGTATTATGCAGCGTAATAGTTTCGATTGAAATACTAGGAGAAGGCAGCAGAGGACACCAAGGGCCAAACACTGCTTGTGCTGTACAATATCAAAGGTTGTTGCTTCTTTTTCAACCCTCTCTAGGGCATCGTATGGCCATGTAGGAAGTACGGAAATGACTGAGTCCCTATTAGCAAGTGTGGCAATATATAAAGCTTAAATAGCCTAGACCACATGTCCTCCTGTCCTTAACAAGAGTCATTGAATCACTCTGCTGTCAGCTTGATAAGTCGAGCTCCCATTTCAGACGAAATAGTGACTTTCAATGAACCTTTGTTAGACAACCATTCAATCATCGCAGGAAGCCTGGTAGGATAAAGGATCTCAGCGTTAACAGCACTACCACAGAGGGCTTTGACGGGCAGGTCGATAGATTCAGGACCGCCTCGTCTCCAAACGGAAAGGTAATAGCACTCGGGACCACTGCCATCGCGCCTCGTCACAGCCATACCGAGTGAGAACCAATCATCGTGCCACTGTGGAAGACCCAAAGGCCAAAAGGCAGTTGCTGTGGGCAAATAAGCCCGTATGGCTCTATAAACATCCATGCCGTCTTTGATCAAATCAAACTGCTCCGGCTGGAGAAGATCTAAACGACCGCTTAGATGCACTCTGCCCAGAAGACTATTGACTACAGTCATCGCATTAAGCTCATCATCCCATGCCGGCTGCGGGTAGGCCCATATTGCCCCTTGTTCCAGAGTAACTGCAGTAGGGAGAGCCGACGCAATGGCCGGGTAGCGCTCTGGATCTTGTTGGTCGCTCGACGACTGGAGAGCGTGGACCGCCAACATGGCGTAATCCATTCGCTGGGCGCCGCTCGAGCAGTTTTCGATCACGAGGCCTGGGTAGCAATCGTGTAATTCATTTACCCAGCTCAGATACGCGCGGTTATGCTCTAGTTGGCCGGAGCCAGGACTTGAGCAGTTGATGTCTGTCCCTTGGGTGACGTCGATATTGTAGTCGAATTTGAAGTACCCAACGCCGTATTCGGTCACAAGACGATGGATGACAGCGCTCATATGTTCTCGGACGGTAGGATGGCGGTAGTCGAGTTGATATCGGTTCTTCTCCAAGATGCGATGGCCATCCCGCTGAAAGAACGCTTCGTCTGGGAGCTGCTTTGCCACAGCACTGCGGACTCCAATGACTTCAGGCTCAATCCATAGCCCGGGAATCAGTCCTTTGTTCCGGATCTGACTCAAAAGCTCCTTAAATCCAGATGGAAACCTCTTCTGAGACGGCTCCCACAGCCCAACATCGTCCCACCAACCGGAGTCATCGGCATACCAGCCAGCGTCAATCACAAAGTACTCGGCGCCTGCTTTGACGACGGGATCTATAAGCGCTAATATTTTCTCCTCGGTGGGATCGCCCATCAAGCAGTTCATGTAATCATTGAAGATGATGGGTAGTCGATCATGGTCTCGATGCTTGCGTCGGATCCGGCGTCTGTACCGGGTGATGGCTGCAAATGTTTTCTCATAGTCATCCTGAACATGGCACAGCGCAACAGGCACGGTAGTAAACTCCTGTCCTGGAGCAAGCCTCTCCCTCCAGTCATGCTCGGTCTCTACCGGCCCACCGGCAGCTAGATAAATGCTATCCTTCCAGTCACCTATCTCCCATCGCCATGAGCCATTGTTCTCGACCTGCCAGAGCCAGGTATCTTTTCCGCTGACATGCTTCAGAAGTCCCATAGGGAGATGTCCTTCCGTGGAAAAGGTGCCGCGGTTCGATACTGAATAGTGCGTCAGGCTTCCCCAATGCTCATCAGGTCGTCCGTAGACGCCACAATCATCGACCCCGAGACTGGGCAGGTCATGTTCAACCCACTGGGCTTCTCGGAACCACGAGTTGTTGGGCACGGAGAGTCTATATTCGTGCCACCACCTCTCCGAACCGGTCGATAGCCCACCGAGGACTAATGATGTGAGCTGCGTGACGACGAGATCTTTGTCACCACCGTTTTGAATGCTAGCGGTCGCACGTAGCACGGGGAATTCCTCGTAAATCGTCAGATGCGAGGTAACCAGTGCCCCGGATATACCGTCCTGCAGTCTCACATGGAGTGTCTGGGAGTCCGCTGCGGTATCAATCTCATGAGACTGATACCGCAGACGAGCACCGACGTAGCTCCCCACAAGACTTTTCGACGATTTATTCCTTTCTGTTCCCTCTCCGGCCAGCCGCACCTCTACCAAAGGCGCATACGAGTCACTGAAGTTCTTGAACGCGGGCGTCGGCGAAGTGCCAGGAAGAGGCAGCACCTCTTTTAAGAAAGCGGCCCCATCTTTATCAATAAGGACTTTGACTCGAAGAGCCTGGCTTTCGAGTGTAATTGTTTGCGACGGCATGTCAGGGTTGATGAGTCTAGTTACTGGGGCCTCCGGGATTTCCTTGGCCTGGGGAATCGTATTTAAAGAGGGGCAAATATCCGCTGGGCAGATCCCGGCTAATATTGCGCCAATGAGCATCATGAGTCGGTTCATTTAGCATCTTTCGATAGGTTGATTTATATGACTAACTCTCTCAATGGAATGCAGTATACTAGACGCATTGGCCTTTGCGATCAGTATTTGGTGGCTCAATTAATGGCCACGGCCTTAGCTGCAGGATTTCGATGAAGCCATATACAAGTCTATGTACAGTCGCGTTAATTTGATTCCGCATATACCTAAATACCCTAGCCCGATGAGGGCTATATCTCATACGTCTCCGACAAAATTACTGGAAGCGCCGTCTACCGTACGTACATGGTTCTCTGAAAGAGGAATATCGTGGCGAGCAGTTCCATCAGGAGATATATGCCGCTCATGGTCCGCTTCTTTGCCTCTTCCCATGAAAAAGGTGCAGATCCGCGTGGACAGAGGATCGGTGGTGCTGTCCCTGTTTCTCGAGGCGACGAGGCTGGGTATGTGCCAATGGAGCGTAATTAAGGTCTTGAGCGAGGGTAGGCAGGATATGAAGATTGCAACGCAGACTTCCACTGCGGACCAGTTGAGGGGAGCGACTAGAAACCCTGATGGCTCGTTAGTTTACACTCTCCATTGCAGCGAGAGGAGAGAATTACATGTGTGGTCCGGACTGAAGTTTTTGATGTAGGTCACACGAATAATGCTCGTCACGCAGACTCTGGAGGCTTCGGTCAGTAAAGGCATGCAAGCGATTCAAAGATGACATACAGCAACCCCAGCGCAAACATGAGGATAACCCCGAACTTCTGGAGGCCACGAACCCGCAGCCGGAGCAGGGGAGGAATAGGCAGGACGAATATTGCAATGTCTGTCGCTAATTTGATGCCGAAGCTGATGTAGTAGAACAGGGTGATATTCAAACAGCGGCCGGTGATGGTTGGATCCCATGCCGCCTGCACGGGTCGGCACTGTAGAATGACCACTATGATCTCTTCGACGCACTCCATGATGAGCAGTATTATGAGGGCAATGCATAATGATGTGAGGACCCGCGAGGGTATAAATATGTGCATGTACAAAACGCAGAACGACACCTTGATCGTGTTCAGGGCGATTATATATACTAATTGAGTTACGAATACCAGCTAGTGATGTCAACGGAGGTCCGCGCGGATGAATTGAGACTTACCTTGAGAAACATGGTGATAGTGGAGGGTTGGTCGGCGATGAGTTCGAAATGTCTTCCGTAGCCATATCTAGTCACTAGGCCCATGTTAGAGTCAGGCGAGATCAGGGAGAAGCTGCCATACTCCACATTGAGATAAAACAGAGTGCAAACGTGAACATCTGCCGATTCTCAATCAGCATATCTACACAGCTCCAGTATTGGCATACGTGACCATACCCAGCTTATAATGCAGAGAACTTCAAGAATTAGCCCTGACTTAGTGGTCGAGAGTAGTATGACTTACCATCATCAGAACGGATCCTGTAATAGCGATAACGCACATACAGCCGCACAGCAACAGCTATACTGACGACGGACAGCAGGATCACATTGCAGGCGATAACATTGGGTACCCTCGACTGCGCCAGATACGCTGTATTCGCAGCGCCCTCGAAGTGCGTGAGGTTAAGCTGGTCCATCCATATTCATTACTGAGCAATTCTTGACCTGTATTTGACAGGTAGCATGGTGAACATGAAACAGCATAATAAAGCTGTATCTCGAGGTGTTTGACCGGGGCTGGAGTGATGATATCAACGGCTGTGCTGCCGTGGCTCTCCTCCCATGGTTCGGTCCCGAAAAAGGTTCAAGATCTCTATGGCGGCAGAAGATTCCACGAATGCCAATGCTTTAAGTACTACATGACGTTTCAGTCACTAATATGATATCTGACATCTCCTGACCGCATTAATCATGTACATGAGGCGCAGTCAAGTCAGTATTCATCTTTGGATCTGTGATTTATCGGACCAAATATAGAAATGGGTGGTCGTACACAGCCTCTTGCCAGTTTAAGCGAGGGGAAGTAGAATGCCACTGGCTATCTAGACGGTATAAGTGCCAGGCTGGCCTCACAAGATGCAATAGCGTCATATCTCGTCCCAAATAGTAGTTAGTAGAGGAGGTTGATACGTAGGATTCTGGTAGTCGCCTGATGATTTATCATGGCGCTTATAACAGGGCTATGTCTATATACGACGCGAAGATGCTCAATTAGATGCTCAATCGTCACTCTGCTGTCCTTTCCATCCCAGCCAGGCACCAGCAATTAACCCCTTACACAAAACTGCCGTCCACAAAGCGCCCATCAATCCCACCGAATTCTTCGTCCACAGGCCTCCTAGAACCGTCCCAAGAAGTAAACACATAATCGCGCCCAGTCGCCTCCTCTCCTCAACCGCAGAAAGCGACGGAAACCTGGGATTGGAGAAAAAGTCACAGTAGACACTGGTCAGCACGACACTGGTCAACCCATTAAACTCCAGGATGCGGCTCGTCACAGCCTGTCCGCTACTCTGAAACGCGACCAAAATCTGCGGCACGAGGGCTTTCCAACTAAGTTCTGTGTGTCTGGACGGAAAGTGCATGGTCACGATCGTCGCTGCGACAGCTATACAGAGCATCTGGACGGCGAACGACGCACAAAGCACCCAGCGCTGTCGCGAGGGAAACCGCCGGTGGAAAGTAGCGAAGCAGAAGGAGCCAAAGCAGAAGCTGAAAATGGAGACGCCGGCTTTGACCCAGCGGGTGGTCTTGTCTACGCCGATCAGGCCCAGGCCTAGGTACACGGTGTTGCCGGTCTGCATGCTCACGAAAGAGCCCCAGATAAACACCGCGGAGCTATCGAGTAGTCCCGTAATGACATAGCAGAAAATGAGCAGTAGATCTCCATAGCGAGGGTTGATTTCCGCCGAGAGATGGGCGGCGATCCGGTGGGCACGCGACTTGGTCGGCGGAGTGTTGTTGTTCCCAGGGTGCAGTAACCAGTCTGTCTCGTGTGGGATCGACTGCGAATCGCGATGTCGAGGTGTCATCCTGCAAATGGTATTTCCGATGAGGCTGAGTTGGGAATGGAATGCCAGTGGATGAACATCAGCAAGCTCGACGCGTCTCTAAACGTGGGTTCTGGTGTGGAGCCATGAGCCCATGACGTCGCATTTGTTACATTTTTAGTGAACTTCTGATCACAACAATCAATCGCGTCGTAGTCTGGCTTTGAGTATATCAGAAAGACGCGTTTATCTTGCATTATGCTAAATACAGAATCAGATATTCTTTACTGATGGCTGACCAGGTTATAGTATCAACTATTGGTGGGTGAGTGCGTTGATGCCTGAGGCAGACTGTAATAAGCGGTAAGGAAGCAGAATGGAAAGATCGAGGAAATAGAGATACCATCATATGTTATTGGATGGATAGCCACGACGGACTAAAATAGTGCTTCAGGTCCTACATGAAATGGCAAAACAACATAGATTCCCATCCGTGGCCCCCCGGCGACATATACATATTTCCTACAGGACTGGCGGAATCATCAGACATGCGGGAAACAGTGAACTACAAGTTATTGAATATCTGTAATACGGTATAAAAGCGACAGCCCCAGGATGGATTTTCCTAATACCGAAGTGCTTTCATAGAATAATTACTATTATTATATACTAATTATAATCATCCTCAGCGGGCAATTGAACCCTCACCATAGCACCACACGTGTATCAGTTTATGCACAAGTGGTAGACTACGCGCTGCGCCTCATAAAGTCAAAAGCATCATAACCTCAGTCGGTACGAGGCCTTGTGAACCGAAGGAAGCGGGACGTGAGTCGAATTCTTAAACTTGGGCCTTTGCACCCTGTGTACGCCCGTCAGCACTGCCTCAGAAAAAGGATGGGAGCCGGGACCACCTACTCATTGTTCGCAATGTACTGCCTAAGCAGCCATTTTTCATAATCGGTACCAGCACACGACTGGTCCGAGGAACACGCCACGGGATCATAGTTGCCATACGTGTAGAAAGCCGCCTTCTTTCTGTCCAGATCAGAGCCAGCGACGTTAGCGGGCTCATCCTTGGTTGGATATCCTCGGTAGGCCATCACATTCCCCTGGAACTTGGACTCCTTAGCCCCTTCATTCGCGAACAATCCAGCAGAGGTGTGGTCGCTGTGGTCTCCCGAGCCATACGGGTGGACGTAATCCTGAGAATTGATGCAATCGGGGTGGAAGTCGTTGATGATCTGCGCCAGGGTTTCGATAAGGTCACTGCGCGTGTAGCTCGTGCCGGATTCGTCCACTGTTCGGATGGAGTCGATTTTGCCCTTCCACAGCTTCTCGAGCGATTCGTGGCCTGTACTGGCGAAGCCGTCCCCGTCGATACTGCCGTCGGGCATGTGCATGAACGTGAGGGAGATATCGCGGTCTCGAAGCGAGTAGACAGGGATATCTTTGCCCTCTACCCCAATATCGGATTCGTCCCAGACATTGGGCATACCGGCCATTGCGGCGTAGGCCTGCATGGCGCCTGCTTGTCGGCTGGTCCAGTACTGGGAGTCCCGGCCTGCGTCGCCAGCGGTTAGGCATACAGTGCGGACATGCCGGGCCTGCGGCAATGTCATTGAGGATGTCTGGGTTCTGGAAGAGGATATCATCGTTCTGATGGGCGACAATATTGAGGGTGCGCGCTACTGCGAGGCCTGATAGAGACAAAAGGCTGAGGAAGCAATAGGCCTTCATGTTGGGAATAGCAACGAGCAAACGTAGGATTAGAGTCTACAGAACTGAGCCCATTGTCTCGGCCAGGCATACCACTAGATCCAAGGCCTTATATGTGTCTTCATGCACGATATTATCGCGTATATGCACGATATTATCGCGTATATTGTCGCGTGAAACGCATAGCACCTGTTGTTTATCAAGTGATGCGATTGCATTTTTTGCCCTTTTCACACTCCAGCCACAACGCCTGTTTAACAGACTTGCAGATTTTTATCATCATTTGTCCCTTGTTTTCTGGTTCTGCCAATAAGAAATATGTTATTTTGGGCGCTGGCATTTAGTTCTACGAGAAACAGGATTTCTGGGCATACTTATAACTCTGTCCGAGTGTTTTCCAGCTACACGAGTAAACGAGCCATTAAAGTCCATTCACCCCTTCTATACATAGCTTACTTGATGTCAAAGGAGAGCCGTATTCTTCGTAGCTGCAGCTGTCTTTTGTAGATGCCTTTTATCGAATGGGCATGTAAATCTCACTTTATAGTGGCTGGATATAGTAGCAATCTGCGGCTTCAAACCCCTAGCCAATTATTGTAGGCAAACAATCACGCCGCATCGACCCTCTCCAAGAACACAACTTTGCTGGCATAATCCGTGCTAAACGAATACTGCAACCCAAGGTTCATCAGCATATCGCCCGAAAACGGCCCCTGCTCGTCAATGCGGTACATCGCTCGCGGGTCGAGCCCCTGCAATCTCACCCTGGGCATGGTATGATTAACATTCGGGCTAAGCTGGAAGAAGAACAAGACAGCCTTGGCTCCGTCGTCCGAGATAAACAGCACAGCAGGCCAATTCGACTCCTCAGGGAGACTAAGCCTCCACATATCGCCTTTCAGCACGATGGGGTTGACCTTCTCAGCCAAGGCAATCAGCTCCGGAACCGCAGCTTTCTCGTCAGGGCGCATCTTCAGCGGGTCGAGCTCGAGCCCGAACGATCCGCCCATCATTGCAACGTGCGCGCGGAATGTAAGCGGGACCGTTCGCCCTGTTTGGTGGTTCGGCACCGCGGAGATATGCGCGCCCATTGCGCTGGCGGGGTAGACCAGCGAGGTACCCATCTGGATGAAGATGCGTTCCACGGCGTCGGTGTCATCCGATGTCCAGACTTGGGGGAAGTACTGTAGAACTCCGGGATCGAAGCGCCCGCCACCGGAGGCGCATCCTTCCCAGAGGATATTGGGGAAGCGCGAGGTGAGGGTGTCGAAGACGCGGTACATTCCAAGCATGTAGGCGTGGTTTGCGGCCGGGGAGGGTGTCTCGTTGATAGCACGGTTGTGGTCCCATTTTACGTAGGTGATGTCAGCGCTGTTGAGGATATTGGTGATGGCGTCGATGATGAACTCTTGTACTTCGGGTAGCGCGAGATTCAGCACGAGCTGGTTGCGTTGTTCGGTGCGCGGGTAAGAGCCTGCGTGGAGGACCCAGTCAGGGTGCTCGTGGTATAGGCTTGACCGTGGGTTCACCATTTCAGGCTCAACCCAGATACCGAAGCGAAGATGGTCCGACGAGTTGGCCACCTTCAACGAGGTGATGGCTTTCACGAGTGGCTCAAGTCCATTAGGAAATCGAGCTGGATTGGGGATCCAGTCGCCCAGCCCGGCGGCGTCTGAGGTTCGAGGGTATTTATCGCCGAACCACCCATCGTCCATGACGAAGAGCTTTACGCCCAAAGCAGCGGACTCCTGTGCCATGCGGTACATGTTCTCCTCGTTGATGTCGAAGTACAAGCCCTCCCAGCTGTTCAGCAGGACAGGTCGGTTGTCCGTGGCGAACTTACTTTTCATAAGATGATTGCGATAGAGGCGGTGCAGAGAGCGCGACATGCCTCCTAGACCGTCTTTTGAGTATACCGATACACACTCGGGAGACGTGAGGGTTTCCCCTGGTGCCAGTGGCCAGGATAGCTGGTTTGGATGGAAACCCATAGACACACGCGTCAATCCCTGCGAGCCTTTCTCAACATTGGCAGCAAAGGAGCCGGTGTAGACCAGTGAGAAACCCCATGTCTCGCCCTGGGATTCAGTAGTAGAGTGATGTGCCAGGGCGACGAAGGGGTTGTGCAAGTGCGACGAGAAGCCTGTTGTACTCCCGAACCTGACACAGTAGGTCAATAGTCTTGTCTTACTGGTTTTATACCGATGTCTTACCCCTGTATGCCATAGTCCACCTTGCGCCTCTGCCGATGCGCTTCTCTCGCCCAGTCCCCTCTGAGGCCTATCATATCAAAGTCCTCGCATGGTAAATCCACACTCATGCTAGAAAGTGCCTCGATTGAGATCGTGCGCTTGCCTTTGTTCGTCAAGCTCACGCTCCGCACAATGGCGTCGTACTTTGGGAAGATGGAGTACACTAGATCCGCCACCACCTCGCTATACTGATCATACAAATGCACCACCAGCGTTGAGACATCGTCCTCTGTACCATATGTCGCCGGCAATCCAAGAAGCGCAGGCTTGCCCTTCACCACGGTGTGCGAATCATACCGAAAAGCCGAGACGGTATGACCCTGTGCCTGCCGGATTCGAACGGCAGGGACTCGAAAGTCTCCCCGGCCTTGGTCCGGGAACTCGCGGCGAACGCGGTCAGGCATACCGGTCCACCCATTGATTATGGGCGCTGGATCATCGGGAATAGGTCCACTGACGCTCCCGCCGAAGTGATCGGAGCGCAGGTCGCCGGTGCTCTCGTCAACGTGGAACCGGTAGGAAACATTGTAGCCATTAAGGGCAAAGGCTTTGCCGTCGACGACAATAGCTGTCACCGAAAAGGTTAGAAACAGTGCAGAGTTTTAGGATATTTGCTGATGCATGGACAAGCTTGATCAATGTTTGCTTACCATTGGCTGTCGGGGATTTCTGAGCCATTGTATTCTTTCCAGGAGATCAAGCGAGGAGATACTACTCATGCAGTGACTAAAGCGATGCTTCCAACAGGAAGGATTTCCATCTAATATATCTCCGCAGTAGTCAGCCCCGCGGGGGGCACCTTAGAGGAAGAAAATAAACAAAAAGTTATTATCGATATTACCATCTAACCTTACCGGTCCAGCTGGCAGCTAAAAGTGGGCTGATTCCGCCACTATTGCTTTTAACCGAAATGGCCACGGGGGACGGCCCGTCAATTCGATATAGATTACTGCTTATCCATTTAGGCAGTTGCATTGACCTTTCTTTTCATTATTAGACAGATTATTCTCTTGCTAGTACCTGAGGTATTATCATATCGCTGATTACTACTACCTGGATACCTTCATAAATACTTCATCTGACTTAGTTTAAGGCTATACAAGGTGATATAATATTCATTCTAGCTTTCAGTTTCTCTAGCTAGACCGAAAGGCCGTCAAGCCAGGCCCTCTAGAACTCGTCGACCATATCGCGCCTTCATGGAGTAACTGAAAAATGAAGCTGCATGGATCAGTAGCTATGTACCTAACCGATGCAGATATCCCTCAGATCATCGTAGGGCCGCCTGACTAACGGCAGAACCTCTGAAACACCTATATACCTTGAACGGAAATGCTTTGAAGACTGTGGTACCCTACCATTGCTAGCCACGCGTCCTGTCCTTGTCGGCGGGGGCCTAGGGGTTATGATAATCTGTTTACCTTAACTAGCATAGTCCTGCTGCTATTGTTGTTGTCGCCTTCGGTGATGCGCCGGTCATCACTAGCTATCAATCCAAAATATCTGTAGTTTTTGTCGATTGGTTTGCCAAAGACTTGCCAAAGACTTGGTGGTCTATGTGTCTGTTTCTCGGAATTACAGCGCTTTTGGCAAGCGGCTATCCTTTCTGAGAATCATTTTATTACACAGCAATATATCTGAATAGATTATTGAAACCGAGTCATGTCTGCTGTGCGTCGGAGATACTCATCTTCATACTCAAGGATCAGCCGCCTCGTGAATATTTTCGGCAGAGGAGGCCAAAACATGGGGACCAAACATACCAGCAAGATTCCATGTTCTTGTAGCGTAGGTAAGGATGCGTTGGAAAGGCTCTTCTTCGAAGTGAAACGCCAGCCCATATGACTGTTTGAGATTTCTGGCTGCGAGGAGAGCTTCTCCAGTGCACATCACGGCCGGTAGGGGTACGCAAGGTATCTTCCTACTAGGCTCAAGGTCGTCGAATTTGGAGCAGATATCTCCGACCATCTTAATATACGCCGTGATCGCAAGGAACGAGGTATCCAGATCAGTCGAGGAAATTGCTCCACGAGCTGCTCGGGATAGGCGGTCTTGATGAAGAGTTATTGCAGACCTAGTATACTTCAGTGACCAGACAACCTCGAAGCATACAAGTGCACGCACGATAAACAAATGGCATTTGCCCCACACAGAACTGCCCAACTCCCGGGCGTTTGCTCAAATAGAATCTCCATAAACTGCATCAGTGTGCGATCAAGAACTGTGAATTGTTCGAACGACCAATCGGCGTCACTTGACCGTCTAAGCATCTGGACTTGTCCGAGGATGCGGGACGCCTGGATCTCACGGGCAAAATAACACAAGGGAACCTGAAGCGGCGTCGATAAAGACGGATGAGAATTGCCGGGGACCGGTGTTTTCAGTTTATAACAGAAGATGTCGTCTATCGGCAGCCGATAACTGGCATCAGCTTCTTCGACTGCGTGAGGCGCCCGAAACTCGGTGGCTACCTGGCAAATGATCCTGATGCATCTCATTTAAGTGGCCATAATTGAGTAGAAGAGTGGGTGGCCTACCGGTCTAACATATATAGTCCGCACCAGACTCTTCTTCGTTCCTCGGATACATCCCAGGGGGAACTTTCCTCATCATGTTGGATATGATCGATATTCAAGCGAAGAGTATATCCCAGCCTCGCGCAATTCCCAACGCTTACAGAAGCCTCGTTGAGCCGGGAAGCTCTCAGCTCGCACAATACCAGCAACAACCCACTCTGCACCATCTCCAATGAAGGTTCCCGTTGGAGCTGTAGAAAGGAGAATAAGTATTTGCCAACCTGGTAGATCCTCGTCCGGTCAGTATCGTTGCTAGATTGATCACGTGAGCCAGTAACCAAAAACACGCCTAATAGGAGCATTGCTGTCTCTGCACAAGGCTCGCGATGCAGGTTAGACAGCCGTTTCCGAAAACCTGGCTCTATGATCACTGAGAACCAGGGATGGATATCGCAAAAGTATTCCTCGAGCATTCTCTCAACGGATACACATTGCTCCGTCAGCGCTGCCATGACGAGACCAACAAAGTAGTTGTCAATATCTACACGCCGGGAACTGATATTGTCCCAATGGGGCTGTAAGGCCTGAAAGCTGCCGGGGAGCCACAGCTGGTCCTGGTTAACCGGTACATGAAAGAGGAGGAAATCAGACAGCGCCACTCGGGGAAAGTCCTCGGTTTGTGTCACATTCCACGAATAGTCGCATGATAACTTTGATCTTTCCCGGTGTCAGTAACATGAAGCTAAAGGGAAGATGCGGAGAAAGCGGACTTCATGCATCGACTGCAAGACGGTAGCGTCTTATCGCATCTTCTCTTCTGACTGCGGCAGAGCGCACAGGCATTAGGTGAGTATGGCCCGACGGCCATCGGCTTAGCATCGGCTTGAGTGAAACTCCGCATGGGAGCAGAAGCTTAGTGCGAGAGTGAAAGCGCCTAGATACTGACCAGCGCCTAAATAATAGTTCCCCTAGCCTAGTACTTGTCCTGTCAAAAAAGGCCCATGATTACAATTCACAGGTTGACCCCGCACGGCCCTTATCTTGGCAGCCGCATCGGTGGCTTGGCCTTAGAACCTAAGGGGGTCTAGATCCTATTAGCGTGCAGATTTACATGCAAAGGTTCATGACTAATCATATTCAAGGTGACTATTTCAGGAGCGAACGATGCAGTGCAGCGCGAGTTGCCTTGATGCTAGAAATATATGGCCGGGTGCCTCTTCGATAATTGTGTCGCCTTGCCCATTCGGTTATCCTCAGGCACCATCGATTCGCCCGAAGACCCCTGAACCTGTTCCGGAAGCCCATCTCTTGATGCCTCACCCCAGGGGCTCCTACTAGGAGTCGCTGGCGAAGTATCTTCGTTTCTGCTCATCTGATGACTGGTTTGCATTCTGGACGCTGTTAGCTCTCGATCTGATCGAGCGTTGTCCGGTGAATCTGTCCCGATCAGCATTCCAGACCTATTGGAAGCCTGAGAAGTGCGACGCTGTGTTGCACTATTTGGGGATTGAATTGCATCAAGAGGCATTGTCCGCTGCGCATCGCTAATGACATTCTTTATCATGAACTGGTCATTCTTCGCCTCCAGCCAGCGCTTCAAATCAGATGGTTCACGCAAAGGAAGTTGCGTCCATTCTTCCACTCGTGCAGCCTTCGGTTTCGGTGATATGTCTGCCTTCCGTGAAGCTCGAATGAGTGATGGACCGTTCATTGCGCGTAAAGTTGCAAGCGCTTCATATAAAGCGAGCTCTGTGTCTGCAAGTCGCATTTCTAGTTGATTGACGTAGCCTAATGGTAGGCCCCTGCACAAGACATCAGGAACAGGATGATGGGCGAAGACGGCAGATTACCTACCTCCTTCCACTCTCTGGGTAATTGCATTTTGACGGGTCCGCTGAACACTGAGAACAGAATGGACTGGCAACAGTAACTTAGTCTCTGTAGGGTCCACTATTACATGTATATGAACGGTTATTCATACAGATTGCGGTCGCACTGGCGGTATGTCAGTTCCATGTCACCCAGAGGACCACCACCCCACTCGCCTTGCATTTTCTTTGTCTGCATAACTCGCAGGAAATAGGACTGACCGACTCGGTCTCTGCATATCTCTGCCATTAGCGGATCTTTTCGGGAAGCGTGATGGTGGCAGAAGAACCAGACAGCGGAATAACGCCACTATAAGGACTCTCCACAACTGACGAAACAACGCGCTGAGATCACGACGATTATCGTACCTGGAGGCATGTTGACCACTGAATAAAGGCAATTCAATCGTCGACAGATCCGGTTATACAACAATAACCCACACGACAGTTGCGAGTTGGCTGGCGGACTTGAAAAACTCCGGTGAACCACGTGATATCCCCGCAAATACCAGGGTTAGTCATCCACTCTACCTCCTCAACTCATGGAGCGTTGGAGGCTTCGCAGGTGTTTCGCAAACAATTTTCAGATTATGATCGTGGATACGGATCAATTATGGCCACGCCGTCTTCATCTGTGACCGGTCTGGCTGGGTGCGACGACTTGCCATGGCAGCATGATGGCCGGCCACCCAAAAGGCGTAAAGGGGTTTCAATCACAAGCACGTGCCGGCCGTCGCCTCGAGAGATTGGAATCATGAGAGAGACAGAACGGGATGATTCCGCAACCTTTCTGGGCAGTTCCAGTGGCATTCACTTTATCCGCACAGTTTACAATGCATTTGCCAAGCGTTCAGCGGTCTTACAGGAAGCGCGAGTCAGGAACCAGAGCTTAGTGCCTGGCGAAGACGATCAGTTACAAAGAAGTCCTGGCAAGTCGCACGGGCTGGATGAGCTCTGTTTGAAATACGAGTTATCTCTTCAAAATCCTGAGTCGGTATCATTTGAGAGCCTCGTGGGTTGGTCGCGGAGCTACTTTGAGTATTGGCATCCCATCTTCCCGTTCCTGCATGCACCGACCGTATTGGAAACGATGGAGAGACTCAGTGAGAGAGGGATCGAGTCACTTGACCGTGCTGATCTAGCTATATTACGCTCTATACTTTCTATATCGGTGATTGATAACCGCCAGGCGCAGAACTCTGGTATGACAGCGGACCCGATCCCTTCTGCCCTGGTGTATCGAACCGTGCAAGAGGCGATGGAAAGCATCCATGGTTTGCTGCTGGAGCCCTCAACGCTTCCGTTGCTGCAGGCAGTATTCAGCGTCCAGCTAGTACTGACGTCTGTGTTACGTCTCAATACAGCTTCCAGGGTCGGGGGATTGATCAGTCGAACTGCGTTTCATCTAGGTCTCCATCGTTGTCCTGCACGATTCTCGTGTTTCAGCCGTGAGGATGCAGATATTCGCCGTCGCCTTTTCTGGTCGATTTATTGTCTAGAAAGATATTTGTCCCAGGCTCTGGGAACACCGCCTAGTATACAGGATGACGACATCGATGTCTGCTATCCAGCGAGTGAAAGACACGGAGAAATAGGGAAGTTGCAGCAGGCGAAAGGCTCTCACAGCCACTTGCGATTGTTTACCCATCTCGCCAAGTTTGCAAGGCTCAGGGGTCTTATACTGGAGCTCCGCAACAAATCCATCCTGCACAGTCGTAATAATACCCTCGAGGCTACGTACGTCAACGGTGAACTTGCGCAATGGTGGAACGAGGTCTATGACGACGTTTATCCCATGGGAGAGCAGCTAGAATGTCCGTCCGAGCACGAACCATCTTTGCAGCCTTACCACCGCTTACTGCTTGTGGTCCTCAGGCATGAAGCCATCATATCAATGAATCGGCCCTTACTCGCTGCTGAAAGACTCTCGCCGGAATACAAACCAGCCCTACAGTCTTGCATTGAGTCTTCGCGGTCCCTGATTTCAGCTTTGAGGGCATACTTGTTGACTCCTAACAGTAGTCAAAGTGGCCAAGATGCAGCAGATAGTGGCCAACACCAAGCGCCATTGACTTGGCCATCGTTTACCTGGGCTACTTGGATGGCCTGTCTCATCTTAATGTACGCCGCATCTGAGGGCGAGTTTTCAACTACAAGTGCCCTAAAATATGCTAAACTCGGTATATCTATATTGGAAAATCTCTCACTGCGGAAGAGTAGCTGGCCGGAAACCTGTATCGAAGCAATCAGAGGCATGGAGTCGGCTTTGAAAATCAAGCTAGATTCTAATTCTAGGGAACAGACTCCGGTACCCAGGACTTTTCCCAGACGCACACAGCGGACCACATTGTCAGCTTCAAGCGAGCGTCACATTGAAATAGAGCCAAATAGTAGAATGGGTCCATTCCCAGTGCAGGATGAGAGCATGTCGCGAGCAGACCTCCTGTCTTCACCTTTGACGCCGAGAATGAGTGCTTCAAACATTACCGAGAGGACATCTGGGCTATCCACCCCAGCACATCAGCAACGGCCGATGCCAAACCAGGCCCATCACCCGTCGAGTTATGATCTGCATAATGACCAATCCAGCCTCGGCGTAGAAACTGACAATATGAACGACTTGAGCTCCGCTGGTATGATATTCGGAGATACGATGGGCTCACAATTTCCCTATGCGGTCGCTGCCGGTCAGGACATCGCTTCTTTTGCGACGGCTGACCCGTGTGGTATAAACAATCTATGGAGTATCGCGGACTGGCCTTGGATGATTCACGAAAACTTTTCATGATTTACCATTTGTCAGTGATATAGTCTCGCCGTCGACAAATAGAGGAAATATTATTCTTTGGTTGGAAATGCTGTTCCCAATATCAACAGACTAGGTGAGCGTTTTGAAGATCTTATAGAGATTTTGAGCATGTGGTTCATACAGGAAAGTATATATAAACGAAGGAGGTGGACAGTTTGTTGAGGAAGAGGATGATTGATTTCTAGTCAATTCCTCAGTTCTTACACAAAGGTAACGGAATATGTTTTGAATAATTTCCACTCAATTGCCAACCCGGTCGGCAACTCTTGCTTCATTGTAGATATATCCTGGTGCTCAAAAGAGGGGGGGATTGTGGACATTTCCTAGTCCTGTGCGTTGACACCGGAGGAGAACAACCCCGCTCGCTCTATTCTCCGGACTTGACAATGTCCGGCACGATCACCACTAAAAGTGCGGGAATCGTGAGGAGAGTTATAATTTTGACTGCGATATAATAGAAAGAGTTACCCACCCCGCACTGTATAACTTCATTGAATCTGTCAAGTCATCCGAGAACTCTATATTCCGTAGACACTGTCAAAATGTCACCCACCGTTCTCCCTAACAAGACTTATAACATCGCTGCCATTCCCGCCGACGGCATCGGTCCCGAGGTCATCGGGGCCGGTATCACAGCTCTCAATGCCCTCAGTGAAACCCTCAACACCTTCAAGCTCAACTTTACCACCTACGACTGGAGCTCGGAGACCTACAAGAAGACCGGCCAGTACATTCCTGACGGCGGTCTGGAAGAGCTGAAGAAGCACGACGCAATCCTATTTGGAGCCGTCGGTGCACCTGGTGAGTCAATCATACATTAGACGCAATCGCGCTTATTGACGACGACAGACGTCCCCGACCACATCTCACTCTGGGGTCTCCGCCTGGCCATCTGCCAGCCGCTACAGCAATACGCCAATGTCCGACCAACCAAGATCTTCCGCGGCACGGAGTCGCCTCTCCGCAAGTGCCAGACCGGCGATCTGGACTGGGTGATCATCCGCGAGAACAGCGAGGGCGAGTACGCAGGTCAAGGGGGACGCTCGCACCGAGGCAAGGCGTGGGAAGTAGCCACCGAGACGGCCATCTTCTCGCGACACGGCGTGGAGAGGATCATGCGCTTTGCGTTTGAGACGGCGCAGAAGAGACCCCGGAAGCTACTGACTGTCGTGACCAAGAGTAACGCCCAGCGCAATGGGATGGTCCTCTGGGACGAAGTAGCTGCGGAGGTCGCCAGGGACTTTCCCGATGTCACAGTGGACAAGATGCTGGTGGACGCGATGACCACGAGAATGGTTCTTAAGCCCGAGACGCTGGACACCATTGTGGCGACGAATCTTGTAAGTGGCCAACCAGATTCAATTCGGCTATCTTGCCTTGACGGCAGAAACACTGACGGTGGGATACCTACAGCATGCAGACATCCTCTCCGACCTCGCTGCAGCGTTGGCTGGGTCCATTGGGATTGCCCCCACCTCGAACCTGGACCCCACGCGGGAGAATCCCAGCATGTTCGAGCCTATCCACGGGTCTGCATTTGATATCACAGGTATGGGAGTCGCTAACCCGGTTGCGACGTTTTGGACAGCAGCAGAAATGCTGGCCTGGCTGGGTAAGGAAGTTGCGGCGAAGAAGCTTCTGGACTGCGTCGAAAATGTGTGTGAGATGGGGATTCTGACTCGCGATCTGGGAGGAAATGCCACCACAAGGGAGGTCACCGAGGCCGTGGTGGGGCAGATTCGGAAGTTGGCCGCTGCAAAGTAAACCTAGAGATAACGTTGAGAGTCCGGTCCGACGTTACAACTTCAGAGATGCGATTTATGATTTTAAAGCATAAGCTATGGTATACTTAAAGACTGCAAAATTATGCTATACCATATAATACATGTATATCTAGGTTCCTTACTACTGGACTTTCCACTACAAGCTGACTGTCTGCTTTCGGAATTGGCAGCATCATACATTCACTTCAGAACCTATGACTTGCCAAAGCTTACTTCACAATGACGCGGTAAATCGCGATGTATCTAGTCGTTCTCTCTTGTAATAATGTTATGGCACTGAAAGTAATGGAGTCTGATCTGGATCACTACTACCTCTTATCTTTATCTTTATTTTGCACATTGACTGACTAGCAAAGATGAAGTTCTTCGATATATTAGGACTGCTATGGTTTGCCCTCGGTAGACAGAACCCGTTGTCCAGCTTTGAACAAGGCAGACTAGGGAGTACTCGGCCTATAAAGTATGACCGCAGCATGAAGCCATACTGTTTACTAACTCCAAACATAGCACACCAGACCAGTCCAATGCACCCTGCTGGAATGTCAATAATCCCCAGGTTTTTACCATCACTGTGTGTGGTTCGGACACTGCAGCGGATGGCCAACAGCTTGCTACGTCCTCAGTTAGTACTGAATTGCCCACCGCGATAGGAATTGGCTTTCCTCAGGTCCCAGGTGCCTCCTATGAGTACTTCATAGAGCCAACCATGGGGTACCTCTGTCTTGCACCTACAAATGGCGCTGCAATGCTACAACTGTGCGTTGAAACAGATCCCTACTGGTGTGTGGACCCTTTCGGTATGGGACCGTGGGTGCAAGCAGCTGGGTGGTGGAGGGAAATAATGGCTACCCTAATCAATTGCTCTCTTGTGCCATTGACGAGAATCAAATCTTGTCATGCCAGTATGGTGATTATGATTACCTTGACCTTGGGCCAGCAATCACCAATAATCCCGATTGGCTTGGTTGGTATCCGTTACTTTCTAACAAGTCAGGCCGTGGATCGCAGTACTTTAGCACTAATGGAAGCTGTAATTAATGCTGAGTAAACACATTAGGCTTATGGAAGTGTTCTTCCTACTTTACATATATCATTTGTAATCGTAGTATCTTCGGAGTACTCACTCCCGATATGCAAGGGTTCAACATCGGCCGTACAATCAAGATCATCCAAGACGGCCGAGCAAAATGCAAAGAAAAGCTTGGTCGATGGCGTTCTTGGCCCGATCAACTACACTCAATCCTTCCGAAATGCGCCACGGCATCAATAACAATTCGGGAAGTTTCCGGGGGTGAATGGCCGGACGGTGGGGATACAGTGGAGAAAGAAAAAGGTCGACCTATAACGTGTCCTTCATTGGATTCATCCGCCTCAACGCACATTGCTGTTACGAATTACAATTCTTGAGGGAGTAATCCCCCAAGAGGTTCGGGGCCAGTGCCTGGAGACCCCGCGAACGGGGAAAGTCGGGGGAGCAGAATTTGTTGCTGAAAGAGATTCTTGTCTCATCTCGACTCCACACAGGTCGATATAAAGGCCAGTCATTCTCCCAGTGGGCTGCAGAGAGTTGTGCTGCATCAATCTCACCATGGCGTCCGAATCCCCCAAATATCTTGGGCTCTCTGGAAAGGCTCTGCACTGGGCCCAGGTGGCTCTGATAGGTGCCCCTGCCTTCATTGTCTTTGGATACAACCAAGCTGGTGTCGGTCCCCTGGCAACACTCCAGAGTTGGGTCAGGACCTTCCCTCAGATCGACACGATTAACACGACCGGATCGCTCGAAGCACACCATTCCACCAGCAAGGGTGCTGTCATTGCCTCCTTCCAGATCGGAGCCCTCATCGGAGCTCTCTCTTGCACGCTGATCTCGGACAGACTGGGTCGCCGGAAAACCATATTCCTCGGTTCTATCCTCGCAATCATTGGAGAGATCCTGCAAGTGGCATCCTATGGATTGGTGCAATTCGTTATCGGCCGTATTATACTGGGTATGGGCGTTGGTCAATACAGTGTGGCGGTACCGGTATGGCAGTCGGAATGTTCTTCGGCAAAGAACAGAGGACAACATGTCATTATCGATGGTATCTTCATGTGTCTTGGTTACTCGCTGTGCAACTGGATCGATTTCGGCCTGAGTCGTATCCCCGAGAGCACGACGCAATGGCGGGTCCCGCTGGCCTTGTCGCTGCTCCCTGCCCTTGTCATCCTAGCTTCTGTCTTCTTGCTCCCGGAATCACCGCGCTGGCTGGTCCAGGTCAACCGCATCGAGGAAGCAACCCACTCGCTCGCATCCCTCAAGGGACTGTCAGTCAACGACGAGGGAATCCGGGCCGAAATTTCGGGCATTGAGTCCTCTCTCGAATTGACCGCGCAATCCAAAGGCTCTTTGATGGAGATGTTCGATCCCAATGACCAGGAGCGACTGTTCTACCGATTCTGTCTCTGCATCGTCCTGCAATTCTTCCAGCAGATGTGCGGTGGTAACCTAATCTCCGTGTACGCCTCAACGATATTCGAGCAGAACCTGGGCCTCAGCGCCAGCCTGTCCAAGATCCTGGCCGCCTGCGCCCTGACCTGGAAATTCTTCTGCTGCTTCATCGCCTTCTTCACCATCGACCGGCTTGGCCGTCGAGTCGTCTTCATGATCAGCGGCACAGGCATGGCCTTCTGCATGATCGCTTTGGCAATCACCAACAGCCGCGGCACAGATAACAAGGGCGCGTCCATCGCCTCCGTCGTCTTCATCTTCCTCTTCAACCTCTTCTACCCGATCGGCTTCCTCGGCGGTAACTTCCTGTACTGCACGGAAGTGGCCCCCGTCCGACTGCGCGTTGCCATGTCGTCCATCTCGACGGCGAACCACTGGCTATGGAACTTTGTCGTTGTGATGGTCACCCCCATCGCGCTGGATACCATCGGATACCAGTACTACGTCATGTATGCCGTGCTGTCCGCGTGCATCCCCCTGCTGGTATACTTCTTCTACCCCGAGACCATGAATCGCAACCTGGAGTTGCTGAACCATGTTTTCCGGGATGCGTCCTCCCCCTGGGAGATTGTGTCGATGGCGAAGCATCTGCCTCAGGGAGAGGTAACCGAGGTAGACCTGATGGAGATGAATAAGAAGGGCGATGGGTGCTCTGTCGAGATGGCGGAGAAGGTCTAGTGAGGCCGTGCCATAAAAAATGTATATAGAATGAGTCGCGCGCTGCATTATGGTTGATATATCTGTATTTTTGTTTGTGACATCTTGATGTCGGTAGATCCGACGTCCCATTGTCCTGCGACCGCTTTAGGAGGAAATTATTATCTAGAATACATAGAAAGATTCTTAGCTTTCCTTTCGGGCTCAATTGATTAGGGCGTCCAAGCTAGCATCTATACAGGTTGCTCCACAGCTACCTTCGACAAAGCAGCCCACTGCGCAAATCATAATCCCACCCGTCACTTCCAACACCACTCCAGACGAACAGACTCTCGTCAGGGTCATATTTATGCTTAATCGCAAGCAGCCGGTCATAATTCTCGCCGTAAAAGTCCTTCTTCCAGGCCCTACTGAACGCGTTTCCCTCGTTCATGTAAGAGCCCGTATCCGGCGCCCAGCGCCTCCAAACCGGTTCAATGGTCGATTCGTGCCATTTTGCGGCCGCTGCCAACGCCTCAGATGGGTCTGCGGTGTCATTGATCGATGCGCCGTAGACCATGGCGTGGACGTATGCGGAGCGCCAGGCGGGGAGCACGCTACCGCGCATCTCTGGTGGCGTGGTGGCGGGTCCAGGACCGCCCTGCAGGCCGAGGAGGAGCATACCCCCCTTTTCTGGTTCCTGGGGCTTAAGGACTTGTTGTAGGTGGGTGATTAAGTTGGCCTTTGGTAGGTCAGTGAGCTCTCGACGGCCCAGAAGGCGACTGCTCATGGTACTACTAGCCCCCGAGGCCCTGCTAGCCAATGGGTCGGGGTTCGCAAAGGTCCAGTAACTCTGAGCTGAGTGGGGCTGATATGTCAGTGTGAGGGCGCTTGAATTGTGGTAATGCATGATTTGGGCTGCCAGGTGGTGAAGCGAGGAGTTCATTTGCCTCGTCGTTGTATTGTATCCAATTAGGTTGATGGAGACTGCCACGCCGGGGATCGTCTCATTGGCGCCGGTGAGCATCATGGCTGCCTCCTTCGTGAGCGCTGTGACAGTGCCCGTGAAACCCAAGTCCATCAGATCAGGGATCATCCGTGCCGTTTCCGCCAAGGCATTCCATGAGGCAAGCTCACTGGCCTTCACACCGCGATTGGGATAGAAAGAAAGACCCCCAGTGACAACATTCGCAGGCACAGGGTGCGTCTTCAGAACAAACTCGGTGACAACTCCAAACTGGCCTCCACCACCCCCTCGGACAGCCCAGAATAGATCTTCATTCTCAGCATGATTAGCCACTAGACGACGGCCGTCCGTCGTGATAACTGTGACCTGGTATACCTGATCTGAAGCCAGGCCGTGGTGGCTAGAAAGGAGTCCGTGGCCTCCGTTCTGAATCAATCCGCCAGGTCCTACGGTGGCGTCCTGACCGCCGACAACGGTGCGGTTAATAGCATGCACGGCAGTGTATATAGATCCCCAGTTGTTGCCACTCCCAACGATCACAACGTCCGCAGTGCGGTTGGAACCAGGCACCGACCATGAAGGTCGATGGACGATGTGTCTAAAGTTGTGCGTCCAGATAGAAAGTGAATATGCGCCGGTAGATCTAATGAGCTTCAAATTAGTCGACAAGATGCCAAGAGTGTGCCAATCGCATACCGTCCGCTGAGATCATGGCCTGTTCCCTTCACCACGATACGAATATTTCTTCTAGACGCCCACTGCACTGCTGTCGCTACCTGCTCCTCAGTCGTCGCATTGACAATATACTGTGGGAGAGCCCCGATGCTACAGCCTCTTCCCTCAGTATAACCCGCAACACCAGGAGGCACGCAGGAGTTGTTTGTATAGATCGAGTAATCGATGCTCTCAGGCCAAGAAGAGTGGTATGCAGCATATGACCAGTACTTCTTCACGATTGTGCAATCTTCAGTCGAGCCAAAGGGATTTCCGCGATAGCAGGACGACGCAACTGGGGTGGTCTTGATCAGAGTTCCTTGGATTGATGCGTTCAGTGCGGCCCATTCTTCGGTTGATGGCCATTCAGCGTCAAGGGGAGAGAGTTTGCAGTGTGGCTTGGAGTGCACTGCAGTGGGAAGTGCCAGAAGAGACACAAAGGCAGTGAAAGAGAACAATATCATTTCGTAATGTGGACACAAAAGACACGATGGTGTACCGGTAGGATTCCTCATCCATGTCGAGAGTGTGGTTGTTTATATATCTCTACTTGTACCATATATTCCCCGTTACTATATCCGCGGATACCCAGGATCCTGCCAGACGAATACGTTCCACCCCTGTCGAACTTCATCATCGGCATCACTGTAGACCAATGCTGCTGAGAATGACGAGCATCTATACATAGCTCTCATCACTATTGGCCATCAATTCAGGATCGTGGTTCCTTCTGTGCAGATCTCACCTTTCTGAGGGTTTTCGTCGTACTCGTAGATTCAGGCAGAAGTAGCACCAGCAACTAATTTGTAACTCCAATGGTTATACATAGGGAAGCTGTCCAATGGCTTGATAGAGGCATTTCCACTACCTGGTAAGGATTGGAAATTTCAGTGTCATAATTCACCAAAGAGAACGACCCGCAATTTCATGAACAGCTAACTCCATGCCAGCCAACCACATGAGATCCATCGCAAGCCCGAAGAAAGCCAATATCTAAAATTTACCGGAACATGTGGTCCATTTAGGGGCAAAGCGTGGTCGAGGCCAGTGAAGATATGATGTTAAGGGTCCACCGGTCTCCACTCGCCGTATTCGTACTATTTCTGCCTTTTTGGGAATCTCGATCATAGCGCTAGATTTACGCTTTCCACGAGAATTGAAAGACTTGAAGAATATTGAAACAAGGAATTTCCCCAGGGATCAATCTATTGCACATGCTTTTCTTTCCGGGGAAATTTGACAATTCACTACCCTTTCCTCACGCCCAGCGCGCAATGTCCCTCAACATAAACATCGATGACCCCCGCCCATACTACGCGGAAAACGACATCATCAGAGGACGAGTGATTTTCGACTGCCCTCGGGATTTTCAACAGATCAAGGATGTCAGACTAATCTTCTCTGGTTGCTCAAAAGCCAAGGTCCAGAAAGTCAAGGGCCCGGCCGCACCGACAGGCAACTACCAGAGCAAATGCATCCTATTCCAAAGGGAGAGAATCCTCGTTCTTGCGGAAGAATGCAGGATACCGCCCTCAACTTATGAATGGCCGTTCGAGTTCCGGTTTCCTCCTCATGTTGAATCTCCAAATGTCTGGCCTGAGGCAGGATCATTCCGTGTCGACGAGAACCAACCACTATCCCCATCATTCCATGCTGAATGCCGCAATTCCCTGCGAAAGTTATCCGCGAGCATCGAGTACCGGCTAAAAGTCCAGATCTTCAAGCCCACGAAGGGCCTGTTCGAGAAAAAGTCGCCGGTATTCGAGAAGGTGCTGCATCTTGCGTTCGTCCCGACGGCTGCACGAGCACACACCCACGCTATCGAACTGGAGAAGAAGCAAAGAATTGACCGCACATTTACGGTTCGCAGCCTTTCTTTGTTGCCAGAAAATACGGACAGGTCTCTGCGCGTACAGGAGAAGTTGAAAGCCTGGCTCGCTCCCGGCCAGTTGCCTTACTTTTCCTTTGGCGTTGAGTTCCGCTACCCGTCTCACCTTGTTCAGGGCACGCCGATTCGACTGTTGTTAGAAGTGAATCCGCTAATAGACAACTCTAACGCTCCTCGCATTCCGGAAATTGCCTTACAAGCGGCCTCCATTACACTTGTTGGCAGGACGGCCGGTCGTGCGTCTCCATTACTGATGGGATCTATGTCAGGCGAGGTAGACGAAGAGACCACGCTACTATCCAAAACATCGTTACGGATGGCTGTTTGTGGTCAGATGGATCTTTCCGAGCGATTCGGTCAGATATCGTTGCCTACCACTGATGCCACTTTTAGCACCTTTAATCTGAGCCGGTCATACCGGCTGAGAATCTCGTTGGTGTTCGAATGCGCAGGAAAGTTGTTGAAATTCGATGCAGATCTGGAAGTAGGAGTACTCTCGAATGCTAGAATGACGGTGAAGAAGAATGATTTACCTAAGGGCTCAGCAGATGGGGGCTCCAGTCATTCTCGAGGATATGCGGCCTACAGTTCAGGCGAACAACCACCGCCGTATTCGCCTTCATCAGGTGTTTCCGAGCTCCGCTCGGACGGAAAATCTAGTACGTAGGGTTCGCTCAGTGAATAAGCACAAAGTTCTAGATATGAATATTGCTCATGGTCACTTGCATATACTCAAATTCAACATATATGTGTTCATCTCCAAGCATATGCCTGCCCTAATGTACATGATCAAACTTCACATTCAAGGATATTCTTAAGATGGCGTACTCCACACCGGTGCACGCTTCTCGAGGAATGCATTGACTCCCTCTACCATGGCGCGGGTCCCGAAGGTGGCATAATAAAGTGACCGCTCAAACTCATGGTCATGCTGCAATTCGTCCGCTGGGAGGCTGTGAGTAAGGACAAAGGAACAAGAGAGTAATCAAGCTCACCTCTGCATATTGCCTCCTTTGCCACCATCAAGGTGGAGGCACTCTGAGAAGCCAGCTTCTCTGCAATTTCCAGCGCCCCTGACAAAGCCTTTGCTGGTTCGACCAGTTTGCTAACTAGGCCGAGCTGATAGGCATCCTGTCCATAAAGTGGCTCGTTGAGCAGAATCATGTTCATTGCCTACAAAGACCTTGTCAGCCGAGTCCCTTATGGACCGGGCCTAAAGAGCAGCTACCCTGTACTTGCCCACAGCGGCGGTCACTCTCTGTGTTCCTCCGGCACCAGGGATCAGACCGATTGATATTTCAGGAAGTCGAAATTCCACGTCTATTGAGGCGACGATAAAGTCGGCCTTGAGGAGTGTTTCAGTCAGGTCGGAAACCATCTGGAGGGGGATATTGAATACCATCAATGCAAGCTCAAATCCACCACCAAGCTGTGAGACACAGTTATCTGTCAGCATCATCACTACAACGACAGCCAGCGCATGAGACATACAGCTTTACCCTCGACCGCCGCAATAATAGGTTTCCGGACCTGTTTCATTGCATAACAGAGATCTTCAAGATACCGTTTCCTCCGAGCAGTCTCGCCATCTAATTGAGCGATCTCTTTAATGTCCGCACCAGCTGTATGGAAAGTCGAAGTTGCGACGAATCAGCTATATCCTTCCATTTAACGTGACACCTACCGGAAAAGATGGCGTCCGAACCAGCGATGACGATGGCTCGAATGTGCGGATCTGCCGAGGCTATCTCCAGCTGTCGCAATAACTCGTCGATCAGGGTCTGACATAAAGCGTTTCGCTTATTAGGACGATTTAGAGTGAGAATGCGAGTAGAACTCTGATGTGTTTGAGCCAAAATAAGGCCTTCGGTCTCCGTTGAATAATCCATGACAAAGCGCATCTAGGCAGGGATAAGACAGCTACGGGAATGTTCTAGCTTCGAGGAAACAGTCGAGGCTAAAAAGGGCTCAACGCCTGACTGAAACATTTTCCAGGCTATTTTTGCCCTTCCCGTGTACGGAGTAGGGGTTGAAACATACGGAGTTGCGGGCCGTGTCAAGCTTGTGACAGGCTACAACGGCTGAGCAGCTAGACCGAGTGTAGCATGTCGAGAACACCACTTGCGCGTCGTGGCGTCACACATGCAACAAGCGAAAAAGGCCAAGATGCCTTTCTGGGAATTGGTAGATTAACATAAGCACCCCAGACCGTTTTCATACGAAGCCCCGCGCGCGCATCCGGCTGAATTCCGTGTGCAAGAGTCGAGAACATTCAGGAGAATGAATCCGAGCACGAATCATGACCACGACTATAATGAACCGATTGGTCGAGACTCATTCTCTCCAGACAACGGATGCAGAAGAGGCGTGCGACCAGGGTCTAGTCTCCACTTTTAAAGTGACCCTAGAGCGAGTAAAGCCACCAATATCCGAAAGGAATCTAGGAACCATCACCAAGAGGGCTCATGATCGACGCTTTTGACCCCGCATGCCCAGCCCATAGCTACTCAGACTGTGACGTCGTAGAAACCTGAAGGATCCGAATCGAGTCAATCGACCGTCGTGATGCATCAGTTTGTCTCACTGCCCATCCCGCAATCCTACGGTCTGGCCGTGACTGCCGGGGCCAGGCGGCTGTTGTTTCTGACATAGTAATGGTGGGTCAGCAATCAATCAATCTACGCCGGGGCGCGGGGCCAACAATATTTCCAAATTCCCTCAACGTGACTCGAAGGACCAGGTGTCTACTCGTCATGAGCAGGGAGACTGTAGCACAATGGGCGCACATATATCCTGCAAGGGACTCCTTCTGCCCCGTATTGATCCTTTCGGCAGGATCACTTCCTGGAACAAGTTTTGGTACTCTTACAAAGTCCCCAAGAAATGCAATCCCCTCCAGTCTCACCGCGAGACGGAAATCTTTTCCGATCGTTCGGCTTTGGTCCCCAGCTCGCTGTTCCCTATCCCACTGTGCACCATGCCTTCATAGATCGTGCGAAGCAATATCCTGATGCTATCGCCGTCTATGATCTTTCCCAGAACAAATCGGTAGAGGTCACATATGGTAAGCTGCTTCGATATGCCCAGTTCGTTGCACTCCGACTTCAAAATCATGGTGTGGCACCTGGCAGCAGGATTGTCCTTGTCACAAAACGGAGCGTGGAGATGGTCGCAGGCATTCTAGGCATCCTCATGTGCGGTGCGCAGTATATCCCCTTCGACGGCGCTGTTGTTCCGGATCATACACTGGAACATGCTGTAATTCAATCCCAGAGTGCTGTCGCTTTGTGTACGGGTGCCTTCAGATCGCGACTTCACTCTTCTCCACAGCTATCCTCGGTTCTGATACTGGAGGAATTACTTGCCGAGGCGGAGCATACTGGGTTCCGGGTGGATATGACTCGTTTGATTTGTGAGGGAGACGCAAATTCGGGGTGCTATGTGATCTACACTTCTGGTCAGTCTGTTATCGCTCTGCGCACCGAATCTAAACGTAAGCTAATGTATCTCTGGTCATTAAGGTACCACCGGAACCCCCAAAGGCGTCGATGTCACGCACAGAAATGTTACAAACGTCGTCTGCCATGCGCCCGGCAATCTGGGCATGTCTCGTGGGTCGAGAGTTGGGCAAGTATTGTCCATCAGTTTTGACATGGGTGAGCTAGGAACATTACAATGGCCAAAGCCCTTACTGACATTGGTAGGTGCTTGGGAAATCCTAGGGAGCCTTTCCAACGGCGCTACCTTGGTTTTGAGAGGGTCCGATTGGCACGCCGCACTACAACAGGTCAGTCAAGATATCATGAAATATTCCAAGTAGCTAAACTGAGCCGTGTTAACTAGATTGATACGCTGATATGCACCCCGAGCATACTCCGTCGATACCGTCCCCAAGACTTCCCCAATATCCAATGCATCGCCACGGCCGGAGAGCCGTGTTCTCAGAGGTAGCCATCATTCAACAAAGTGTGTCTTCGACTAGAGCTAACTTACTCTTCTAGTCTCGCCGACAAATGGGCGGCGAACGGAGCAACCTTCTACAACTGCTGCGGCCCAACAGAGGTCACCATCATCAATACCATGCATAGACACAAATTCGCTCAGCAGTTAACCATAGGAAGACCTCTTCCAAACACCAGCGTGTATATACTGGACGATAAGCAACTTCCAGTTGCGATTGGTGAGGTCGGAACTATGTGGGCTGGCGGAGCAGGCATCACGAGAGGGTATCTCGGACAGCCTGAGAAGACGGCCGAGCGCTATCGCTATGATCCTTTTGTAGATGATGGGTGCGTCGCAGCCAGTATCTCTGATTGAAATGCTCACTGACAGATGGAACGCTTACAGTCACTCAATGATGTTCAATACTGGCGACTTGGCCCGATGGCTTCCGGATGGGAACTTGGAAACGCTGGGACGCAATGATGATCAGGTCAAAATTAAGGTAGGTCTTTCCCTTTCTGATTTTATCTTCACGGTACTAAACGCAGTAGGGCTTCCGTGTCGAACTAGACGGCGTCAGCGCGTCGTTGGCCTCGTGTCCGGGTGTTATGGAGTCTGCCGCCATCATGGTGGAAGGAGACCTCGTCGCATTTGTAACACCGCAGTCGCTAAACTTGCAGGGAATACAGATCCACCTGAAGGCGAGACTGCCATACTATGCTATTCCAACACAAGTGCACAGGGTGGATGCGTTCCCACTGACTCCAAACGGCAAGATCGACAAACGGGCCCTCGCTCAGTTGTGCCGTCCCCAAGAGGCGACATCGCAATCCGTTACGGAGATACTGGATGAGAAGAAGCATGTTGTTCTGAGCTCTTCTCGCGAGACCGTATCAACGCGATCAGATTCTTCAGAATCACTCCACAAACCCGTGCCGTTGGCGGAGAAGAAGAACCGCAAGGTCGTTCGGGGAATCAGATACCGGATCTTTATTGTCTACCGGAGGCTTTTCACGCTTATCTGGTTGGCAAATATTGCTGCACTCTTGTGTATTCTATTCATTCCGAAAATTGGTCCCCAGTGGATCTCAACAATCGCCTTCATCAACCTCACTATTGCCGTCCTCGTCCGCCAGGACGCTGTCATCAATATCCTCTACACGATCTGCTGCTCTGTTCCAAAGTCGTGGCCATTGGCGATCCGTCGCCGGTGCGCAAAAATCTACCATCTTGGTGGAGTCCACTCAGGCGCTGCAATGGCCGCTACGGCCTGGTTTGCTGGCTCTATCGGGTATAATATCTACAACCAGGTCGACGATGCACGAGTGCTTGCGAAAGTCTCGCCTGCAACCCTCACGCTGTCGTTAATCGTCCTACTCCTCCTATTTGCAATGATCGGCTTCGCATATCCAACCTTTAGGAAGAAGCGCCATAACACATTCGAGCGCATCCATCGCTTCTTCGGCTGGACCATTCTCGGCATCATCTGGATCCAAACAATCCTCTCCATACGCGACCAGCGAGGAACACAATCTTTGGGCCGCGCCGTCATCTCTTCCCCTAATTTCTGGATGCTCCTCGTCATCACCGCCAGCATTGCAAGCTCGTGGGTCTTCCTCCGAAAGGTCCCCGTCGACGCCGAGGTTCTCTCCAATCATGCTGTGCGGCTTCACTTTGACTACACGATGCCGGTCAACGGGACGTTTACCCGACTATCGGAACGGCCACTATTTGAGTGGCACTCATTCGCGACAGTCCCAGCTCCAACCGCCGTAAACGGCAGACCAAAGGGCTACTCCTTGGTAGTCTCTCGAGCAGGGGACTGGACAGGACGGCAGATCAGCAAGCCACCCACCCACTTCTGGGTCCGTGGTATTCCCAGTAAGTCTCATGTTCCATCACCATATCCTTGTGCTAATCCTCCCCAACAGCGTGCGGCGTAATGCGCATCGCAACGCTCTTCAACCGCGTCGTCCTAGTCGGGACAGGCTCAGGTATCGGTCCTCTCCTCGGGCATATCCAAGTCCCAACGTGCCCCTTCCGGCTCGTCTGGTCGACGCCAAATCCACTTGATACATTCGGCAAGGACGTCGTGGACGCGGTCTACGCGGCGGATCACGGGGCGATCGTGCATGACACGAAGAAGCAGGGTCGGCCGGATTTGGTGCGGCTGACGTGGGATGCGGTGCAGGAGTTTCAGGCTGAGGCTGTGATTGTGATTTCGAATGAGAAGTTGACGAAGAAGGTGGTTTATGGAATGGAGACGAGGGGCGTCCCTGCCTATGGGGCTATTTGGGATAGTTAGTGGATCGGATCGCATGAGTTATTGAGGTCGGTGTATGTATTCCGTGTCAATAACGGCATTCGGTCACATTGTATAGTCGGTCGGTTGTTTGAATTGTATATTCATTAGCATAAATTTGTGTACGCTGTTGGATGACAGTCTGTAAGGGAACATCGTGCAGCGAGACCAGTTCGTCTTCTTCCAGAACCGAGGTATTCGGGGATGCGCAATTCTAACTATCCATCCCCAGCATATTCCAAGGATTATCCGCGATGAAGAACTGCGCAAAATCAAAATTCTCCGAACTGGACAAATCCGCTACCAATTCTCTGAAAGACTCGGAATCCTGCATACTCGGCCGTCGCTGCGACAAGTTTTCACGATCAGGGGCGAAGTGAACGCCCAAGATACTGTTCAGACGCGCCGAATCATGGTCCTTGCGTCTCTGCTGCAATAGAATCAACGAACCAGCGGTCCGGTATGCGTCCCTCAGCACCTCGGTATCATAGACATTCGTTACATATTTCAGAGTCTGCACCGCGTCGTCTAACAGAGACAAGGACTCTGGACTGTCCACTGCAAGTAGCGTGCAGATAATCTGGAAGGGAACATTAGCCACGTGGCTCCATGGACAGTTTGCGACGACTAATTGCCGTGCGCAGGCGAGAGCTTTCGTGATTAACGCTAGCATTTGGCTCATAAGCGCTGGGGATAGAGTTGAGTGAACGGCACGGAGACGGCGGAAGATGCATAGGACGAGGTTGCATTGAGAAAGAACAGACGGGGGTTGCGCGCGGCTACCTTGCATGATATTGGCGAGCATGGCGGTAAGCTGGACGGCGTCGACCGGGGTGAAGGGGTCGAGACTCTCGGAAAGGGGTAGTAAGTCCAACATCTCCGCCGTGTAATCCCCGTCTGGACTGGTCGGCGGTGTGTATGATGCGCCATGTAAGACGATTCGTGATCTTGCCAAGTCAAAGGAGACCCATGTGTTGATGTACTGGGCAAACGAGACGAGTCTACGTCTGATATCATCGTCGATATTCAGCGTTGGTCGTAGGAGCGCATGTCTAGATGACGGGTCCAAGTGTAGACCGGTCGCGTCAATGAGGTGCATTAATGACGAGCTCGCCAGCCAGGCCGTGTGAGGCGACGCCGTTAACCGCAGGTAAGAAACCCGAAGAGCCCATCCCGTGATCAACATCAGGGGTGGTATCTCGCCCCCAGAACGCTGCTCGAGAGCCGACTTGGCCGACTCAATCAGATGCAGCTCTGCAGCCACTGCTTTCCTTCGAGAAAAGAGATAGCCCATCGCGGCCACTCCGCAAAGGACGAGATCGGATGGTTCAAAAGCGGACGGTTGATCCCATCTCGACGAGATATATTCAAAGCAGCTATCCTTGCCAACAAAGCCGTAGTAAGGAGCAACCTTGTCGAAGTAAATGTGCGTCAACGCAGTCATTTCCTCGGCGGATATGATATTCACTATCGGCATCGCCGTAAAGCTGCCCGGCAATTGGCGCAGCCCGATATTCCACGCGAAGACCTGGGGATCGAGTGCATTAACAGGGTCGATCTTGAGACCCAGGTTCTGCACAAAGACTGCGCCGGAATTGGGTCCTATTGACTGCTGTACAGTACTGGTAAATCCCTCGTCTAGTGATGGTGGATGTGGTGGCGTCGGGGCCCTTGGGGACTCTGAAGGCGACTCCGCCTGCTGCGCATGCGCCGGTCGGACTGCCGTCAGATTTTCCAGGACGAGATTCTTGTTTCGTTTCTTGCGTGATCCCAAGTCATAGTGGCATGTGTACTCAGAGTCTGTGCACATCTCGCAAGGATGCTGGCCGTTGCACTTCCGCTTCCTGGTCCGGCATGGCTCACAAGCGACCTTGGACCGGCGTTGCCGTTTCACCTGGCCTGACATATCGTCTTCTGGCTTCACACGTCTCCTGGTGCATTTGCAACTCCATCCCTATCCATACGAGATACTCAGCGACGACTAGGAATCCTTATCCAAGCCGACCGCCATTAGGGAAAACCCGCGATTCCACATGATTACTAATATCCTCGTTTTTCGTCATCTGCGGCCATTCCCTTTTCGGATATCGGGCTGTGAGCCTGGGGTTCAGGGCTTATATTAGGTCTCGACATTCACTGGTAGTACAACTGCAGAATTGGTCTTTTCCATCGTAGGCACTGTGGCCTAGTTGAAGCAGTAGCGACGCATGTCTTCTAAGCAATGGGGAATGTATATCCTGCGTGTTTTGTCAATAATACCGCTCAGTCGATCCATAGCAGAGTCAACTTTAGTGTCTCGGAATCGAATGGAATATGTGATCCAGGCTGCACTCGAGTTAAAAGTTGGCAAGAGGATGCTACCTTTGGTAAGGTAATGTTATGACCAGTCCACATGGGAGCCGCAGATGGAAGCGGACATCTGGATGCTGGCAGCTGGTATACTTGTGGCAGAAATTCATGTCATCACCGGCTCGTCTTTTGCCAGTTACGAAGGGGAAAGGAGCAATATACATGATATAGAGTGTCAGAAGCTTATTCAACTTTCATAGCCTATTCTCCGGAATAGGTCCTCAGCGAAACCGGCTGGTAGATTCGCGTCTCCTTAGAAGTGCGGATGTTGCGGATTTAGCGGATATACTTTCTGGTTGCCACAACTAAAAACCATCACTGACTCCCTCGCAAAATCAACTCTATCGCAACTCTCCTTTTTCTGAGATCACATACAATATGGCATCAGATTATCACTATACCTACTTCCGAGTCTCAAAGACAGAAGATCTTACTCGCTCAGCACAGCGATACAGAGATCTGCGTCTGCAGGCCCTCAAACTTTCACCGTCGTCATTTGCGGCAACCTACGAATCAGAAGCCCTTCTCACAGACGAATACTGGGAATCACGCCTGTCTCAACCAGGGAGGGAGACATTCGTTTGCGCCGCACGTCCAGCTGCAAACTCTAATGCATCCAACAAAGAAGATCTAGTATGGGTCGCTCAATTGACGCTGCTCGGTCCACGAACAAAAGAGGAGTTCACGCTGCCAGCAACATCTGGACAGCCAGAACCAGGACCGGATGAAGAGGAGGAACGATGGCAGCTTCTCGGTCTCTACACGCTATCCTCGCATCGTGGGCGAGGTATCGCGAAACGACTGTGTGTGGAGGCTATTAAGTATCTTATTGAGTATCGGGCTGAGCCAAAGAATGTCCACGTTCGGCTGATGGTTAAGTGGGGGATGGAGGCCGCTGTACGGCTGTATCGGCAACTGGGATTTGAAGAGGTGGGGAGCTGTACCCTTGCTGAAGCTCTGATTGCGAACGGGGAAGGGGATCTCTTGCCGGAGGGGTACGAGGTGCAGGAGAAATTCTGTGCGCGGAGTGGTCATGTTATGCTGCAGCGGTTTACCAGAGATCGTGTATAGAGAACGGCACAAGTTGGCCAGCATGGATGCTTTCACGGTTGCATCCGGACTTCGAGGAGGGATTATATGGAGGTCAACAGTACCGCATAGAAGAAGGCTACGCGTTGATGCAAGCCTTACATAAAGCGCTAGATAGGCCATCGTTCTTTCTAAACAAGCATAGAAGCGCAAAGGAATCTATACTTTGGTCGCTGTCAGAAACATCAAACGAAATATATACAGACATATGAACTCGCTCAAGAGAAAGACGTTATAAGGCAGGATAAATAAGAAAGGATAAAAGAGAGCAAGCAAATGCGGCTTTAACAGCGGTTGGAAGGGACCAGAAGAAAGAGTGTATACCCAAATCAAGAAAAATGAGTTAAAGAGAGTAAGCGTCCTAGAACAATTACGCATTGTTAGAAAGGACTTTCGCTGGGACAGTACAGATCATTGAGGGACCGAAGGCTTAGAACGGTGATCGAATAACAGTTTCCGGATGCTGATGTTGGCAACATGAGCCATAGCGATGATCGGTCGTGGTTCCGGGATCTTCGACGGAAATATAAGATAGAGGGGCGAATCCTGCACTTCATCCGGCTTGAACTTGTCAAAATATGTCTTCTTTCCACCGATTGGGAGTCGTTGAAATGTATATCGATATATCTGGCGGGTTAGATGCGCGAGAGGACTAGGCATTCCTGATACCTCTGCCAACGAGTCGGAAGGCTCATAACCAAAACTAAGATATGAGACCCCAATCTGCCTCAGCCAAGCCATTGACGCAAATATCAACAAATCGCTGATCCCTTTTGGCGCTCCAGGAGCAGCGATACACGGATCGACGTGATATCCGGCCTTTCCACCGATCCATCGTAAGGCTGCGAACCCGTTGACCTTCCCGTCTTGCCCTCGAGTATAGATATATGTCATGAGGTTTGGCATTAAGAAGGGATCATACTCTGTGATGAATGCTTGAAGTCTCCCCGACTTGTTGCGGGCCATGCGCCACTCATCGTAGATTGTACACAACTCGATCTCCAACTCATAATCCGTCTCCAGGGAAGGAGTATAAATGTGCAGGGTAATGCCGCCTTTGCTGGGGTTGAGGAGCTGTCGGTTCTGAGTGAGGATGCGTTTTCCGTTGGTCTCGTGGATTACCTCGTTTGTCAAAGGATTCAATACCCGCTCTTTACCGAATTGCAAGACTGTCCATTTCTTGTTGCGTGCTTTGACATAGCTCACAAGCATATCTCCTGCTCCCAGGAACGAAATATCCCAGCGTTGTCGACGTCGGTAACGGTTGAACTCTTCAAGAACGGTAGATATCTGGGTTGGCTCGCACATAGGATCGCCCATCACTATCGCGACCTTGTTCAGAACCTTGAAGCATAAACCCCCGGTGCGATCTCCATTCACAAAGACGTAGTAGCTGGGGTCGAGCAGCCCCATATGTGAAGCTTGGCCATATTGAATTGCGAGTCGTTCCACGTCTTCAAGGGGGACAAGTCCGTCAAAGCTGACGATGCGTTTATAGGGGAGGGATTTTTGGCTGGCGTTGATGGAGATGTTTCGTTGGCTATGCGCATACTCTTCGCTGATGCAGCTAGAGCCGGTGGGCAAGGTGTCATAGGATCTAGCAGAAAGGGTATCGTCGGATGTGCTCATGCTACTGCGTGTGCTACCACTGGAACGACCGGTGTGACTGGGAACTGACAGCCAGGCTGATGGAGGCGTTTTCACAGGGGGCTCATGGTGCTCAAACTGGTCGTGAGACATATGGTTGACGTCCTTTGTGAAACGGGCATGACCGTGACATAATGACTGTCCGATGGTTTCAGCCAGCAAGACCCTTCTGCACCCTTCTGTTTTGTTACACTCAGCCCGACAGCCTTTACTCCGTTCTTTGTTGGTCTTCGTGGTCTTCTTGGGGGTGTCGGGTCTTCCACTTAAACTGGACGGGGTATTATTAGGCGCCATACTGAAGGATAAGTCGTTTCGAGTCTTATAGAACAATGGCGACTTGTAGGATCGAAACCTTGCGTAGGTTCAATGGGTCGAACTCGTAATACAAAGCAGACGCAAAGAAGAGGGAGCAGAACATAGATTTTAATGACCGTAGGTTTCAGCCTAGCCAGGCCATGCTCTCCAAAACCCTGGTACTCAATATATCCAGGCAAGGCGCAGGGCTGCCCAAGTCGGATGGGCCGGTACGGCAACCCCAAGCCACTCCAGATTTGGTAAAAAGTGGTCATGCTCTTCGGAATAACCCAGTCTCCCAGGTGGCAATGGCCAACAGAAAGCTTTCAACCCAATATCCACCGTTTCTTGTTCCAGCTGCTTGCTCTCGTTTGCTTGGGTGGCTCGGGTGGCTAGCAGGATGCTAGCCTTTTCAAGAAATCATTCCATCCCTCTTGTTATTGCCCTACTGTCGGGGAAGTCAGAGGCTCGCTAGAAAATGTTGCAGCCTTACGGCTGGACAAGCTTTGATTAACTAGGTGCATACTCCGCGATCTAGCAAAAATAGGGCACTGTTTGAAGCTCTACATGTAACATCTATGTTCTCTGTTTTGACTAGACAGGGAAACTGGTATTGAATATTCGAGATAGCCGTTCAATTGTCTACGCTTCTTTGGAGCCAACTCACAGTCCAGGCAAGTCAGGAAGAAATTAGATACTACCTAGTAACGGAATATTTAGGGAGCAACCAATACGTTGATCTCAAAATAGGGGCCAATGTGGAGTGAGAAATAAGCTTCGCATAGCCGTATCCAAGGCCAATCGTTCCGAGGATCAGGGGACTGGAAGCTAGGCAGCACGATTTATGATTTGATAGATCTGTCTGGACCCTATTTCAGGGACTTGTTCAGGTTCGGGTTTTGCCGCCAATTCACCATTGGATGCTGGAGTCCGCGGAACCCGAACTCCAGGCAACCATAAATATTCAATCCTCCCATCGAAGACTTGACATGTCAAGAAACAGGGTACAGTAGCCGTTTCTGCAAATCATAAGGCTTCATACCTTCTCAAACACAAACATGACGATAATAACCAAGGGGTCTCTTTCTGTATTTTGTCATATGTTATCGTTAAGACTTGGCGTAGTGTCTTAAAGAGTCTCTGACTTAGATGCTTTCCTCCAACTAAAGCCTTCATCATTCACTGACTCTGACGTGGATAAACAATTTTCCGATCTAATTGAACGCCTCGATACCGTAAATCAGAAATATAGCCCAAATAGTCCGATATCAGTCAATACCTCAAGCCACCCGCCTGCAGACATCCAGCTATCTCCTCGCAATCCTCAATCAACTCGCTTACTAAATTGGCTCACAGAGTGTTTTACCACACCAAGAAAGAGCGTGAGAAACTCCTTCCTACCATCACGTTCGACGAGGTCGTATTCTGCAGACCGATAGATCCGTAAATGCTCGGAAAGCTCTCGGCCCTCACAGAGCGCTCGGAGATATGAGCCGGTGGCAACTACCTTTGTGACTTGCACGGAGGTTCGCCGAAGATTGAAAACAAAGGATAAGTATTCATGAGGAGTCTGGTTCCGGTCAAAAGCCGCAAAGCAAGAAAGAGCCCGAAAGGAATCTCACACTTCATTCTATGTTCAGCCTCGGATCTCTTGACGGTCTGGATAATGGTTAGCGGCTGAAGCAGGTATCATATCTGGGGCACTCACATTGCAAAATATCAGCGGGTGGAAAAGTTGTCCTTGTGGATTCCCTCCAGCAAGCGCCCAGCCAATGGCTCCGTTGCACCTCGAGGATCCCCGGACTCGACATGTCTTGAAGTGAAAAGGGAATCCGCATAACGGGGTCCAACAAATAGATATATTAGCTGAAATACTGAGAAATGGAAGAAGACACTCACAGATCCCTGGCCTCCGCATTGTGGCAACGATATAAGAGCGCCATAACACTCATAATCCCCGCGAAAAGATCATCTGGAGGTGGTCCGCCGTCGGGGTTTGCGCCAGCTTGTGGGTTGCGTCAAAGACCCATGTGAACGCATTTGCCTCTAGCCAGCTATCACTGTCGGATATACTCAGGATATGCTCCCTTGAAGGAAGTTTGATTTGCAGGGTCAGGAGACGGTAGGCTGTTGCAACGTTAATTCCGACTATTGAGAGGGTCATGGTTAGAACTTACCGGGATCGTCATTGGTAGGGACATTTGTCTCCCCAACCATCTCCATCACCGAAGGATTCTCATGGTCTTGGATCCTGAGAGAGTCAAGATGATTTTTGTGTCCACCTCTTCGGATTTTTGAAGAGAAATCTAAGCGCGGAATGGGAGGCGTTGAGGTCTGCAGACTCTGAGTCGGCCATGTTGCAGAGCTGGGAATTGAGAGTTGCAGACGAGAGTAAGGATTGGTTACCTGCCATGGTGCCTTTGGTGACTTTTTATAGCCACAGCCAAGAACACCATAAATAATCCTCGGATATTTCCGCCAAGTGTCTTAAATTCTTGAAAGACTCGGCAAGACAGGTCGACAAATCGCTAGATCGCTCTAGTTGTACTTCCTTGAGACACCCCAGACTTGCATCCTTGTTGTCATCTATGACAGCAGGCTGCATTCTTCAATATATCATTACCAGGGTTTTGCAGCCAGGCGACACTCGAAAGTGAATTGGCATCGAATCTCGAAGAGTGTGACTTGACTACTGTGACATTTTCTCTTGGACGCCCCGCTTAGATTCTCTGCACCAGGAATAATCAAGCAACCATTTTATACGCTATAGGAGCTGACTAGGGTCAGATTGAAAGGATAGACTATTAATATGGCAAAGCATCCTCAAATAGGCGTACACATCAGTTATTTCACCTAGGGAGGGTGTCGAATGAATCAGTCGTTGATCCTTCCAGAAGACAATGCATCGAGAACATCAGCGATCATTTTCTACGACCGGTTGACAAATAAGATGAACGAGATGACTGATTTGAGACCTTGTGTCAACAAGTATCCTCCGCGGACTGGTCTGCGAGACATTCCAACAAATCGTTGCTGCTATACTGAACAACAAAGATACGCTCTGCCTGGCTCTTCATTGACTTTCGGGACAGTTCAGCTGAGGATGCGCATCTCCAGCGAAATGACAGAAGTTATCCGTATCCTCCATAGATTTTATATTTTGCCCTTGTATTTTGGACCTACTCGAACCAGGACTGTACCACCTTCGCCGCTTGATGCGTGGAGCGAAAATGTTCTTCGGAAGGGCTACGCCACTATTTCTGGAATACAATTATTGCCACACCTCGCCGCAAGGCCACTGGTTGCAGAAATGTGTTCGAGTGGATGGTCATGAGGTGAATGAGAATGGCCCGAAGTTTAATTCAACATGGAAGATAGTGAGAACTAAATTCTGCATGTGCGTTGATCATGACCTAGCTATGACAATGATATCATGCGGAGCTACTACCACCAGAACGTTTTCATATCTGCAGCCTCAGCTCTAGCTCTGGCAACGATGGATATCTCGAATATTTCTCGCCAGATGGTTGGATTCCTACTACAGAAACCAAAGAATTGGACATCGGAACACATACGCGTACTCAATGTGGAAGAAAAAGGCACGATATCTGCAGCAGAGATGGTTGGTCAAGAGCACCTCCCAGACAAAAGCAACCAGGGTGTGTTGTTAAGTGACCTCGAATATCCTGTAGCAGCTAACCGAGGGCTTAGTTTTCCAAGGCCTAGTTCGGCAGTTCATGGAACCGACCAAGGAAGATATCTTCAGATCCCGATATGATAAGTTCAGCCACCCCGAAAACGCAAATTTTCCGATGTTTTCTACGAGACATACCGTCTCACATTTCCAGTCCCTGACAATCAGAAGCCTAATTCAATACCATTGTCAAGTATCCTATTCGGGATGGTCAGGGCATGCTATGGCCTTGGAGAGATGTTTGTATCTCGCTCTTAACGGTACTATCCATTGCTAATATTCGCGCAGTTGGACACAATCCGGACCGTTACCATTCCACTTGCCATTATTCAAGGTCAAGGGGGCACTCGACTGTCCTGGGGCCATTGGCAGAATTCCCAAGGGAAACAATGATCCATTTTCTCCTCTAGTAATTTACAATGTGCGTACATTAGCTGCTATGTGCACCTCTTCCAAGTTACTAACTGCTATCCAGTTTATGAAGGGATCCACAGAAGAGAATATGATCAAAGGCGAGGTACCATATGGTCTGTTCCTCATCTTTGCCGCTTTCAACAAGGATCCTCATTAAAGAGAGTATGCGTCTTTCCTCATCGGTATGCGTCATACCTCTCTTACCTGCGTACAAATTACAAAGCTGGTGGCTTCGGGATCCTACTTGCAGGCGCTGTGTCAAGGCGAGCCTTTGGAGGAGCATTTGGAGATCTACCGGTCAGATGAATTTGATCTCATAGAGCCTGAAGGGCGCAAGGCATTCTTGGCGATGTTCATGGGTGTAGTCAACTACGTGATGAAAAGTTCAGAGTGATCAGGACTATTCAGAAGCATCCCACAGTTCTCCATTGGCTCAAAGTTCCTGCTTGATCAAAACCCTCTCATCTTTCGTGCCCTCTTCATTCTGATCCACGCGAGTCAGATTCATCTTAAAGGCCGACAGTGCCACCTTCCCAAACATGCCAGTCTTCTCGTCCCTGTCCCAAAAGACAACCTCGCCCAAGGGTGTTCCCGCATACATGATATTATCTACATCGCTGATGCAGAATTCATCCGAAACGGATGCGAAACCCGACCATGAGCCAGCATTACTCCCGTGTTCCCTCCATTGCCTCAGCACTGATTTCGGGGCGGCCTCTCTATCCGTCACGGCTGCAATCCTCCATACCTCTCCTAGTTGCTTCTCACCTCTGTAGAGACCGGAGGGAATCAACTGAGCGTGAAATTTTGTGTTTTGCGAGGATTGAAAGTGCTTGGATATGATGCTCAACACATCTGCGGAATTTGAAATCCACTCGTTGATCTCGAGGCCATGGGTTGATGTATAAGTTAGTGTCAACGTGGAGTTGATGATATGCTCCTTGAGAGAAGAAGTGTATCTCCCCACATATGTTTCCTTAACCTGCCGTGCAGCAAGCGCATCAGCCGCACGAATCAGTGGAACAATGACCATCTCCACTAATTCTTCAGGGAATGTCTCATCTCCAGCTGTGAGAACCGTGATACCCAAATCGTATTCCGGCACGAGGAGGATGATGGTTCTGTACCCTGGGACACCACCGCCTTTGGTGAAGAAGGTCACTGTCCTTGCCCTCCGCTTATCGTCTGGGAGAAGAATTCTGTCCGTGCGGAAAATCTCCCACGGCATACCGTAATAACTCCCCAATCCAGCCGTGAATGATACAGGTAGAAGCCAATTCAGCTTTGCGTCCGCGATATCTTTGTAGTTGGCGAGGATATAGCGGAGAAAAATTGACATGTCGTGCGTAGAAGAGTATAATCCGCCGGTGGGATTCTCCACAGCCTCATCGACGTCGAAGTACCATGCATTTCCCTTGGGAAGAACGGACACACTGTCCGGTGGTTTGGCAAACGAGGTTTGAGACATTCCCAGGGGATGGAGGATTGAGGTTGTTATGTATTCCTCGTATGTGGTGCCAGTGACGTTCGCTAACACGAGCCCCAGGAGTTCGAATGCAAGGTTGGAATACGTCGACTTTGTGTTCGGCGCAAACAAGGCTGGCCTCCTTGTTAGATTGTCGAATAAGTCCTGTGCGGTGCAGGGCTTATGGCTGTTGTCGGAATCGCATTTAGTAGTTGTATCGACGGGCTCGGGATCTGTGAGAAGATCCGCCTGGACCCAGTCGCGGGGTAGACCAGAGAGTTGGCTCGCCAGAGATCGGAGTGATATTTTGTCCCACTGGATACCACTAGTACTTGTGGTCCCGTCATGATGCGAGCTGCGGAGCTGAGGGATGTATTTGTCCACCGTATCCTCGAGTGAGAGGTTCCCCGCTGCATGCTGTTGGAGTATCCCCAGCACGGTGAAGACCTTGGTGATACTTGCGATACGATAGCGACTTGTCTCATCGACTCTCTCGGCTCCAGGTCGCGTTGTATTTTTATCCTTTGCGGTATGGAACGTTGACCATAAGGTGGACTTTGATGAGGTGATTTCAATCGAATAGGATGACGTATTGAGGTTGTTGGAGTTGCGGAGTAAGTTTGACAGCGACGCTTCTACAAGGCCGAGGGCTTCCCATACCTCAGAGGACTGACGGTTGTAAGTTGGAGGTGGGTAGAAAGGGGACTGGGTCGAGCATATTGCCAGGATGGCGGGGATGAGGCTGAACAGTGTGAGGATGATATTGACCTTGGTCATGATGGATGATGATGGTAAGTCGTATTGCGGGAGGACATGATGCTGCCTGATAAATAAATACAGCCAGAATTGGCTTACTAAAGATGGGTTGTGTAAAGGCGCTGGGCTTGATGAGCGACTAATTCATTGGTGCGTTTAGTGCACTAATATTTAGAGAGGTAGGGGTATATATATGGAGGAATTCATTCACCATTTGGAAATGGAGACGGCTATTCAGAGACTCTGGGGTTACTTAGCATACCAGTATATAATTAATACAAGCCTAGTATAACAAATAAAAATCTACTGTGAAATGGTGTTAACAAACCCTGATAAGAGGGCTACCCGCCTTCATCTTCATCTTCATCTTAGCCTTGGCGTGCTCAAACCTGATGACACAACCGCAGGTGTGCGAAGTCAACTGCAACATGAATGGCACAGAATTGTACAGGGACCTTCACAGACTAAAGGACTCAGAGTCCACCATTAGAATCCAAGAAGGATTGGGACGATTCCTCTTACCTCCCACTACAGCTGACCTTATTAACCAAGCTAACCGCGGTTCCATTATGGTATTTAAGGCCACTGGGATTCGCGACGGTGCCCTGATCATTACAGAGTACGACGGCATAAGAGGCCCTACTATACGCAGGCAAATGAGGCTTGCGCCGTCTATTAGAGCCAAATACAAGGATGTTCATCACTGCCATGCCACGAGCGGTGGTCTGAACCAGCTGGACGGAGAAAGAGGTGGAACTAGTCACGGAGACTGAGAAAAGCATGTGTTTCCACTTTTATAGAGTCTCTCAAAAGTGAGGTCTTGGATGCGCTTGGCGGCTGATGCGCTTGGCGGCTGTTGGATAGTTCACTTTGCATGCCATGGGATTGCGTATTCCGAGGACGCGTAGTAGGGTAGTTTGTTCCTTGGGGTGAGCACAAATGAGGCTCCAGAGAGTCTGATGGTTCAAGAGCTAGCGGGATTCCGATATAACCATGCACAGATTGCCTATTTGTCTGCTTGCTCCACTGCAGATAACTCATCCACCAACTTGGCCGACGAATTTATTCATATTGCCGGCACCTTCCAACTGCTTGGGTTCCCGCACGCGTTATTGGAACCCTGTGGCGGCCGATAATCAGTGTGCACCCGAGGTCGCAGTGGCGTTTTGGCAGAACCTGATAGAACAATTGAAGGAGAGTAGCTCGGATGTCAGTCATGACCTGGTAGCTTATGCTCTCCACCATGCGACTAAAGAGCTAAGGCAGAAGAAACTAGGTAATGTAAATGCTAGGGCACTGTTTATAAATATCAGGACGTAGGAAAATTCTGGAAACGGCCTCTAAGCAAGCCCTGAGGTGAAAGAGAAAGGTGATGTTTCCAAATACCCCTCAGTGAATCTGAATACAGCCTAGCAATTGGTGAGAGACAGCACTTTTCTGCTAGTCGACCAGCCTTGTGCAAGGTTATGCCGCCCTAATATAATGCATGTTTGCATGCCTGTGCATGCGGGGTTACCAGGAAGAGATGTGGCATCTGTTCATAGGTTATTCATATTATAGTGGTAGAAACTCATAGCCAACACATCTTCCCAGCATGGCTCATATTGATGCTTTGTGTACTGTTTCATCTGATATCTCTCGTTCAACTTGATGAGCATTGAAGTAAAATGGCGACTCCAGAGCTTATCTGCGCCAACTGGGACATCGCAAACTCAGAGTGCAAGAAAGAAGGCAGATACACGTGCAAGAACTGTCATCTCGTCCTTGTGAGTTCATCCATGTTCATACACATTTTCTGTATATATGCTTGTCCTGACAGATCTGACTTTGTAGTACTGCGGTCCAGTATGCCAGAAATTGCACTGGACGCAACACAAATCCGAATGTAAATCGCCTCTTAATAAAGGAACATGGCAGCCCGCTTGGCTTCTAGAGAACCGAAAGCCTTCGTTTATCGCAGAAGGGCTCGGACAACAGTTTGGGACGAAGAAGTACCTCTGGGGTAACATCCCTGCATCCGACATCCTTCGACTTGGATCAAATGAAGGGGAAGAATATGGCGGAGTGATACGCATCTTGTTTGCTGGTATGTGCTTGATTTCAGTTTGCTACTGATGCTCATACGACCCCTTGTCTGGAGCTGATGAGCCAATCCATTGTCCATAGCTTCAGGAGATCTTCGAAATGTTGTCAAGACGATTGCCCAGCTTCCGAGTAGCTATAGCTACCCCCTCGAACTTACGATAAACGACCGGGATTTCGAAATTGTGGCTCGAAACATTATCTTGCTTCTTATTGCCCTAATAGTTGATCAAGTTGATGAGGCAGTTGATTGCATCATTCACCTCTGGTACTCGGCTCTCGTACACGAGTCGCACGCTGACCTCCTCCGACATCGAATTCGACCTCTCGTCGAGGATGTCTGCAACAAGATCAAAGACAAAAAGCCCGGTAGCCTCTTAGGGAAGACATGGACATTTGGACGGCACTCTCTCCGAGTTGTTCTCGAAAGATCGTCTTGGGACCGTCTCTTGTCTTTGGTTGACCCGCCAGCTGGCTTGACTGCTGATCGTGCACGTGAACTTCGTGCAGCTATTACTCTAGCTGAATCACGGAAGGACTACCGTGATCGATTCATGTATTGCCAGTCGCCTTCGCATCGAATCGCTTTCCAAAAATTCCGGGAAGACGGCCTCCTGCTCCCGTTTGGATCCTCACGTCATGAATTTCGAATACCAAACCCGTGAGTTGGGAAACGACATCACGCCTTGCTATAAACGCTAATAGAAACAGAACATTGTTCCATACAGCTAATGCCTGGCCAATGAACGACAATGCTGATCCACTTCACGGGTGGCCTTTAGACGAGGTTGCCGCTACGTCAACAGGCCCTGCAACTGCGGATATATACGGCAAGCTCTTCTTTTACATTCGCAGAATGCTTCGATCTTTCCTTGGTCGGCTCCCGAGTCTGAGGCTCTCCTTTAAACTCTTCCAGCTCGACGCCGCTTGCCTTCCTGACCATCTCGAGAATGATTCTTTCAGTAGAATCGAGGTGAGCAATTGGCATCTGTCCCATGAAGCAGAATTTTTGCTCTGAAATTGTACCTCAAAAGGACACACTGATGGATCTATATAGGTGTCCAATATTTCGGATTCTGGCTGGTTGGGAATTCACACCACACTAAGTTTGATGGTACCTTTGCTTCAAACGCCTCAGGAAAACCCACATGCGACCCTGATTACCCTCTTCATGAACGCGGTTGAAGAAACCTTGACCGATCAAGACAGAATGCTGGACTTGACTACACATAGTCCAACAACTAAACGCCTCCTCAAATATCTTCCTCTGAAAAGGAGGCCAACTTCCGCCTACGATCCCGAGCTTGTCAAATTCAACCTTGGCCGGGAGCTGGTCAAAACCTATGACGACATCTTCAACCGGTGAGTACAGATTCTTTGTATAACTGGACCCGCATATTCATCCTGAGAGTAGGTATTCGGAGAAGTTCAAGTTCCGTGAGTTTGCCGATTTGTTAGGGGCAGAGATGAAGGAGACGCACACTATCATCGACAAGTGGCCCTATAGATTGAAGCTCCGACCTGGCCAACCCGGCGCGCAAGAGGAGTTCGACAGGTGCATTGGTGGAGGGATGTCGGGGAAGGAGCGCTACGTAGAATGGAAAAGAGTTCATATGGGTATGATTTGAAGATATGGTTATGAATGCCATCTGGCCTTGGGAATTTTAAGAGAGTACATAAGAGGTATCTTATATGTCTAGTCGTTAGGATGTGGTCACAATTGGTTTGGTTAAATCTCACTTCGCAGAGCTCGTGCCCTGGGCATTATTATACAAATAACGGGATACATTGTTTCCCACCACTCCGCATCCGAGGCTTTGCATGATCAGTTCAGCAAGTCGGAAGCATCTAATTCACCTAGATGAGCATACCAATAAATTCCAGGCACCCGATGACTACCCACCATTAATGCAATTGCATGCCGAGGTGTTTGCGTGGACCCGACCTCGGGTCATTGGGATTGAATACTAATCAGCATTGCGGCAGGGAGTAAACCCACATAAAATGCGAAAGGGCGTACTCAGCTCGCCGGGCGAGCTTGTCAATTATATACACAATCAGCGAACATGATGCACACTTTGACAGTCTGGGATAAGCTAGACGCGTTTATCGGCTGGTTTTCACTTGGTAAGACAAGGGTTCAAGTTTATACGCAGTCCTTAACTCACATTCAACAGTCGCAGAGGCAATATATGCCGCAGCCACAGGGTTCTTTCGGGGCCCTTCAGGGGCAGATACTTATCATCATCATCTGATCCAAGCTGTCGTCAAGAAGGTGATGTACCGTACCACGTAGCCTGTGCCATCCACACTACTAACCTACTTCTACAGCTTACGAGGAGATTCAGTCCGCTGCAACTCCAGTGAGTATAACGAAGATCAGAAAATGTACATATTAACAGAGGACAGGTACCTGTTCAAGTCTTCTGACCAACTCTACCTGCGTTACTGCCAAAAGAATGGCCTCCAGCCACATTTTGTCTCGAATAGCCGCGGGCTCAAAGGGTTCTGGATTGGCAGTCCCTCCGCGGAATATATCGTCATCAACTTCCACGGTACTCAACCCACGTTTATGGCGAGACACTATTAATAATCGGTACCAGGTGGTGGTTTTGCCATGGATGCGACAGCTCCCTACCTTGATTTCTGGCCGCGGATACAGAAGACTCTCGCAAATGCGGGTATAGAAACTGGCTGGTTCCATTGCACGTATACCTTGACACCGCATGCGGCGTATCCGACTCAGTTTCAAGAAGCTGTTGAAGCTCTACGGTATATCCTGGATGATGTTGGCCGCTCTCCGCCGCAAATTCTACTAGTTGCAGATTCGGCCGGCGCCAATTTATGCCTCGCAGTACTATCCCACTTAACACATCCTTCCGAAGAGGTGCCCGAGTTAGTCATCAACGAGCCCATTAAAGGCGCTATCCTCATGTCTCCATGGGTCTCATTTCATCACAATTGGCTGAGTGTAGAAGCCAGTGAACATAGGGATGTCGATGCAAAGGAGGTCACGACAAAGTGGTCGAGAGCCTATCTCAATGGGCGGCCGTCGAACAACTACATCGAAGCAACAGAGGCACCAGATTGGTGGTGGGACAACATCAAGGTCCAGCAGACTCTGGTACTTGCTGGAGGTGACGAAACTCTACTAGACCCCATCAAGCCTTGGGTGAGCAAGTTCAAAGTAAGTGGCTGCTTGATCTAATGTTGCCAGACGGAATGATTAATATGTTCTAGAAATCAAATCCCGATACGACTCTGGTAATCGGGGAAAGAGAGTGCCATGTTGCACCTCTGGTCTGGCCGATGTTTGGTGACTATCATGAGACTCAGCAGGAGCAAGCCTTGAAGCATTGGCTACTGGAACGGTTAAATTAGTGTATGAGTCTACGGTGTAGAAGATAGCAAAGGGAACTGTACAACAATAGATTTCTTCTACCATCTTCCTTTCCAGTGCAGTTTGTGGTAGTTGGTGTAAAGTAGGTCAGGCGTCAGAGCATATCACGGAGACTAGTATTCAGTAAGGTGTCTCAGACAAGATTAAGCGAATCTATGTGAGTCGACAAGCGGTAGTGCACACAAAATCAATTTACTCTAGAATTGGTTCTACCAGATTTTTTTCTGGCTGTTGAGATTGATCAGGCAAGCATCAAGCTGAACTAGACGGCTATTGCTTGCAACAAAAAGAAAGATTAAGCCCTACCTGGGCGTCTATGAGAATGGGGGATACAGAAGACCATCAGTTTCATTGCCTCCCTCAGGCTTCGTCGTTGATACTCCAAGCAACAACCTCTCCCCTGCTTCAAGAAATAAACTATATTCTTGCGCCCTCCAACATGTCTTTCACCGTAACCGTTGGCCTGAGAATCCTCAATATGTGGAAACTCATATACCCCCATAGCCTGACAGAAGGTCTGAAGCCCGTCGACTATTTCGCAGCTTAAAGACCCATTCCAGCCAGTCTCTCTTGACCCTTATCCGTGAACAAAAGTAGTCCGTTCGAGTAGCCCACTGCCCATATCATAGGATACCGCCAATGAAACCACCACGGGTGTTCCGAAGCCCCAAACCACCCAAAATGTTTATCCAGGTTGTAGCACAGATAGTTGCAGCTACTCAGGACCAGCAATGCAAGAATCCCCGTGAAATGAGCCGCCTTCTTTCCGTAATAATGATCGACGATGAAACAGTTCGTGAGGCCACCCATTGCTCCGCCCATGCCTAATGGACAAAAGACCAGCGTCCACAGGACTTTATAGATCAGGTCGCGGGTTCCGGTCATCATGAAGATGCCGACGGCCAGGAAGATAACTTCGGCGAAGAGAGAATTGAGCCAGAATAGTAAGAAAGGTCGGAGGTAAACGGCGCGCCGCTTTTCGGCAACCTTTGCGTCTTGTTCGCCGCTGATTAGGACTTGGTAGTTCATAGGTGCTGTACGGCCAGGTGTTAGAACTGGGGAGAGAGGTAGGCTTGTTCTGTGTTTGTAAGCGTTTTCAGTAGACTTTGTTCGCACAGATTTATACCAGGTATACGACGAAAGTATACAACCGCGTATCCTCGGTGGTGTATATTATCGATTAGTCTTTATGTTCTATGCGCAGCTCATACCGAGGTCGCGAATATCCAATATTCGGTTAGGTTGTTTAGTGATCACTACTTCCGCAAACACGAAATGGAGGATAACCAGCATGCATTCCAGGACTCTCCCACGTCCTATGCAACTCAAATCAACTGCTATTCTTTATGCAATTACATTATCCATCATGACGTCGGCTGTTGATTGGGAGTGGGCTTGGGAATGGTCGTCGGATGGGTGGCATACTAAAATATATCTTCGCCTGTCCGCTCTGTAACGTACAGTGATATACTCCACCATTGTGCAATTGTCAATTTGAGTGATTGATCCGAGGGCTCTAACTGACAATAATAAGAAGCTATAAATATTCGTAGTAACCATAGGTTACATGCGTGTCACTTAAGCCAACGACTGGAAGATCTGCCAAGAGAATACTTTACTCAATATTAAGCACACATGTCTATGGCCTATCTCTGATGAGTCTCTATCAATGCTCCTTCACTCAAAAGATCTTTAAGAGGCATTGGCGATCACACACGCAATGACAAGTCAGAGCCTAGTGCAGTCCACATAAGCAATGATGTCAGAAATATTCACAAGAAGCAGCACAGAACCACACTCGACAACCCCGCGAGTCAAGTATTGGTACATATGACCTTCCCTTTGAATGAGGGCCCACTTACCTCACAACTTCTCAACTTACTATCATGCCTGATGCATCATTAGCGAATCCATCTTCCAGCACCGTCTTACATCGAACTATCTGAGTCCTCACCGGATGAAATTGTTGAATCATCTCCCACCGTATTTCCCCGACGAATCTTCATACAACAGAAAATCAACCTAGCTCTATCAGCACAAACATCTCCTGAACCACCAAGAACACCTCCTGAACCTTCTTACAGTTTAATAAGGTTGGATTGGATCCTCCTTTCGCCTCAGATAAGATAGAGATTACGAACCAGAGGACCCTACAGATTAACATGATGAGATTGGGATTTCCTTTTAAGGCAGACAAGAGAGAGACTGCAAAACTACTTAGAAAAACCTGAATCATAATCAGACTCTGATGAAGTATCACCGCAAAAAACCCCCGACCCTTCATAAACGATGCCCATCACGTATCTTTCACTGTAGGTTTTGACCTTGTCTGCTCTGCTGGTTTTAGGGCGCTTGTCGGTCTTTATCCACGACTCGTGATGCTCGATAGTTCAGTGGACAACAAGATCGAGGTTGTTCGAGGTAAAAAACAAGCCAAAGAGAACGGACAACATTCTTTCAGTCTACAAGATACCATCAGATATCCCAGCTGACACCACTAAGTGGCCTCCACAGCTAGTCTCCTTGTCGCAAGACAATCTCATGATGAATGATAAGGATTTCAGTAAATATCCATAGGGACAGCCTGCACATGCACTTCAAGCAATACTTACCAAAGCACCTACCTATACTAAGGATCTTCCTTTACATTGCAAGCCAACATCACCCTAAGACATCTGGAAAGATGGTATTTTAATCTCTTAAAGCCTGCAGTGAACACCCTTAACCTAACAACTATTGAATACTAGGTAATACCTGCAAAGATACATAACCCTATTCTTGAAATACTGAAGGATCTTAAGGTAAACACTACCACTCACCCTGTGTTTTTTAAGTCAACCTAGTCACTATTTTACACTAATGCCTTTTCTTTTCCTTTTTTTTCTTTACTACAGTGGGATACTATTGTATGTCATCAGACTATTGACTCACAGTCCCTAGTCATGTGACAGATTTATCTTTATCTTGTCAATTAGTTATTAGTTACAGAGAATAACAACTATCTTCCTTGATATACAAGCCCATGCACCTACAGTGCATACCAAAGAGAATAGCATCAACTCACTTCCCAATCGAGCAGGACAAAGTTTAAGGCTTTAAGGCTCCTAATACTCCCCATCCAATTCCCAATGTCTGTTCAGTTGACGTCAGTCTAATCAGCAGAACCTTCACCGGACTAATCCACGGGATGTTGGCGCACCAACATGGATCTACTGATGACGGCCTGGTATGAACACGGGTATCTGATGACAACTGACGATGTCATCCGGACCATGTTGTCATGCAATTGGTTGGCAAAAATGCCGGTCACACGACGCCGGTATAAGCCACAAGCCACAAGCTGCCCTGTTCTTATCAATCAATTGGACGGAGGCGCAGATCAGACACTGAAAGGACTTTCCACGCAGGATTAAGCCGGTTCGCAACTGCGTGGTGTCGCTGATCGGCGTGTTCTCAACGCTGAGAGACGCGTCATGACGATCACGTGAGATTCCGACTTTGCAAAACAGCTTAGTCAGCCTCGGATACAATTCTCAAATGAGGAAATAAGCAACTCCTTCATGTATTGAGAGCGATACCATTATCAATATGTACATATTAGATCTAGATGCGCCAGGTATGCAAATATGCGATGGCCGTTCTTTTATCCGTATCCGTGGCCCGTAGTAAATCCAGCCCAGCCCAACCCAACCCAAACGCCGTGAATACGCTTAAACAACTGAATCAGAGAACCGGTCAGAATCCTGCTCCGCCAGCAAGGGCACATCTCCACGCGACTCGCGCCACTTGTGCAGAATCCGATCGCCCGTCGTTGGGACAGGCTTGGCGAGCCGCAGCGCCCAGCAGATGCAGTACTCGACGGGGAGGAGGAGGAGCAGGACCCGGTTCCCCAAGAAGCAGATGGTGACGGTGAAGGTGGCGACTGTCGCGTCCAGCCAGTAGTGGTTTGCCGTTGCGATGATGACGCTCAGCACGAGCAGCGGGTACACGAACGCCATGACAATGAAGAAGATCTGCGTCAAGGGGGACTTGCGGACGGGCCGGCCCTGGAGTCTGTGCACGAGGCCGGAGTGATATATGAAGGTACACCCGATGACGAACGCGTAGGTGAAATGCAGACTCGGCATCGCGGCGAACTGGTTGACGGATTTCCCGCCTACCCAGACGCTCTCTGCGTGCTCTTGGCGGACGGTGTCGTAGAAGCCGTAGGAGTCGGGGAGCAGTCGCGGCGGCATGCAGGGGTAGAAGCAGAAGATGAGGAATGCGGCGAAGTTGCCGAGGGTCATGGTCCGTCGCGCGACGGCAAAGGTGTTGTGGTTTTCGGCGGCGTAGTAGTACCAGCCCAAGAACCTGAGATGTGGTCAGCACTGAGTTGCAGGAGGTTCCGAGTTGGGATAGACTTACAGCACGGTTCCGGGGATGTGGACAAGAGAGTAAATGCGGTTGAAGAAGGTCATGATAGACTGGTGTCCATTGAGGAAAAATGACTGAAAGTCGGATTCCTCTATGGGAAAGAAAAACCGCGCGATGGAGTGATGCTCAAAGTTCAAGATCCCGACACCGTGATCTTGTGCGACCTGGACGACGCCAATCTCGGCGGGGGACAGCCACTGCGACGTCGCTTTGGTGACAGAGTAAAACAGATAGTTGACGGCCCAGTAGAACATTTCGACCAGAAACGGGAATTTCTGCAGGATTCTGCTGTGGATATGGTGCGCCCAGCGAGAGGAATCCGGAACTTCAATGGCGATGCCGCATATTGTTGGGATTTTGGAGGGATAGTCCTCCGTCGAGCTGCCGTTATCATCTACCGTTGCTCTGCTGCCAAAAACGCTGAAACCTCTACGGCGGTTAATGACCAACGAGCCAATCATGATGCTCACAACGATCTGTGAATGGATAGTCAATACAGAAAGACTAAGATTCTTGGTTAGATTGCGACGTGACATACGATGGGTTCGAGCCATGTGTGCGACTCGAACTGGGGTTTGCCCAGGTCCGGCGACTCCGCCCTGGCATCCATGACGGCGGGTAGAGAAGAGTAGGAGGAGTCGAGGAGAGCTGTGGTGGTGAGGTGAAGATCAACAGTAGTAAAAAGGAGAAACCCAACTGCAGATTTCTGGAAAGTGGAGATTATATACTACTTGGCGGATTGATAACCGGACCAGGTTATGATCCAGAAGAGCAGGGGGGCTGAAGAACAAACAGGTGTTTGAACTGGGCTGGTGCTGCGTAGATCCAAGTTTTACCCCCCGTACTCCGTACTCGTATTGTGTTCTGCTGCGCCAAGATTGCGTATCCACCCAGAACAAGGACTTGCTTGGCGGGAAAATCCTCCTGGAACCGGCTGATCCGGTCGGATGCGAGGGGCTGGAGATTCATTCACTAAAGGAGGAGACTAGCAACGCGTCCCTTCTGCAGCGAGCAGGTGCAAGGTCTACCACGCGAAGAATGAAGTTCCTGCATGCTAGGAATTTCGCCTGATTCAGTGCAGTATGTAAAGGTCCTACTAAGGTAGTAAACTACTGCGTACTGCGTACTATTTGTTTCATCTTTGGACGCGTAGGCAGAGCTATGTTTCACCCACAGTTATTGGATGCTTCAGTCGGCTGACGGCAGATAATGGACAAGTACCGAGTAATGTGCATATGTCTTGTTACCATGTCGGGGTTAGCATTTCGAACTCCGCTGAAGTAATATCCCCTAGTGGCCACTAGCGCTTGCTGATGATGGCAGAGGCGCCATCCACTCCGGCTGTTTTTGACTTTTCAGTCCTGCAGGTTCTGCAAGTTCTGCAAGCCCCGAGCCTCCGTTCGGTAGCATCCTCGTCACCATATCGGGAGGCGGAATCACCGATCGCCGATTGGTCATGGACAACTTCCTTCATTTATACCTGGGCGGTGCGGACAGCATAATTTTATGCTTGATATGCCCTGGTTGCGAAAAATCAACTTAGTGTTCAATCCAAATTTGAAACACTAATCGTTAGATCATTGCAGATGCTTCTTAAAATACCTCATGCCCCGAGGTCTCGACTCTCGAGTCTCAACCTAACAACTACGTGATCACGTGAATTGCTACCGGAAATTGAGCATTTGTCCGACTCCGGAATTTCTCCGCTCAAAGGATCACGTGATATATTTCAGTCCATTCCAGACACGTCACGTTGTTTGACCATTATTGTCTGTCTCCAACTTGTTTGTCAATGCGATTTTTATGATTCTTATGATCGACCAGAGATATCCTTTTTCTGGGGTCTTTGCTTACGATGATCAGGCATCACACAATCAGATCGCTTTCTTTTGTTTCATCGACCTGAAACACTTCTCTACCACCAAACGGGTCCGTATGCGGCTCACCTGCCCTCCCCTCCCTCGATCTTGAACACGCAAGACTGGACACGAGCCCCTGCATCACTCAAGTCGAACTTTAGAGACTCTGCTCTGCAGCGTAACCATCCTCCACTCCAAGCTCGTTACCATGCATACGACCTCCATCAGATCCGAACGAGAGTCATACGTGACTTGATCGACGAAGTCCATCCCAGGGCGCTTTGACCCTCCGTCATATGGATCCACAAGGGACATGCGCTTCTTTGCACACGCGACATAATAATGCAGCGACATCAAATGCGATAAATGCTCCAGCAAGAGCAAAACAGCGGTGATACTTCCTCCCCCAGCAACGAGAAACCACAGTATGATAGCGATGTTGGACAAGGATTCGGAGAATGGTGCCGTATCGTCCCTCGACGATTCTATTGACACGACCCTCCAGCCATGGAATCGCATCTGAGCCGCCTATTTTACAGTAACGAACACTGACTCCTGCCTGAGGAGGGATGGGAAACTTCATTAGCCGCCCCACCGAAGCTTCTCTACATCCCATTCCGCCAGCCGCAAGCGTGCAGTTGCAATAGTAGAGTGATGAGTCTCAAGCACTCTGGTTCGCGAAGGCCAATGTGCTGTCCAGACTCCTGTCTCCACCTTGCTTCGGGCAGATGCACTTCAATGCTGACCGTGTTGTCCGGTAACTGGTGCACGAGTGCAGGACAACCCGACGACCAGTAAACCTTCATTTGAACGCCAGGACCGGCCGAAAATCCATTCCAGGTAGGACGTGATCCGAACTGCCAGTGTGGCCCCGCGGTAGATCCACGAATTGAGTTCCTGGCCCGCGTGCCAGCAACACAGCCAAAGGAAGACCATCGCCAGGCATATGTACTGACGGAGACCTCGTGCATCTGTCGCGGAACTGGGCAATCGATAGAATCACTAGGCCGACCAGCATGCCAAAGGGGGAGTACCGGTGGACTCTTGGGAACTGTCAACAGACGATTGGTGGAGTAGTGCAGATATATCGACCTCGTAGTTTCCCTTCTTGTAGTACTTTGCATGTAGCTGTGCGATACCACCTTCGTGTAGAGGCTGGTAGATGAAAGGAATGACGGCAATAACAAAAGAATGGAAAAGCTGATCATCAGCTGAAAACATTGAGCTTCTCATGACCGATTCCAGGGTGTTTTATGTCACCCCATCGGTATTTGACGCACATTGGTCACAACAGCGAGTCATAATTCACCCTGCAATGACCCACAAACTGAGAATAACAAACAAGGAATTCAAAAAGGAAAGTAGGTCCCAAGATCTTCTGAAGAATATTCTTGGATAATTATTTTCTATGTCCTTGCCTCGTCTACCTGCGTGAAATGAGGACTTCTAGTCTATGTTATCCATCTTGGCTATTCGCTACCAAGTAAAAGATTCCTCCACAAAAGAAACAATCAAAGACGGATTCTCTCTAACCATCTTCGAAACAACATGACGAACCTCATCCGCCATCCTCGCCGGTCCACTGACAACAACACACACCGGCGCATCCTGATACTTCTGAACCTCTTCTGTCAACAGCGTTGGGATATCCATTCGCTGGTCACGGTAGATCCGCACATTCATATCATGCAAGGCGCCCCCGAGCGTCTCCTCCACTGACTCAATCAATGTCTTGCTGCGGCAAGCCCAGAATAACGTGCGTCCTCCGCGGTGGCTGCACAGATCCGGAACCAGCGCTGTGATCCCAACTCCACCGGCAATGGCAATGACATTGGGGTGATCGGTCCAGTGATGATTTATCAGGGGTGATGGAGGATAGGACCCTTCCACTAGAACCGGGAGCTGAGACCGCGCACGCAGATGTCGCGTTGTTCCCGACTGGGTGCGTACGAAGAATGTGAGGCATGGTTTGTAAGATCCTTCGGCGACCAGGCCCTGCGACGAGGACATAGAAGGCGGCTTGTCCGAGTCAAGAAACGTCTTCACCGACGTACCGTTCTTCGACTGATATCCACTCTTGACATCCTGCGACACGACATCGATCTTCCTCTCCATGCTGCCCTCGCGTTGGAAACTGGCAATCGCGGAGAAGGGATGGTTTTCCCAGACCCGCCACGTCAGAGTGGGAAAATAGAGATATACGTGGCCCTGTGCATGCACACCAGGAACATCAACTTTGAGATACTCATCGTCCAAGACGGTGACATGAGCCTTCCGAATGCCATGCCGCGCCAGCCTCAGTACACGAAACACCCGCTCAAAGGCCCAAATACCGAACGCCACATAGATCCAGGTTTCGTAGCCCCATTGGTGTGTGTACCGGTACCAAATATGCCAGTAGCACGCAAGAAGAGCCAGAAAAGACAGGACGACGTGCCAAGCCAGGAATAGCTCGTAGCACCGCTTTCGGATTGGCCATGTTGATGATGGGATCAGGATGGCCATCGCCAAAGTGGCGATAATGCCCCAGATCCAGAATGGCTGCTTACTTTCGGTACTGTGCTCATTATTGGCGACAGCAATTTGCAGATATATGGCCGAGTGCAGACAAGCTTCGAGAGTGCAGATGAATGCCAGCCAGCGGTGGAGCAAGAGGAAGGTTGAATGCGACCAGTCAGTCAGCCAGAGGAGAAAGTTGTTTCGACCGGTGTATAGCACCAGCAGGGGGATATTTGCAAAGCTGAGCACCCCGGTGCGATTTGCCACGTAAGTGAGAATTTCGTCGTGCTTGGACGCGTACCAGATGCTTGGATTAGCAGATCGGAACCCGACAGCGCATAATATGATGTTAATTAACAACAAATACGCGATGAAGAGGGCTTGTCCTCGAGTGGGCATAAAGAAGGTGTCGAGTATCGCGGAACTGTGGCGACGACCGACAAAAGGAGGATCGATGAAGACTGCCTTGAGCCATACTCGTAAAGCGGCCGGAAACGGTACGAAACGGAGTAGGGAAGAGGCGATTGGGATGATTGCACCCGTGAGAAGGAGGACTAAGCTATAGCGAGGCAAATCAGCGAGCAGCGCTGTGAATCACTGCAGGAAGCCTACCCGTATCGCTCATGGGATGTCTCGACGGCCTCGAACGTCCAGAGAGTATTGCAATTACTCAGATACGTCTCTTCCTCGACCAAAGAAGCGATATCCAGAACCGCCGATGAGTTAAGGATTGTAGTCGGTGGTCTGGCAAGGCTTCCAAGAGCTTCTTGATACGACTCCTTCGGGCTCGGTTGATGCTGCTGTCTACCAGCCACATTCAACTCCCAGTAATTCTCCAGAACCGAGACCGATACATCAGCACAGTGAGTGTACATGCAGTAGGCTAGTGTTTGCAGGAAGGGATCGTTGTTCGCATAGCACGCAGGACTCGGAGTATCCATTGCCATCGAAGCCTCATCCATAACCATGTCATGATCTACTGTGGTGTCGCAATCCAGAGGGTTTGTAATCGAGGCACGGCACGCATAAGCGCAGACGGGCTTATACATGGAGATGCCGTAGCCAATGAACCCGTGCCCTGGTCTTCCGTTTGAATCATGCGAGGCGACTGGTATTGCAAGAGAGAGCAGGACCTGCGCTCCTCGCAGGTATTGCGACAACTTCATCGCGATGGCGGAGCAGTTTAGGTTATGTCCTGACTCCGATCAGTCCTCACCAACAGATAATAAAAGAAAAGGAGAAAGGCTGTGCAACATGATGATAGCCACGGAGGAAGAGTCAAAACTTAAGGATTTAGGATGTTCATGATCCTTCGCGTTGACCCTTCGGCAATCAGTATCTTTTGTAGCGGGTCCAGCCATGAGCGGAAATGAGCAGATTTGAGCAGTTCCCCACAGCAGACAAGTAGCCCTACAGCATCTAGACTACTTGGCAGCAGCAGACGAGAAAAATATTAGATAAAAGCCACCCAGTCACGACTATATTCTGATACTTTTTTTCGTAATCGCCGTCTTTTCCAGTGGTTTGCTGTCGGACTGCATGATCAGCCAAGAGCGCTTGACCCGGTTTAAGGCAAGAGATGGATACTACAATGACTCGTATGACGACGTTTATCGAGATGTGCGAACGAAGTCGGCGGCACTAAATAGCGCCATCTATCAGTCATTGGGCATTACAAACCCTCAGTGCTGATCTCCACACTAAACGGATACCCTCTATGTATCATGTATCCGAAGGCTAGGTACATGGGCGTCCATTGCTACATTCGCTCTTCGCATGTCCGAGATATGATCGCAAACCACAGCCATCCGGCGACATTGATCTGACTCATGGAGGATCCAGCTCGCTGTGATAGTACCCGACGTCTAGCCGTTGTGGTAATTCCAATCTTCAAGCTGGCGCATGTGCCCATCCTTTGATCAGCTCCCCTGCGAGGATTCCTGCGAGTACGACACAGAGAACACCGATATTAAGACCAATGATCCCTATCATTCTGACAAGTCATCCGTTAGAATGCGGCGCTCCAGAATGACGGGAAACTCACAAGACAAACGCGATAAAGGCCCTAAGAATCTCCGCCAATGCTCGCATCCAGACATAGTACGAGACCGACTTCTGCGCAGTCGACTCAATCGGGGACAGGTTATCAGCGGTGGATCCATGATTGCCCACTCGTTCAGCATGGTGTGCGAGCATCTCGATCGGTTCGTCGTCGGCGTGAGCATGGTTCTCCCTGTTGATCCGCACGAATCTTGGAAGAGAACTGAGGCGAGCCTTGAAGCGAGCTCTGCGTCGGTGGTGAGGAAGTCTTCCCAGGGCTTCAAGGGCACGCGCTTCGATGATTTTGTTCTCAAGTTTATCCCGGACGGCGACCAAGTACCTGTTCCACCACGCAAGGAAGAAGAACACGACGAGTGTAAGGACGTATACGACGATGGAGTCAGTACTCTGGCCGTAGAAAGGCAGATTAAGGCGAGTTCCACTGTGAAAGGAAGTTGACATTCTCACTCCGTTACCTTGACCGTCGCCAGAAGGAGAGCTATAAGACTCATTCTTCTGAACCATGGTCACGGTAGCTCTTTGTCTTCTTTTTCAGGTTTCAAGAAGCAAAGAAATCATTGAAGGATAGATGGATGAAGAACGCGAGATAGTTAGTGTTTGTTACTCGCGAGGAAGTGCCAAAAGAGTCAGAGAGATCTGTTGTTTGTGTTATCATTCACTGCTCTCTAGAACTAGTAGAGTCTTTATGCATGTATAAGGATGATTAGCACCTGCATAACTCACCCAGATATGCTTAATACTATTGTAAGCTGATTATGCGTAGGTTCCACAACCTAGTCTTCATATTTACCTTGATAATCGCGGAAATATGCTCAAAGCTTGTAATTGACAAGGTAGTATATCTGATATAATGCTCCTCTTCATCCATGATTTTACTTCAGAATTCAGCTGACTCTTTCAACTTCTTCAACATTCTTCGCATAGTTCTTATCGATAGACTGTGCTCCCTCACTGGCAATATGGCCCACTATCTCACACTTGGAAGAATGCCATTTTTCCTTCCGAATATCCAGATGACCAACTGTGCATCTCTGCGAGGACCTACGCTGACCAAAAAAAGGGCCCTTTTCTTCAACACGAGCATCCGACTACAACTCCAAGCTAGGCAATATATGACCGTTAATTGCCGTCAAGAACAGGCCTTTCCCTCCAAGCTCCAGTAATTCTACTGGTGATATGTTACATATTTTGGATATGTTGGGGTTGTATTGACAAACTGAATAGGCAGCTTGATGCCATGCATATCCGCCACAGACACAACATAGTCGAGCCGTTGGAGGCTGTCCGCGCTCGCCTTGATGGTCATAATGCATGTAGATGGATGGTGGAGCTAGAAATATACGATTCCAGCGCTTGGAACGGACTTCAGATCATGGAAGACCAAGATCCGGAGGGGGTTCAAGCCTGTGTGCTGCAGATTGTCAAGACAAGGCCACCATCCGCGTCGTTGGTTAGGAACGGCAGCCAGTAGGCAATCGTGTTGGCTAAGTACTTGGCCTCGCCGTCAATTTTGCATTTGTGTCCGTCCGCCTTAGAAAAGGAGCCACTGTCGGTTTGGATGGTGGTAAGGACGAAGTCGTAAATAACATGGGTACTGGCGACCAAGCCGTGCTAGAGGAAGGTGCAGTTGTTGACACTGACAGTGCTGGTGTCGTGGTGGCTTCAGTATGTGTTAGAGATATCACTTTAATAGCAGCGAAGGGTTGTATTCTCCACTAGGATGGCACTGGCTATGGTGTTAATTGGCGAACATGTATGCCCGTCCCGATACACAAGAGGTTTCATCTGTATAGTACTGACTACCACACAGGCCCCAAGGTCCGACCCATGCTGCGACAGCCCCTATCAGGTACGAGCGCAGCAGACAACCATGACAGTATAATTTAGAAACAGACAGAAAAGGAAGCGATTGGAAATCTCCTGAAAATCCAATAACGACAAGTTAAGTGAGGCGGCCATTCGATGCCATTACGACCTTAGTTTAACTTTACTGAGATATCGTACTACCCTTCGATGCGCTCCTGCTGGGTCTAGAGCCTCTTCAAATCAGCCGGTAACAGGGCAAGATCCCGCTGTCGTCTGCTCTGCCACGAGCATATCCTGACGGCCTACCGCTGGGGCGGAATCCAACTACCCACTCATTGTATCTGCTGGCGTGACATGGTTCTCCCCCTGATGTGGCTTATTCCAGACCGAGCGATGATTGAAAAAGGGTTAGACTAATAGGGTGGAAAGGATCGAGCTGGGCAGCTGAGGCGGACCCATTCCAATGGTTCCGTCTACTACGGAGTACCCCGTGTCCGATTTGGCAAACATTGTCTCACTTCGGGACGATCTCCACCGAGCCACCCAGTTGGGGATATACTAAACTTCCTGTTATCCCTGCATCTTCGGCATTGCACTCCTAGCATTTACCGCGAAGGCAACGAGTTCGCCCTTTGGTTTGGTTGTCGTCCTGATTTTCACTTCCTTGCAAGGGCCGTTTCCTATTGAAATGAGGCGAGTCTAAGTGATTGTGCCACGCGTAGTCCTGGAGCAAAGTGCAACGATGAAGTTTGCCACTTCTCGACCGTCCCAGTGGGAGGGCTGGCGGCTCTAGGCCCGACGCGCAAGCTGACTCTAGCTCATGCACCGTCTCTATTCTTAGGGCTCGTACGCAGGCTATCCTCAATGCTAGTGTAAACGCCCTTGACCTCGGAATCGCCAAGCTGAAGATGTAATAATAGCCCAACCTCTAGAACCGCTCGAACAAAATACGCTGACAAATCGTTTGCGGCAAGTCCATGAACCCATACAGCCACCCTTACAGCGACGGGAAGAACCATGACTGTGCCAACTCTGGTGTCGTCCAGCAGGATTCGGGGATGCTTCGTCTTCGCGCATTTTTTTACAGCTTGTAGCGTCAGACAGAGGCCCAGTAGGAGCAACGGGAAATTGCTTATGATCAGAATTAGGCTAGCTAATGCAATCCGCAGATCTATAATTAAATTTACGCAATGCGCAGAATGGATCGATCAAGTCGTCCTTTGATCCAACCCACATAACCTGGATGTGGATGGATATGAATAACCCACCCGATTTAGATGTTGATAAAGATATTTCTTCCAGCCATAGATGGTCTGTTATTTTTCTTTCTCTTTCTTTAGTGAATGTATAAAATCCCAAAGACATGAGCTTTATCGTGATTCTAGTTTTCTGTGCTGGTAAGCAGAGTGAGTATATCGTCGAGATGTATCTCAGCACTACTTTCCATCCTCACGATGCGGGCCCATGATAGCCCACTATATAAGCTTATATTAACTCAAATAATGGGTTATAATGGCCATAGGCAACTAGCCTAGAGGTAGACAGATACTCGGTAATCAGTACACTGGGATACAGTGGATAAGTACCCGCATCCCGCATGGTTTCTGGGTCGGTGGGCCAGTAAGTGGTGGGTCGATCCGTAGTCTACATGAGTTTGATCCATGGATCAAAGCACCTAATAAAGCGGATTGACCCAGATTCAACCCACACCCGGTCAACCGGTTGATGGATCCAAGTATGAGAAATGTGGGGTAGAAGTTAAGGACGTCATAGACTCATAGCAGCAAACCCTGCCATAATACTACGAACTGACCATTAAGTCTAACTATTACTGTAATACTCGACTCTACTGTTTTACACTATGAGCTTAATGATGCACTCCTGGTGATCAACTGGTGCGCTCAATCGCGATGGTTGAGCCTAACCAAGTAGGTGATGCCGACTTGGCCTCTAAATCTATTCCACGGAGAAAACCACCCAAACAACGACATAACCGACCTGTAACTCATGCTCTCGACGAAGATGTAGAGAAGGAAAAAATTGTTGGTACGCTAAGCACGCAAAAACAGGCAGTCGTTTCCAAGGCGTCTGATGATGAATCGAACTTTGAGGATGCGCTGGAAGGGGAGTCTTCGGCCAGCGAGGCTCAACTCCAACCGATTCCTGAACGGCAACGTCAGATTATTCGGAATAAACAATTTCGTAACGAGGACGAGGATCGCGACGTGGCCGAGGGTGAAGATGTCCCCGTCGCTGCTGAACGCCAGAGACTGAGACGAGGCCGACGCGGCCAGCAAACGTTCATTCAGTCAAACACGATTGAAAATGCTGGGAGAACAGTCGGACAGTCCAGCGAATTGGTGCTCAATAGAACTGACGGCGTGGTGGGAACGATTACGGATACGAGTGGACGAGTTCTCGGGAGGCCGTCAGAGAAAAATGAACAGCTAAAGAAGGAGGATGATGAACAGTTGAGATTGCGGTTGGATCTGAACCTGGACTTGGAGGTTCAGCTGAAAGCGAAGATCTCCGGAGATCTGACGCTCACATTATTGTTAGTATCTGCCCCTGCTCACAATGAGTTCGGATATTCATTGCTGACTGAGTAAAGGAAATAGGCAGTAGTTGGACTGGGCTTGGATTCATGTCCACAAACTCCATGGCCGCAGTCTGGCGATACTATCCATGGACAAAGTCTAAAAAGGCAACCCAAAAAGGAGACGCGGGAAGGGCAAATCTTAGCAAGGAGCTCATCAAAGCACAGCAAGACTGCCCTAGTAATCCTTCAGTTGAAGCATGATCACATCTCGTGTGTTCGGCTAATGGTGAGAATTCAGCAGAGTTTGTAAACACCACATTACTTGTAACTGGATGAATGTGTAGCAGACCCTCAGGTGATAGACTGCTTGCCCTCGATGGTGATTATCCTACACTTGCCCTCCATCTCGAGATCTTCCTTGCACATCAGCTACAACTGCATCGTCTTTGTCTCTCGCACATTTGAATAAGCTTTCCACTGCTTGTCCTTCTCCAGTGATGTCTGATCCAAGATCCTACTAGACAGCTAATGCAACCAGACCTTCACGTACTACAAAGCACATACCTCTCCAAGTGCCAAGGATCCTTTCTGAAGGCCTGCCCGTCGTCGTGGCTGTGGCTATGTTTGGGGCTGTAGTTGCGGTGGATGATAGTTTCTCAGGTTACCCTTGATAGAGCGGGAGGCCCAGAGCATTCCACAGACATCAGTTACTACAACCTCCTGTTCGTGGTTGCGAACCGTGGTGTGAGTTTGTGGCAAAAGCCTCCATCCAGTGGTTCATAGTGACAATATCGTATATTTTTGGGTTTAGGTTCAAGGCGTTTAACAAGCGTTCCACACCCTTGCACATATGATTCCCCGGAAACTTAGACCGGAAGCGCAACGTGCAATGTGGCTCAGCCCCGCAACATATGCTCATCCGTTGTAATACAATTAGTGTCCATGGCTACATCAATTGCTGTACGACCTTGAGGGCAGAGACCAAAATCTCCTGACGGGAAATCATGCAACCATCTTCCTTTCACTGGCGAATAATAATAGGGTATATATTTCGATGTGCGAGTCATTCTGCACCTCAGATATCTGCAGAGCATGTTCTTAGGATGCAAATTCTACTGCGTGTCCGATTGCCTACACCTTAAAGCATACATTGTATGCTTCCATATACACTGATCTATGGAGGCATATCGTTCTAGCCTGATGACCATCTGCCAGAGAAAGCTAGACGGCGAAATTTCCCGTTGCGATTGCGATCTACGCCGTCTCGTTGGGCATACAAACATACTGTATGCGCTGCTGGACTCGATATCTCAAGCAGAACAGAAGATTGTTACAACCATCTCAGAAGAGGAACTCGCAGATAAAACCAGCGAGATTCAACTGTGCTCGCCGTTGGAAGACGTTGGCCTGATGCATGAATCATTCAGTCCGTCGATATTTTGGTAGGCACCAACCTCGTATGATGCTGTTTAGGCTCGCCGCTGAGTTGTGACACTTCAGAATCAATATTTCGAGTACTTGATACAATGCACTTTGACTCTTACTTCACACATCTGGTTTTGATCGTAGCACAACGTAGAGATGCGCAGTCTGACCGCTGTAGGAAAGTTCGGTGTTTGCAATAGTAAACCGGGTGACACTTTCTTTACAACTCGTTAAACTTTGTTCAACGTAAAATGATAGGGGCATTGGTGAGGTACCCGTAAGCTTGTAATGACTGGCGGTCAGAAGAGCAGTGGCATGTGAATCGACCGATCACCCTACCTTGGTGTTGACGAAGGGGTCGGGAGACGATATGTTGCCATGGACTGCGGAGATATCTGTACCAAGCTGGGCTGTTCAGAGCTGGCTGAACGCAGCTGAGACAGATGCTAGCTTCGCCACCTGATCAGTCCTTCCAACGGCTGACGCTGACCCAAACAGAAGGATCAATGCACGGACGTGGATCATCATGCTTAGTGCAGATTGATTGGGATTTGGGACCACTAAGGCACACTAGGTTCCGTCTTGCCCGGGTCCCAAGGATTAGGGATTTCTGGTTCGTATTGAATAAACGTGCCGACCATCCCTATACTCCAGAGTCCAGACCGCTGGGCCCGGTTTTGAAATTCGTAAAATACAACAATCATTTAGACAATGTATCAGAACACTAATTTCTCTGCCTTGGGTGGGCGATGCATTCTCCCTAGTCTTTAGGGCCTATGCGGTTATTTCAGCTTTGGCGGCATTAGTCACATCTCGCCCAATTAAACACGTAGGATTGGCCTGTTTGCCGAGTTACGATTGATAGTTTTGTCAGCTTGACCAATGTGTCAACACTATTGCTCCGTTCTCAAATCGGCATAGCCTAACGATGTGGAGAACGAGGCAGTCTGCCGAGGTTTCGAGCTTCAAACTTCTCCTGGGTACGTACTTGCACATCATCAGTGGCTACAACGACAACCTTGGCATTGGATCGCAATGGTCTCAAAGTCTAGATATATTGTGGTGTCAAAAGAAATCACCCCGATATTTGTTCCGTCCATATCCCAACGCCGTCAACGCTCCATGCAGCTGCACGAGTCTGGACCTTCATATCTTTCGGTTGAATGATAAAACTTAAAAGCATTATGCGGCTAGGGCATCTTGTACGCCATCCAATTCTTTAATGCCCAATCAGCAGGTCAGGAATGAATACCAGTTAAGGTACCCCGGACGGTTCCACTTACGAGCCACATGGGAAGATAACCAGAGCAGAGTCGAAGATGGAGATCATTTTTGGACTAAACACGGAGAACTGTCAACGTTATAGTTGATGAAATGGCACATTACCGCCAAGTTGCACTGGTCAAGGCGATTGAACTATCCAGCACGCAGAAGACATGTGCCATTTGGTAGTAAATAGTAATCCATCGCTATCCTGTGTTTGAGTCTTCACAACTTAGATTATACTTTCGACACATCAGATCCCTAAATCTTAGATGGTTCGCTGGCTAGTAGAGGCCTCCTTACTACTGAGATGGTTGGAGCCGCTCAAGCCACAACAGGTTCCGCGGAAGATCTGGCCCAATGGAAGGGAAAAGCTAGCAAGCATCTGTACACAACTATATCCCGCATATAACGATCTTATATCGGTAAGAAATATTATTGGGCCCATGTTTAAGACAGACATATGGTAATGAGCCAGTGTGTTCACCATGCATCAAGCACTTTGACACGGGATAGCAGAGATGATTCAGTGAGATTCTAGCTTACACATGGCTGTGTAATGACACCATTCAGGATCTGAATCTGAGCCAATCCCCCTTTTTCCTTTTTCCCCTCGTGTTTACGTTTTCGGGTCTGCCAAACTCGCCCGAAAGCTAATATTATGGGATACCATTGGTCCGCCTTCGTTGGTGCTCTTTCATGAGTAAGGTTTGGGGCTGTAAGACACGCCCAATAATTGGCAAGCTGCATAGTGCTCAAACCATGTAATATATTCGGATGGCGTGAGTCGAGGCGACAGCCACTTCTGTAAAGGACTCCATTCCAACTCCTCTCCTTTTATATATTCACCACCGACACTGAGACTGAAAACGATCAATAGCGTTATGCGACATGTGGGCAACAACACTGGATCTATAGCGCCTGAGTACACTGAACACCCCCCATCGAAATCACAGGAATGGACTCCAGCACCGCTTCCTATTCCGAGCCGCCATGTCCGCTTCAACAATTGCCGACACAGGCCACGATCTCCCCCTCTACCCTTGACCCAAAAGGGCCAGCCTCATATCATCTCGACACCGTATCGAGCACCAGCAAGACAACGTATGGTTTATACGATGTTTGGGGGTGCGATACCAATAGTACCAATGGCCTGCTTTCCTCTACTGCTCGGTCATCCGAGTCTGATCTTTTCTATGGTCTCTCTACTCTAATTCCCGGATTGCGCCAGCTGGATTCTGGAGCTCGGGCAGCAACAAAAGCAGAACGCAAGATTACATTCTTGGATGGTTGCCGGCGATACCCCAAGGCGATGGCGTGGTCGGTGGTCGTTTCTTCGACCCTCATCATGGAAGGGTTCGACACACTACTCATATTTTCGTTCTTTTCACTTCCTGCTTTTAAACGACACTACGGCCTGCCAAGCAAGGACGGCGACTATGAAATTCCTGCTCGCTGGCAATTTGGTCTGTCCACGGGGGCGGAGGCAGGGGAAATTGTCGGACTGCTTCTCAATGGCCTGCTGGCTGATCGCGTTGGATATCGCATCACTATATCCGTCGCTCTAGTGCTCCTCTTTTTCTCTATCTTCTTACCCTTCTTCGCGGTCAACCTGCAGATGTTGCTTGCAGGACAGATCTTGTGTGGTATCCCCTGGGGCGTCTTCCAGACGCTGACTATCAACTACGCCGCTGAAGTCATGCCCGTGGCCCTCCGCGCGTACCTTCTCAGCAGCATCAATATGTGCTGGGTAGTGGGCCAGCTCCTTGCAACTGGTGTGACTCGTTCCTTCGCCAACAACGAGTCCACACTGTCCTTCCGCCTTCCATTTGGGCTCCAGTGGGCCATCGGCTTACCCATTCTGGTCGGCGTGATTTTGGCCCCCGAATCACCCTGGTGGTTGATCCGGCACGACAGACCGCAAGAGGCCAAACGGTCTTTGGCACGGCTGACGGGGGGCGGCGTTAGCGTGAATGAGACAGCTGCCATGTTGACACACACCAACGAAGTCGAAAAGCATCTGACTGGTGGCGGGGGGGCCATATCCTACTTGGACTGCTTCAAACGGGTCGACCTCCGGCGAACAGAGATTACGTGCATCGTCTGGGTCACTCAGCAAGTCTGCGGCAGCAGCCTGATGGGCTGGGCCGCATACTATTACCAGCAGGCCGGCTTCGATACCAGCCAGGCTTTCAACTTAACAATCGGGACCTTTGGCCTGGCAATCGCTGGCGGGGTAATCTCCTGGTTTCTAATGCCCCACGTGGGTCGCCGCCGACTTTATCTTTCCGGGCTCTTTGTCATGTTCCTCACTCTACTTACTGCAGGGTGTGTCAGCGTAGCTTCGACAGCTCGATGGCACTTGTGGGCTCTCGGCTCTCTTCTTATTTTCCTGACATTCGTATACAACATTACCATCGGGCCAATCTGTTACGTGCTGGTCGCTGAGGTTCCATCTACCCGGCTCCGAGTCAAGACCGTCGTTCTGGCGCGCGTGGCGTACAACTTGTCCGGCGTGCTCATCAACTGGATGACGCCAAATATGCTGAGTCCTGACGAGTGGGACTGGAAGGGCAAGTCGTGTTTCTTTTTCGCCGGGACTACGCTTTTGTGCTTGATTTGGTGCTACTGGAGACTACCGGAAACCCACGGCTTGAGCTATCTTGAGATCGACATTCTGTTCGAGAAGAAAGCGAAGACCAGCAAGTTCCGCGAGCTTCAGACTCACCTGCGAGATCGGGGCTATTTTGGCCTCAGCAGAGACGAGTGTCCTTTTCGCGGGTACTGAAACCAACAAAATGAAATGTGTGCGATATGACTGCTCTTTCATGTATACCCTACGTTATACTTAATACACCATGGAGAACTATCAATCGTTGATGAGAACCATAGACGAAAATATGTAATGGCAGGGATTAGGCGTAAGGTAGCTAAGCTAACAGACTGCTATTTGCCACGCAGTAAATGAATGTAACACTGAATTACCCAGATTATAACATAGCTGTGCGGGGCTAACACCGCGGAGTTGGTCGAAATCTGTGAAGGGTCTAGACTACCACATGGATGGCCCAATCCCATGGATGTCCCAATCTGGTAGACAGTCCTCTATGGGTCGATCTGATCTTCTCCCCGCCGGAGTTTCGTATTCGGTCACCTTACTATTTCAGGCTCTACGGACTAGTTGCATTGCCCATTATGTATCAAGCTTTTTAGCAGGTGTTGCAATTTTGCGTTTTGCACGCTTTGCTGTTTATTCTGATTGCCTCATGCCTCCTCACTGATCTGAACAGGGCTCCAAGAGCAGAGGTCTGTTGTCCTGACTATGTATGCAAAGATCGAAAGTAGTCAATTCCATATCTACATATGAATCTAAAGTGTCATCCATGACCTTGACTACCCATCCCCTTATTTAAATGTCTTTTCCCTCAGCAAGGCTACCTTGCACGGTACGTCCTGGTAATGGCTTGAGCATGAATTCAGTGCTCTTAAGCGTCTTATAGTCTCGCCGTTGGCAAATACAACTCCAGCCATTTCCAGTTTTCATTGCTTGATGCTGAGCTGATCTAGTGCACAGCCCTCTGCTCGCAGTGTCATCTGATGAGCAATTAATATGGTCGCTCAAGCGTGCACTTGTACCATTCCCCTATCATGGCTAGGATCGCGTGTACAGGCAAGGGAAACATATCACAATTCTTCGGTTTTGCTTTTCCTTTTTAAGCTACAAGATAAACTATCATCAGGAGAATGCATACTCAGAAGGTTTTAATTAGGATACCAGGAGGTTTGGGGAGTTATTGAGGAATTAATTGGATATATTATGGATCGATACGGAAGTGGTTTGATTATATATATCTATATCGCTAACATGACAACCACCGCACACTCGTAGCCCTAGATATCGAATATTCTAGATACCGGGTAGGATGGTAGTTAAATATAACTAATATAAAGTATTAACATTCTATGAGCATACTCGATGGGCTTAAGATAAAAGATAGAAAAAATGTAGTTGAAATGCTAGGAAGAACCACAGACCTGCCGTCTCTCTAGGTAGGCCTAGTAGCGGTGATTCTTCGCTCCAGCGTAACAATATCCCCTTTCCAAAGAGTATAGCCAGGTGCTATGTTATTCTGATTCCAAAAACTGCCAGGACATGCCATGCGGTAGCGCAAATGTCGCATCTTGTACTGCATTCCTGCTAGCAGCAATCATATTGTTGTCATAAGATTGGGCAGCGGCAAGTCTTGCTTCGTGCAGTTCCTCGATTGCACGCACTCCCGATACGAGTGAATCAATTATTTTCTGCGCGCAGAGTGGTGATTCTTCGTCATCAAGAAGCCGCACTGCCTCTTTAGCTGCCGCAATGAACATGCTGACGGCCGTTGGAACGTCGATGGTAATACGTGTGTAGATCTGATTGCGTTCCTTCCATGCTAAGACCAGAAATTTTGATAATGCATCGACGGCGTGACAGTATTGTTGGTAGACCCAGTATGGGAGATAGAGGAAACACCGAGGCGCAACTGAAGAGAACGTTGAGAAGAAGTCTTTCGCTGAGGTCAAGCCTGAGTCAAGGATATCATAATGCAACCTGGTGGTATTCCGGTCGCTCTCTGAGGAGTCGTCTTCCAGAGCGGACTCGTATAAGAGGATCTCCAGACTGTAATACTGTAATGCCAGGATGGCTAGGTACAAGCTTAGAAAATGTTGTGATATATGACGTAGTAAAAAATCTGATACTACTCACAGTCCTGCATGCGGTACTGCGCGCTAGATCGTTTCAAATGCTTTAATTCTGCTTCAAGAGCCTTGACACACGTTTGGAGCGAATCCGACGAAGCTATGCCCGGTGGATTGTACGCATCAAAGGGGAGTGTTTGAACAATCCTGTGGGCCATACGATTCAGTCGCGCCAGCTGGGCAAGATACATGTCTGAAGGATATTCCTGCAGCTCCTCAAGAACACGACAGCATTCTTCAGTGTAGCTTGTGTATCTAAGAGGATCCATATCTTTGGCACACGTTGCAGCCCTGAATGAGTCAGTCCTATGTCTGGAGTGATGTTTGGGACTAATCCACATACACGCAGGTGATATAAAAGCACCCGAGGTAGGCTCTCCGTGCATCTGTGGTATGAGCATTGTCATGCTCACGAGGCTGCGGTGGTTTTCCAATAGGTGGAGCAGGTCTTCGATGGAGTCCGAGACTATGCAGCATGGCCAGAGCCAGGTGCATGATGATACTCAGCTGTTCTTCGGATTTGAACAGAAAGTGATACCTATTATGACGTGAGCCTCGAATTGTACGTGTAAAATTGAAAGGGAAAGGTTGTAGATACCAGGATACGCAGACCAAGAGAGCCTGCAGGATATCAAGTCCCTTGTGCTGTTCCTTAACAATGGAGTAGCTGATATGCTCTAGGAACTGGTCTGTCATGCGTTTCTTCCGATCCGCATCGCCCAGAGAAGTCACCATTAGAATCGCGCTCAAGAGATGTGGGCTGTTTTGTTGTAAATCCAACAACGTTATGTCAAGCGGAACGGCGACACAAGGGCAGTAATAGGCCATCTCCGTCCGGTACTTTGTCAATATCACCAATGCATTTTCATGAGCAAAACCGACACTTCCTTCCCGCGGAAGAACCAGCTGTGAGGTATTCTGTGCTTGGCGTCTGTCAGCCTGTTCAGTCTTCGATGCTGCGTCAGACGTTGTCTGGGATGATACGCCGACAAGACAAGCCACAGTCTCAAGCTTCTTCTCGAGTCTCGCAACGTCTCTTTGAAAAAAGTCAACAGCCACCCGCTCTGCCCTTCTCCTGGGTACCTACAACGGCGAGGTAGCCTTGCGCTTATGAGCCCCGGGTGCCTGAGTAATGCACTCCCTCTTTAAACGAGTACATCTAGTCTTATTTAACGGGGCTCAATGGACTTGAACTGAGAAAATATCGTACCGCTTGCACCCACCCGTCTCTTGTTGGTCACATTTCACTTTCGCGTACGCGCATCGCTGGCATGCCTTTGGCTCGCGGATTCTCACTGGACGCCTTCTAACCATCGACAACACTTGCTGACCAACAACTTCGAGACAGTAGCAGTGCGGGTATATAGTTGGTTGTATGGTTCTTGTCAGAGGGTTGGTGAGTTGTCATGGCCGAGTGGCTGCGGCCAAGATCACTGGGCACGGAATTCCGTGTCCCGTCTGAGCCAATCATTTCCAGTCAGCAATGGTTGAGGGGGAGATTTGACCGGCGACGGCCCAGCAGAGTGCCGATTCGGGTAAAATGATACCTAGCTTATATAGAGACGATCGCCCACCCTGTCAGATGAATCCATCAAAACATTATCGGAGAGAAACACAACAATCACCTTTATTAGTCTTCAAATTCCTTTTTGTTGAAGACTTTCAGGCCATTTGAATAATAATTAAACAACCGCCCGGAAAGACCTGACAAGTAGCATCATGTATTTAATCACCACAAGCATTGAAATCAATGCTCCTCCGGCAACGGTCAGAGAGAAGGTATGGCTTCCTTTGGATTCTTAGGACAAACATTTTACCCATGAATAAATTTCATTTCTGACACTTGCAACCAGTTTCTCGACTTTCCAGCTATCTCGAAATATTCATCCAATGGGTTTATTCGCTCGATATCACCCGTTGACCCAACTAAACCATCTATCGAGCTTCAACCTGGTGACAAGTTAAACGTCTGTGCAGGCTACGGAAAGATGAAGTTCTCGCCAGTCATCTCATCAAACACGCCGTCTATGTTTAGCTGGATCGGTTCTATCCCAGGAATCTTCACAGGGGAGCATATGTTTCGATTCGAAGAAATCCCGACGTCTGGACAAGAACAGAGCCGCACAAGGTTCGTCCATGAAGAGAGATTCACAGGTCTTCTTTCATTTCTCATGGGTGGGGGCTTCCTCGCCAGCTATGTTGGTCTCGGGGAGGATTCAAGGAAGGGGTTTGATGGGTTTAACCATGATCTCAAGTCTTGGGTCGAAGAGGAGCGAACTGAATAGCAGGCTACGTCTGGTATAATTTGCTATCTGCTGTCTAACAATCTTTGTTTATCTTGTTGGTGTGATATTCCGTGCTGCGTTCAAGGAAACATCTCTTCTTAAGCCATTCCTCGTATTCCATCTTTCTGTTCTCTGATACACTTCCTGAGGTTGTCTTTATTCACCGAGAATCACCGCTTATCGATTCGCAGATTTGCATCAAAGGTTCATCAGTAATGTGCGTTTGATCACCATACCTTTATAGCGGACCCATAAACACTTACTACTTCACTTAAGGATTTGCGCTCACATTTTCCACCAAAGTTAAGGAAAAGTCTTGTAGGATTAATAAGATAAATACTGTGTTTATATAATAATCGATAATGAAATCCTTTATCTGATATAGGATGAGGTGCTATTAGCAGAACAACACAAAGTGCTTGTATGTATGTAAGCAATGGCCTGTACTCTTTTATGACTGACCACTGTTTCAAGGTTAGTAAGGAACCGCATGTAATTATTTACGTAGATTCTATAATAGTAAGTAATTTATTTTCTATTTCTATGTTTAGTTAGTGACTTTGCTCAGTGCAGCATGCTACTTTTGGCTTCCTGCCTCGTTATTGAGAATAGTTATATATCTGGTACGGTAACCTTGAGTGGATCAGCTAGCGTTTTAAAGCCACTTACAACCAATTAAGCAGTAAAGCATATGATCTCCACTTAAATATTCACAGGCTGCATCTTCCATCAGGCGGGATATCGGACAACGGATACCCCGGATCAGTGATGTCATCGGTCACTGGTCACTGGACCTCAAACCACATGCCAAACAACACACAGAAACACGTCAATAATTCATCCAGGCACCATAACCATTAACAACTAATCCTTGTATCTCATCGGATAAATCAATCGAGGATGGAAGGAACTACATCGCCGTACACTAGCATAGAAGACTATGGCCTGGTGGGGGACATGCACACCTGCGCCCTGATCAGCAAAACTGGCAGTCTTGACTATATGTGCTGGCCCGTCTTCGATTCACCCTCTGTCTTCTGTCGCATCTTGGACCGTACGCAGGGAGGACATTTCTCCATATGTCCAATACCGGATATCCAACCAATCAGCAAGCAGCGATATCGACCGTACACTAACATGTTAGAGACTCGATGGATCGACGAACAGGGGGTGGTGAGTCTACTGGACTACATGCCTGTATCAAGTCACAAGTCGAAACCTGAGTGGTGTATATGCGATGACCCTATTGCGCGTAATGACCCGCAGAGACCATGTCATTCAGGTGTTGTTCGGAGGGTCGAATGCGTGAGGGGTGAAATGGAGATGGATTTTGAGATATTCCCTGCGTTCAACTATGCAAGGGACCGGCACAGTGGCCGTTGGATCACTCCCAAGAACTCCAGCGGCTCGCTCAAAAAATATTCTTTCGAGAGCGAGACGCAAAACTTGCACTTGACTATCCATTCTGGCACCGACACTTCGCTTGAGCCAGCTGATGCCGTTGCCCCGGTGGACCTAAAGCTCGAGGAAAAGGAAGGCCCAAAAGGGCCAGGACTTCATGCAAGAGTGAAGTTGAAAGAAGGGCAATCAATCTCATTCGTGCTGCACGACCCGGAAACAAGTCTTCCTGAGGAGGGCTCCTTACGACACTACCTGGACGGACTGGAAAAAGAGACGCTCAACTTCTGGGGTGACTGGATCGCTCGTTGTACGTTCCGCGGTCACTACCGAGAACAGGTTGAGCGCAGCCTTTTGGTACTTAAGCTTCTCACATACAAACCTACCGGAGCAATCGTTGCAGCCCCTACGTTCTCCCTCCCCGAGTACGTCGGAGGGTCCCGGAACTGGGATTATCGGTACTCCTGGCTCCGTGATGCTGCTTTTGTCGTGTACGTGTTCCTCAAGAACGGCTACCCAATGGAAGCGGAAGCGTACATCAACTTTATCTTCGACCGCGTCTTCCCTCCCGTGAGGGATAACGAATGCGTAGCCGATGCTCCATTCCTACCCATAATGGTGACAATTAGAGGTGAGAGCGACATTCCAGAAACTGAGCTGGACCATTTAGAGGGATACAAGGGTAGTAAGCCCGTACGTATCGGAAACGGAGCTGCAGAACATATACAGCTGGATATCTATGGAGAACTCATGGACAGTGTCTATCTCTACAACAAGCACGGACGACCTATCTCCTATGAGCAGTGGGTGGCCATCCGCCGCATGATGGCGCATGTAATCAGAGTCCGGAACGAGCCCGACAGATCGCTGTGGGAAGTCCGAGGAAAAGAGCAGAATTTTGTCTACAGCAAAATCATGCTATGGGTTGCGCTGGACCGAGCAATACGTCTGGCGGAGAAGCGATCTAATCTACCGTGTCCAGATGTGGACCATTGGAGGCGTGCTCGTGACGAACTCTACGATGAGATTATGACGAAAGGTTACAACCTCAAGGGAAAGTATTTCTGCATGAGCTATGAGAATCAGGATGTGCTGGATGCAGCTGTTCTCATTGCACCGCTGGTATTTTTCGTCGCTCCAAATGATCCTAGATTCCTATCCACTCTAAAGAAGATCATGTGTGCCCCGGCCAAAGGCGGGTTATCAGTGGCCAATATGGTGTCCCGCTATGATCATACGAAAGTGGATGATGGTATGTTTCTCCTCCTACGCGGCTACTTTCTCTACTGACTCCAAATCCAGGGGTTGGTGGCAGCGAGGGCGCATTCGTCATGGTGACTTTTTGGCTAGTTGAAGCGATGATGCGTGTATGTCTTCATCTCATCAATTTCAGAAACAAAGTACTGACGCGGTACACAGGCCTCAAAGGCAATGCCCTATCAGAAGGACGATCCATTCTACCCCCAACTGCGCAAGGCAGCGGTTGCGCACTTTGACAACATGCTCTCTTTTGCAAATCATTTGGGCATGTTTTCAGAAGAAGTGGCCATATCAGGGGAGCAGATTGGCAATACTCCACAGGCCTTCAGCCATCTGGCGTGTGTTAGTGCTGCGATGAATCTTGGGGAGCAAGGCGAGCGATGAACAGCCGCATTTCTATGGATGCTCACTGCTACTCTTCAACTGAAAGCTCCAGTACATCTCCAATAATCTAGGTACATCCCCTCATGTACCTAATCATTCCGCTCATGCATCTCAAACGTAAATCTCTCAGCTGTCCACACGCATGTACACACCGTCATAGTATTATTTAAATAGTTAACAGGCCTATAAATCAGTAGTCAGACCTTAGCCCAGGCACTCGATTACGAGTCTACTGTGCAGCAACTTACCTTAAACCTACGAATACTGTTGCCAACGCGTTTCTCTCTTCGGAAGCTCCCTCGCTGACTCCTCTACATGGAAACTGTCAGGTGTACATCCTGTGGACAGGGCATATGCGGTGCAGCCGTACCCTCTAGGCCGTAAAGAATAGAGTTGAAATTGTCAATATTCTATCTTTTTCGTATTCAGGATGCTTTGGGATGCTGTGAAGATTGGAGATATTCTACTGTACAAGTTGGCAACCAAGGAGCGGAGAAGTCTGTAGCCATATTGAATGCCACCTGTCTATATCTGACCTCCAAAATACACCTTGAGACCATCATAACACCCCAGAAATAGACCACCTCCTAGCCCAGCCGCGAGGCACGTCAAGGCCCCGCCTCTAAAAAGACCCCGTATCCCCTCCTTGACTAATATGCCCCTCGCGACAGCCACAGCATTAGCTGAGGATACCCTCTCTGACGCCACTGATGGAGGTATAGGCCGAATATCCGCCTTCAAGGGCAGTCGAGCATAGGAATGAGTACCCGCCGCAAGCCTCATTCGCGTCTTCACTACATCAACCGGTACAAATAGCAAAGAAACCACGGCGCTAGCTAGTGCACCACTATGAAAGCTCCCCTTGAAATGAGCACTGATTTCACCGGAATTCTGCGGTACCTCGAACCACGAGGTCTTGAGAGACTCATACATCAAGAACGTCAGACTTGTCCCGGGGAGATGGCTAGCAGCTAGCATGGTATACCCTGCCCAGAGCTTAGTCGGATGCCTGGAGAAGTGCTTGAGGGTTGATAACAGTGGCGAGCGACTATGCCCGGATTGAGAATGCACGACTTGAGCATTCTGCTTCAGCACCTCGGCGGGGTTAGTGATGGCGCATGCGACCAGATCTGCTACTGCACTGCTAATTGCGTACGTGGCTAGCTCGCGGGTTTTTGATGATTGAGTTCCTTCGTCAGGTTGAAGCGTTGTTTTCATGGTTTCGTAGATGGTGAAGAAGGCGACTGATGCGGGGATACTGGTGATAATCGTTGGGCCGAAGCCTTGATATAGCCCTCGGTAGAGAGCTGGGTTGGTGCCGCCATTTACACGCTGATATGTCGTCGCGTAGGCTGGTGATTGTAGTCTAGTAATGAGCGTGTCGAGTGGGTGAGTGAGCAGTTCAACTCCTACTGCGGCTATGCCTGCTGCCTAGATGGGATTAGTTGCGCGCAAGGCCATTATTGTATGAGGTACGTACAAAAGAGACGTCCTTATTACTAGCATCAACGGACATCGTACTGATGATGGGCGCTCATTGCCTAATGAACACCTGTTGGTATATTTTAGACGTGAGTTGAAGAATTAATGGCGTTGTACAAGTCACAAATACGGTCTTGGCATGGAACTGATCGGCATTCGGGGTTTTGGGATGGACGAGAATGGAATCCGCGGATCCCGTGTACAAAAATATACAAAGCTTAAAACTCGATTGAAAGTCCATAACCAAAATCTCAAATCCTATATTATCATGCCCAGCATGTATTCACCCTTCCCACCTCCACAAAGTGCCTCACTCCACCACGAACGAACAGCTACCCTATCGTTCAGGTTTGCATGCCATTGCGCAAGTTATCATACTGCGACACCGGATAGTCCAATTCATTCTGATTCTGTTCAAAGGCTCCCGTGCCTCCAAGTGCATTTACTACCTGAGAGGATATCAGCATTGGACCAGCAGACCGCTCAAATAAGTACTCACCGTGGTAATCAGACTATCACTTCCGGTCTTATCGCTGCTGCTGTCCCACCACATGGCGCCTCCCAGTCCCAAGGACTTGATATAGCCAGACTTCATAGTCGCCACCTGAGGGTTGTCATAGCTGATCAGGAACTTGTTCGTCGCGTCATAACTATAGCTCGCCATGATGTTGGAAATGACATGCTCCGTGGCACCAGCCTGCGGGAGCGCCTTGTAGTCCCACACTCCATTCTCCCAGCTGCCCTGGCCAACGCCGTTATAAGGCTTGCCGAGTCCGTCGGTGTTGGCAAAGGAGCGGCCGTAGAGAGGCATGCCCAGGACGATTTTGTTTGCGGGGACTCCGCCGGCGCGGTACAGATCGAGTGCGGTCTGGGTGTTGAATGGAGTGGAGAGGGGGTTGGAGGTGTCGTTGTATACGTTGGCTTGGTGACCGGTGAGGGAGGAGAAGCTGCCCGCGTAATCGTAGGCCATGAGGTTCCAGAAGTCCAGCTGCTGATCCATGTCTTTGAGGTGCAGGACCTTGATCTTGTCAGGACCTATGCTCGATCAGTCTGATTGCAACTTGTAGTATGAGGCAGTGCGTACTAACCAGCTGGAGATGCCACAGTCAGAAGGAAGTGCTGTCCGCCGGCATTTGCAGCACTGTAACTGTCGAGCGCCTAGGGACCTTAGTAATATGTCCATTAAGAGTCGCGTTCATCATCACATACAGTCCTCACTTCCTTGAGCAACAGAACAAAGTCGTTCGCTTGCTTGTCGTTTTCAGGGTACTACGCCTATTAGCCAGTGTCAATGTTGAAGGCATGCGCAACTCACCTCCCAATCAATATCCAGCCCGTCAAATCCCAGGTCCTGCAGCAGCTTCACCGCAGTCTTCGCAAAATTCTTCCGTCCAGCATCGGTACTAGCCGCCGGCGCAAAGTTGGGAGAATAGGTCCACCCGCCAATAGACAAGAGGACCTTGAGGTTACGGTTCTGCTTCTTCAAAAGATACAACTGCTTGATACAACCGTAGACATTGTTGCCGGTATCAGACCAGGAGTCACCGGGGTAATGTTTCTCAATGTCGGCCCAAGAGTCGGTCATATAGACTTCCCCAGTTTCAGGACGCACATTGGCGAAGGCGTAGAGGACGTGCGTGAGCCTCTGAACAGGAAGGTCCTGAGGATTATGGTTGCGCCCGTAAATTGCCTAGATAGTTAGTGCCAATCAGGTAATCAGTGTGATGTGAGATAGTACTAACCCAGTTGACAAAGTAAACGACGGAGCGATACCCGGAGCTAGCCCGCGCCTCCAGATCAGTACTGCCGGCATCGCGATTCCACATCACTGCGGCATCGACACAGAGACTGCCGAGCAGAAGGGCGACCTTGACGATAGTAGAGGTTGCAAAACGCATTGTTGTCGTTCAGTCGAGCTTACCTATTTGTGAGCTTGTCGAATGCAGTGGTCCTGTGCTCTGTAAATACCATGAGACACACTCCCTATTTATCTCCAAAGCTCCCCTATTCATCGCTACCTTCATTCGAGACATCGACAACACTCCGCCATACAGCGTCGCTTTCTGGTCAAGTCCCATCGTCGCGTTGTAGATATAATATCAACCAGAGCCCTATCATCAGTAACCCTGATGGCAACGTGTCACAAGATGAAGGATGCCAATCAGATGCAGAGATAAGGCAGCGATTCAGTGAAGAACCAGGTTCCGGTGATCCGACGGCCATAGATCTTGCAGTGATCTCGAGTCACAGGCCAGGTTTCACGTACCTGACCATCCTGCATGCGACGTCGGCAGATGCAAATGGTCTGGGCTTATCTGCCCAATGAGAACTTCACTTTGTGCAGAAAAGGCAATGTGACTCCCCGCGTGGAGGGCCGCCAAGGCGCTTAGTCGCGTGAGGGGTCTCCTTAATCTCCAGTTCGATGTAACGACAGGAGGACGTGTATATCGGACCACATGCCATTCTTGATTATCATTCCGCTGCTTAATGGGTCAAAAGGGGGTCTGCAGCAGCTTGAAAGGCAGCATGACGCTATGCGACGTGACCGTGGCCGCCGAGCCCAAGGGATGTCACTATCACTCTCGCTTTCAATTTATCAACTGCGCAGTCGGACTTGGCGACAGCGGAGATTATGGCTCGTCAAGTCTTGAGTAATGTAACATACCGATGATCTTAATATCTTCTTGCCAGGGTTTTTGGATACACTGGGGTTGAACGCCTGACCCCGCGCGATCTAGCGAAGTCCGGGGTTACGCTGCCGGAGCTCTATTTCACATGCGTTTATTTTGATGCATACCTTCCACTGCCGATGTATCGCAGGATGAGACGTCATTTAGCCTTACTTTGCCTGTGTTCACCGGAAAGTAGCAACCAGTAATGTCCGTGAGATTAACATATAGAGTGACTCAAACGTGTCATGCTCTCAAGGTTGGGCACATCTCCGTTGAACCGATTTGATATCTATTCCATCATTGATACAGACAGCGAGCATCTCACATCCAGTGTATCAGTATACATCTGCACCTCTGTTGGTGACGTAGTCCAACAAGGGAAAATTCCAGTCAGCAGCCTCTTTTGTCCAGATGTCACTAGTCCACGTTGCCCTATCCACGAGATTCTCCTCATCCATGATCTTGAGCGTTGCGCGGGTGGCCGCGATGGCCGCCAGCGCCATGCCAAATGTCGCGACAGACTCGTAACCACCGATGAAATCCACGATCTCGTCTCGGCTCAAGATGTATGGGGCTGGATAGGCTCCGCCTGTGATTAACTTGCCCATGATCACCATGACGGGTTTGTTTTCGGGACCAATCCAGTCGGAGCAGAGGAACTTGCCCGTCTTTCCTAGAGCTGACAGTCGCTTTGTTTTACTGAAGCTCGTAAGATCGTCACCGGGAGGAAACGGAGATTGATGTATACGCCACGAAAGCTGGGCTGAAAGACTGTGTCTTTTCGTTGGCGAAGCTCTATTTAGATGCAACCAGTATGTCCAACTTCTTCGTACTTCATTGAGGATGAACCCCTAGTAATTGTATAGGTTGATGCTGATATCCATGACAAACACATCATCGACCCTACCGATCCCTGCCAACTGTTCGTACCCTAATGTCAATTAGGAGAAAGAGACCGACGTCGTGCAAAGCAACTTTGCGACATTTATGTCCCTTATGGGTGGTCGACATGGGCAAGGCCGTGAAGAACGTCGTCGGCTACTCTATTCTAGTTGGTAACGCGGGAAGTGGTACAGTTAGAAAAATTGCTATAGGAAACTAAATGGTGTTAATACTGCCAGTCAATCTCCATGCGCCCACGTTTCCTCCTACTGCGATTGATTATTACAATTACCCATGGCGCGATCCCTCCAGCTACGCCAATGCAGACCAGCACAAACGACAAAGACGGTCTGGACAAGAATGGTTCAGCTATCTCATCACCACTCAGAAAAAGGAGTCCCCGCAATCTCGCGTCCACGAATATTCGAGGCCTTTCGTCAACAAAACTCACGGGGCCGTGCTCTGCATGAACAGAGAGCTCTTCTGGGGATCCTGGATGCTGGATTGTCTCCGAAAGCTCGTCCGAGAGAGTGAGCTGATACATTAAAACGCGTATCTGGAAGATGTGTCGGCAAAGTACCCCAATTACGTCTCTGTTGTTTCAACGGGACCCAGGTTCGCATTCGGCACCAACCCGGGCTCTCCAAACGCCGATGACATTTACTTTACGTTGACGGACTGCTGCTCAGAGTGGAGTTGGAGCAAGTCTATCACGCTCGAACCCGTGTCTGTCAATGTTCCAGCACCAACTCGACGAGAACGGTGACTGAGACAGGTATAGCCCCACCCCTATAGTTGAACGGAAAGTCTGTTTGATCCAAGCAAACGCCGCCATGCGGGTCACTTTCGTCTCGGGTGGCCAGAAAATCGCCATTACTGGCTCAAACTCGTTCAAGTTCCTTTACAGTTCCCGCCAAGGTGGCCAGTACGTTTGTCCTTTCCCCCTATGCCTTTTCTCCCCAGCATGATGAGGAAGTAAATTTGTGTCTCTAATTCCTACCAAACAGCGCCACTCTCACGACCGAGACCTCATGGCATCTCAACTTTGCCCTGGGCGCTGTCAGCGACGGCGGTCTACAGATCACAAGAGTGCCCGACCCCAGCGGAGTTGAAAGCGTCACAACCAATCACTCCTTTGAGAACAAGGACCTGGAATGGAGTTACCCGTTCGACGATTTCCCCAAAGCTATCTCGGGCACGCTGAAAAATTGGTTTAACCACAGCCTGGCGTGGCTAACGAACGACCTGATCAGTGTTTTGAGGCACCACCACAAGCTGTACGTGCCTGCATCGGGGGTCTTCCTCATGCAAGATGCCAAGTTTAACAAGCGAGGAGACCTGCTGGTGGGGTTGCACTACAATGGGTGAGTTGATGTTTTGACGCTTTTCTGCACTCAGCTGTCCGAGGGAAACACTGCAGATCATGACTCTTAATATTTTTAGAGTCGAAGCATCAACCACTTCTTCTTCTACAGATACATCTGTTCAGGGACAAATGCAGGGCTTGTTCAAGGTAGAGGGGATCAATGTGCCCGAGGCATTCAGCAAGTTGCCAATAGCTTGGATGAAACTACCGAAACGGCAGAAGCTGGGACTTGTGACCCCAGAATCACATCTGCCTGCGCTGCCCGACTCGATTCCCCGACTCAATTCCGGAGCCAGTGCCAGTGTTTGGTCAATGGATTGGGATGAGCACTATCTTAGCGGCGTGGTGACATGGAAGTTTGTCCAGTTGTCGTTGTTCATGTCTGTTGGCTAGCCTGAGTAACAAAAAATATATTTATTTACACGTGGAACAACAAAGGTCTGTGATTGCTTCATTCGAGGACAATAAAGCCTGTAACGTGAGATGATTGTTGGTATAGGACGAAGGAATATCTATTGTCTATATGCCTTAACTACAGTCCATCACCTACGAATACTACCATTTCCACTTCGACCATTTGGTAAATAGTCCGACAGCATATTCGTAGTTTTTCTCATTAACCGATTCACTACCTCAACCTCATTCAAAATAGCTCTCAATCGATACAGCACGTTCTGCCCCCTTGCCAGCCCTTCCGATCCACATCGGGCTACCCACGCTAAAAGCCGGTGGAGGCTTAGACCCGCCAAACCGACACTTAAAGGAGCTTGATCCCCAGTTTATCGGCAATTCCCACGGTACCTAATTCGGAAAGAAATAATAAGGGAACCACGAAGCAAATGATTCGCTTCGCCGATCTACCTTCTGAGATCCATCATAACGTAGTCCCCTACCTGCAGTAGAATCGCGACGTGGCTGCTCTCTCTTTACAATGCCAAGCTCTGCATTCTCTCTGCGCACGGTCTTCGACATTGTTGGCAGATATCAGGCAGCCTTATCAGTATCAAGTGCAGCTCATGCATCTGTATTTCACGCATCATAGGCTCACCCCGGATAACTGACCAAACGGCACAACAAAATCGATATCTTCATATGGAAGCAAACAATTGGAATGAAATTTCGCGTCAAAACTTTTCAGTTCATGTACATGGCCTCCAAAAGGAAAGGGTAAAACAAACATTGTAGTTGTGGCATCCTGAATGACAAAAAGAATTGGAGAGACTGAAGAGATTGCTGTGTATATCGCTGGAATATATAATCAAAGATTGAATAGTGTAAATGGGAATTATATGTCATCCCTTCCCACTGGCTCTTGTTCGCCGGATGAATGGCGGTCAGAATCGTCATTGATTAAAGGTCGCTTTCGGATTGATCAGTGTTAGAGATCTGGAAGATGTTTTGCGAGCGAATTAGCGAAAGCATGTTTTGTGCCAGAGGACCTCACTCCACTGACAATTATGATTTGGGCCTGTATTTGTAACGGAGATGTCCGCGACTCCCGTCTCAACGATGAACCATGAGGGGAATTGATATTGAACGACGGGGGGCGGTGACCTGGGTTATAGGCCCCACGGTCTCCCAAGAGCGCGACCGATGGCTGACTCTGGGGAACAACGTCCATCTGGTGTTCTTCGGGGCTATCCGAGCGGTTGTGATCTAGATAGTAGGCACGAAGAGGTCAGGAATCTAGGTACTGTGTAGAATTGTGACCCCTGCGCTGCCGCATACACAGGGAAGGATGGGGTTCGCAGCATTGAATACCACAGAACCTGATCAAGCTTACCAGACAGTGGAAATTCTGCTCCTTCGGCTTGGTTCCACAACAGACGGAACGTGCTGTGACGGCGGAGGATGAATCGTACACCCGGAACACAAGCGATCAAAAGGGCTATCAAAGCTATAATTGCCTCTGCAGACAATGCCATTGTGGAAGGAGATAGGAAGCCTGTTTGAGAGGACTCTTGTGGAAAACAATGTGACATAAATCAGTTCGGCAGAACGCAGTATTCCTCATGGAAACACCATGTTATATACTCCTTGTCTGGCCTTAGCCTGCGACAACATCCTTTCACTTGTCGCTCTCCGTAAACTCGATAGTAAACTTGATAGTGCATTTGATGCTCGATTGATGGTAAGATTTACCAAGATGCATGCAGTATCTCTCAGTTTATCAGGATGGGTCCCCATTCCTGCATCTTGGTAGTAATCTTACCAAACTCTACCAATTACTACCAAGATACAAGGATTATCTGACGGATCCCCTAAGCTGGCGCTGCGCCACTTATTTATTTTTGTGACAGGTGACAGCTAATCCCTGTCGTCTGGTTCGTGTTAGCGACGGGAACCAATGCAACAAATGTCAACTGTCTAGTGCATTGGCCATCCTTTGGAGGCTTTACCACTTCTCTCAGACATATCAAAAGGAAGTAATAATAAAAATAATGGTCATGATGATGATGATGATGATGATGATGATTATAATAATAAATAAATAAATAAATAACATTCTCTCTCATCACAGTGTACTCCAAACTGCATGTATCGGCATCCAGAAGCTCTTTAGAACTATTGCAAAAAGTGACGAAACCAATGGTGACTCCCCTACGCTGCTTCCATTTCAAATCTCAAACGGTCTCGTCAAGTAGATGGCCCAGGGCCCAGGCTGACTGCGAGACATTTTTTGTGAGGTGGAAGGGAGGCGGCATCTTCGCTAGTTGGAGTACCTGTCTGTGCCTTAATAGCCGAGTGCTTCACAAACTGGCATTTATTGGTCTATCATCAAGAATAACTATTGGCGCGGCTCATCTTACAGGGATAGCAAGGCCTAAGTCTCAGAAACAAGGTACACCAGCTTCCGAGCTCTAACAGACCGGTTCTTCAAATCTTTTAGGCCATCCAGAACCTTTCTCAATCCCCCTTCCCGCTTTTCAACGACGAGAGTCTTGATCTTTCCCTGAGCCCAGAGTGTGCTCATGATCCGAGCCCATTTCTTGGCAAACTCGAACTCTGCGGGCATGCCGGGGATCACCATGCGTTCAGGGCCATACTCAAACGGCTCACCAATCGCGGTACAGCAGTTCGAGAATGTTGCCTGCACATCTGAGCGCGAAGTTCGCACTGGGAGCAAAGAATGATAGAGACCTCCTGCGTCACCCATAGCTGCTTCGCAAATTCGCACAGACTCTTGAGTTGCCACAGCATCGCAGACGAGTCTGAGGGTATTGTTGGTATGTTCGCGGATCTTTCGGGCACATGTAGGGTCGCGATAGTCGAAGACTACGTCTGCTCCGTATTGGCGGACCAGATCAAAGTTGTTTGGCGAGCATGTTGTGAGGACGGTGTATCCGGCCCTATTCAACAGTTAGCAGCGTGTCATCAGGACTCAAACGCAAACGGACGTACAGTTTAGCAAACTGGATAATCCAGCTTCCCGCAGATGTGGCTCCTCCATATACTAGAATCGTTTCTGGGTTCTCGACATGATTTCCATTCTCTGGCCATTGCAGCTTGAGACAAGATGGTCCAAACAGACACTGTCCAGCTGTAGTGGCTCCCACTCCCACAGTGGCTGCATCCTCAAAGCTGACGCCGTCTGGGATCTTCATCTGAATCGCCGCCTTTGCCACAATATATTCTGCAAAGGTACCGCTCTCGGTCCGGGTGTTGTCTGCGCCTTTAACGAGTCCACACACGCGGTCACCAACCTTGAACAGCTCACGGACGGAGTCTCCAACTGCCACAACAGTTCCGGCATAATCATGTCCCATGATTGCATCGGGGGACGGTGTAGTGTCCAGGAGCATCCAGTCGATTGGATTCAGGGCCACAGCGACGGTGCGCACCAGAATGTCATCGTCGCGGAGGGATGGGATGGGCCAGTTGGTGATGAACTCGGCATGACCCAATGAGCGGGTGATAACGGCTGCCTGGGAGGTTTTCATGGTTGGACGTATTGTTCTTGAACAGGCGGGTCTCTGAATATTTGACTGTGGTATTCGGCGCCTACTCTTTGTCTTTATATATGTTGCAAGAGTCTCTTTGTGCCTGTTGAGTAGCTTTACATTACTCGTTTGGATCATCTGTTGTGTTCGCAACTTTGGTAATCTGTATGAACTGGCACATAATCGCCACAATAACGGACAATAGATCCACTCTTTCCCGCAATTGCTTATCATATTCATCCGACAAAAGGCTCCGACTGACTATATTTCTCCGCAAAACATAGAGATCGGGATCCACTATTAGCCGCACTGCTTATGCTGAGCCTGCTAAGGTTTCCTGTTCCATGATATCGGGCTCCAGCAAATGCGCGGTTCGAGCCCAGCCATATCGAGTCCCAAGGTAAGATCTGCAGTTGAATGTAGGCAAATATTTATTCAAGAGTCCTAATTATCACACATGAAATTATCAAAAGTCGGAACCAGCTCATTTGATGTTCTTTCTCGTACAGAGCCCAATCCTTTACACGCCACCAGCAAAAGATGCCTAAACTCATCCACTTGAACACGTCCTCCTTGCTCCCAGTCAGTCACAAATTCATCATACGAAATGACTCCCGAGATTGATTGCCCCGGGCTCTGCTCCCTTTCATAGATGAATTCCTCCCAGCAAAGTTCCGCGTATGATTTGGTCGAAACAGGCAGCCCTACCAGATATTTGATATAGTCGCATCTTTGGAACTGGACCACCGAGTGAACAGCGCGCACCAGATACGAAATCACGATGAGTCGACGAGCACTTTCGCAAAGCAGCCAGTCATTCAAATGGCTCTCGGAAAAATGTGAGTCCAATTGTGTCTTGTCTCGAGTCGCCTGGCGGCTTGCTAGTTCCATCCGCTCTAGGTCGGCAGTGCCTTGCGCCAACATACGGTCTAGTTGGCGAAGGAGCGGTTTGTCGTTGATGCCACCCGCAAGGAACAGGATATAGTAGAGAACCGATGCTTGAATGCGATCCAGTTGGTCTTGCAAACCTGTGTGCGTTGGACTACTTTGTCTCATGTTATTGACGGCCGCGTTCAGGAGTTGATGATAAAAAGGCTTTTTCGAGTGCTTGGATGTTCGATATGCCGCGCAGACCCCATACGCTTCGCGCAGAAGAGGCGGAAGATCTGATGTGCGATCGACTAATGACCCAGAGAATGGCATTGCGCCCGTATCCAAGAAGTGGTCAACGTAACCAAGGAACGTCCTGACGCAAAACCCCCATGTTTCGCTGTCATGAACGCGGGGCCAGAATTCCAAGACTCTGCGTTCGATTCGGGGTAATGCTGATGTAAAACCATCTGCTGAGCTAGGAAGAGGGCGCCAGCCTGACGCCCCTTGAGGAAAGTTCCAGACTTGACTGGAAGCCATAAGGCCGTCTAGGAACCACATTGGGTTAAGAATGTCATCTCCTCGATCGGAGATCATGGATGGTTGTATGGAGTACTCCACTGCAGCAAGTTCGCATGTGCTCGAGCGCGTGGGATCGACCTCGAGACTGGTCCCTACATGGACATCTAGTGGTGCAGTCTGGTCGCCCTTAGCCAGTGGAGGCGGATATGGATAGTGACACGTAATAGATTTCTTGCAACAGCGAGAGCAGCTGGGTACCCCATGATCACACCGACGCTTGGCAGCCACACATGCTCGACAAGAAGTTTTGCGGAGTGACATTGCGATTTCTACAGCTGGATTGGAAGACGTTGGACGCTGAAGTTATGATGGGGGTGTCTTTTGAGGTTGGAGCTTATCCGTCATCGCGGACAAAAGTGGGCCAGCGGAGTAAAGTGGGGCCTGCGTTCAGCCAATCAGTATAATGGGAGTGATGATGTTGTTGTCCCATCCAGGGCAACATACTGGACTAGTTATATAGGTGCTGCTGACAAACGCCAGCAGGGCTCTATGACACCTATTAAAAAAGCAAGTGATTATCAAGTCAAGTCATCGCTCAGGATGTTAGAGATCTAGCACAGGAGATACCGCAGGATCGATGGTCGAATGTAACCCATGAATGCCACTGCATCGTTCCCGATTTTGATGATCAATATGTATACAGGTTCAGAATGTATATTCTCCACTGTTATGTGCGTCATGGGGCTAAACTCGGAGAGTCTATTCAAGGTATAACGTCAGAGTAGAACAGATGGAGAGAATCATACCCCGTCTAGCAAATGTATGTGCTATGAACAAGTGCTCAAGAGCAAGGTATTCCATAACAACACTCAGGGCAAAAAATCAAGACCAGTCACCTCTGTCAACGACTGGCTCGTGTCTGTCCGAAGCGTCCATAAGCTCCTTGACAGTCCATGGCTCGTATCTGTAGCCCGGCGGGGTATTGGTGTTCTGGAAATCTTTGCCTTCCAGAATATGACGAGCACAGCTATCGTAGTTCTCATATGCATACTGCTCCGGGTTGTGGCGCATAATCCAGTTTGCAGTAGTTTTGCTGAGGATATCCGGATTCCTGGCAACCTCGTCCCAGTCTGTGTTGTGGAACTTTTCTCGGTGGTGAAAGCCCATTTTCTGGGCACACGACACGCGCTCAAACCTGCGTAGCATAAGCATATTGCCGCCTTCTATCTTGCACTGGGATGAGGACTTGCCTTAGATAATTATGGACCCTTACAGCCAAGGGACCATTGGTCTTCCCACCTAACTGTAGGCAGGTCGCCAGAGAGTACGCATCCTCCATGGCCATTGCCGCTCCGCTCCCCGAAGTGGGTAGAAATGAATGCGCGGCGTCTCCAAGCTGGATAACACGAGCATTAGGCGAAGCCCACTTGGGTTGTGGGTTGCGCCACAACAGCTTCCAGTCTGTGCAACGGTGACCTGGTGTTGCCTTGACAAGCTCCGTTAAGAAGGGTTCCCAGCCGGCGATGCACTGTAGAGCAGTATCGGTAGACACCAACTTATCCCAATTCTCCTCGGCATTGTGGTCGTCCTACAGGACAGAACGGGTTAGTCATTGCTTTTCGGAACAGCAAAATCATCAGACATACCCTATGTGTCAATATATAGCATATCTGTCTTTCGGTTTTGCCGACCACCATATGTGCTCCAGGACCGATGTGCAGCGAAGCACGATCCACATGGCCCTCGAACTCCTTTGCAATGATTGGATTCTCCAGGGCTGGACCCGCCGGGAAAGTCGCCCTATAGCAGGCAAAGCCCGAGCTGATGGGCTTGTCCTTTTGCCCCAGGACCAAAGGCCATGACTTCGATCCAACACCATCAGCCGCGACAACGATATCTGCCGTGAGCTTCTGTCCGCCCTGTAGAACGACGCCTCCATGCGTGTCACTCTCGAAGTATCCATCCACCGCTATATCGAAGTCCACTTTGATCCCCAGTTCCTGCACATAGTCCCAAAGCAGACCATGAAGCTCGGAACGGTTAATGGCTGCAGATTTATTTTCTCCATCACCAATAGGCCAGCTCCCAATCCAAGTTCCGTCGAACTTCTTCACGTTTCGCTGGGTTTTGTAAGATATGGCCTCCAATCTCTCGAAGAAACCAGGCCATTTCTTGACGGTATGTAGGGCATTGCATTCTATCAAGAGTAGATCCCCTGCCATGATGAAACCGTGAGACAAGGCACTTCAGTGCATACCTGGGATGCTAACTTACCATAACCTTCAAAACCTGGCCGTTTCTCCAGAACCCGGACCTCATGACCCTTGCGATACGCCTCGATGGCAAACGTCAGACCACCGATTCCACCACCCACGATGAGAATGGAGAGTCCGCTGGGCGGATAGCGGTTCATGATAGTATATGTTTCTAGGCTTCCCATCGCTGCTGTCTTCCAGGCCTTGATATAAGAGTGATCAGGGCAGACCTCTGTCACCCTTTTATAGCCATGGAGGGTGTATGCATCGATCCCATTACTTGGACTTCACTTATTTCGGAGGGCAGCGGATGAAAAGAGGAACAGCTTCTTCAAGTGCACCTTGCGGTCTCGCACTTCACCCCACTAAGTATGTCCCATACTGTTTCTCGAGTGGATCGAGTTGACTCGAAGTGCATAAGCGCCCCGAGGCTATTTCTGGAACGCACATTGCCGATTTGCAGAGTAATAGCTACTAGATGAAATTTCAATGTGAAGTGGAGATTGGTTGGCATTCCCGAAGTGGTGATAGATTTGTTTGACTCCAGAAGAAGTCCACACGCTTCAACTGCAGCTGATATATAATTTTACCTTTATACTTTCGGCAGGACCCATAGTAACCAAATACGCATAGTCAGCCTATCTTGCATTCGTTTCTAGTCCATTCAGGCGTTATTGTGATTATATATGAGCATAGGTTAGTCAATCAGACGACTGCCAGGATAGCATGCTTTGATTTATGTAAATGTTAACCCATCACATCTTAATCAATACCACTCTGGTTGTACTGCTATATCTCGATGTATCACTTGTCAACAGCTATCTTGGAGTTTTCCCGATCTGAAATTGGGCCCGGTTGACCCACAACGGTCTAACTTCGATTTTATCTACATGCAACTCCAAGCCGGGAACATGATTCCGTCTCTTTCGCTGAATAAGCTGCTTGTATTCTACACAAGTAGTTCAGGTTAACTGCAACAAAGGAACTTGCATACTCGCTCTGCTCTTCCGCTGAATAAGGGGCTGTGTCAGGGCCCACTTGTTGTTAACAATCGCCAGACTACTCTAGAACATATCCCACTGCGTGGTAGGTCTCAAAAAGTTGCCAACATAGGAGTCATGGTTGAATGAATGAGGTTACAGGGCTGGATTCCCCTTTCCATGCTCCTCTTTCGTTAGAGTCAATTGGGTCCTTGTGCACTCTACATGCCAGTTGACGCGGAAGCGCGAAGTTTGAATATGTACAAGAAAGTCCATGGTGGAACAGAGGGCTTACGCTGATGGCGGTACTTGGTACATGAATAAACACAAGAGTTGCGACGGTGTATCGCTGGATACTCATCTGAACATAGATTCCCTATTCCCATCCAAAACCAGTCTCCCTACTTACCGTGCTGGGCATACTTGCTCCTCATGCGGATCCGTTCCCCGAATTTGTACAACAAGAAAGGGTATGGCGCAAATACCACGGTCAAACAACTAAGCAATGTACAAGCCTAACCGACACCTAGATTATGGAAAATTTGCGTCGCAAATAGGGGAAACCCTCCACCGAAAGATGATCGTGGGACGTCATTTCCGGCAAGCACCGAGGTTGCATATTTCGGATACGCCCGTGCCTCGTAGCAGAAAATGCTGTTGAAGATAAGATATCCCCCGAAGGAGAATAACGTAGAAGCAAGGATCGGCACAATCCAGTGGATGCTTGCAAAGTTTCCGGTCCACCCAAACAAGGAGAGGGATATGGGTAGACACACCGCTCCAAAACATGCTGGAGGGAGGTGTTCTTCCGGAGAAAGGTGGCCGTTCGGGTTGATGTGTTTGGACTGCCAGCGATATTTCCAAAAGAAGTACAATGGAAGAGCAATGAATACTGCCCCTATCATGATACTGAGGAATGCCAGGCCAGTTTCTCCTGGATTAAAGCCGTGTTTTTCTTCTAAGACAATGGGAAAGGCTTCGAACCAAATGTACAAAATTCCGTAAATAAGAGCGATGTTTAGGCTCATAAGAACGACAATAGGTTCGAGTAAGTAAAGGACAAATGCACGAACGAGCGCTTCAAATAGGACATCCTATTTCGATCTGTCAGTTACCACATGTTGACAAAGAGGGCCTCCACGCAGCCCTACCCCCGGAGCCACCCGAGCAATCTCAGTCTCAGCCTCGGACGCATATCTCTGGTCGCCTGTGATCCGGCGAATACGACGTGCTCGGCGACTGATGATATTGGGGCAAATGTCTCAGGCAGGAAGAAGAAGAGAAGCACCAAAGCAAAGCCAGCCATCCAAAGCACATGTTCCCAGATGGTCCCCGGAACCAATATAGATAGCGAACGTAAGAAGGCAAACAAGTAGGCTAACTAGGATCTTTTGGCTGATGCTCCAGTTTTGCGGATTCTATCATCTGCCCGGAATCCTGTATTCTTGAATGCTGTCCTACCTCGCTATCACCCGCACCACCCCAACCAATCACTTCAAGCGATCCATCCTGTATCCCACGCCATGGACCTGCTAAAACACTTTTCAGAGGGGGCCTTTCCCTCCACACTGCGACATAACCGTGTACAAGTCATGCTGCTCGTAAAAGTCTTCGCTACTAGTCTCCGTCATTGCTTCTTCCTGGTAGGCATCTGGCGTTTCTAGATATTTCGCCAAGTTGAACCATCCATTTCTTCCAAGTACTGGAAGAGCCGGTAATTGCTAAAGAAATGAACTAACTTGCCGAAAGCTGAGTCGTGAATTGTCCCCATGTTATGTTGGAGAACCCTTGTCGATTTAAAAGACTCGAATGAGAAATGCAGCAATTTCAATGCCTGGAGGAGTTGTCCTTCCATTACAGCACAAACGTCATCTCATTTAAAATGACAAATAACAATGAATTATCACGCCATGTGGTTTACATCTCACTGCAGAGAGGTTTCCCTATAAGGACAATGTCATATGTTCCCGGTATCCCAGTCAAAGGTGGTTTTATTGAGACTGATTTCAGTGATCTTTACGTTCGAGACAGTCAGTCCTCGATACATAATACCGCTGACATCAGGACCTCAAAGGGTCCATGAATCATCCGTCGCTGGTCCGTATCTTTAGTAAAGTTCAGTGGCGGGCGGTTGATCGTATGTAAGGTTTTGTGGGGTTCGCTGATATCTCGCAATGCTCCACATATCGCAGTCTGGGTGCATGAAAGTTTCTTTTAAATGCCGGTGGTGTGACCGTTTTCCTCTGTCACGTCAAAATACAGGTATTATCCTTACTCGAGCTGATACATTAGATAATGTTGATGTGGTATTTTCAAGGCTTTCTTAGTGTTCCCTTCCAGATCCTGTGCTTCCGCGTCGTTTGTTGTCACCGTCGCTTATGTTAATACATTTATGGGAGCTATAGGCCTTATATCCGTGGATAAAACACATAACTGAGATCGCCAGTGCAGGCCATGCGATATGCAATGTTGCATTCCATGATGCACCAAGCGACGGGATGACAAAAAAGTCAAGATCTTATTCTCGACAAGATGGTCACACGCTGGTGGCTTGCGTCGGCAAGCTTCCCTGTTGTTGCAGTACTTTACCTAAAATTTCCGGTTTAAAAGAAGATCTGACCGACGAGGCCGCCAGGGAGTACTATGTGCATTGGCCATAATGTTCAATATTTGCGCCGTATCCCAAGGATGGCGAGAGATAATTGACGCCGACGGAAGCGTAAGCATTATAGCTCAGCCGGCATGGTACGACATGCACTTCTTTCTTTCGCTTCTCATTGAGCTAATAATCGAAAGCAGGGCCGTCGCACTTAAAGCTATGTCGCTGGCATTCGCCATTGTGGCTTACCTCGTACTTCTGCTTACAATGATATCCAAACATGATCCGGTAAAGGGGTTTATCGTGACAGTACTGTGCTGGTGCTCCTCTGCTGCAACGCTACTTACTGTCATCGGTGTTATAGCTGGGGAGCATACAACAGTGGACCCTCAGGAGACCCTTCGGTATACGCAAAACTACTTCTATGGCACATTTGCTGCTGGCCTCTATATACTGATTGCTGTGCTGTTGGCAATCTACACATGCAGTGTGCGCTCGGTGCATCTGACACATGAGGAAAGGCGAACAGTCGAATGTACGAGCATCATCCTGCGAGTGGCTGCTTTCTCTGTCTTTTTGCTTGCGGGGGGTGCTGTATACGCGACTATTGAAGGTTGGACTTTTATGGATGCATTTTATTGGGCCGACTACACCCTTCTGACAATCGGCATTGGAAATATCGCCCCGAAGACTCACCTTGGACGAAGCTTGTTGTTTCCATACGCCTCTGCGGGCATCCTGAATACAGGTCTAGTCATCACCTCAATAACGTCATTTACAGAGAATATTCGAGCACTAAGCACCAGATTCAAGATTGAGGAAGTGCACTGCGGCATGCAAGGGCGCCGATCTGTCCACGAGTGCTCCGGCAACAGTCATTGTGACAGGGAGAAGCAAGCACGGGAAACGCCAGCTGAATCTCGGTATCCGAGCAAGGTTGACCTTATGAAGTTGCAACGCATCAAGCGTGACTTCTATAGAAGGCATCGATGGACGTCTTTGATCCTGTCTGGGATCGCATTGTTCTTCCTCTGGCTAGTCAGTGCTGTTGTCTTTCGCCGCTCGGAGAGAAGCCAAAGGTGGACTTATTTTCAAGCCCTCTATTTCACATACACCTCTCTGACAACCATCGGCTATGGAGATCTGTATCCCACCAGCAACTTTGGAAAAGCATTTTTCGTGTTCTGGTCCCTTCTGGCTATCCCCGTGTTGACTACTCTCGTCGCTGCCATGGGGCAGTTGGGGTTTGAGAAGATGACTTATTTGTTGCGCTCTCTTTGGAAGCTTGAAGCTTCGAGGCTGGGTAGGAGGGACACTGATGCTCAGAGCGAGGAAGGGAGAAATAAATCACTCCCAGGCCCAGACCTGGCTATTGATAGCAACAGTCATGCCCCAAGTCTCACAGAAGCCGGACAACCATACAACAATGTACCGGGCAGTTCCGCATATGAAAAGAGCGATGGTGGTGCACGACTCGTCCAAGCGGCTCAGCGCTCCCTTTTGCTCGGCGTGGAACTTGGCAAACTCATATCTGCACTTCAAGATTCGGCTACTACCCAGCTTGATCTGGAGAGTGAGTGGGACAGGATCCTTGCACTGCTCCATCCTGAAAACGATGGGTGTCGCTTGTCGGAAACCACTTCTCTTACAACCCTATACAGCCGTAGAGGAACTGTGCTGGAGTTTCTGGACTCCGACAGACCGGCTACAGACATCAACAAAGAAATTCTGTGGATGCTGAAGTTCTTGACGGAGAAGGTGTGTTCAAATTTACAGAAGGGCTTGCAGAGAGAGCAAAACCGCCTTGGTGTTGGGTGCTAGAGTGATTCAATATTACTATATACAATGGTGCGGAAATATATTCATGGTATCACTAGGACAGCTCAATATAAAAATTACACCCATTTCTTTGAGTCTAGTTTCCAACATTCGTATTCAATATTCACAGTTCAAACAAATATAAAACTAAAACCAAGCTAAATAAAAAGTCTATATCTGGATATCAAAGAGAAAGATTACATGAAAGCGAAGTTGCCATAGATATTGTTAAAAGCTTGAGTAACAGAAGGGGAGGGTTGACTATTGTCAGTGCTCTTATGCTCATGAGACACAAACAGACCGCCTAGCCCTTTAGTTGTGCCACTCCGAAAACGATGAGTAAGTGGCGTATTCTCATGAACTTAAAACGTTGAGCGTCTTTTAACACCACGTTGCTGTCGAGGCAAGTCTGCTCTAGAACCCCAGGGTCAGCGGATCTCTTGTTGGTCTCTGCACATAGGAGGACAGAGCAGCCACGTTGAATGAACCGTGGCTAGCAGCGATTATTGGGTGATCCTGCGGGGCTCATCCGGCATCATATTCATGGGAGAGAAGCCAGGGATGGTCGAAGCTTACGCAGCTCATTATGGGTTGTCCCGCCTCGTGCCCCTCGACCATGAGGCGTTGCGGATGATTGCTCGCTCATGAGCCTGGGTGATGATATATTAGGACCCTTGCAACAGGCCTCTGGCGCGAAGCTCACGAACCTCCCTTCCCGTCTAGTAAGTTTAGTAAATATTATCAACCAAATTCATCAGCAATGAGCTTTTGAGGGAAATATAATGGAGACATTACTCCTCCCAGATATTGCTTGCCACTCCGGAAGGCACAATGTTGGCCATCGAAAAGGGATTCAGCTCGGCTTGGCACTAGTTGAACCCGTGGTATTTTTGCAAGGGCACAGCATAGGTGGTAGTGCTTGCAAAGACAAGGCGGCTGTCGTCCGGGGGTCTCTACATATGAAAGTCACTCAACCAATTAAAATCAAGCGGATCTGCGTCTACTTTCGAGGGCTTGTTAAACTAGAGCTATCGGAGGGTCAGTGGTTAATCCATCCTGTGTTAGGGTTGAAGCTCGCTCCCCTTCCAATAGGCTAATTTCCTGGTCCAGTGGCGCTTGTGGGGAATAGGGATCTGATCACGTCCGGTATCACCTACTTCGACCGCGGGCAGACAACACAATTAGGCAATGTCTACGGCGCGGATATCTGTCACATACTGGACCGATCTGGCACAGATGCAGAAAGTGGCCAACACATCAGAAACACTGTCAGAAACACTGCCGAAACGTCCTGGGGAGACCCATCCCTTCCTCCTAAGTATAATATTGGCGGCTTACAGCAGCCTGGACTCTTGGGGGCCGTCACCAAGAGCGCTCTATTTCCCGCTGGTGATTATCTGTACAACTTCGAATTCCTCCTGCATAATTCCCTCCCGGAGACCATTACTACCGAGCTGATATCTACGCGATACTACCTGGAAGCCCTGATTGAACCGTCTGGACCATTTTCCTCAAAGGCAGTTTGCCAGGTTGATGTCCCGGTCATTCGACTGCCGGCAGAAAACTCACTGGAGCTGGTTGAGCCGATCATCTTCTCTCGGAAATGGCGCGAGCAGCTTGCCTACGATGTTTGCATTTTCGGGAAGTGTTTTCGTCTTGGCTCACGGATACCAATGAGGGTGAGATTAACTCCCCTGGCCAACGTAAAGTGCCGGCGGATCAGAGTATACGTGTCTCAGCACGTACAGCATCGTACAAAGGGCCCAACAGGTCGCTTTCTCCAGCTGCCCGCGAAAAAGGTTCTTCTGTTCGAAAAGCAGCCTGGCCTTGCAAGTTACAGCTCCTACCCAGGCAGCACCATGCAAATTATGACAGACGGGGGTAGAATAAAAACCCCCGGAGTCCAAAGCATGAATCTGCTAGGGGACGAATTGGAGACCTCTGAGATCAACTTAGAGGTACAATTACCGCGATGCCCAGAAATGAGAATCAAAGGAAAAAGTCAATGGCTTCACTTTAGTACCAAAGGCGGTAGTCCTGAGGTTAATCACTGGATCCAGGTAAGAACAGTGACACATACAGTATAATGCGATGACAAGCACACTTTATATTCTTGACCCGGGATGCTAACGTACATGCAGATTGTTCTGTGTCTTTCGATAAACGACCAAGACGGTATGGGTCCAAACAAGCCTCGAACTGTAGAGTTGACCATCGAGTCGCCTTTCACTATTCTGTCCTGCAAGGCTACCCCGGCAAATATCTATGTTCCGCCATATGCGCTGGAAAGTGATAGGGGAGTAATTCCGTCTTACGACGGCCAATGTGGGTGTGGTGACAGTCCCCGGTCAATATCGCTAGCCTCCAGGCACGAAGCAGAGGCACCTCAAACCGAAGCGAGGGACAATTTGACGTCCTCTAAAGGACAACTGTCTGGAGATATTACGCAGCAACTCAGCTTCTACAGTATCTCTGGCGACATTAAGCAACCCGCTCGAGCCCATTTACCTGATTGGGGCCTTCCCTCCGACGAACTTCACCAGCGACCTGATCCATATCGAAGCAGGCACTGGTTTGGTGGATAACCTTTCTCACATCCTCGGCTTGCCGGTACTTGACTATCATTTCTAACGCGTGGCCTTCATTGTCTGAGTGGTGTTTCTCTCCTTATTGGGAGTAATCCTTTTTTTGCTTTGCTGTGGCAAGACCCTACTTGTTCTTATGGAACCGTCTTTCCTGGATAGATAGTGAATATACCATTGTTAGAACATACGGTCGCTGCCCGTACTATCCGCCGAATCCACATCGTTCCATTTCCGAGGTCCATTCAAGGGTTTGTGAAACTTCATCGCATGCTAAGTATTTATTATTAGGTTGTCTGTGGAGGTGGTTGAATTAGCCTAGCCATCATCAAATTTTTTCAATCGGTTGCTTAGGCATTCTGAGAGAGATACTCTTTGAATGTATATATCACAAGCATCGCACCACCTCCTAACATGGTGTGGCGATATGTCGCACAGTTGTGGAAATGTGCGTAAGCCGCACTCTTTCTGTGGTCCGCAGTCATGATGCACCATGGATGTCGTTCGTTGGAGTAGCGGAGACTTGAACCGAGCTGGATATCTTACTAGAACAAATCACAGGCTAGCTAGTCAGTCACAGCGGGAGCTTAAGCAATCTTAAGCAGACTAGCAGAAGTCTAAAATACCCATTATCTATGGGCAGGTTCATAAGGGGCGCATTTGGGCTCGGTCAGGGGAGTCCAGGTGATTTGCGGACTCGGATGACATTATGAGTCTCATCGAATGTTACTAACCTTACTTGGAGGATAAATCCTGAAGGCCTTCAGATCTGCGAACGAGGATAACTATTGTCGAACTGATGGTGTATCTGAGGATGAAAACCTTGAAGCTCCAATGCAGTCAGTCCTGAACCCACGGACTGTGCTGCGCGCATCCTGCCAACAGTGCAGGAAGGCAAAGGAATGTAGAAAGGTGTGGCCCCTTCGAACTTATTACTCTTCGTACTGACTGCGGTATTCTACCTTAGGTGTGCGATGCCAGCGAGAAGGCGAGAGTGGTTCGCGGTGCAAGCAGCGAGCGCAGAAATGCGAGGTTTTGGCCTCCTTCCGGAAGCGAATCATCAAGGGACAACCGAAACCGCATCGGTGAGCGCAAGAGACTGTTGTTCATTCGAATTATCGCACTGATGCCTATGATTTACATAGCGATACCATCGATTAGATGAAGAATCGCCGTGAGAGGATAGAATCGCTGTTGCTCGCAGGAACGCACTCATCAGTGGATGACAACCGAGCCGGCTCCTCGGTACGCAATGCGAATCAGGACGATGCATCGTACTGTTTGATGGATCGGATAGGCTTTTCCAGTGTTATTGGTACCACTATATTCCTTTTGAACCCCTTTGCTGGTAGCAAATTCACAGTGTCTGTCAGGTTTCGGGTCCGGATTTGCTCTCCTATCGCCGCGTGGTCTGCAGTGGGTGTCCAGTATCTTGTTGGACTTTGTTTTCAACAGAACGCGGACATACATGGCTGGTCAGACTAGATGATGAGCACATGGCAGCATCTCAGCCCCGATGATCAGACGCCACTCCCACCAAGAGGATCTGCCCTCCTCGCGGTCAACTGTTAGTATCTCCTGTCGTCCCTTGCGCCACTGATCATTGGTAAGCTAACACTTGTGTAGATTTTTTTTGCTTTGCCCGGATCCAGAGCAATTTCCATCCACCCTTTCACTTCACGCTGGGTACTGTAATTGCCTGTTAATTTTCTGGCGCTTGGACATTGGTACAGACCAGTTCTTCCTCAGAAGACCCTCGCTGGTCTTCCAAGCGCATCGCATGTCTCGCTGCCGCGAGGGATACAATCAAACTACTTGACAGTTTAAGAGAGAGTGGTGACTTGTTTCGAAATAACTTGGCGCGGTATGTCCTCCTTCACGCCTCCGGCGGCTCCTGTTGGGCTGGACTTAATAGCGCTGACCTCCAGAAAGCCGCCTGTCGTATCATCCCGTCCGTGCCTTTCCGAGATTCTTCATCAATATCCTTCTGAATCGACATGATCCGAGCGCCTTGACCGACTTAAACTTGTTCCGCGTCGTTCTAACACAATGTCCGCGCCTCTGCAGACAAGCCGCTCCCCGTTCGCTTTGCTGCTGTTTAAGATATATCAGAAACTTACGACCACGGCCGGGGAGTATCTCGTCCGCACTCTAACCGGTGGTACGAGCGGAACAGCCCCACGAAGCGGTTTTACAGTCCCCGAAGTTACGGACTATGAAGTCCAGTCCGCCATGAACTCTCCATTTGGCATCTCTGGACACAATCAAAGATTAGGTGGCTAGTGTCTGCAGCTCCCTCCAACATTCTCGGACTATGCAGCGCTGTCTTATGATGACCCTGCTGCAACCCGAGAACAGAGATCAATGGCGAAAGTGAGCCAGCCTCTTTTCCATTCCGGCATAGGGGGATCAGAGTCTTTCTTCGCTGGGTACGATAGCATCTCGAGCGAGGTACAAGCTATAGATTCGGGTCTTTCGTCACCATCGCTTCATCGTGGCTGGCAAAATCTCCCTCGCTAAGAGATGGCTCTAGCAGCCTCGGTCCTCCTTCGTGACTCAACAGAACAACCATTTTGCCGTGGCTCAATAATGATCATAATTGCCAGTTCATCGCCTTGTTTATGGTCCTTGGCAAACGGACAGTTTTAGAGGTTCAGAGGTAGATGACCACAACCCTTTATCTTGATCTCAAACCTTTCCCTTGCGTCGTATATGATACCGCTCAGTCAAAGGTGTCTACGCAGCCGTCTGTAGTTAGAAGGGATGATCGCAGTGAGGCCAATACAGCATGGAGACTACACCTTCAGATACCCGGTTCTTAGTTCTTATAATACCCCTGCGCTGACTGTCCAGGTTTGCTGATCTATCAGTCTGCCGTAGTCGTTCTATATATGGGGCTTACGATGGTGACAATGTCAAACCCGTTTCTTCACTATTACCATGGCTCTGTGCAGCTTTCAATGACCTATGGCTGGACCTACAGAAATACCATTTCTGCTCAAGATCTTCTCATACATCAGTTAAGCCGCTTTCAATCGGCTAGTGTTCAAGACCTAAGTAATGATTATCTCGATCGAGGATCCAGGAGGAAGATTTCTATTCAAGTGTTAGACAAGTAGAGTTGAAGGAGCGGCACTGGGCAAGATTTCTAATCCTGTCCGAGGTTCAGGAGAGATGAAGCATTCCGAAATTCGCATGCCGGTGTTTTCCCGGAAAGTGATAAGCGATTCAACCCATTTATATTCAGCCGGGAAATTTCAACGGCGCATAGTCCTAATATTACGAGATAATGTAACTATAGGCATTGCGGGCCGGAGTCCGAATCCATCCGGAATACCGTAGGTTATCGGTTCCGCGTCTGCCGTATGTGTCTGAAGACGATGCCTGGTAATCAAAGCACACCATATGTATCTAGCAGTTGTCGGAGTATACAATTCGGATTCAATAAGATCACCCGTATTTCTGCTATTTCCAAGACGTGGATGCACCTCCAGGACGATGCTGCAAGTGCCCTGTCTCACTGGCGAATTATCATATTGCTTTCCACAATATCGTCCCGCTTCAGCACTAATATGTCTGTCCGCAATTCCCCGCATCGGCAAATTGGTATACTCCTGATTCTGGGTATATTCTTCCATTAATATGTTTCTTCCTCCAATCCCACCTGCATTGCATCCTGCATGCGGCGCCACCCCCACAACATGGCTTATCATCACCGTGCAGATGACCATAGACAGCCCTGTAATCCCACCGAAATCTACCGAAGCAGAATTAAGGCACCGGCTTCTCAGTATTCACCTGGCTTGTGTGGACATTTGCCGGACTCCACACTGGACTCCACATGCCCGTCATTCTGCAAGTAAAGTATGGGGTGCATCACGCGGTCGACATGCATCGGAAGGGCATCCGTGATGAATTCGTCACTACTCAATCTACGCAATGCATCCTGTTCCTGAAGGCCAACGGTTGCTCGGCCCCTTGCGCCGATAGTACCTGCTATCCTACTTGCGGGACCATCACATGGGTCATTATCGATCTGGCTGGAAGCATATGCAGAGAACTCAAAGCGCATCACCTAAGTTGAGTGCGCGCAGACCGTGACGAACCTTCTCAGAGCCCTCGGAATGGGAGCTTATTGCGAATCACCATGCCGATGCAGACGTTCCATCGGCAGACACCGGTGCATCCTGACCTGGAGACCGTATATTGCTTTAGAATCAGTCTAGTTGGGCAGCGGAGACAGATCCGTGCAGATGAGACTACTTAACTCCCATAATCGCTCTTCTTTGACCACTCCAGTTATCAAGGCTGGTCAGCATCCAATGCCAAGATGATGCATACTCTGAACGTGGTCTTGTTGGCTGGAAGCCTCTTGTTTGATGTGACCCGCGGAGCTGCATCACAAGCTTACACCTGGAAGAATGTGGTTACAGGAGGCGAGTATACTGAGTACTGCCTGGCTGACCTTCTCGCTGACAGCAATATCCAGGAGGCGGAGGTTTCGTTCCAGGAATCGTTTTCAATCCATCAGCCAAGGGAGTAGCGTACGCTCGTACTGATATTGGAGGCGCGTACCGTCTCAACTCGGATGACACATGGACACCTCTGCAGGATTCTGTGGGCAACAGCAACTGGTATGTAATTTGAATCTGTAAGTTAAGTTTACTGACGATCCAGGCATAACTGGGGTGTTGATGCTCTCGCTACTGATCCCATCGATACCAATCGCTTGTACCTGGCAGTTGGGATGTACACGAACGAATGGGATCCTAACGTTGGCTCGATTATGCGCTCGGCCGATAACGGTAATACTTGGTCGGAAACCAAGCTACCGTTCAAAGTTGGAGGAAATATGCCTGGGCGTGGTATGGGCGAGGTAAGTAACAGTACTTCCTCCCGGCATTGCTTGTTTCTCGGCTAAGACCATGTAGCGTCTTGCTGTAGACCCTAACAAGAACAGTATTCTATACTTTGGCGCGAGGAGTGGCCATGGCCTGTGGAAGAGTACTGACTACGGAGCGACCTGGTCCAACGTCACTTCTTTTATCTGGACTGGTAAGCCTTAATAGGCCAGAATGATACCATGGGAGCGATAGGCTGACGAGGAGTAGGAACTTACTTCCAGGATGCCAGTTCCACGTATACGTCCGATCCCGTTGGTATTGCTTGGGTTACATTTGATTCCACCTCTGGTTCAAAGGGCTCTCCCACTCCACGCATCTTCGTTGGTAGGTTTCGAGAGTAGGAAGTTTTGAACTATGGTCTAATTCTCTCTAGGAGTTGCGGACACCGGTAAATCAGTGTTTGTGTCTGAAGATGCCGGATCTACATGTACGTTCTTTTCATCTATCGAATTCGATCCTCCATTGACTGAAAGCTAGGGTCCTGGGTTACCGGAGAGCCACAGTACGGCTTTCTACCTCATAAGGGAGTGCTGTCTCCAGCTGAAAAGACTCTTTACATCTCTTATTCCAACGGAGCTGGTCCGTACGACGGCACCAATGGAACGGTACACAAGTATAACATCACCAGCAAAGTGTGGACTGACATCAGCCCTACACCCATGGCAAGCACATACTATGGCTATGGCGGTTTATCTGTCGACCTGCAAGTCCCTGGAACCTTGATGGTAGCCGCGTTGAATTGCTGGTGGCCAGACGAGCTGATCTTCAGGAGTGTGGATTCTGGAGCCACATGGTTTCCCATCTGGGCCTGGAACGGATATCCCAACCTGAACTACTACTATAGCTACGATATATCAAATGCCCCTTGGCTGCAAGATGATACTTCAACAGCTGAGTTTCCCGTTCGTGTCGGCTGGATGGTTGAAGCTCTCGCAATTGACCCATTCGATTCTAACCACTGGTTGTACGGAACCGGCGCGACGATTTATGGTGGCCATGACCTCAAGAATTGGGACACCGTGCATAATGTCACCTTGAAGTCTCTCGCCGTCGGCATCGAAGAGATGGCTGTCCTTGGACTCATTTCTCCTCCAGGCGGACCACCATTGCTGTCTGCTGTTGGCGACGTTGGAGGATTCTACCATTCAGATCTCGGCAAGGCACCGGCTCAATCCTTCCATAACCCAACATACGGCACTACCAACGGCATTGATTACGCTGGTAACAAACCATCCAACCTTGTTCGCTCAGGAGCCAGCGACACGCTTCCTACCGTTGCTATGTCTACGGACTTTGGCAAGACCTGGTCGGCAAACTACGCAGCTTCTTCCACCACGCCCACCGGGCAGGTTGCTCTTTCTGCGGACGCCGATACCGTCCTGCTGATGAACTCCAATGGAGCCATGGTGTCGAAGTACAGCAGCACATTCAGTGCCGTCTCGTCTCTGCCCTCCGGTGCGGCCATTGCATCTGACAAGTCCAACAATACAGTCTTCTACGGTGGTTCGGCCGGCTCCTTCTACGTTTCCACCAACGGCGCCACCTCGTTCACCAAGACTGCATCCCTTGGCTCCAGTACCGCCGTCAATGCCATCCGCGCCCACCCCTCTATTGCCGGCGACGTCTGGGCTACTACCGACACCGGTCTCTGGCACTCGACAGACTACGGTAAGACATTCACCAAGGTCGGCGGTGGATGCACAGCAGGCTGGAGCTTCGGTCTGGGTAAGGCTTCGTCGACTGGTTCCTACGCCGTCATATACGGCTTCTTTACCATCGACGGGATAACCGCACTCTTCAAGACGGAGGACATGGGCACGAACTGGCAAATGATTTCTGATTCCACACACGGCTTCGGCGCTGCGTCAGCTAATGTGGTCAATGGCGATATGTCAAACTATGGACGTGTGTTTGTGGGCACAAATGGAAGGGGTATTTTCTACGGTCAGCCAAGTGGGAGTCTCCCTTCTCCGACTGCTACGGCGACTACGACCCAGACCACATCGACAAGCACAAAGTCATCCGGTACTACGACTTCGACAACGCTGACCACGACTACTAAGGTATCGACGACAACTACGAGTACTTCCAAGACTACGACATCGCCAACCTCTACAGGGACTAGTACGCCGTATGGACAGTGTGGTGGGACCGGATACACTGGGCCAACAGCCTGCCCGAGTGGATGGAAGTGCACTTACCAGAACGCATATTACTCTCAGTGTAAGTGTTAACCTAGCCCTTAAGATGTGTTACCGATCTATAAGTTGTATACTGACTTTGTTGCAGGTCTACAATAGGTGAAGCTCAAAGGCGGTTGATTCATCCAAAGCTACGTGCCTTTGCAATTGCGATGCAGTTCCTGTCAGTGATGTAAGAGACGTTCCAAAAGAGACCTTGGCCATCTGTGTAGTAGTCAAATTTATCTCTGATGATCCAAGCTATGTGAAGCAGATGGAGGCCCTCCAGTCAAATTAATTGAATGACGACTTAACATGTAGGGGTTCTATTCCCGAAATAAACTGCCAGGCGCCATAACAATTCCAGCCGAGCGCGGCAAAATTTTACAATGTGATTGTAGGCATCAAGCTATTTTTACAGAGTTTTGACATCTTGGATCTGTTTGGCTGTGGTATTGTCTGCCGCATCTTAACCGCCGAATTGTTTCAGATTAAGGGTCCACATGTTCTCCCACTGCGATATCTCCGACAATTCAACACCCTCGCAATCTCTTTGATTTTGTCTGCAGCTGTTGCTCAGTCATGTAGCTGTCCAACGTGCATATTGCCTGTTTTTGAGATATTATTGTTACGAGCGATGATGGAGTTATGGAGAGCGGCCAGATATGGCGCTTAACGAAACTGACTGCAATGGAGGCCCAATCCCTCTCCCAGAGAAGCCATTATGATACGAAGTATAATATATACTTCTTCAGCCGGTGTTTGCCTAATGACAGGAATTGAACAGTTGGATTGATTTTTCGAACACTTAAAGAGCCATGGTACCCAGTGAAAATGACATGGTGTCTGCGGTGGTCAAAATTGCTTTTCAGATTTACCTCACTTGCAGTCTTATTAACTCGTTCTCCTTAAGAACCGGTATTGCAAACCAGTGTCCTGAGTCCACCAACGATTTCACCGTCGCCATTATATGTGCTTCCAGGCAAGAGCTCATGGCAGTCAAGACTCTGTTCGACGAAGACTACGGTATTGTCGGTGATATTTCGGGCATCCACCCGTCGGACACCAACTCTTACATCGCTGGGCGAATCGGCAAACATAGAGTAATCCTTACGCAGATCTCCAAATACGGCAAGGTATTCGCAGCGAAGACATCCTTCTGGCTCTCGGTTAGTTTTCCGCAAATCCGTATTTGTCTTGTTGTTAGCACTGGCGCTGGAATCCCGTGCACAAAGGATGGACAGGAGATACGGCTCGGCGATGTCCTGGTTAGCGAGGGGATAATTGAATATGACTTGGGCAAACTTCTACCGGGCGGCGTCTTCCTACGCAAAACAGGGCCCATGTACGATTTCCCTCCGCCTGCAGGGCACATCGCCAGATTCCTCAATCTACTTCGTCGCCGGCAGTCTATCAACATGATGAGAGAACGGATGTCGCTGCATCTGAACTATCTCCAAGCTACCATCTGCGACCTTGCAGGGACCAACTATCCGGAGGAGAATGAACTCTTTCCTCGGCTGTCTTTACGGGGGTATTCAGGGTCTGATTCTTATGCCTTCAATTCGGAAGCCAGAAACAAGAACGCTTTGCTTGTTGCTAAGTGTCCCTCCCTAGACGCGGGGCCTCGCGCGGGAGCATGGTCATGGTCAAATATACCTGCGATCGAATATTTCAAACCAAACGTCCATTTTGGATGGCTTGCATCTGGGGACAAAATCATGAGGTCCGCCGAGATGCGTGATCAGACAGCTGCTGAAGAAGGAGTCATTGGATTTGAATGGGCAGGGGTCGGGGTATGGAGGGAGCTTCCCACAATGGTGATCACAGGAGTAGGCAATTACGGCGATGGTTATGGGGCCGATCCTTGGCCTGCTTATGCTTCTGCGAGTGCGGCATCATGCGCAAAGGCGATCTTGGAGGCGTATAGACGCTCTGAGCTTCCTTGAGCATTTCATGTTCGCAACGATTATTCGGTTCCTTTTGGTGCAGTGAGCTGTAATTTGGTGCCTCTTTCCGGCAGCGGAGGGCGCTCACTATTGCTGCCAGGAATTAATACTTTCGCGGTTTCCAGCTGGTGTTGAATCTCTTGAGATTAATTTTGCAGGTGGAGTGCTGATCTTCTGAGAACGATATTCCTGGATGGTCTGTTAAAGGCGGTTATCTGACTGTATATAGAATATATTTTGTGGCCATAAAGATTGGTACAACCAGACGGGCTTCTTGTTCCCTTCCCGTCCATAAAGAGTCTCCGAGTGATATATATAAGCACACCACATGTTGTACGCTCTAAGATTGTTCTCGTTAAACATGACTTTAAAGCTGTTTCTAGTTTATTCCGCCCGAGAATCACAATGGCTATACTATTCGTAGCTCAGTAGTAAGAGGAGCATATTATGTGCTTCCATGACCCATGACTGGACAGCCTGCAGCGGCCCCAGCAGCATCCACTGCGTCCTTGTTCTCACCCTCGACTTTCTCCTCGCGCGCAATCTGGCGGAACATATCCATAGGATCAAACCAAACGTCAATCTTTTCTAGCTGCAGCGAACTGTTGACCTTGGCAATGACGATGCCTTGAATATCAATCAGACCACCATGCGCTTTGACAGTGACCTTCTCTCGTCGACTAGTCCAGGATTAGTACCCATCTTAATTTATCCTGGAATGCAGATTCATACTTGTTATACCCAATATAATCATTCTTCATGTACCCCCAATGCCTCCACTTGAAGATCACAACCGGAGGCCCGCTATACACCTCCAAGACCTCCCATGCAAATGTCGGCATCATGCGCTTGAATGCCTTGTGACTCGTCGAGAAATCATTATGCTCGGGGTCATAGTACGAGCTGGATGTAAGCAAGGCGTTGTAAGTGCCCACTTGGAGCATATGGTCGCCTGTCTGGGGAGGTCCGCCGTTCAGCGAGAAGGTGTATTTGCTGTGGTCAATGGTGCGCCAGTCGTCAAGTGAGGTCTTGAAAGATGCTTCGATCTCCCAGTTTTTGACGAGGTTGGAGACGAGGTCGGGGAGGCTGCCTGCCTCGTGGGTCATTTGTTTTGCTGAAGCGGTCTGGTTAGTCTTCCATAAGCCATCCATGGATTGAGTGTTGGGGGTGCGTACTCTCTTCGTAGAATGCCCTTGTTTTTGAGTAATCTGGGGGTCCGCCATGGCGCCAAGCAGCGTCTTTGTCGTTCAAGACGGCGTTGGGGTCGAGGACATAGTCTGGAAGAGCGTCTGCGTCACCCATTTTGATGATATGTTAGTGTCTATCTCTGTGAATAAAAGAATTTTGGAGAAACTGAAACTCTTGCAGAGAGGCAGAGGGGGGTTTAATAATGCCCCTGTCCCTCGTCTAACACCCCTGCCGGCCTTGGGTGTAGCATGGAGACGGCATAAGCGGGGCACAACAGAATCGACAGGGATTAGAAGGACAGATTTCTCAGTATAGGATAAGCCATGTCGACCGTTGGGTAATCCCAGTCGCGTCAAATTAAGTATGTCTGGTCGTCGGCCGAGACTGCTCCCATGCCGTGACCTAATTGGACGACAGCTCTGGCATCCAATGAAGTCCTCCAAGTTTCATTATCAAGAGAATCGTTTGCTGTACAAAGTAAATGAGCATGAATTAATAATGTCTGCTAGCATGTGTCTAGCATGCGTCTGGCCCACGCCAGACAGGGTCAGCCTCGGCTATGTTCCATCATCAATATGGTCCCCTCATCAACCACAGCGAATGTGCCATTCGATAAATCTTTCATAGTGGTCGATATCATCGTTTTATATGTTTTAGGTATATAGAAAATAGTTTCAGACTCAATCAAAATGAGCTTCCCTGGTTCAGGATAGCAGCCATAGACGGGTGTACGAGACTTTAACGGTTTGGACTTCGCTGACGCTAGTAAAGATAGCTCGAGGGCAAGCCGAGTTATCTAAGGCACGATTGGCTGCTATTCTCGGAAATCTGAACTATTTTCTTAGGAAGTAAGATCTTGTGGGGCAGGCAATATATCGTCCGATGGTGATTTGCTAGGCAATCTACCCCGTTTCCTCGACGTTCAAACAAAAGTCAATGAAACTGAAGTACAGTTCAGCTCCAGAATGTGCGACTGCGAAGGATGATCTAGATGTGCTGTTAGAAATGTTTAAAGCAAAGGGTAAGAAGCCTGCAGTATAAGAACATGCATTGTTAAGTATCAATTTGAGCACGGCTATGTGTTTAGCCGACCTTCGAGAGTCACTTTGTGGGCCTGGCTTACACCCTAGCAGGGGTTCCTTAGGCCATGAAACAGCGACAAACAGCATTATTGGACCCCGTTGGCAGCACGTCCGTTTTTAATCTATTAGGTTGTTAAAGTGCAGGTGTACTGTCTTGGCAGAAAATTGTACTCGGCAGACAGGAAAAGCTGGGCATTATTGAGGAACATTGAAGAGCCAACACAGCACATCCATCGAAATAGACACAGCTACAAGCCTACAACAGAGGAGTGAGAAATATGATCCTATCGAAGTCCTGCACAGTCTTGATTGTATTCTCTTTGGTTGAAGAAGTAACCTCAACTGAAGACACCTGACTCCCAATCGTCATTCCGGCTGACAAAATATGTAACGCGGGCTGGACAAACATCAACGCTGGTACTACATCAAGGTAGGGCAAAACGCTGACCGTCGGGCGATTCAGTTAAGGTTGAGTCTAGAATCATTGTGTATTGCCTTGAAGTCATTTACATTTTCTGAACATGTAGGGATATGATCATCTGCATCCTCGTAGTAGTGATTGAGGGGATCCAGAATGCGGAGTGATTTTTGCGGATCCTGATCAGCGCTGATCAGCGATCCGATCACTTGGATTCGCGATCTTTGAATTTCTGGGTCCATAGGACTGGATAAAATATAAATATCAACATGCTCTCCAGAATCCTATAGAGACTACACGCCGAACATGAGAAAACCACAGAGCACATTGAAAAGCGGCCAAGGAGATTTGATATCACGTCCATTCCCTCACTAAGTTTTTAGAATTTCCGCCAGTAATATTTTCCGAATTGAAGTCGCGGTTTTCTCGCTTCACAGATTAATCGAAAGGAGAACTAGTGCAGGATATGCCCACTTGACATTTCACAAAATCGCCGAGTCTATTCCGTAAACCTTGACATTCGGATCAAACCACGGCCGAAAGTCGATGCCTCAGGGGAATCAAGGAGCGAAAGGTTTTCGGATGCCTCCATTCCAGAGCAGATAACAACAAAGGCTACGCTAGCCGACAGCAAGCATAAAAGCACACGCGGCTTTGACAGAGCCTGATAACTACTTGGCTCCATTCCCAGGCGGCGATAGGACTGATGATTGGCTGGAAAACCTCAGCTCCGTGATCCTCGGGATAACTGCTTCTTCCAGACTAGTGCTCGGCTAAGCTCACCATGTCACTCCAGGAGTTCAGAAGGCGCTCATTTGATTGACGGAAAATATCTTTCTGTTCATCATCAAATACCAATCAAACTGTCTGTTGAACCATCCAGACTGGTTTGAACACTCAAATCTCTCTGCCACGTGGTTCGGCAGCTGCCGGTACTCACTGCATCCTGAAGGCTTGATGGAAAACCACTCGGGCCACTGCCTTTCTGGCCCTCTGATTGAGTTGAAATACACCGAGCTACTGGAAAAATGCCGTGCTGGGACTAGTCCCATGAGCCGGGAGATGGCCTAGATGTTGCCAGACTACGGAGAACTTGATGGCGATATCTTGAGCAAAGTATAACCCGGTGCCCGATTTCTCGACCACTCTCATACTTTAGGTCTAATGCGTCGCTTATGTTTTCCCCAACTATGATGGACGAAGCAGGCGTCGATAGTTCCAAGGGTCGGCGAATTTCTGGCCGTCGGGCCCCGGAGGGCTTGCCCTACTCCGTACCTATCAATATGTGGATAACAGAGATAGGAACGATGAAAGGGTAAACTCTGTGTGCGCTGGGATATATAGGAGTAACACATCCTTCCCAGATAACCAGAGCCGTCTCAGGAACATAATATTTCCTACCTGTACCGAGGCCTGAGTACTCGGCCTATTCAGCTCCGTCAAAATGCGTTTCTGGCACGCCTGGGGCCTGACTGGCTTAGCCAGCCTAGCAGTTGCCCAAAGTGTGACCGTCGGCTCGACTGTAGCATCGACTTCTGCTGCTGTCACTACTGCCGCTTCTTCGACTGCATCGACTACAACCCTCTCATCTCCGAGTAGGTGGACTTTTTGACTTTTAACGGACATCGGACTGACTATCCTTTCCATCAAGCCTCTTCTTCAGTGGTTGTCGTTGCCACCGACAGCTCCGGGCAATTTACTGCAATCGGCGATGCCATCTCGTATGCTCAAAAACAAGGGATTCCCACTGTCACCGTGAAAGCTGGAACTTATACTCAAGCAGTCACTGTCTCTGCCACACCCTCTGTCACCATCGTTGGCGAGACTACCAATGAAAATGACTATGCACAAAATCAAGTCACCATCTCTGCCGTCAGTCCCCTCGTCATCTCCGTCAACGTCCTCGGTATCACATTCAGCAACATCAACTTTGTCAACACCGCGACGGGTAACTATGGGGCGGCCACCATCCGAGGATCCAAGAATGCATTCTACCAATGCCAGTTCGTGTCAGCAGGAAGCTTAGGTATCACCGCCAATCTGGGACTGGGTATCATTGCCAACAGCTATATCGAGGCCCTGGACAAGGTAATTTATAGCTATCCCAGCCTGTACATCTACAACACCACGATCGTACCTGTTGGGTCCAGCGCCCTTCTTGTTTACAACAAGGGCTACACATCTGGAACCACCTTGTACAACTCAACCATCGTTTTTGATTCTTGCTCTGTCCAACAAAAGGCTGGCACTAGCAACAAGAACGTCTACCTGGCAGCGGCAAACAATGGCGGAGGATCTGTCGTCGTTTTCCGTAACACATACCTCGCGGGTCTGTTTGCTGCCACTGGTGTGCATGTCGACACGGCCTCTCAGAATACCCTCAATTTCTACGGCGAATACGGCACGACGGGAGGGGGGTCTTACTCCAGCAATCAGGCCTCGCGCTCGCAATACATGTCTCTGATGAGTGCGGCGGACCTGACCCGCTTTTCCATAGACCAGGTATTTGCCGGTGTATATCCGCAATTTGCCTCTTCGTCTACCGACTGGGTAGACTCGGATGTCCTGGAAGACATTGTAAACTCGGACGTGATTCAGAGTTCATCGTCAGTCGTGCCCGCATCGTCCGCCGTTGCAACGTCGACTGCTGTGGCTATATCGACTGCGGCATTGACATCCTCCACCACTTCTTCTGCGACGTCTACCGCAGCCACGCCGTCCCCGACGCTGGTTGTCTCCCAGAATCCCACTGCTGGCCAGTACGCCAATGTCAGCCAGGCGATCGCAGCTCTGCCTAATGATGGCCAGGCGTACACCATCTACATCAAGGCTGGAACCTATACCGAGCAGATTTCCATCACGCGCGCAGGCAAAGTTACCCTTCGTGGTGAAACCTCCTTTGAGAATGATTTCACCCAGAACCTGGTTACTATCCAGTTTTCTTACGGCGTCCTGACCAGTGCTGGTCAGAATGAAAACACTCCGGTTATCTATGCAAAGAAGACGGATGGCTCTGGTCTCGCGCTGTACAACATCAACTTTGTTAACACGTATCCGCAGACCAAGAACACTGCTGCCCTGGCTGCAGACTTTTACGGTTCGAACATGGCAGCATACGGTTGTTCCTTCATCGGGTACCAAGATACCCTCTTGGCGAATAAAGGTACGCAAGCCTTCTCGAATTGCTACATCGAGGGATCGGTAGATTTCATCTGGGGTTTCTCGACCGCCTATTTTCACCAGTGCTACATTGCGTCGAATACCGCAGGCGCGTACATCGCCGCCCAGAGTCGATCATCTTCCACTGCCGCTGGGGGATACGTCTTTGACAGTTGCTATGTGACCTACACCAACACCTACGGTACCACCTTTGGTCAAACGTACCTAGGCAGGCCGTACTCCCAGTACAGTATTGCCGTTTACATGAACTCTTACCTGGATAAGCACATCAACAGCGCCGGGTGGAGTATTTGGTCTACTAGCGCACCCCAAACTGACCACGTCATGTTTGGAGAGTACAACAACTCGGGTCCTGGAGCATGGTCGTCCAGCCGTGCCTCATTTGCCACCAATCTCACTGCAGATTCTGCCAGCGTGTACACACTCTCGTCCTGGGTTGGTGATACAACCTGGTTGGATATGACAGCGTATAACTATGTTCCTTCCTATAGCCTTACTGGACCATCTACCAGCACAAACACGACTTCTGCCACTCCTACCTCGACTGCTACTCCCTCCGCCACCGCAACTGCAACGTGGGGCCATCCCACCAGCGGAACCACTCCACCAGCAGGCGCGGTCATTGTCTCTCAAGGAGGCTCGGTGAACGGGTCTTATACCAACTTGACAGCGGCATTGGCCGCTTTGCCCAATGATGCTTCGACTCAGATCATCTTCATGTATCCTGGCACCTACACTGAGCAGGTCCCATCGATCAACAGGAATGGGCCCGTTCAGATAATCGGTCACCAGTCTGGAAATCCTGGTGAGGCTTACAGCACCAACCAAGTTACTATTACTTTTGCACGAGGCCTGTCAGTGTCTCCTCTGCCAACAGGTCACTCCGACGCCGAGACGGCAACCCTGTCGACCGCCAGCAACAAGATTGCGCTGTACAACGTAAACATCATCAACAGCGATAATTTGGACGGATCGCAGTCGTCCTACGTGACACTCGCCGCGTCGATCTATGGCTCACAAATTGGCTTCTATGGCTGTAGCTTTATCGGATGGCAAGATACACTCTTGACGGGCAGTACAGCCGGATACCAGTACTACGAATCGTGCTATATCGAGGGTGCCATCGATTTCATCTGGGGATACTCCAAGGCCTATTTCAAGGGATGCACCATCGGCGCCAAACGAGCCAAATCGGCCATTACAGCGCAGAGTCGAGCATCGTCTTCTGCTATCGGTGGATACATATTCGACGAGTGCACATTTGAGGCCGCTCCGGATGCAACAGTCGATCTCACCCAGAGCGTGTACCTGGGTCGTCCGTACTCGGCGTATGCCCTGGTGGTCGTCAAGAATTCGTACCTGAGTGGCATCATCCAGCCCGCTGGATGGAAGATCTGGAGTACTACCGACCCCCGTACGGACCACATCACTTTCGCTGAGTTCAACAACTCAGGGCCAGGTAACTGGGAGAATAATGCGGCTGCTCGACAGGCTTTTGGCAATTGTACTTTGCTTACCTCGGACACTTACACACTTGAATCAGTCATGGGGTCGACTGACTGGATTGATCTAACATACTGGGACACTGTTGCCATCCCGACTGGGACTCCGACCACTACGGCCACAGCGACCGCCACTCCTGTTGTTTCTCCGACTCCGTATGATGGAACTGTTCCTCCTGTTGGAGCGTACATCGTGTCAAAGACGGCGATTGAAAATGTTACTACATACGACACTATCCAGAGTGCGCTCAACGCCCTTCCCACGTCCAGCAAGGTGGCACCTACAGTATTCATCTACCCGGGTATCTACGAGGAGCAGCTTGTGCTGAACCGTTCCGGAACCACAGTTTTTATCGGCTACTCAACCTCGACCTTCGACTACAACAGCAACCAGGTCACTATCCAGTACAACGCCGGTGTCGATACCCAGGCCGACCAGTCCAACTCGGATAGTGCCACTGCTTATGCCACCGGCAACTACTTCGAGGCTATCAACATCAACTTTGTCAACAACTTTGGCACCGCAAAGAACTATGCATCGCTCGGCTTCGCAGTCAAGTCAAGCAAGTACGCCTCTCTGTACGGCTGCCAGGTGAAGGGAAACCAGGATGCGCTCTTGATCAATGGATATTTCTTCGCTAGCAACAGCTACATCGAGGGGAATATTGATATGATCTGGGGATCGGGGGCTGGATACTTCCTCAAGTCGACTATTGCGCCTAATAAGGACGGCATCAATTTGACGGCCGATAAGCGCTCTACGAACACTACCGCCGCTGGGTTCGTTTTCGACCAGTGTACCATTGTTCCCTCTACGGGTGCCGGGACAATGTCCGATATTTCGCTGGGCCGACCATGGAACTCGTTTGCTCGCGTGGCGTACGTGGATTCGTACCTTGACTCCTGTGTGATTGCTGCGGGATGGGAGCAGTGGTCCTCGAGTACTCCCAACACCGATGGGGTGGTATTCGGAGAGTACGGCAACTATGGGCCTGGCGGGTCGACTGCTCAGCGTGCCTCGTTTGCGACTCAGTTGGATGATAGCAGCGTTTCTCAGTTCCAGCTGTCAAGCTTCTTTGCAGTGACATCTTGGATTGATTTTACTCATGTCAGTGGAACTCCGTTCGTGCCTGGAATTGCAGTCACTACAAGTCCGGCTGTGAGTTCAGCGACGCCGACTTCGAGTGTCGTCGTTACACTGTCGACTGTGACAACTACAATGACCGTGACAGATCGGGAGACTCTGTACACAACTTTGACTTCTACCGATAAGACTTCTACGGCCAAGTATACCGTCACGGAAGATGTTGGTACAACTTTGACTGCAGCCGAGTCTTTCAAGACGACGACACAGAAGACTACCATCACGGACACGGTTATTGTCACTGAGCCAGCAGTGACGAGCACGAAGAAGGTTGTCATTACCAGTGATGTCGGTCTCACCGTCACACCTGCTCCAAGCACGAGTACGAGCACGCTAAAGCAAACTACCACTGTGATTGGAACGACTACGCAGGCGCCGTCTACTGTCACTGTCAAGAGCACATTGACCTCTTCCATGACCACCACGGTGACAGCCAAACCAGTAACCACAACATCAACTGCGGGGAGCACCACGGCTGCTATCACGACATCCACCCCAGGAACGGTCAAGGTGACTTCGACCATCACTGTCACTACGGGTACTGGCGGCACCACAACTATCACAGCCAAGGCTACCACAAGCACTGTTAGCGTTACCTCCACAGTCTCCAAAGCCAAGTCTATCACGACTACGATTGCCTGCGTTCCGGCTGCAAAGGTGAAGCGGGGTGTTATCCCTCGAGCTGTTGCCACTACTGTCACCGACTACACTACGCTCACAACAACCGTCAAGACATCCACCGTCAATCTTCCTGCATCAACTGATATTGTCACTGTGGTCACCACCAAGACGACCGGCAAGACGACGACAATCCCCGCGTCAACTAGCACCATTACCGTCGTCTCGACCGTGACCAAGGGCACGACCAGCACCATCCCAGCGGTAACCAGCTATGTCACGCAAACCAGCATCTCAACCATTGGAAAGACTACCACCCTCGAGGCCTCTACCACGACCGTGACTGTTACCTCACTGGCAACCAGGACATCAACTACCACAGTGGTTGGCGCAACCCAGACCATCACCAGCCTCAAGACCACAACGGTCGAAGCGACCGTCTCGCTTCCGCGGAGCACACTCACCGTGACCAAGTCGACCGTCGCGACGATCCATTCGACGGTCACGCTCGCCACTCCTACCAGCACTACTGTGAAGACGACAACATATAGTCTGAAGCCTTCGGCGACTGTTACTTCCCGGGCCACGAGCACCAAGACAACAACGGTAAAGACGACGGTCACGCATACGGAGACAGTGACCAAAACGTCCAAGGGTGCGGGAGCCTGTCCTACCAACTAATTGACTTTTATCATCTTACTTACTTTATCGAACCTTTCGACACAATGCTTAATTGCATTTAGATATACACATTAATCATATAACTCGTAAACAAACAATCACAACTCCACTGCTCTTCGAAAGACATTCTTGTAAAAATCGAGTAGATCAAGGAGGCAACTGACTCTTCGACTCCTCAGGGAACTTCCTAAACAAATCCGCCAGATGATCAATCGGCGCAGCCAGCAACCCCGCCACGGTCTCAAACGGCGGCTTGTCAGGCGCACTGGGGTGGCTCCGCGTCGGGATAAACTTCTTCGTGCGCATGAACTTCTTCGTCTGGTTCTCCGAGCTATCCTGGTCAAGCGTCTTCTCCAACGAAGGCAGATCCTCGGCTTCTTCTTCCTTGATGTGCTGGCTTAGATTCGTCCAGAGGGATTTGAGCGTGGGCTCGAACTCGGTGTCCTCGGGGGAGAGGCCCTGGAATTTGTAGAGGTGTTCTTTGACCTATTTCATTTCCCGTTAGCACAAGCACGTTGTGGTTGAAATGAGGGGAGGGAGGTGGGGAAGGCGGCGTACAATCTGGTGCTCCGAGCGGTCCTTATCGGCCATTTCCTTCCCGTTGGGGAGGTTCTTCTCCATGAGAGGGTAGACGATTAGCTCCTCGCCGATGGAGTGGCGGGCGAGTTCCCATGTGAACTGGTTCTGCCAGCGGGTTTTCTCATCGGAAGTTTTGGCGGAGAGGATCTTGTTGTAAGCTTCCTCGAGCTCGCGGTGGTCGTCCTTGATTGCGTCTGCGAGGCGGGTCATGGTGGGCGAGGTGATTGCGAAGGTGCGGTTCTGGATAAGTTTGGATGTGATGGGTGTGAGTGTGGATGGTCTGAGGGTAAGTGTTGTTCTGGAGGCGAGGCAGCGGGGGAACATGGTTAAGTTATAGATGTGTTGCAGTCTGTGCTAAGATGAGGGGTTGAGTCTGTTGTAGCAGTACTTTTATATACTTGGTGGTGGATGCAAGCGTATAGTTGGTAAGGGAGCTTGGGGCAGATCATCTCCACATGCCCCACAGTTGAGGGTTGGCCAATCACACCGCGGGAATTACCAAGTATAAGCATGGAATTAGTGTCATGTTCACGTCATGTTCTAGACTCGTCGGTATGGTTGCATTCTTTTCTTGAATTACCCTGGTCAATTGATTAAGAGTGCTGTTCACAGTGACGTACAGACATTTCTGCATATTCCAACAACTTCCTTGAAAATGATGAATAGAAATCAAGGAGTGTTTTTGTGCCAGGGAACGATACGCAAGTATGAGCTATGCCAACAGATAAAACTTGCATGATAGGTGCGGAAAGCTGTCAGTGTCATTGACATCGCTTGTATTGTTATTAATACCCAGCACCTGATTCGAGTATTCTACAACTGGTGCCAGGGTACTATGGCCGCCTCGTGATGTAAAAGACCGAATAGAATCAAGATATTCCCAGCATTGATCGAGATCGAGATCGAGGACTAATTGGCGAAATCGGCAAACATTAGCTGTAGACGATTCGGTCATACGATCAAGGCCATGTTTTTGGCGAGAGTCGATTTTAATTGCAATTATTGCAGTAGTATTTCTTTTGTAGCATCTATCTTGGAGCTTTGACGTGGTGAGGGCACCATCTCTCGAAAAGCAACATACATCTCTTTTCGCTTCAAAGAACCTGCTTCAATACTACCAATGGTGCCAAGCAACATTGCATTAACTCTTTGATAGGCACATATCCGTCACTGAGTAGCCTCATATATCGCCACAGTTTATTTCACATTGACGCACTGCTTGCTCTGTTAACTGACTAGCAATGATGGTGGAAACACCATAAGTAGGCTGGCAGCTGACACCTAATACCATTGGTCCTTGAGAGTGATAGGTTCATAGACAAACAGTTTAGATAAGACCTAATACACATTTGGTGGATATGTAGTTCCATTGATATTTGTCGTAAAAAAGATAAAAAATCGCCCTGTATGGTCTCCAGAGGCCTGCGAGTTGTTTGAGACCTCTATGATAGACTCATCTGACTGTTCAGTTTTAGCATCCTGCACAATGGTATTCTCGCGCTTCCACAGACAAGCAGCTCGATTTCTGCGTTCACACCTTAGATCTGATCAAACAATTCACACTTATCCTAATATTTCCGATTGGATATTTGTGTAATCTGAAGCAAGGCTGGTATTCATATATCATACTTTGACGAAGCGTAACAGGTCATTTATAAGAAACATGCAGCCTAATGATAAATCAAGAAACGTTAACCATCTAATCTCCCATGCATCTAGTCTTTACGCCGTTGAAACCAGCACATACGAGCGCATCCTAGTTCTCTTGCACTTCGGGGGGAGGAGTCGTCCACCCGTACCAACAGCATGATGGCTTCAGGAACCCATTTTGTCAACACCTCATGTAACAGACATAAAAGCTAGAGGGACTGGACTGCGTACCGCGCAACCGCAAATGCTACAGCATGGTCCTACGTGTCCACAGTCGACGCATAACTTGCAATCAGAACACTGAAACCCTTAGCTCTAGCTTCAAAACGAAGCCTGGCAATACCTACAGGCATGCGCCCCGCCAGAGCTATCCGAACGCGAGTCGATTACAGGGAGCGTCCGAGCAGCTACCATGGTGGAGGTTGCTAGTGGGAGTAGGACACTAACAAGACGCATTTTGGAGATAGCATGCTGAATGATACAAACGATTAACAAAGTGAGGGAGTGCAATCCTTTGGAAAACTTGGGCGATGCCAGCGGAGAAGCAAGCTATTAATACGCGAACTGGCGCCGCCGTCACAGACTATGACAGTAGTTAGTTACACATTATGCACCGTACTGCAGATATTTCCCACAAATGAACACAATATAGTGAGTTATGGTTATTTCCAATGTTGTCAATCAACAACATAGTTAGGATGTTGACTGCGGGAGTATTTTCTGGACGAGAGTGATCTACAGGATACATTCGCTCTTGATTAGCGGAGGTGTCAAGGAAATATGCCCGACGAACATGACAAAGTCAGGACATATAGCCACAATAGGCAGGTCGTATCAGGCTAAAAGCACTAGCCCCTGTTGCTGGCTAAGCTTTGCCTGTTCAAATCAGAGGTATCTTGTTGCAGAACGCAAAAAAAACCTGGCTATTACGAAGCTTCTTGAAACACAAAAATAAAGCAAGCACTCTTGCTGCGTTTGAAGTGCTAGATAGAACCTCTCAGAGGAATATCCAAGAGATACAAGGCTGATATAATGAAGTACATTGTCTATGGTGAGTGTGACCGAGCTGCAGCTCTATGCCAAAGCTATAGAAACTACTATAAATGCTCAGGTCTAGACCTCACGGTAAGTTAATGTCCCACCAGAGCCTGATGCTCAGGCCCGTACCTATTCCCGTGGGGCTTGGCCACATCAATGATTCTCCGCATCTCCTGCTTCTCCTCCTCGGTCAATTCAATCTCCCTGGACGCCCAGTTCTCCTCTAGTCGGCTAGCCTTCGTCGTACCAGGGATAGCAATGAACCCCTGCGCCGCGACCCACGCAAGCGCAATTTGGCTTGTAGTGCAGTTCTTCCGAGCAGCAAGCTTTTTGATCTCCTCCACGATTGCCCGGTTCTTGTAGAAGTTCTCGCCTTGGAATTTGGGACCTAGATCATCAGCGTTAGCAAATGTATATGCATTAGCTCCGGCGGGGTAGCCTACTCCTCCTGCGGAAATCATCCGGAGCAAAGTCATCTGGAGACTTGTATTTGAAGTCGTCGACCAGCCAACCATGGCCTAGCGGACTGTAGGCGACATAAGCTACTTGTAGTTCTCTGCATGTGTCGATGAGACCATCAGTCTCGTGAATTGTCTCGAATGCAGAATACTCCGCCTGCACGGCATCAATCTTTGCGACTGTCATCTGTTAGTAAGATCAGATGACAAAAGAACGAGAATCTTACTTGAGTTGGCTTTGCGCAGTGTCGCAGCCGAACACTCCGAGAGACCAATATACTTGGTCTTGCCGGCCTTGCGGATCTCATCAAGAGCAGGGATCGACTCCTCGAGTGGTGTTTCTGACCTCATTAGTATCTTTCAGGGTTTAAGCGTGATAATAACGTACTAGGATCGATCCGGTGCAGGTAGTAGAGGTCAGGCGCGAAGCCAAGTCGCTCGATGGTACCATCGATATACTCCTTGATATGAGCAGGGGAATTAGTGACGGAGCGATCGCCAAAGACGTCAAAGCCGCATTTCGAAGCAACTAGCGGGCTCTGTTAGCTTATGCAGACTAGACAGGCAACAAGAGTGACTCACTAAACACTTTATCGCGGACATTGTGTTTCCGGATGAAATCACCCAGAAGCTTTTCGTTCACACCAGCTTGGTAGACGACCTTGCTTAATGTTAGACTTCTTGTCTGGAAATTGGATAACTAATACTGACAGCAGTGTCCCAAAAGGTGCATCCTAGTTCAATCGCTTTCAAAAGGACGGGTTCCGCTTGCTCGAAGGTGAGATTGGTACCCAAGCCGAAGCTTAAGCCCATGGCACCATAGCCGGGTGAAGGGACTTGAATATCGCCGAAGGGGAGTGTTTTGACCATCGTGCTTTGGAAAGAAATAGTATCAGGCGGTTGTGGTTGCACTTGATTGACGATTTTGATCTACTTGCTTTCTGTTCATGTCGGTTGCAGCGATGCAGGAATATATACCTCGTTGCGGAGCACTCATCATTGCAGTGTACGAAGATCGGCATGTTGGTAGAATATGCTGTGATATCATACAATGGATACTATTAGACCAATCGTGTGGCTAATCTCCGGGGAAATATAGAGAGCCGACAGCCATCTGATAGTTAGTAATGCTTTGAGCTTATGTTCCTAAAACCGATACAGCCTTAACTCCGGTAGTGCTGACTCGGGATGTGGGTCAAAGGATCTGATGAGGGTTTCGGAGAGAGGATTACACCTCAGGGCTTGAATCAGAGCCCATACTATTGGTTAACTGAAACATTGAATTTGTTGCCAACCGTCTATGTGATTGTGACATATAACAACCACTTAGCGAAAAGGTGTGCAGACAACCATCTCTAGTCAGGACGGAGATAAGCAGTGGGCCAACACAGCAGACACAACACGATTCATAGTGGAGGATCGTTTCTCTCGCTTCTTCTTTTATACACATCTCTCCACCATGCACTCTATACTATGCATACAACGTATGTGTACGGAGAATTAACGCAGGGGCGTTGTTGGTATCGGACTCCATCGCCTGAAATGCTGTATGCTTCTAGGCTTTGATTGGTCAATCGGGCCCTGGATGCATGATGCTCATTGGAGGATGTCAAAATCACGTGCTTGCGTATTATGTAAGTGCTTGGGATTGTACAAAGCACGTGATCAAGCGCCTCGACCAATGGGACGCCCCTCGCTTTTCGAGTATCAATCAAGAGTCTCCTCAGAAATAATGAGCAGATCAATCCAGTTGCTTGAAATATACTCGTCGTTGGATATGGAGTGCTCTTGTTACCTTGTCAGACCAAGGGTGCTCAGCCATCCTCCATCATTGCGTAGCCACAGTCTTCCTTCTCTTGTAAAAATCTCGTATAAGTGCGGCTGAGGCCCCCTATCTCTCACAGCTGCCTGGCCTTACCCCTCAGGTTGACTCAGCTCATCTACAAAACCGTCGGGTTAACAATAACTGTCTGGCTAGTACTCGGATGCTCAGACCCAGTCCAAATTTGGCTCGAAACATGGAAACTACAACAGTACAGTCTAGAATCAAAGGATCTATCTTTGGCGTGGCAGTCGTTGATGCCCTCGGTGGGCCAGTAGAGTTCCAGCCACGGGGCAGTTTCCCACCAGTAACCCACTTCATGCACAACGATACCTTCGATGTTCCACCTGGGTGAGCATTATCACATGTCCTTACCATTCGCACTGAAACTGATCAACCGTAACACAGCACATGGACTGACGACACAACCATGACCCTATGTCTTGCTCAGTCCCTCATTGCCTCAAATGGCAATCTCATCCCCCAGGCCGCAATTCGTAACTATATCAAGTGGTACGAGCATGGCTACTTATCAGCTACCGATGAATGCTTCGATATTGGGTCGGGAACCAGACAAGCATTGATGATCTGGAGACACTACTTTGACAGATCGCCTCATATTCACGAAGATGACCCGAACGGTCACGAGGGTGGACAGCCTGCAATCGACAGAGCCTTGAAGCGCGAAGTAAGTGCATGATCTCCGAGACAATAGATACCATACTGATAATGGTAGATGTTTTGTGGAAACGGCTCCCTTATGCGCGTTGCACCCATTGGGCTGGTGTATTTCCGGGACATGGACAGGGCATTGTCCTACGCTTCTCTTTCCTCAGATGCCACCCATCCTTACCCCACATGTGCTGAGTGCTGCCAGATCTACACCAGACTCATTGTGCGGGCTATGAATGACGCTAGCAAGGAAGACCTTGCAAAAGAATTCGCTAGTATAGTCTTCACAGATGTTAAGGTGAAGCAGCGGCTTGATCGTTATTCAAGTCTCTCTGATTGGGAGAACACGGATGAAGATGATATCAAATCGTCGGGATACGTTCTCTCCACGCTCGAAGCTGCTCTCTGGGCGTTCTTTACGACTAGCACCTTTAAAAGCGGAGCTGTCAAGGTCGTCAACCTGGGCGATGATGCTGATACCGTGGGGGCGGTATATGGAGGGCTAGCAGGAGCATATTACGGGATCGAACAGGTACCAGCTGAGTGGATTGTGGGCCTGCAAAAGAAAGATGTTGTTGAAGAAATCGCATCCGGTCTGTGTTCCCTTACTTAGTGCTGTTGCTTATCCCCTTATTCAAGTATTAGTCAAGAGCTCGTGACAAGTAAGTAATCCGAAATCTACCTATGGATGCTAGTCCTTCGTATGGAAGAAGAGCAAGAATTGATCTGAGACAAGAAGCTGAGATCCCTTTTCGCCCACTACATTTAGTGTGAATCTCAACCCTGCCGCCGCATCTTCGCATTCTAGATATATATTTCCGCTCCGTATCTCTCAGGGGACAAACTCGTCGCATCATACTCGCTGCTCCATCCAGATGTAGATCGCAAAAGGCTATTCAGCTACATCTCTCTAAGTAGATAGATACTATTGCCGTCGGAGCTCGAAAGCTGTAGTATTGTTTCTGACATTGAACACGTATTCAGTGGCCCAAGGAGTCTGCACCTCATATTGATAACGAGTGTCTAACTATAGATAGAGAACGTAGAACAGAATACGAGATCAACATTTGTCACTGGTCCAAATAAAGTGAAGGCCATTCCCGTTCAGATCCATTTGCATCATTCTAACTTCCATGACATTCATACATAATGGCATAGTCAATGCATCCCGCTTCAAAGACGAGTTCAATGCAATTAGCACTATTCTTGACCGTGGACTACGTGAGTATGACAGGTCAATCCCCTGCTGTCTGCCTACAATACTTGCAATGATTAGCTGGACTTGACCGGTGACATATACCGACTCGGTCTCGTCAACAAAGCGCTGTACAACCTACCACAAGACCCTCTATACAGACGACTCCTCCAACCCGGTAGCAGCCGTCACAATGGCACCGTTCTGCATGTCGCAGCGCACGAAAACCACTTACCCCTCGATCAGCGTCTCGTCGGGCGAGGGGGAAGCCTCCAGAAACCCAACGACATCGGCCGAAGTCCACTCCACTACGCCGTCGTCCGGAAACATAAGGACATCTGTCGCTGGTTAGCCACCACCGATCCAGCGACCCTTGAACAGCGCAACGGGCAGGGTGCAACCCCGCTCCTGATGGCTGCGGAAGCACGCGAATGGGATCTCTGTCGTGTGTTGATTGACTGTGGCGCTGACGTTAATGCTGCTGGGTCCAGTCACCGCTGGATCTGTCTGCATTACGCTGCGAGAGAAGGTCAGCGGGAAGTAGTCAGCTTATCCTCAGCCATGGAGGGGACTTGGGAGTAGTCACCAAAGGCGGAGCGACACCATTACGCATGGCTGTGCGGTCTAACAATACAGAGGCCATCAAGTTATTGGTTGATCACGGGGCTGATATACATGCCGTGGATGGCACGGGTACTAGCATCATCCACTGAGCTCTAGAGGATGGCAATCTGACGAATGTGCAGCTGCTGGTGGAGCTAGGGGCAAGTGTGAGGGTGAAGGATGCTCAGGGACAGACGCCTCTCCATTGGGCTGCGCAGCGGGGCCATGCCAAGATTTGTGAATGGTTGCTGCGGTATGGTGGAGCAGAGGAGGATATTAATACGCAAAGTAATTGTTTTCTGACGCCATTGTATTATGCTGCGAAGGGGGGACATAGAGAGGTCTGTCGTGTGCTGCAAAACCACGGTGCAGACTTTGGGAGACTTTTCACAATGGAATAATAGTTTTCTTGCTCTAGGCAATCTTGAGCTGGCTTCACAGATGGCGTTGGTACATCATACCATACCTAAATGATGCGTGGTCTAGCGGCAGGCCTCCTCGAGTGGCTTGACCAAGTCTTGTATCCTCTCGTGCCATGGAAAGATAGGCGCGTGCTTAGAGCTGTATAATACCTCAGGACCAATTGAGGGGATCAAATCCATCCTTTTGCCCTGCATCTCAGTCAAGTCATCTCTAGTATAATGGAGGCACTGTAGGCCAGTACATTGCAGACTCACTCGCAATGCGGTATGAGGCCTGGAGCAACAGCAACATGAGGCTTCGAGCGGAATCCATCATGGATCTTGTATGCAGGGATAATACGTACTTAGCCAATTGAACGCAGGTTTGTTCCCGGATAGCTCTAACATTACCCCTCATCCTGCCGCCCACTCGAAGCGGGGACCTCGTGAAGTCCGAAACACCCCACCTCCGTTGTCAGATGTATCCCAGTCTTCGCATCTACCACTCCTGACGCTCACGCTGGGATTAAACCCCGAAGAGATCTGAAGAAGAGCCCTGGTCGATCATTGCAACATGCTTTCTACCCGAGGCGAAACATATGCCAAGGCCGACTTGGCTAATAGCTATCTCGGCCCCCCCAAGACCCCCTTCGACAAAGACAACAAGCAGGGAGTTGTGTCTTTTCGCAATGCGGAGAATGTATCCAGCCAAATAATCCCCTCGCTAGGATCCTAAATATGGGCGTATATATTGACTGATGAGGTGGTAGTTCCTGATGCACGATGTAATGCTTGAATATATTCGCACACAGGTGAAGCGTTGGACTACCCACTATACACAGAACAGTTGGCTAAGCAGGTGTAAACAGGTAGCATCCAGCCTCGACCACGCGAACCTCACCTACCATGAAGGCCCCTTTGGTTCAACACGTCTGCGAACAGCCATGGCCAATCACATTACTACCTACTTCCACCCGGCTACGCCAATCTCACCTGATCACATCATTTTCGCAAATGGCCTGACAAGCCTAAGCGCGCTCTGTGCCCTCAGTCTAACCGATCCCGGTGACGGGATTCTGCTTGGTCAACCCATCTACGGCTCCTTCAACGGAGATCTCCGCGTCCCCTCCAGCTGCCAACTAATCTACACTCCCTTCCACGATGACGATCAATTCGGCCCAGACGCCGTGGCTCGGTACGAGGAGGCCTTCCTGCAAGCAAGAGAGACCGGGGTAACAATCCGGGCTCTCCTGATATGCAACCCGCACAATCCGCTTGGACGGTGCTACCCGCGCGAGACCCTGGAGGCGCTACTGCGGTTCTGCCAGAAGTATCAGATCCATCTCATCAGCGACGAGGTGTATGCGCTGTCGGTGTACGGGGACGATGACTCGACCGATGGCTTTGTTTCTATTCTGTCGCTCGACCCCGTCCCGCTCGGGGTGGATCCGGCCTTGATCCATGTGCTGTACGGCATGTCGAAAGATTTCGCGGCGTCGGGGTTACGGCTGGGATGTTTGATTAGCCGGAATGAGAGGTTCCTCCAGGCGGTTTTGTCGATGAGGTAAGTGGTTGTCCCTTCAATCTCGCTGTACGCAATGATCTTACTCCGCGGGCTAGTCGATTCCATTGGCCATCACATATATCCTGCAGTATTGCCACTGCTGTTCTCGAGGATCGAGATTTTGTGGAGTCCTTTCTTCAGAAAAGCCGCCGATTGCTTCGCTCACAGCGGGATTTGGCGGCACGAGCCTTGGACGAGGCGGGAATTCCTTATGCGCAAGGCGGGTACGTCTTCCTCTTCTCCCCACTTGCAGGTTTCCAAGACCGAGATAGTATGAAACTAATATCTGTAGGATCGCGGGCTTTTTCCTCTGGATTGACTTGTCCAAGTGCTTGGATAAGGCGATTCTCACTAGTCAAGATGGGTGGGCTGCAGAGTTGGATCTGTCGCGCCGGCTGCAACAGATTGGGGTGGAGATGTCGACTGGGTATGCCTATCACAATGAGGTGCCAGGCTGGTTCCGCGTCCTCTTCTCGCTGGATGAGGAGAGCCTGAAGGAGGGCTTGTCAAGGTAGGTTGCATTTGATTGCTCGTTCATATGGAGGGTGGTTAGGTACTAAACAAGTGTTACAGGATTATCAAGCTCTATCACAGCTCAAGGGGATCACCTTAAGGGAATTTCGGCAATTTTGGATTGGCTACTCGGTTTAGCCGTTCCCATTCCAGCACAGTCGAATATGAGAGATGCAAAATAGATCACAACGCTGGAATAAAGCAAGACAAAGTGGAAAAATACCTCCTGTTACTATGACAACAGCAGTAACAAAACATGTGAAGTCCACGTCCACTTCCGCTGGGTACCTTCACACATGCAGAGTATGGGTCTTAGCTGGACACTACCAAGGCCTACACCGTGCATAGTAAAGCCAGGTATGTTTTCACTTCAAAGATCTATCCATGCACAGTGGTCTGTGTGTGGACTTTCAGGTATCCGATCTACGGCGATCACCAGCTGGTCAGCCACCTCGTGAAGTGAATAGTTTCTTGGATGGCAAAATGATACCTCAGTAGCGTGATGTAGTTCAGGAGCTGAAACGTGAGGAACTATGTTGAAATGTACTTGTAGCTTGTAACTGACCTTATAAGGGCGATCTAGTCTTTTACAATGGTGGTCACGTCTAGTTTCCTATCCTAAATAGTCATGGACTACATGTACACTTTAGCTGTCATCGCACGTCCCCTTTTGTTCGTAGCGTCTCACTGAAGTGATCTGCTCTACCAACGCAACATACTCATCCAATAAAACTCGCCGACTCGGAAATGTCAATGGTTCAAGATGCCAAATTGATTCTTCGCATACTCATGTGCGCATCATGGCAAGATTAGATCCTGTTTTCAGTACAGTAGCACTGATGCTTCCAATGCTTTGAAGGAGGTGCAGAAATGTTGTCGCAGGTTTTGGTATTGGCCCTTGTCCAAGGGCCGGCATTGTATACCTAATGAGATTGGCTACACATGATTTCAAATCTTGCTATGGTATGTGCACCTAGAGATGTTCGCGAGAGTAGTGTGGCCACTTCTGTTGCTATTTCTCAAAATTTGCTCAATAGTTCCCACCACCTCCGTAACCACCGCCTCCGTAACCGCCGCCTCCGTAACCGCCGCCTCCGTAACCGCCGCCTCCGTAACCAGAAGGTCTAGCGTTGGCCAAGTTCACTTTCATTCGACGACCATCCAGCCTTCATGAAATAATGCTCTTGTCAGATCAGTGTCCTTTAAAATAGTTCACCTATTGAAAGTCAAAATCACATACTCTTGGTCATTCATTCCTGAGATAGCCGCCTCTGCCTCATTGTCATTGCTGAAGGTAACAAAAGCAAACCCACGGCTTCGACCAGTATCGCGATCACGCATCACAATCTTTTTTGCCGCTGCAAGTTAGCGCTCATTTTGAACTGGTGCGGTGGTCGCTCACAGGGGGCCTAAAGGCTCCTGAGCCTGAGAAGTACGCAGGTTCGACAACTTACCGAGTCAAGGACCTGACCGAACTCCGAAAAGGCTTGCCGTAAAGACTCATCGGTGGTGTTCCATGAGAGATTGCTTTTGAGACAATGGAAACTTAGAAGGTCCTTTAAAAGAAGAATGGGGAATTTGGGTGGTGTGGGGAGGGGGGCTGCTAAGAGATGTCTTACCCAACGTAAACCTTGGCCGCCATGGTGTATGGTAAGGCAGTCCACTGCGCAAGCGAAAAAAAGACAGTGAAGGAAAGCAAATAGGGAGATGGGAGAAAGAAAACGGAAGAAGAGCAAGCTTTATAGTATTTCGCACAGCACTCTGTGACGACACTGACCGAACCAAGGGGGTCCAATTTTGCGGGGTGCTCTCCACTGTACATTAGTAACCCGTCTACCGCCCTATACAATTTGGGAATTAATGGCTGGGATGAACCACTGGCAAATGTACAGTTTTCGAATTACGTGAAACAAGTCGCATATGGCACCGTTGACTTGACCTTGGTTGTTTCAGGTCTAAAAACCCCCATTTTTGGCTCGGAAAGGCGCTCTAGGCTAATATATGCAGCTCTAAGCACCCTTAAGGTTACTTGACTAGCCCTCAGCTCTCCCGAAATGTTCCAATAACAAACGTGTCAAGGGCAAAGCCCGCAGGACGGCCAGACATAGATTTGCAAGATGTCACTAGACTCATTACAATGCTGCTTACTAACACATGTCTGATTGAGGGCACTGCCAGTGCATTGCTCATTAAGTCTGGATGTGCAGATACTAGAAACAGCATTTTAATCCTGTCACGTTGCATATACGGACACACAAAGACATAATTTGCTGCTATGAACCATTGGCATTTCCTGAGTTGCTGCATTTCGTTAGCATTTTGCTGTGAAATGCAGATTACTTTAGTGAGGGGTTACGAACATGAGGGGAAGTGCGATGATGTAAAGACCCCTCTATTCCGCTGTTGATAAACGATTAGAGCCATCCCGTTCCATGTAGATAGATAAACGTGCCCTAGGTAGACCGCTGTTCTGAAGCCACTTGAGATGGATTTCTCAGCTTCGGGAGCCAGTGATCATCAGTTGGTAGGTGGGAGGCAAGTAAATTAGGCAATTGATCTCCGCGCATTATACCTATCATTTCCCAACAGCGGCTATTCGTCATGTTGACAGTAGATATGGTGAAAAACAATGGAAAAAAATAGCCACAGATTGCTTTTTCCATGAACAATGGTCCTTGTGGGAAAAATTACTCCGCGCAAATGCACTCAAATCCTGTATCCAATCGCCGGTGGAGGTGTCCCTTTTGTAGATCATGATTGTGGCCAACTGAGATGTGGAGCTCCCACGTAATCACACAGTGAACTGGGGCCTCTGAAAGAGGGGCAAATCTCTGCGCTCAATATTGCATCACCGGTAGTTCTTCAGACTTTACTCTACGGTGCGATGGTCTAATCATGCATAGCCTGCCTTGCATTCGTGTTATAAGGAGGCACATATCCCCTTCGTCGGCTGTAGGAAGCCCAAGTTGGAGAATCAGTCTAAGGTAGTGGGACACACGGATCATACTCGGATACAGTCTGTTGGTTGGTTAATTGATATCATTTACCCTGACCCCTCGCCTCGATAGTTGGATTCTAATTTCTAAACCACAACCTACTAGGCTGGATACGGATTCGTATTTTAGTCTAGTCGGGTAATCAACTTCGACAGCGATATGTAGGCTACTACAACTATATATATCCGCGTACGTACATGTAGAGTGATCCGCTTCCAGAAGGACGAACTTAGAGCCTAGTCAAGGCCCGCCGTGGCCTAATTGCCGTTTCCAATATCAGGCTGCCCCCGTGACGCTCGACTCTGAAACCGTTGTGACGCCTCAGGGAAGTCCAGCACGGCCTCGGCCGTCCTAGCCCGCGAGACGAAGTCTGGTTTACCTTTCTTACATTCGGTTGAACCTCCCAGCAGACTCGAGACGCTTTTGAGTGCGTCTCCCACTTCACTCCGTAACTCCCTAATTATAGTAGCGACGACTCTCCAACTCGCGCCCCACTCCCTCCCGGGCGAAACCCTGAAGTTTAGGGAGAGATCTATTAAAAATGTCTCCCCTCTATAAAGTCTTATCATTTTTAGGTATTTTCTAATAGTTTAAATTTTGGTTATTTCTAGAGATTAAGTTTGAATAATAATCTAAATCTTATTATCTTACACTTTTAGGCGATTCAACTCAATTAATTCTACCATAAACGATGACACGGTGAATGGGAGGCTCAGAATCGGCCACTTTTGACGCTTTTCTAGGCCGCTCGCTGTCGGCGGTCTTGCCGTCATGTGTACCAAAGGCCACGGCCGGCAAGGTCTACTGCCACCCGTACTTCGCGTTGGCCGTGCCTGGTGCCTGTGCCCATTGATTGGTGATGTCTAATTTATACTATAGCCGCTGCAGGGCCCCATCCTTACTCACCTTCCATCAGCCTTCCTGGCGGAGGGGAGCCATTTTTGGCTCCTCTGTTAACTGTTCTGCTTCCCTGAGTCTCCATAAATATCGACCACCATGACCTCTGACTGACCATCCTCCGTCGCTCTCAAGTAATTCCTCTAATCTCAGGGCTGGCTTTTCCAACGGGCGAGGCTCTCAAAGTGAAGTAGTATAGGTCTCGATCATTCTCCCGAGTCTTCGCCCCTCCTGCCTCTTCATTGATCCAACATGGTGTTCCGACACCATGACTTCTCCCTATGTTCTGTCCGGCGATGAGAGCAACGCTAGCTCAGCCCTGCCTGAGATCCGTCAAGGTATGCTGCAGAGCGCTCTTCGCTCTGTCCCAAACTAAGATTGCCCCGTCTCTAGATCCGAACGCCAGTAGCCTGCCATCTGGGGAATACGGCACTGATTCAACTATCTCCGAATGGCCTTCGAAGCTCCACTGCAGGGTACCAGTGATACTGTCACAAACTCTGGACCTTGACAGTCAGGTCCAAGGAGCCAGACGCGAGAAGTCGGCCGTCTGGTGAGAAAGCTACTGACGTAACTGGGTATAAACGGCCCCTGAGGCTTTGAAAGCCACCTGTCGTTGTGTCCAAAAGTTGAGAATTCCGAGTAAAGAAATCAGGAGCCGGCAGCTGGCGATTAGGTGAGAAAGTTATTGAGCCAAAACCACTTGAATTGGCCTTTGAATTTTTCTGTGGTACACCCGTCGTGACCTCCCAGACCCGGACTGGATGACCATGGTGGTCAGATGCAAGCAGTCGTCCGTCGGGTGAGAACGCGAGTAGCTGGAGTATCAATGCATCTATTATTCCCTCCAGGGCACCAGTGGCGGTATTCGAGACTCGGACTGCCCTATCAATGGAGCTAGAAGCAAGCAGCCGGCCGTCCGGGGAAAGTACCACTGACAACACCTGGCCTGTATGTTAACCCTTAAGAACCTGCTGCGTTGGCCTGGAGGCGGACAGAATATCAATGGTGCCGACAGCCAGTAGTTTGCCGTCAGATAAAATGCAATTGGAATGGCCCGACGTTGGACATTCTTATCAGTGCTGCCAGTGGCCAACAGGCGCTCAGTTTTCCACTCCTTAAATGTTAGAATAGGAAAGTTTTCAGGACAGTTGAAATCCATTCTCTATGCTTTCAATAATGTCTGTGCCGCTGGGCATGAAGGTGAGGGCTAGTAGCTGCTCACAGCACGCTCTTGTATAAACTGACCACATTGAACATTACTGCAAAGTTCTAGCTCTTTTGGTCGATCACTCCAATCATCTAGACTCAGAAGATATGCCTTGGGCATGTGATAGTTTACATTTGTTGCTCCTGCATCACACCGGAGCTACTTCCTAGTAACAGCCTCACTATATCTTGGTCTTCCTCAGCTCTAAATAGATGTGAACGTCAATCAAAAGTAATTCTATAAGCTATCTGTTCAAGTTTCATCACAGTTCCAACACAGCCTGATACTGAACTTTATTAGCTAAGAAATCCTTAAACACTTCCTGGATAGTCTTTACGCGTTTCCTTTTATACAGTTGAACAGTAGGTTAAATACCGTGCTGTGTTGTAAATTTAAGCATCTCAAAATGTTCAGCCCTGGACGCAACCATGCTAGAAAAAATATGATAGGCGTTTCCGAGCATAGACCCAGCCCTTCAAAACTGTCAGCCCCATCCTGGAGAGGCCAGGCTATGAAGACTCATGGAACGGTCATAGGTCCTGATGAAGCATTTGCCTTCGTTTTATCGGAACTCTGTGCGCGTCCAACCTCCTCTCTTTCTGATCGGGCCTGGATGGTCGGGGACCGTGTTTATGAACGATGGAACGGGCCAGTGTACCACAGAGGAGGGATGCGACAGTGCCTAACGGACCGGCAGCTGGGATTCGAAATCATCAACTGCGTCCTCCAGGATCGACTCTTCCCGTTGAATTCACTATTCCGGATCCAGTCATGGCCAATTCCTCTCAACACTTGGAACAGTACCCTTCAGATCCCCTCGCCGTCGAAACTGCATCCTTAGACATCTTTAGGGATGTGTTAACGGACGTGGGTCTATACCAAAATGCCATGGAAATCCACTGCCTTACCCCAGCATGCCCTGTGCCGGGTATGAAGGACGAGATGATCCCCACGGAATGAAGCAGGGTAAATGATTCAGGTGATGTACGAGAATGATGGGTGGTATTCTGTCGGCTATTTAATAGTAAGGAGTGGTGCTGGCGAAGATGAATCTGGCGGTTGATGCCCCTCGGGCCCATTCTATGCCGATGAGGATGGGGAGTATGTTAACAAATGGATACTTTCAGGATATTTCCTCATTTGCTGTTATTCTCTTGTCGATAATTATCATCTATCTCTGTCCTAGCCATTACTTGTTAAGCTGTTGTTTCACTCGGCCTTCGCACGGTCTTTGCTATTACCAAAAGCTCACGTAAGTAAACCGTCCAGTGGCAGCAGCAAGTGACAGAATAATTAATGGTCTGCAACCGGCTAGCTTTATAACCCCACTTAGACTCCGCTGGACGTGCCAATAAAGTCCATTTTCCAACTTCACTGCCATGGGTTGGATATGCCCCACAACCCTAAAGGCTGTAGTAGGCTCCTTTAGTGGCAACATGGCTTACGTTCTAAATTGACGAGGAGATCGATAACACATGTTTTTGTCTCACTAAAGTGGTATCGTCATCGAACTGTATTCGGACGTTCAAAAACGCGATCTGACAAATTGTCTCTGCAAGGGTTGGGGGTATCAGCCAAGATAGAAGCAGCGGAATCGGTCTACAATTTAACGCCGAGCTTATTCATACGCTGCGGATGACTTGCTTGACTGAGGGAGTTTATTTGCCTTGCCCAAATCAAGGTTTGAGACTTAAGGCTTGTAAAGTTATAAAAGCTCTCCGGACGTCTCTCGACCCTTCAGTTTAAATCACCAAGCACACCAAACCACAAAAACTACTTCGATTTCAACCTCCGCCATGCCTAAGCTGATCACCGTATTTGGCGCCACCGGCAACCAGGGTGGTTCTGTTATCGATGCCATCCTCGCCGATCCCCAACTCTCAAAGGAATTCAAGGTCCGAGGTATCACCCGCGACACTAGCAAGAAATCAGCCCAGGAGCTAGCCAAGCGGGGTGTCGAAGTTGTCTCAGTAAGATTCCACTTAATCAGCTAGACCTTCAGAAGCAATCATTGATAAAGCTTAGGCTGATTTGAGCTCTGTGGACTCTCTTAACACAGCCCTTGAGGGCTCCCACACCGTCTTCTTGGTCACCAACTACTGGGAAACTATGAACGCCGACATTGAATACTCCCAAGGCAAGAATGTGACCGACGTTGCCAGAGCTGTCGGTGTCTCTCACCTCATCTTCTCTTCCCTGCACCATGTGAAGGAAGAGAGCAAGGGACGACTGACCCATGTTCCTCATTTTGATAGCAAGGCCAATGTTGAGAAGTATATCCGTGCTTCCGGGGTCGGATGCAGCTTTGTCCTTCCTGGATACTACATGAGCAACTTCAAGCAGATGCTCAATCGGGCTGAGGACGGCTCATACCAGCTCTTCTATCCTGTTGGCAAGCAAGCCAAGTTCCCTCTGTTTGACGCCGCTCAGGATACAGGTAAGGGTGTCCTATATCCTATCTTCCTGGAACAGCAACTGATGTATCTATGCAGGTCTCTTTGTGAAGGCCGCGATTAAGCACGCGGATCAGTTAAAGAACAAGCAACTCCTGGCAGCTGCCAAGTACTACACCCCTGAAGAAATTGTGGACACCTTCTCTAAGGTTTCCGGCAAGAAGGCTGTTTTCATACAGGTTTCTCCGGAGCAGTATAAGGCCTCCTTGCCCCCTGCTCTTGCGGAGGAGTACCTTGAGAACCACTTGTTCATCGAGGACCCTGGCTACTACCTGGAAGAGCCCTTGGAGCCTAGTCTGGAGCTACTTGACTCTAAGCCTACTACCTGGGCGGAGTTTGTCCAGAAGAATGTTTCCGCCTGGAAATGAGTTTAGTTCTCCTGTCACTATGAAAGGATCCTATCCTTGGAGTGGAAATCCGAAATAGAATCATATCGTTCTCGAAAATTTGTCCAAACTACTCAACATGCTATGGGCATCGTGTATAGTTATCCAACATCGATCGGATCTGATTTTTCGCCCATTTTCGTGACATTTAGGTGATGCCACTACTCAGACAATGTCAAATATAAGGCATCGTATGGAGGAACAATATCTCCGTAGAGAGACAATATCTCCGTAGAGAGAGTCGTCCGTACGGCAACTAGGATCGGTCCTCTTTCGACACCTGATATATCAGCTCCTTGATAGAAAAGTAATAGCTTTGTCGAATACTTTCGGCTGTGTAGGAGGCGCTGACACTCTATTATAATTATGGTCCCTGGCTTCTGTCCGTGAACATTTGTCCACTAAAGAGTCTTTAGTAGGCGTTTTCGCGGACATAACACAGCTTGTCAAGCACCTACCCTGTCTTTACCAGCGTTCATGCAGAAGGAGGTGCTCCAGCGAGGCACACAAGGATAGCCCGTGCGAATTGAGGTCTCCCATGGGTTCCAGTACGTCGCTTCGCCTGATTCCCTCGGAAGCAAAACCGCCTTAGTACTGGCATTTCCTTTTGATAGGAGTCATTTCTTCGCTAGACTCTATGGAATTCCAAGTCTAATCAAAGGGATCGTCCCATTCTAACTTCCCTAAAACCAATAAACTTTTCAAAAATGAACATTCTCTTTTTCGGAGTGCGCCGAAGTATCGAACAGGAATACCTAGAATTCATCCCCTTCAACGTTCCAAAATCTGGCTAGAAGGTCGCTCTCGGTGGAATTTCTCATTGACTAAAAATCGAGACGCAAAACTACGGTAAATATACGAAAATGAAGTGACTAAAGCGCTGCAATCCAAGCCTGTGGGGTTCCGAACTTGGAAGAAGGCCAAAGACCGCCATCAATACGTCTGGCTAGGTAGAGCTGGGTGGTCCCCAGGGATCTCTAGGGACGACAGGTAAACATACGGAGCTGACCAAGCTGCAGATCGGTGCCCAGCAAAAGAAGTGTCATGCTGGATCGGCCTTGAAGATAAGGCCGAAGCCCGAAACTTTAGTAAGCCGAATAGATTAATGAAGCAATGCAGTGATGAAATACTCAGCAAAATTTTCACGAGGTTATAACAATGAATTGGGATTTTTTACTCGCAGTGCATTTGACCCGCTTCCCACGACTGTCTCCCCTGGCGCAGCTTCCTCACTGACAACACTCTTCACCGTTTATCTCGTCCATATCTCGGCTGCTGACAGGGATAACAGCAAATGGCTTCTCCATTCGTTGCAGTCGCTGGCGCCTCGGGCGGACTGGGTCAGCTTGTTGCTATGGAGCTGATCAAAAAAGGCGTGGCCGTAAAGGCCCTCGTACGCCCGAACACTGATCCATTTCGTACCGAAAAGCTTCGCAGCGCCGGCGTTACCGTCACTCCGGTTAACTTCGAGGTACAAGCTCTCATTCCAGAGCTGAATGGAGCAATATGTGTCGTTTCCACGCTCCAGGGCTTGAAGGACGTTATCCACACTGTCCAGGGCAACCTCCTGGAAGCCTCTGTAGCCGCCAAGGTGCCCAGGTTCATCCCTTCCGACTTCTCTCTCGACTTCACCAAAACGAAGCCGGGGTCCAATCGAAACTTGGATCTGCGCCGAGAGTTCCATGCGCAGCTGAAAAAGTCGGGCGTCGCTTGGACGAGTATCCTCAACGGCGCGTTCATGGATCTGCTAGGTGGCGATTCGCCGATGATCAATCATTCGAGGAGGAAGGTGGCATATATCGGAGAGGCGACGCAGCTGCTCGATTTCACAACTATAGTGGACACTGCTGCGTACACGGCTGCAGTGGCTGCAGACCCGAATCCTGCACCCTATTTCCTCCGCATTGCTGGCGATACTGTCAATGTACAGGATATCGCGGACGCGCAGAGCAAGGTGGAAGGTACACAATACAAGCCCTCATGGATGGGCCCCGTGTGGTTCATAGAGTTCGTGATTCGGGTATTACGACTTTTTGGCGGTGAAAACGAGACGTTCCCTGCTTGGCAGGGCATGCAATACATGACGAACATGTTTTCTGGAGCTGGGAAACTCGAGCCGCTAGATAATGACCGATACCCCGAGCTGACTTGGACCAAAGTGGAGGATTTCTTCCGACAGCAGAAGAACAAGGCCTCCAATAGGTGACCCAATCGTCAACTGGTCGCAGATGTCATCGAAGCCGTCTGTTGGCATTTGTTCCTTTACATATGGATCCTGTTACTCGCCAGGACTTAACGGAGTCGGCGCTTGACTTGGTTGAGGGAATTTTGCTGGGAAATTTCAGAGTTACAATATTGATGTATCCTTATAATATTTGATCGCATTCACGGATATCGGACAGATCAAGACTACACATAACTTCCATATTGAGTAAAACTACGGCTGTAGCCACTGCTGTTTGTACTCCTTCAGACTAGATGCTCCAAAATCGCGCTAGAGATTTTGAGGGACTAAAAAAAATGGGGCCCATACATGCGAAGTTGGTAAGATCTATGAACAGGGATACTCGATCAGGGCCGCATATGGAGGTGCTGTCTCTTCCGTGAACATTATGTTCTCTGTATATAGGCAGAGGCAAGTGTTGGTTATAAACGACATGATTAATTCTTGCCATACGAGTGTTGGTAGCATTGCATCATTAAACATCAAGCTGAGATACAAGGATTGACGGACAGTCATTCTTTTTGTTTTCTTCTTTTACCACTTCTCCGAATACGGCCGGAGGTCTATTTCATGGGTAAATGAAGTCCTGGGCTGAGTGTGCAAAAACCAGTATGATTCCGCAATCTAGATAAATAATAATCAGTACAAGAATTGTTTGCCCCAGAGACTGCTCATACACTTACCCATTTGGGATCAATTTTTGAATCCGGGATTTCTTGACTGTAACCCTTAGTCTTCTCGGTATCAATGATCCCGTCAATGATAGCATGGGACACATGAACGCCCTTGGGCCCAAATTCCCGCGCGAGAGACTGGGACAGAGCACGAATTCCAAACTTGCTCATGGCAAACCCAGATAGTCCAGAACTACCTTTGAGTGCAGCCGTTGCACCTATTATAGGCAGTTAGAGATGTTATATAGTCAATTCGAGTAACTTGTACCTGTGAAAATGAGGGTGGGTGGATACTGTCCTCTGTCTTCATTCAACATCAAGGGCAGCGTGGCCTGAGAGAAGTTGAATGCACCCTTAATGGACGGTTCGAGGCTCCCTAGGAACTCTTCTGGGCTTTGTTCCAGAAAAGGCTTTCTGACAAATTTACTAGCAACGTTGTAGATCGCTGCTGCGATGCTAACATCAGGACCAAACTTGGTCTTGATTTGTTCCATTGTCGAACTCATGCTCGAGGAGCTGGTCACGTCGGTAGGTACGCCCACTGCAGAGCCTCCACTCTGCGTGATGTCGTGAACTATGGGATCGAGGGATGTTTGCGATCGGGCAAGCAGAACCACAGGGTAGGCCTTTGCAAACCTGCGGGCGACAGCACTGCCTGTTCCCGGCCCTGCCCCGGCAATGATTGCGATTGGCTTTGGCATCTTCAATAATTTTGTGAACTTTACGATAATAAGAGGATTGACTGGCACTTCACAGTTACAGGTATCTTGAGGCAGGGTGACATTATCTACTAAGAAAGTAGACCATGACCCAAGGATTAGGTAATTCTCGGAGACTCGGGGCTCCCAGTGAATGCCGAGGATATAGGATTATGCAATCAATGTCAATCCTAGTCTCAAGTGGGGTGAATTCGTTGTGGCTTGGACCTAGCATACCCCAATCAGAAATGATGCTGTTGCATAAGGTTGATCTAGTCTTGGCTGTGTCCATCGATTCAGCCTCCAGTACACAAATGGAAATATGGGGCCCCTCATAAAAGCCAACTTGAAATTTCAAAGAGTCAATATTCGCACCCAACTTTGTTCGCAGTATCTTAATTTAGAGAGGGGGGGAAAAAATGACACGAAAACCACAAATCTCAAAATTGATGTAATATAGACGAAATGAGGGTCAATCAAGACATGATCCTTCTCCACAGTTGCGTAGATCTGTAGGCTTCCTTGAACGGATATATCGCCATTACTCATATGTCGTCCTGAAAACTCAATCCTTATCGTATTCAGGGTACATCTGCTAATAAGCATAAAAAATTCATGTCCCTTTTGATTCTCAAATCTTTCCATCTCTGGCCAACTCCCGCAAAACAGTAATTGTCCCCTCCACAGCCATCTGGCTCATTTTCTTCTCCTTCTCCAAAAATGCTGCGAGTTCTGCCTTGGAGGCTCCCGGGTGTCTCCACTCGAAGGCATAGGTCATATACAACTCCCCATCAGCGCCCTCACTGATCACATTGCTAATACTGCTTCCGTCCGGCTGCACGAAGGTCACTCTGGAAGGTTCGTATGCTGTGACTGTCTCTCGCACTTTGCGCTGGTCTTCACAGAAAACTATTTCGCGAACTGTGACTGGATTCCCTGTGGATGGATCCGTAGATTCAGAGATAACGGTGGTGGACTGGATGGCCTTGGGAACGAAGGTTTCGGCGGAACGGATTTTGAGGAGTAGGCCGGCCCATACCTGCCCTTGCTTGAGGGTTGGACTAGCTCCTGCAGGGTTGAGAGGGGCAGTGAAGGCGAGGTGGTTTGCAGGCATGGTTAAATGGTGGAGTTCCCAAATGATCTGCAGGAGAACGACGAACGATCTTTAGAGGTATATATTTACCATGCATAAGAATGGAGAAAAGAATGCCTTCAACTGGCTTAGAGCCTCACCACATCGGCCATGTCATAGTCAGCGAAGACCGAAGAGCGAGAGGTGACAAATCTCGGCACTCAACGCTGATATCCGACCCCACGCGGAAACTCTACTTGGACGCCATTGACCTATGTCGCCCCAGGGTTTCGACTGAGGTCAGGTCATCCAAGGTTCTCTTCTGTCAGCTTCGGTCTTTTGCTCAGCCAGCCGCAAGGGTCGGGGTCCCGAATCAAGCGAGAAAGTGGACCCAGATAGTGCTATTTAAACCATACCAAGCTGGGAAAGATAGCCATTCAATAACTACTACTTCCCAATTACTATCGTTTCTCTACAATGGCGACGATGAGGCCCATCGTTGTCTGCGCCCACCATGCTGGCCCGAACCCCAAAAAAAGTAATCATGGTTCTGGAAGAGCTCAAAGTCCCCTATGAGGTCAAGCTACTCGAATTTCCGGAGATGAAGCAAGCTGCCTTCTCATGCCTATGAGAGGATTGATCCTAACGGCCGGGTTCCTGCAATTGAAGATCCCTAACACTGGAATCACTCTCTGGGAGTCCGGGGCAATCCTCGAATACCTTGTGACGAAGTACGATGAAAAGAGCGAGATCAGTTTCCCACCTAACTCCCCGAAGTTCTACCATGCGATACAATAGCTCTATTTCCAAAGATCAGGCCAAGGTCCATATTTTGGCCAGGCTGTGTGGTTCAGAATCCATCATAAAGAGCAGCTGCAGACTGCTGTCGAACGATATGTCAACGAAATTCGGCGTGTGTCAGGGGTGTTGAATGGGGTCTTGGCAGACCGCAAATACCTGGTCAATGATAAATGCAGCTATGCGGATATTGTATTTGTCCCTGATTTATGGCGGCTCCCGCGGGGCGGCTCTCACCGGGAATGAGGTCGTTCCATGGGTGGCGGGTGATGCGACCGATCTGGAGAAGGACTTTCCCAATGTCTATGCATGGCTGAATAGATTGAAATCACGTCCTTCATTCATCACCGGTCTAGGTGCTGAGTCTGAGGCGCCCAAGAAGCTGTGATGGGTAGTTCATGTATAAGTAAGTAGTGAGGCACGGACCAAACAACTGTGGCTTCATATTCCCCATGCATTCATATGTATATAAGCTGTTCGTTGGTACTATGTAGCATTAGTATAAGGTAGGTTAGTAAATATTCTATTGCAATACCTGTATTACTTACGGTATCTGGTATTCATCGAGCTTATTATAGTCGAAGCTAAGCTATTGCAAGCAAATTCTTACTCGGTGTTCCTTTCGGCACGGTACTTTGCACCGCAGCTTGTCCCGAATCCTATGACCTCTCTTTCAATCATCAAATATTTGCACCTCTCGGGACTTTTGGAGTTGCGGGAACCAGGCGGGGAATTGGCCCACACCTTGCGCCCTGTTGTTGACAAAACTCAATTATCTGGAAACTGATGGCTTCCCCACAGGCACAAAATCCCTAGAAGAAATAAAACTCGTATAATTTAAGATGTACTTAAGCAGTTGAATTTCCTGGTAGATTACTGTGCATTTTGTCTAGCTTCTAGCGTTTCTCCCACTTGGTGCCATTTGAATCTTCATATCACTCAATTAAAGGCCTTATATATGTCAGTCACTTTGACTCAGATTACTCCAAACAGGACGGAGTCCTCGCTGAATGCGCCGACCGCTCAATCTAGATATACTACGGCCAAAGCGATCTCTTCGGCAGCCATTTCAGCACAAAATGAGACAGCCAATGCCTTTGTGGATGGATCTAGGGATGGCACACACCCTCATCATGCCAATATGCAGACTCTTGTGAGAAATGAAAGTACCAATCCGGCACTCAGCCTCTCAAGAGCGGCCGCCACCATCCTGATCTGTACATTGGCTGGGATTACATTTGTCGGCAGCATGAGCACTGGCCTCCTGACTATCGGGTTGCCCAGAATGGCGAACGATCTTCACCTGCCGGACAACTTACTTTTATGGTGAGTGAGAGCGGTTTTTTTCACCGATTTTATTGTGTACAATTGGAAGTTTAGGCTTTGGTTACATTATGCTTATCAGATCTGTGAAATTCTTAGGCCTTCCTCGGTGTACTCGTAAGCAGTCTCCCGCCTCAAGCAGCACACAATGATACTGACGTTGCGATAGACTTGCAAATGGGTGCTGCCTCCTACTTGCTGGTTCGTTAGCAGACTTAATTGGGAACCGCATGATCAATCCGGCAGGATGTGTGTTACTCTGTGTTTTTATCCTCGCGTGTGGCCTCGCTCAAACCGGTGTCCAATTGATTCTATTCCGCGCTTTTCAGGGGGTTGCCACCTCGATGTGCCTTCCAACTGCCTTTAGCATCTTGACAGATACCATGCCGACCGGAACACGTCGGAACGTTGGTTTTGCATGTCTAGGATTGGGCCAACCTCTAGGGTTTTCCTTTGGGCTTCTCTTTGGCGGCATTCTCGAATCATCGTCCCTTGGATGGAGATTCGGCTACTATCTGTGCACCGGAGCCGCGTTGATTCTGGCGATCATTAATTATTTCAAGCTTCCGAAGAGTTCACGGAATCAAACCATGTCGTGGCGAAGGCTCAAGGAAGAAATTGACTGGATAGGCCTTGCCCTGTCCAGTTCCGGTCTGGGAATGCTTTCCTACGTTTTTGCGTATGTCAACCTCGCCTCTGACGTGATTGCTGCTCTCTTGATTGCAAGCTAACCACGGGAAATGCTTTGGGCTAGTGTCATCACGGGAGACGTCTCCAGTATTAAGAGAGGATCAAATATTGCGCTGCTCTGTGTCGCGACAGCGCTACTTCCGGCCTTTCTATTTTGGATGAATCGACAGGAGAAGCTGGGGAGGCCAGCCCTGATTCCTAATTCCCTCTGGCGTAACAGTGCATTCACTTCTATCTGCCTCATGGTTTTGCTCTCCTGGGCAGTTCTCAATGGAATGGAAACCATACTGAGTCTATTGTATGTCTTCCGGTCTGACGCCAAGACTCAGTAAATCTAATTAGGCGCAGCTTCCAAAATGTTCAGCAACTGTCTGCCTTTCAGGCATCCCTCCGATTCTTACCGAATGTGATTGTCGGAATAGTTTTAAATCTGGCGACGGGCCTTCTTGTTCACCGTCTTCGTGCTGACCATCTAGTGCTCTTCACTACCTTCCTGAGTGCCGGTTCACCTCTACTTATGGCTGTCATTGACCCACATTGGTCTTGGTGGTATTGCGCTTTCTGGGCCGTTCTATTGGGGCCTCTCTCTGCTGATGGTAAACAAATTGACACGTTTCCCAGTCCCTCAACTGGTTTCCGTTCCATGCCGAATGGAAATAGATTAGGGTGGCAATTTACTTCGAAGTGTGCTAATAAATACTCATGTCCAATAGTTATCTTTACCGTTGCGAATTTAATAATCACTGACGTCTTCTCTCCAGCGACCCAAGGACTTGCAGGCGCTGTTTTCAACACCATTGCCCAGTTTGGGACATCCGTCGGCCTTACACTTTTCGCGATCATATCTGCTAGTGTAACAAAGGAGTCCTCATATGTACAGAAGGGTTCGCCCGAAGCTCTCTTGTTGGGATACAAGGCTGTGTTTTGGACTTGTTTTGCACTTATGTTACTTGCCACTGGTATTGGTGCTTGGGGTCTGCGAACAGTCGGAAAAGTGGGATTGAAGAGAGAATAAGGCGCTCATGGGATGATCGGATCAGTGCCTAAAAGATAGCAAGGGTCGCAGCCACCTTTTCCATCATGAAAGACTGGGATGATATGAAAGCTGAGGATAGCTACAATGGTATGTAGTGTACAATATTCAACATCAATGCATGTAGTCAGTGCATGGGTATTGAATATACACCCAGCAAGCAACTTACTCTTCAGCCGCTTCACTCTCCAGTCGTTTCACAATAGTTTCTGGCTTCGCGTACCGCCATCCAGGATTCCGTCAGGGCATAATTAGCTGCTTTCTCAGCGGACTTGGCCCACAGAACCTGCTCTTTGGCTGCCATAATGGATGGATCTTCCTAGTGTCCGCTAAGCAGACTATAATGGTCAGTGATTCGTTCACATTCCGCCCAAATTCTGCAAGCTGACCTGCAGGTCGACAAATCCCCCATTTGGGAGGACTGCCCGACGCTAAATTAGACCTCTGAGTTGACCCTCCATGGGATGACCAACAACTCAGCTAAGCATTAGCAAAACCACTAACCCACACAAGGCTAGTTGGCACGCCGAAGTAGTATTTGCAGCTTTGAACCATCCCTAGCATGGAATCCCTGGGACTGTATACTGTTTTGTTTTGGGACGCTACCAGGCCATATTGCAGACGGAAGGATCATTGCCCGTATTTCCAGATTTTAAAGTCTCTTTTATCTTTTGTAATGTTGACCTACAGAGGTTTCTAAGAATTGTTACCGTGGATTTCCGTAGTCGCCATTCCTGGGTATTCTCTTCGCTGCCGTTCCGGTAAACATTGCAGCGCGTCATTTGATGGCTCATTAACAGTTAAAGTACGGATGACGCATGGAATTGATCCGGACAAGATCGTTCCAACGGTGCTCTTTCAAGAATTCACGCCGGTGCCGTCGGACTTCAGGCAACCCCATGGGCCAGCTGTCGGTGCCTTGAATGATCTCGTCGATGATCTCTTGCGGCAATCCGGCCGCGGCCAGATCATGACTGATAGCCTGTGTCCACCAGTGATGTTGCTGTGGTGGCACGTTGCGGGTGGAGCACACGCGATAGTGAGGATCAACCAGGTACAGCGCGATGGAGCGAAAACATCCTGGCCGACTAGGATCGGCCAGGGCAAAGGGCTCGTAACGGTGCTCTAAGAGGTTGGGGAATGTGACCAAGCGCCCCTGTGAGACCCTGACCGTACCTTTGTCCTGCCAGGTTCTTGCTGCGTGGTTATCATAATCCAGGTCGATAGTCGAGAACCCCAGAATCTCCGCGACTGCTGCGAATTCTGTCGAGAAGTTTTTGCCACATCGTCGCGCTGGCACGGCTCGGTGAGGGTTCTCCCTCTGCCCTTGCTCTCGGTCCTCTCTGTATCGGTAGAAGCTTTCATCTAGCTTGGTGTTCTGACGAAAGGCGATCCGGGGTTCGGTGATATTCACCACATCATATGCAAACACAGCCGCTGCTACGAGGTGCTCATTGAGCTGGCCCTCCATCCGCCAGTCCGTTCCTTTGTAATTCCCACTATCTGGAGTGAGTTCGATATTCTCCATTTTCACGATAACTTGTAACCCATGCTCGCGGAACGTATCCTGGAGCCGGATGGTATAGTACTTATGGGGGGGCGTGACTGGCTTGTAGGGCATATGGTGCCAATCTTTCCGCTCGCGGACCATATCAACCACGGCCTTTTCATGATGACGCCCCGTCTTCCATTCATTGTAGGAAAACGAGGTCCCAGGTTCCGGATGGCGGAAGTGCAGCAATCGCCGCAACTTGCGTTCGATATGCCACCAGGGAGATTGCTGCCAGTCGTCTGGCACTGGAACGGGAGTGGCCGACCTATCTTCTGGGAGATGAAGATATTCTTTCGCGTGTTGCCAGAGGTTGGAATCTGGAGGTGGTAGCTCCTTGTCTTCGTTTCCCTCAACGTCAGCAAGTCCTTCGAGCATTTCTTGCGCCTCTCGGTATCTTCTCCGGCCCTCGTCTGTTGTATCTCTCTCGCTCCTCAGGAGCACTTCCCGCGATTCACGGTACCGTCTCTTCTTAACCTTATGAGGAACTCGGAAGGCGAGTAGCCATTCGGGGAGCTCATTCTCCCACTCCGCTCCATACGTGATGATACGCAGTGGGACCGGCCCTAGCTGGCCTTGATTCAGGATATCATTCCAGCCGCGCTGGCCCTGCACCAGACAGTCATTCCACAACGGAATTGCCCGGCTCACCAGCGTCTCAATCGCACGGTAGAGGTCCCGGTGTGTCGGGTGCAAATTGTTGATGTAAGAGGTAATGCGCACCTGCGTCGATCCTTTACCCCCGACAAACTCCACCTCACAAGGTAGAGCCTGATAATTTGCGCTCCATCGATAATGGTGGCTTGTTTCTGTGTCGGAATGCACACCAAGATGCAGATGCTGCGCCTCCTCAATACGCTTCTGCACATCCGCCGCGTCGGTCCTCAAATCAACGTGCATTGGGGCGATTCTGGTCGCACCTGAATATGCGCCCAAAACATCCTCTAACTCCACTCGACCTCCATCCGTCAGGACCAAACTCCGCCCGTACACTAGCGGAAATAGCATTGGATCGACAATGGACAATCTTTGTTTCGAGCGCCAATCCAGCAAACCGAGCTGGCTCCATTTCTGAAGCACTATCTTCGCCGCAGATCGGATTTCATCTGCCAGCCCTCCTGTGCTGTTTTGGAGCCCAGGAACATCGTCAGACTTACAAATACAAGACCCGGTATCAAGGACCCGGATATGTCTTTGGCGCTGGTATTCTTCGGCTTTGTCACGCAGCTCCTGCAAGCACCAATCCCAAGCCCGGTCACTCAACAGTGGATTCGTGGCGATCGAGGCCACGTCGGGATTTTGCCGCCAGCATGCGACGATCGCATCATCAAAAACCTCGATATACCAGTTCGGGAGGTCGGTCAGACGATTCATCACTGACACCATCGCCAGCTCGCGCGCCGTGACGGCGGGAGCTTGACGCCACTCCTGGATACCGTGGGCAAAGCGGGCGTCCGACGGCAGCTCGTAGTCCAGGGGGATGGAGCCGAAACCGGGGACACGAAGCGTGCCGTTGCCGCTGTTGTCCATGGCGACCATTGGGACCTGGGGCGAGGATTTGTCGCGCTTGCTTTGTGGCCAATCAATCTGTTGGCTGCAGCCGCCGTGGTAGAGACAAAATGAAGGACACGGTCTGATTCAAAGGAGAGGCATCGGCCTCCAGCTACAACAGTCTACGATACTTGGAATGCCGAAATCCTTCCACCGCACGATTTGCGGTATATGGTTTGGTGGAAAGGGTGTGGGAAGAATGAAAAATTACTTGACGCAAATAGCCAGGGGGCTAAGCATTATAAATCACAAGTTTCTCGGAGAAATACTGCTGTTAAATTAGAACGCTGTTGGCACTACCCAAGAAATGCTGCTGCCCGCTATGAGGTATTGTCGAGACATGGAGCGGTAACTTACCGCCTAGCCAGGGGTATACCTTTGCATTTTGTATATTAATTTGGAGTCTTCAGCATTATGGTTGTTGTAACACTGTGTATCTTCGCCATCTATGGGGGTATTTCAAGCCAGTATTCCAGGGGCTGTGAGCTATCTGTTAGCGTGGGTGGCGCAAGGGTCAACTGTTTGCACTACATATATTAAAGAATATATTTAAGAAAGAGGCTGTACTCCAGCAGTTAAGCATATTTAGATACAAGAAGTGAGCATTGATTAATAAGATGCTTATCACGTCAGAGGACAGTAGAGACTTACAACGGTATATAGACTCTCAATTTAAGCTTTAATAAATTAACAGTGTTCCAAATATTAAGTAGGTCTTACTTAGGCATATTATTGATTATACCATCTCATTCAAGCAAGGTAGACATGTTCGCTAGTTCAAATTATTATTTTGAGTGTATAGCATCATCCTCAGCAAGACTGTGTGCAATGGTGCAACCAACTTTAGCAGATTCTATGGAGTGAAGGCCCCCTGCCCATATAATAAATGCTTCAATACCATGAGATAGCCCCGCAGAGAATACATGCTTTATTATATTCATTTCCATTCGTCCCAGCACATACGACCATAGGGTGTGGATAACCCTAGGCACTCGTTCTGGGTAACCCAACTGAAACATGTGTCAAACCCAACTTGGGCTGGTGAGGTGGTTATTTTCGCGGGTTGGGCTGGGTTCGCCTGTCTTTCAACTTATTCCAATCCTCGATGACGGAGCCTTCCTATACAAACTGCCGCCAGCTATCACAGGCAACCACCTCCGGATGTTATATGCGATACTCATAGATTCCCAACTGTGCACCCTGGAGTGCTTCATGCGGAGAAACACGAACAAAAGGTCGGGTAAATAAACTGGTAAAGATTGCTATAGCTCTTGGGATATCCGGATCCACTGGCGGCGCTGATCCTCGCAGTATCATCACTTAAACGCAACTTGATTAAGTTTGATGTATAGATTCAACCCAGGTAAATCTCAGAGCATGAGGCCATTTGAATCACTCTTGCGCAGACTGCTGTGTAGCGGTGAGTTGGAACCGGACCGACCTCCACCCTAAACTCAAAAAATTGCAGTCGAGTCCGCTCACCACGTTGATAGACAGACAAGATGTCCCACATAACTCTGTGTATGCAGGGTGAGAAAATTCCTCTGTGGTGATGCCACTTCTGTTGTTTGACATGAATTTGGATCTCAAACAGATCGCAAAGGGAATGGTGAACAGGGCCGTCAGATCGGAGACGTTCCCCTTACCGATCTTCCTGAGTGGTATGCCCCGCATGATGCGGCTGATCGGGTTACTTACTCATCTCAGGTAGATAAGATTCATGCTAGGGAAAAGGGAGCCAAGGCGTCCTCCGGTGACAGCACGCCGTCTGGAACAGATAGAGATTCCCGTGCTGCTCATGAGATTCATCATGTCTAATGACTGACGATGAAGTTCAACCTGATGTGGACTCATGTAATGTCACGAGCTCTGAACTGTCTATTAGAATAGCCCTAGTTTAGGAGGCAGTTTAGAGATCAGCTGTTGCTAACATAATATATGAATATATACCAGTCTATTATGACCTGCAGATAAAAGAACTGTTTTACCTACCAAACACCCTCCCCGTCCTCTCACTAAAATGTACTTCACTAATATATAGCCCCTAGCTCTCGCCGTCTATTTAACTGCTAAACGATGTCTACATACTCATACTAATTAAACCCCCAATCACTCAACATCCCACCCACTGCAGCCCCCGCATAAAACATCATCCCAGGACTCCTAGGATGAAACGTTTTAATCTGCCTAGTAGGCAACCACCAAGAGACATCCTGGCTACTATAGTCCTGATTCGCAATTGCTTGATTCGCTCGATCCAAACTCTGAGCAATCAAACTCGACGAGTTCGCCTTGACGTGGATAGCAACGTCACATATGAAGGCTGCATAGGGATCTGGGCCAGAACCCAAAGCAGCCTGGCACGTATCTGCATCAGGCAGTTGGATAGATCCTGCGTTCATAAGCGCTGTTATTTCATCTGTTTCGGTAGCATTCGTGCTCTCGGCCGCCGTGTCCCCATCAATCGCGATGTCAGGCCATGCGGACAGGAAGAAGTAAGTGTTTGGGTTATCGGGGTCTGGTTCTTGGGTTCCGGGTTCACACCAACGGTGGCCATCAAAGCGGGAGTCCATGTCGATGTAATGGATCTGTTGGCTGTTTCGGGCGGTGTTGATGTCCGAGATGGTGGATTGGATTAGGGAGTTGAGCATGCGGACGAGGTCGTTGAGTTCTTTGCGTATGTCGGTCGTGAGCCACACATAGTTGCCGGATTGCTGGGGGTCGTAGTGTGGGCTTTCGTACCAGAACGTTGTTGAGTCGCAATCTGAGGTGTCTTCGTTGAAGAAGGTGACGTAGCCAGGGACGTAAAGATTGAACGACTGTTTGAAGTAAAAGTCAGTACGATGAAGAACAGCACGAGAGGGAATAAATAAGGGTAATTGTGGAAAGGGAGGGAAATATATACGGTAGAGCCAGATCCATCCAAGACCTTTTCATATGCAGCCCTAAGTTTCGCACCGAGTCCATCAGATCCTGTATCCTGCATCAGGTTGCGGGCTTTCTCTTCAGTCTCCAGACACCACTGGCGGTATTGCTCAAGCGAGTACCACCACATCGTTAGCACGCAGTTGGAAACCAGATCGCTGAAGAACACATCGTTCCCACCAATTGTCAGGGTTGCCATGGTAGTCCCCGTGGGGTTCTGCCCTAGCCACTGGTCGATCTTCTTGTTCAGTTCAACCGTTGTATCCCCCGAGCATGCAAAGTTAGTATAACTGAAGTCCTCATTATCAAACCACTCCTGGACGAGCTCGCCGTAGCTGTTACTTCCCACGCGGCAACTGTCACCAGTTGTGGTACCTGTACCCATCCCAGCGGCGTAGGAGTCACCGAAGTGAGCGTAATCGATGATCCCGTACAAGGGGTCAGAATCATAAGAAGAATCATCGTAGGCCGGACAGCTGGAGTCATCCGCTGAAGAAGAAGAAGAGTCCTCCGGAAGGGGAATCTCTCGACCGCATTTTCGTGTATAGTACGAGCCAACTATGACAAGAGTCCATGAATCCGCATTGTAGGCGGACAACTTGCTGTCACAAATGCCTTCTTGCCCCGGGTTATTTGGGTCTGGACAAAGCAATCTGCGTTGCCAGTTAGCATCGCCGGATATACGGAGCTTATTGGCGTTTTCTTCAGCCTTTTGGCCAGAGTAGGTACAGTGTCGATTCAGAGTCCCTGCGGCAAGATCTCGAGCTCCTTCCCATTTATAGACATAATCGCGGCATCTCCTAAAGTAAAAGAATCAGTATCGGTCTGGGGATGAGAAGGGATATATGAAACCTACCCATTCTCCCCATTGAAAAGCTCCATAACCCAATTTGTATGCGTTGTTTCGTGCAAAATCGCCGCGGCTCGAGTGAGGTGGGCATCCTGGAGGTTAATTGAGTCGCACCTCGCCAGCACTGACTTGGTACTCTTAAGGAAGTCATCTGTGAAAAACTTTGGGCAGAAATTAAGTCGATTGTTCGAGTTCATCATGGCAAGCCAGCCTCTCCCGTCGCGACATCCCGGAAGGTTTTTGCAAGTGATCGTGAACTTTGCATCATCGCTATCCCGCTGCCCAGCAACCATGTACAACATCCGCTCGAACGTCGGAATCCAGGCCAAGTCGTCCCCGAGTGATTGGGCAAAGAAGAGGTCTCTATAAGAATGGTATCCGCCATTAAACGCAACATCCCACGCAATATCAGCCGCATATCGCATTTCTTCAAGGATCGTCTGCACCTCGGTTCTAGTGCAGCCGCTGTCAGCTTGATAATGAGGGATGACGTCGAAGTTGGTATTTTCAGGAGATACAGGTAGATTGGGGTCAGTGATTGGGCCGTCATCGCCTGTGTGATCTTTGGTGGCACATTCGTTGTACCATGTCTGCGCTGTGTTGTTGATGGAATTCCAAATGCTGTGCATGTCTGCACGGCCGTCACCATTAAGATCAGGGAAATAAGTGCATGAGCCTTCAACTGCACCCCGGTACTTGGGACCTTGCGGTCCCCATTCGTATCGGGATCCCTTGATATCACGTCGGCCAAGGTTATACCAGACCGACCCATCTCCTGAGAACTTGTCTGTCCAAATCATATCTGCCTTTCCGTCGCCGTTCACGTCTGCCCAGTGTAGATTCGCCCTGTCCTTCTGCTCGGAGTACTTGAATTGATCAATATACTCCCATCCATCGTCGCCATTAACCCAACCCCAGGTGCGGCCGTCCTTCTCAACGCACAGGTAATCGGCCTTGCCGTTACCAGAAACATCAGCAAAATGGACAGGACGGTCAAAGAAACCAAGGCCTCGGTGCTCGGGGCAGTATAGCTGATCTGCAGCGTTAATATTGTACTCCCAGTCAAACTGCCCAGTTTCTTTGATCTTGTTCCGCCAAACTTGAACCTTGTTCTGATTGTCGGGGTTTGTCCAAATTATATCGCAGGCTCCGTCGCCATCCCAGTCCGCGAGATGCAGATCGCGCCGGTCAAGTTTGATGCCAATTTGCTCCTGGGTTGGGTCGAAGATAATCTCATTACCTCCCCAGAAGCTCGACCCGTCAGTGGGTACTTGAACCAGGCCTCTATTTGGATAAAGGCGCATATGGCCGGTTGAATGGATCCAAACGTAATCCATCATACCGTTGTCGTGGCCCATCATATTGCAATACCTGTCTCCGTCGGCTGCAACAATTAGCAATTAAACCTTTTCTATAAGAGCCTCCTTCTCTCTCTCTCTCACACACACACACACACATACCTTTGATCTTAGCCCCTCCCGCCCCCTTGCTCTTCCACACATGAATGTAATACATCGGCCCAAGCTTCTCGTCAGAGGTATCCTTCTCGATGAACACATAGTCCTGTCTCCCAAGCTCTCCAAAATCCGCCACCTCACCATAAATTCTAGCAAAGTAGACCTGATCCCGTAATCCGGATGTACCGAATAACCCTCCCATCCCGGGATGTGATGGGCCAGAATTAGCATCTTGGTAGAACCCCTGGCGCCAAACAACGTTTAATCCGTCACCAGCCTCTCCTTTGATGCAGCTCCGGGAGTTTGTGTATGTTGTTGTAGCGCCATCATCATCAACCCACATCCAGTCGTCGCGCCCATCGCCGTTTATATCTTCGAATCGCACGCCGCGGAGGTCACCCATGCCTTTTCCAGTGAAGCGCTTGCCCAGCGGCTGCCAGTATGCTGGGACGTCTTCTATCCATCCGTTTCGCCAGCATGTGATGTCGCCGTTATCAGCCAAAACACAATAGTCGGCTCGGCCATCGCCGTCGATATCAGCAAGACGTACGTGCGCCTGATCGTGGCCTTCTGGACTCTTCCATAGTCCGATATCGGTGAAGGATGGAGGCTTGTTACTCCCAGCATCACCGTCTCCATTGTTAATGCTTGCGTAGGTAGTCCCATCCAAGGCGACGCAGATGTAATCATCAAGTCCGTCACCTATAATTTGTCACTCAAAATCAGTCCCAGCGATTTCCTCAGCGGACAGGCCCAGTGCTCACCATTCACATCAATAAAATGCACACCTCCAGGGTTACAATTATTATGCGTTGAGAATGAATCCCCCTTCGTAAACTCCTGCTCAGTGCGAGCATTATTCGTGTAAGAAACAAACGTTACCGCCCCGGATTCATTATCTTTCTGGAAGATGATCAAGTCATCATACTCCCTCGTATAAAGCCTCCCAAAGAAAAAGAACAGCTCGTCATCATCTCTGTATGGATCGAGTCCACCCTTTCCGGCGCGAACACTAAACAATGCCCCGCTATACTCGCTGTCGTGTCGATAGATCCCGTCGTCTTCACCACTTCCTTGTTGCGTGAACCCGCCCGCGTAGACTCCGCTCCCGTACTCTTTGTCGCAGGTCCCCGTGGTCGAAATACTGAGGTCCGCAGGCTTGACGATGAGCCCTGCTTCCGCGGCGTCATAAATCGCATTATACCAGATATCCGCCATCTGAGAGTATCCGTAGTCATTGGGGTGCTTGTTATCGGCGTAGTTATCGGGGTACTTGATCCAGTTATTTCCGGGACTCGGGGCCGGGGGATCCATATCTGCCAGAACGATGGAGATATTCTGCCCCGCTTGCATGTCAGTGACCAGTGCTCGGAATTGTGCATTGACAGAGGGCCTGTTGGCTTCGAGGGATGTGGAACCGGAGGGAATCAGGGTTGACAGGACGATTAACGCGTTGGCCATATCGGGGGCATTGATTAGGGTTTCGATTAAGGATCGCATGCGCTCGCCCGCGTTCGCTGGGTCGACGTTGTAGTCGCAGTCATTGGTGCCGGCGTTTATGAGCACGACGTTCGGTTTGTAGGCGA